CACTTGGTTGCCTCTGTTGAAACAAATTTATCACTGTAAGAAAATCCTTTTTCACTGCTTTTTACAATAAAACTTCTGTGAGTGCTTTCCTCTTGACCTGATTTCAGTCACTTGGAGAAACTTCTACTTCTACAATTGCTCAGCCTCAATCCCATTTGCCTACGCTATTCTCTACAATTGCTAGAAAAAAATTAAATTAGTTTTATCGAGTTTAAGGAAAAAGACTAGATAGATTTCTTTTTGTGAATGTTTTGCATTTAAATTAATTTCAGTCACTTGGAGAAACTTCAATTTTTCGGCAAACATGTGCTCGTTGATTTTTTGCAGTGCACATGCAATCCATTTGTTCATTAAGAAATTTAACCCACCTGCATGCAAAACTCACAGACCATTTGCTTTTAAATATTTTAATACGACTTCCATTATTTTACACATATTTGTTTTGTTTCTCTTTCGATCTCAGTTCCTTTTTGTTGTTATTTGTTAGGACTGAGTTGGTTTGATGTTTGAACTTACGGAACACACAATTCCCACGAAAAGCAAAAAACGATTTCCATTTTACAGTTTGAAAAGGAACAAAATTAAAAAGCTTTTCCATGAGTTATTTAAGCTCTCAGTCAAAAACAAAACTAATAATACTCGAGTAAATTATGAAATGACATATCCCTTGATAAAAGAGACTTCAAACGGATGCTTCGTTTGTCATAATTTCGAAATATATGCGTCGCTTTCAAGACCATTTTCTGTTTGGATGGGCATCTTTAAGTTCTCATCTAAATTTCATTTGAAAAAAATATAACATTTTACCCTGAAAACTCTACAAGTATTTTTGCTATTTGAGGTGAACGATCTGAGAACAGAACTTACAATAAGATAGTTAACGTTGTTCAAAGAAGGTTTAAGAAAATTCAGTCTGACTCACATTTGCCTTAGCTTTTCTCTATAATTGCTCGAAAAAAATTTAATGAGTTTTATCGAGTTTAAGGAAATAGACTAGACAAATTTCTTTGCTCAGGCTTTGAACCAACGTTATAAAAAAATTTTCAGGGAAAGGCAAAGTATTTTCAATTTGTAGTATAGAGATGAAATTACAAAAAAATAAAAAGATTTTCCATTTCTTCCTAATTAAATTCTTTGAAATCATTCTTCAGTTCATAATTGGTTGGCGTTCCTATTGTACTTTTGAATTACGTTTGTTTCAAGGATGATTTTGTTCTGGAGAAAAAAAATATGGCATATGCTGGAAAGTGCTGGTAAAAAACAAAAGAATTTCCTTTTAAACATACGAAAATTGCACCTGCCGGCAATCCGTTCACCAACAAGTTATAAACCATTGAATTCGTTTGCAAAAAAAAAGAGAGAATGCTCTTAATTGAGCTCTTGACGATATAACACGGAGACGAGAAAGACAAATTTTCATTTTCAAATCAATTCAAAAATCGAGGGTGACCTTTTCTTTATACAGCCTGTAACTTAGCAGTTTTAAAAAAAACTTATGATATTAGTTAGGGAAACCGATTTTGGCGAGGCCCCAGGTGAAGGGTCTGGAACGTGTAGATGGAAAACTCTGTCATCTTTCAATTTAATACCATTTCCAAGGAATATCTTGAATATAAGTTCCTGGGGAATCGTTCGCAATTATACCAGAGCTATTATCACACAAATAAGAGGTCTTTTCAGACCCCAATCTAATGCTTTTAAATCCTTGCCTTAAAAATTCACAACTTCCTAATTTTCCTCTTTTGATATCAGTACTATTTTTAGACACCAAATTCTTAGGAGTAAATTATTTATTCAAAAGATTTTGCAAGGGGAAGTTAATGAAATAGGCTGAGTATTTCACGATAACTGACCAGATTTCAAATTGGAGGCAGGAAATTGCTAAAAAAATTAATGAAATCTTTAATTTAAATTTATTTGGGTAAGCCTCTATCTCAGATTTTGAGTGACGAATGGAAAACTAAAGGCGGTTTGAATGAAAATAATCATCATTATCAGATAACGCAGAGTAGCGTTAGACAAGGATTCGTTTGCATTTGCCAAGTTAAATACTCTTAAGATTAAGATCTGCTATGACAAGTGTTATCTTTGAATAGATAACCAGCTGATAGGGATTGCCCCCTCCTCAAAACGTGCTCATGTCCCCTTGCCACAGTTTTTTTGTTCCTTTTTTTTTCTGAAGTAAAATCGATTTTAAGCGACATATCATGAAAAGCGGTCCCTTTCAACACGAAAACTTCCGTGCGGACTCTCAGTCCTCCTCAGAAGCTTTCAAAAAAATGGCGGTTGTGTGAAGGTTTATGCTCAATAGATGTTGGAAAAAAGTTTGCACGATGCCATTAAAACTTTTGTTTTCCCTCGCCATAGTTGGATTATCTTATAAACCTTAGAGAGCATTTAATGCAGATGAGAACAATAGATACAGTTCTGCGGTGTGATTGCTTAACGGAGGCAAAATTAACAGTGATAGATAAGCTGCCGAGAGCTTGATTTGACATTGTAGGTTGGTTTTATCCACGGGCCAGGCCCCAAATCAGTCATTCTCCTCTTGAAGTCATCGGCGCTAGGCAGGTGAGATCTTCCAAATTTTACTCTTTACGGTGGCCAATTTATGTTTTCAAACCAGTTGTTAACACTAAATTACCTGATATACTCTCCCACCAACGCAGCACCACAGTATCTTTAGAAACTTACTCCCTTTACTTAGGAAATTTAGATTTGGATCCAAATGAAATCTAGCTAGTTAAATGAATATAGTAAATTATTCTCCACAGGCTGAGCAATGTTCTATCACTCTGCCAAAGTAATGGATTAAAGATTGACCATAGTACTAACTCTAAGAGCCTATTTAGGTGAGATGTGATCGGGAAATTAACGTGCCTACAAAGATATAAAATCCGCAGAGCTTCTAAAATGAGTTAACTTGACATGCATACCGCTTCAAAAGGAATATAAACCTCTGGTTCTTAATGCTTCAGTGTGTGACATTAAGCACTCAATCATAGGTAACGATTCACAAAAGTATAGAAAAAATATTTTCAAAAAAAGACTTCACTTCGCGAGCTCATTATTTGCTCAAAGTAATTTATGGTTTGTTTTAGCCTCTCCTGTATAACTCTTTCTCTTTCAAAGAGGCAGAGATCCAAAATTTAGGAAGGCACTAGAATGGAAATGCAGTTGCAGTTTTCCTTCGAAAACTCACCTTACCTATACTTACATTCAAGGTGATTCCTCAGTACTGTATTGCGTGTGCATCCTGTACTCCGCGTAAAAATTACGTCAGCAGGCGATTAAGCGCGTAAACTCGGAATTGTTTTTCAATCAATGGACCAGATAAAGAGCTAAGATGGTCTTTAGTTGTTGAACGAGCACGGTGACCTATACTTTTTATTGCATGGGTTTGGTTTATAAATTATCCCCTTTAAATTAAAGATATTTTTTTTAAAAAATCATCGAAGGAAAAAAAAAAGGAAAAAGTGTGCAAGAAGCCTGTACCGCGATAATGCAAATTATGATCTTGAAAGCAACGACTCGAGGAACGTTTTGAGTCGATGTCGTTTTAAAATTGCGCAATTTTTCCACAAATAATACACCAAATTGTTCCATGCGATCGAGACTTTCTACCTATCAAGTTTTTGTTTTCAAGTGTTACTTTAAAAACCCATGCTTCCAGCTGCAGCAAAACGTACTTGAACCGATGAAATGACGAGCTTTATAAGAGCCAGTGCAAGCATAAGAGGGGTAAGTTTGACTCGTCATATCTCATAAACCAGCACGATGATCTAGCTTATGTATTGTATTTTTCGAAACAGACAATGCTAGAGAGCATTTAAGGAAAGTCTAAAAGATATTTTTCGATATATATTTTTTTTCTGAGGAATCACTTTAAATTAACGGTAAGGCCAAGGTTTGGGAAGACTAAACGTTCACGTCTACGCGAGGAAGTTTAGTATGAGCTGTTTCAGTTGCAATTTTAACTGATCGACTAAATATCCAAAAGTCTCACAAACTCTTTAAATAACTTATTAGGGGAGAAAATCGTTGAAAAGGTGTTGGTTATTCATGGTGATGAGTGCACTTGTAATAAGGTAAAATCGATCGTTTCACAATGAAAGTCAGCGGAGGGTTTCAGCTCTGAAAATTGGAAAATCTTTACCTGGCGTTCTCTTATTCCATAGCGTTTCGATTCTTTTCCCATTTAAAGAATCTGTCGTCGTTTATTGATACAAACTGCTTTGGTAAAAACTATCTCAAAAATTCAATTCTTTTTTTGTTCAGTAAACGGTGATTACTAAGCACTTTCTGTACAACTTCGATGTGGCAAACCAGTGCGCAGAAAGCACTAGGAACTCATTTGCGGAAACAATGTCCAATATACTCTGATGCACCACTTTGAATTCTGAAAGATTAAGGGAGGCCGGCAAGTTTTTTCATCTTTTTAGATGTGAAGCGATTTCTACAGAATTCACTATCAAATTGCTCTTAGTTCGCAAATCCTTCAACCGACGTGATACCCTTTCAGCACCTAAGGAATAATAATAACAATGCTACTAATGGAAGACGTATATGGAAGTCGTTATGCGCATAGTGATTGTGTCATACGTATTTCCATTCAAAGTAAAAGACCATAGAAAAATTTCATTAACAATTGATGAACTCGACTCTCTTGAAAGCATTCAAGCCGACGAATCCCCAATTTTTTTTTCGCACAGTAAAATTAACTCTTCATTAAATATGTAACGTTATAGAGTGAAAAAAGTAAAAATCACCAAATGAAAACACACTACCTGCATGGAAAAACTCACGAAAATTAGTGACAATTTTCTTTTAGACCAAGCAAGCGGCAGAAGAGAAGAAAAGAGCTTATTTCTTGAGCCCCTTTTCACCTGTCGTATTCTCAGCAATTTACATACAAATGAAACAATTACCATTTGCATTCAGTTATTCATGAAATTAGGCTATTACTTTCTTTCAATTTCCTTGTTTTTCTGATTTCCAGAATGAGTCTTAAATTCCTCGCTGCTCTTATACCGCTCATATGTTTCACACATGCATCTTCTGAAAAAATTCCGCTGGTCATCGGCGGAGTGTTTGACATCGACACAAAGCCTGGAGATGAAAACTCTGCAAGTATGATCCCAATAGTGCGCATGGCAATAAAACATGTGAATGCATGTCCCAAAACACTGGTGAACTATGAACTGCAAATGGAAGTCAAAGACGTCAAGGTAGGAAACACGATCAATCTTAAGGATTCTCGCTACAGTTAAAGCACTTTAACTTGAAGGAAACGGTATTACTTTCTCGACAAGAGTTGATGAAGAGATAATGGTGATAGGTTACCATGCCAATAGTAGAACATGTCAAGTCGCAGCCTTGTTGCAGAGTAAGATTTTATAGTCATATTCCAAATTGTTCAAATCGTTACTTCAACTTGATCATAAAGGAAACATATGTAAATTCTCGTCAATTTTAAAGCATCTCGGTTTAAAAATATTTGGAAAGCAAATGACCTCTTATCACATCCTCAGGCAACTTATAAACTTAGTACCATAATGTTATGTTTCTTATTTGTCAAACATCTTATTGTGTCTGTATATCATTCAGTGTCAAGACTCCGATGCAATCCACGCGTTCACTGAGTTCATTCGAGAGGAGAAGAAGAAAATCATGATCTTAGGACCTGGTTGTTCCAAATCAGCAGAACCGTTTGCCAAGGCTACTCCTTTCTACAACTTGGTTCAAGTGAGTGCTAACCATATCAGATCTTCGAAAATACTTAAATTTAAAATAATACATATTTGCAACTTCCAGTTTTCCATTGGGTCAAAAATTCTCGATCAAAGTCATTATTCTTGGGAGCAAAGTATCTCACAAATTGATATCTTTGCTTTCTCCAGTTTATCCGTATAGTTTTGTGAAACTGCTCTCGTGATGCTGGACTCTTCTTTTCGGTATTTGTTGCTTTGTTCCAAGACAACACATTTCACTAGCAGCGAAATTGCGGTAATCCCAGAACTAGAAATTACGGTAAACTCATCTAACACAAAAGACAACCAATAACTCAGCCAATTAGCGATAAATGTTAATCTTCATCAATATTTTATGCTACTACAAGGTGGCTATGGCGGGAGCAAACCCAGCTCTATCATGCGCGAAGATCTTTCCAACGTTCATGCGCACCATACCACCGGAGCATTTTCAAAACCAGGGAAGAGTGGCGATCGTGAAACATTTCAAATGGAGAAGAGTGGCCATACTGCGAGAGAATATGGACACTTACCAAGGACTTTCCAACGATTTGGTCAAAAGGTTGAAAAAGGCTGGGATACAGTTGGCCAGTTATCAGACTTTCACCGGTAACGCTGAGTTGCAGATCGAAAACATACAGGTTTGATAAGAGTAACTTTAACGCGGCCTGTATCAGTTAAGCTGCGATGGCCTGTGTTAGTTGAGCACTAATTCAAAACCCTACCTTATCTTGAAATTTGATGACTTTCAGGCTTGAGCCCTTGCCGACTTTCTTGATTATTACCAAATTCCCTGCGTCAGTAATGTTTGAGTCTGCTAAAGGAGATATCCTGTTAGTGCTACTGTTCATGCCGAGATTTTTGTACAAAAGCGTCTTCTAACACACACAGCAAAAGTATGTTATAGGCGTATGGAATTACCATTTCGATGTTTCATACCTGAATTGTTAAATTCCAAGACGATGAAGAAACGTTAACAGTGTTTTTTGTCGGCGCCATCAGCAGTGGGTGTTTGAGAACTTTTTTCCTCACTAACTAACACTTTAGTTCCCCTTTTTATCGTAGAAAAACGACTTGCGAATAATTTTTGGCATGTTTTCAGAGAAAGCCGCAAGAAAAGTTATTTGCACGGTAAGTAGGGTAGCTTTGTTAACGTATCAGAGCTTGAAAATCAAGAAATAATGAATTTAGAGAGGCAATAAACAGGAAGTTCATTCTGGTCACCATAAAATGCTTTATAGAGCAAAGGTTTAAGCTTTTTTTTAACTTAGAAACTTTACCTCATGCAAAATTCATCTAACAAGTTTTCCTTGATTTTGGTTTTATGTGCGCGACACTAATGGCCAGCGGCTGCATATGACAACAACACATATTAAAAACCCTTGTGACTTCGCAATTTGCAAAATGATAGTTTTGATTGGCTTAGCCATGCATCTTAAAAGAAGTATTTCACTACGGATGGATCAAAAGTCACCCATATATTATCATAGGGTTGATGTTGACCTCTTACAATTTATTTTATCTGTATACGTAGTCGTTGGTTTTTTAATAAAACAGCTATTTCACCGCCGGCAGTCTCTGATACTCAAGAAGTAACCACAGCAAACTCATGTCTAACACTCGCTCGAGGAATACATGAAGTTATTGTCTGGAGGTAATTTCAATTATATTCAAAAAATTTTAGGCTTTTCAGAAGGGGTTTTATGGTCCTAAAGTCGTCTGGATTCTGATGGCGGGTGGGTACAGAGAACAATGGTGGGGCTACAATGATGTGAATTGCACCAAAGAGGAACTTTGCAAGGCGCTCGGGAACTACCTCAGTACCGAGGCGTTGATGATTGGAAAAGATAATCAGGATACGATTGCCAGAAAGGTACGATAATCTCATCTACTATCACAGTTCACGGGTAGAAAAGACAGACTCATATAGAAAATATTTCGTTTTTAATCAATGCGGTCTGAAATTTAGATCTATAATGTCCAGCAAAGGCAATTTGGAAGTTGAAATAGCTCGTTTGGCTACCTTTACCAGACTCAAACTTCTCGAACGTCAGAATTCTATGAGTTGTAATTTGTGTTTTTCTTTACTAAACTATAGAATTATGCTATGAATGCATGCTAACGAATTGTGCATAAGCAAGTTACTGCTTACTAATAGATTAATTAATACAATTCTTCTTAATTTGTCAATTTAGACGCGTTTGATAATTCCAATGGTAGTCAAGGTTCCGAATTCAAAGATAAAATTTGGTTTCAACAATTTACGAGAACTATGTGATTCCAAGCTTATATTTTATCACCTCTGCGAACCTTTTCGCATAATTTTTGATGGAAGAGCCTTCTATGAAGCTGTATCAAATAAATTTGATCAGTTGATTACATTAAGAATCTGCATGTTTGACTGAGTAACAAGTAAATTTATTTCACGTTTTATTCATGCATCTTTATCTGAAGACCATAGAAGAACTCAGAGCTGAGTACAAGGCAGAGCTGTCCAAGACTCCTTACAAAGAGCCCAGCCGTCATGCCGCCTTTGCTTATGACGCTGTGTGGACCATAGCCCTTACTTTGCACAGGTCTATCTCAGCACTTCAACAGCAAAACGAAACCAGAAACATGTCATTGGAAGACTTTGACTATAACAATACTGCTATGAGGAAGACATTCATGAAGGTTGCAAAAGGGGTATCATTTCAGGGAATGTCTGTAAGTGCCCTATTATATGTATCACTGTGATTCCCAGCATTTTGTTTTCTTGAAGGTCAAACTCCTTTGTTAGGTATAGTTATCGTTAGAAAACAAAGGCGATACATCATAAACGCATAAGTAATTGTTTCTTTAACGATCCATGCAACAAAAAACGAAAAAAATTGAACGGAGTGCAACTGACAATCGACACGCACATACGCGTTTTGACCTTGTTAATTATATCAGTATTAAGGATTCTTATCATAAGCTCTGTATGAAATTATTTATGGACCGCTATGTTATTTTTGACCAATTAATAAACTGTCCGAGCAGGTTGGAGGTTCTAGTCCTTATAATGGACTCTTATTACTTTTTTCCTTCCGGCACTCTCGATGACTGACTTCCATGATGAGAAAGAGAGGTAGTTGTTCATTTCCTTTTCTAGTCATGTGCAATTGGCTTGTCATTGAACTCCGAATATGTCTTGGTTCCCCAACAAGTTTTCTTTATCTTAGTTGGCAGAGCAGCTGACTGCTTTGAAGTTTCCGATCTTATCTCAAAGAATGCAAAAAGTGTTCTTCCAAGGCATTCTATAGAGAGGTTGACTTCACTCTTCGAGTCGAATTTCGCTCCATTGCCTTTTATGTTCTTCGTGGAAATACATGGGTTTTGCCGTTAGGAGAAAAACTGACCTCCGCTACTGCGATAGATGGCAGCATATACAGTAACAAGTATCCTGTTTACTATTCCAGGAATTCATCACAAATCTCGGTCATGATACTTTGTGGTCATTCTTTTGCTTTTTATGAAGAATGTTTTGCCGTTAGGAAAAAACTGCGTAATTTCTATATTTTTTTATTCCAGGAATTCATCTCTTCAGGGCTTGGTACAATTTCTATAAGAACTCTGACAGGCTAAAGAACTTGACAGGCTAACAACATTGATCAGCGTCAACGTATGTACTCCTTTAATGATGTTGATAACAAAACGAAATGATGCTTTTTTTAATTATCGTATTATTCCTCTCTACAGGTGGCGAAATGAAACGAATTGGAACTTATGATATGAAAAGGAAAGTCATCGTAGTCGATAAGAGCCAAACAGCGCAGTGGGAAGGTACTGCTCAGATGTCTTCTAGACTTTGGTAGATTTCTTTTTAACAAAAACTCTTGAGCAAGTTTCAACGATACAATCTTCTTTTATAAAACGAAAAGCGTGGTCAAAAACTTTTTAGAACTCCTCAAGTGAGCAAATAATTATGCAACAAAGAGTTTATGATTGCGTATAATAGAAATAATATCACAGGGAAACTGAATGAGAATTGCGTTTTTCGCATATTTATGTTAACCAGATAAAAAGGTTCCAGCCTGCAGTATCAAAAAAATCCTTGAGCCACGGTACCTTCCCAAGAGTATGGTATTTACCATGGATGGATTGTGCGTGCTCGGGATCCTCTTTGCGGCAGGGCTCTTCTTTTTCAACTTTAAGTATCGAAATGTCAGGTAGAAACTCTCCATTGCACTATTTTCTTATTTATTCACTTATGCTACGTTATCTCTCTAAATTTAATAGTTCAGAGGAAAACTTATTCACAAAATTGAATTAATCCACTGATAGGCCCTCTTGGTTCTGCCAAATGATATTACCAGCTAAACTTAATGTGTCAAGAGAGCATCAGAATACAGAAGGAGACCAGGTGAAATGAAATCTGGCGCAGAAAGGAAGGCTTCTAATCCAGGCCCGTCACTTCCATCAGATGTATTCATATATAGGTCTTAAGAATAGAAGCCTTTTCCTGGTTGTGTGGGCTTAAAAGATTTCGGAAGGAAAATAAAAAGGATTTATTTAGCGGTTATTCACAGTGCAGATGTCGTGGGAAATAAATTTTTGCCTCCACCTAAAACTGTCATAACTCAAGTGGCCAGGACAAATCCTAGCTCAGCCAATGTCTAATTGTTTATGTCTTTTGAGAACTAGAAAACCAAATTTTATAAAAAGAATAAGGTTTCGTTGAATTATCTCTGGTTGAAAGACTGAAATAGTACTAACTGCAATACCAACGGCAAGAGACTTAAATATTCACGGTTCTGCATTTTGCAAATCAAGATAAGAAGGAAGGTAAATTTAGTCCTTAGGGATAGGGTGGAGAAAGCAACATCTTTGTTCTCCTCGTTTCGGTGATTATTGCACATTGCTAGGTTTATTGAGTGAGTAGGTCTGTTCAGGGACATTTGCAAGGGTTTAAAAACTGTTGAGAAAATTCTTACCACTACTTTGCTCTCATTCTCAGTTTAAAACTGGCTATTGGATTTTTCTGAAGTCGCCTAGGAGATCGGGAATTCTCTTAAATCAACCTTACTTTAATCATATATTTAGACACACATGAAACACCGTAACAATCGTTCATAATCAGTTATTAAATGCTTATCTCTGCCTCCAGGTATATTCGAATGTCCAGCCCGAATATGAATAACATTATTATTCTGGGATGTGTTTTGATCTACATTTCTGGAATCCTTTTCGGCATTGACGCAGAAATTGTCTCAAAGAAGACCCACGAGAAAGTGTGTCAGGTATGACGTTGCAAATTGAACTAAAGGGAAGTGAGGAATGAGTAGAAGTACATTAACAGTCTAATGCACGGTGAAGGCGAATGCCTAAATCACAATCGTGTGATTGGTTAATGATGTGGTACGAGCTTTTTTGGACCAATCGGAAACCGGGATGAGTAAAGCAAAAACAATGCAATCCCGGACTACTTTGGACAATCGTTAAGATATTTGGAAATTTCGTGGATGAAGGAAGAATTCACAAGTGTAACGTTATTGAGACAGAAAGCTACACAGTTTTGAAGTGGTCTGCATGCAAAGCCAAAACTAGAAAAGAAGGAAAACAGTAGTTTAAAGATTTCGAAATACCAAGTAAAGAGTGAGGGTGTAGGTTTTTGTGGAGCATTAGGCAGTTCTCGTTCAAATGAGTTATTTATTACCTATTTACTCTTTCAAATTATGTAGACTAGTGCATGGACGGCATCATTTGGATTTACCATGGCTTTCGGTGCCTTATTCTCTAAGACATGGAGGGTTCATCGCATTTTTATGAACAAACTTAAAAAAACGGTAAGTTGTTGAATATCAATCAATCGGATCATTTATTTTTCTCTCAAAGTCATGAGACGACCACGATTAAATTTTGAAGCTAAGAAGCGGAGGGGTCATCTTGGAGTGCAATAAGCCTCTTCCGGATGAAAAATAATAATGAATGACGATGAGGATGATTACAAAACCAGGTATCCTTCCGAATTCTATGAGGGGGGAGGGGGGGTTTAAAAAATCATTTCCTTGCCTCCATAATTCTGATGAGCACAAGCCTAAGATAAATGTACCTTAAAGATGAATGCAATCAGCCCAGGTTAAAAATAATACGAATTTCATAGGAGAGCACGGCTTATTTTGAGCAACATTTATCATTTGTTCAATCCCCTGCTTTAGGTGATCCAAGACTACCAGCTAATCATTGTGGTAATTCTTCTCCTGATGATTGACGCCTGCGTCCTTTCCACCTGGCAAATACTGGACCCCATATATACCACTTCTAAGACCTTCCCAAGGAGGGTAAGCCTCGTCTATTTCTTTCCGTACGACTTCATTATGAGTCTTTTTTTATTTTAATGAGAAACTTTTTTCACGTCATTGAATTCAAGTTTGAGAAAAACTTAAAAGTATAATTGAATGCTCCATACATTTAAAGCATTGACATTGCGCCCAAAGTAAAAGGTTGTTACCTGAATAATTAATTCTGATGTTTCAAGATGATTTTAATACGTTTTCCATAAATCCTTTTTACATATGTACAATGCAATACATCTGCTTTGTTCTTCTTGTCCATGTGGAACAGAGACAACTAGTAGTCCAGTTTAAGCCAATACTTTACCTTTTAAAGGAGTTCGTAATTTTTCTGCATTCAGAGTAATATAATTATAGCAAATAGAAGTATCACAGATGACAAACGTAATGGGCGTAATTATCAAATATTTCAGATTGACCAAGACGGTGACATTGCCATTTACCCATACCAGACCTTCTGCACTTCAAAACATGAAAACTTATGGACAGGTTTGCTATATGGTTACAAAGGCTTCCTTCTGCTATTCTGCACCTACCTGGCATGGGAAACTCGCAAAGTCCATATGCCAGCGCTAAACGATTCCAAGCAGATCGGCTTTGCTGTGTACAATGTGTTCATTCCTTGTGTCATTATCATTCCTATACTGAACCTACTGGGGAGTCACAGCGATGCAGTGTACTTGTTAAGCACTTTGCTGTGCCTTTTCTGTACCACCATCACTCAGTGCCTGATCTTTGTTCCAAAGGTAACTACAAGGAGCTACCTACTTTTCGCAATCTAAGGCAGGAGGCAAAACCAAAATTGTAAAAAAAGTTTCCAATTATAGTGAATTTATATTATGGAGGGATTGGATACACTTCAAATGGTTAAATAATCTCATTTCAAGCGGCATGTTAAGGTACACTGTACCGTCAACAGAAAAGTCCGGAGACGGAGCGTGGCACGTTCTTTACCTTCAGGAGGTCATACGCTACCGTTTTAAACCAGTTGGGACTTTTAACCAAGTCTACTTTTTGTGAAATTATTCCAATGTCGCTTTCTATGATTGTCGAGGATAGCAACAGAGTCTAGCAAGTATTATGCGTTGGCGTTACATATTAAGTCTCAGAGATCTGACAAGAATGAAGAATTCGAAGTAAATGCAGGGTGTATAAAATTAAGTACTTTTCTTGCACTGCATGATGATGAATTATCACCATCACCGCGGTTAAGCAACTCTAATTTCAGGCAAAATTAGTTTTCCACGAGAGGCTAAGCACCTCCTCAGGTTTCGAAGAAAACTTGCTCTGACTGGGTCAAAACAGCTCAGAACTTCAAATTGCCTTGTAGAGAGTTACTATAAATATAAACAGGTTCAGGTTAATTTGGGTAACTTATTTGATTATTTGACAGATTTTTGCGATGAAACGCACAAATGGTGACCCGTCTAGTTACGAGAAGGGTTCACTCTCTTCTGGCAGTACCGTCGACAGCAAAATTTGCCCATCATCTTCAGCAAAAAGCCTTGATCATAATTACAAAGCGGAGAAAACAACCTTTCCACCACATGCTGGTTAAAAACATCTTTACATTTTGGTGAGTATTTCATATGAGCCCAAAACAGATAATGTTTTTGCATGTCGGCTTTGCTCAATGAGGCTTTTTCTGTCGTTTAAGTACTGTTTATAAAGGTTAAAGTCATCTAACTATATAGAGTGTGGAGGATTTTTCAAAACTAATTCATGGCTGCGCTGAAAAGTTGATCATATGCATGCAGGTTAGATTGGATGAGAGACATGTATGCCTTTTTTTTTTTTTTTTTTTTGTTTCATTTTGTCTCGGTTGCTTTCCTTGCTTGGTGGAGATTTTTTGCTTTTTACAAGGTTTAATTGCAAAAGAAGAAAAAAAACTCTCTATATGAATTATAAAAAGAAAATGAAAACAAAACAAAAGTGTTAACTAGTGACGCAAAGCCTCCTTTATTTGCCGGTCGGCGTTTGTTTTTGTTTGTTGTTGTTCTTGTTTTATTAGCTTTTGATAATTTCAACAATGATGAAGCCTCGAGATAATAAAATCGAACGTGGGCAATCTAGAACACGCGTAAAGAAACACCGGACACTTCGAAACACTATGGAGGTGAAAATGTCGGTGGGAGATGGCAACACCGTGCAACGGTCACCTCACTTTTTTGAAATTGATATATAGTTCGTTGATATCTCAACCTAAAAAAGGAGAATAGTTGCATAAAAAATTTTTGCCATCTTTGACTCTTTTCCACTTCCAGGAACCACGTCACCATGGAGGTACTTGCTCTATCTTCTCATGAATACAGTTTCAGCAATAATAATAAACAACCTAATTGCTATGTATACCGGATGGGAAATAAAATGAATGGAAAAATAGAGAGCGTCTGAGTAATTGTGTTTGGAAGTACAAGGTACGGCGAGTCCGAGAAAGATTTTTTCGGTAAAGAAGGCCTGAAAAAAGACCCTGGTGAAAATGAAAGTTGTATATTTAAATTTGCTGGGTAGTGGTGGTTTCAGTAGATAATGTCAATGCTTTTACTGTGTCATCTACGCTTTACTGACACTACGCTCTACGTTAAAAGTGTTTGTCCGAGGTGTTTGAACGTTTGTCACGTTATCGATAGCGGATCTTCAAACTATACCCTTAAGCAATATCTAAGCATTAGTGGACCATAAGGCAACTCACAATAATAGAAATTACAATAGCATAGTTCGTGGGCCGATTTGTGACTGAAATCTTCAGAAATTTTTTAGTTTCTTTTACTGTTTAAATTTTTCCACCCTTTTCTCTCAGTTTTTGAGACGAAGTTCACTGATGTCCATAATATTCGCTTTGTAAAATGTATTCTCTATACAAGGCTAAAAGGTTAAAAAAAAAATCCAAATGTTTAAACCAAACGTTTTCGGCTGTTTGCCATCATCAGAGTTAAAAAGGTGACCGTCCACAGCGTCTGAAGAGTAACTTTGAGCTGAGTTGTGGTAACTTGTTGTTGGTGTAGATTTCATGAATGATGTGGTCAATGGTTTCATGGAGCGGAACTTCAGTAAAGAGAGAGGACACATCATATGAGACCAATACTTCATCATCATCAACAGTTCTGTTACCTAGACGCTCAGCGAAAACGTTTGGTTTAAACATTTTAATTTTTTTTTAACCTTTTAGCCTTGTATATAGAATACGAAGTTCACTGAGTTGACGAAATCTTCATTTGAAGAAACTCAGTGTAGGTACGTGTGATATTGAAACGTTTGAATAACGTAGACGCTCCTTAGAGAAACAGCATCAAGGGCGAGGGAAATAATTTATAAAGTTGGTGAATTTCGTCGAAGGTGCGAGCCATCTAAAATTAAATATTAAAAATTCCTGCGAAATTCTCGACGAAATATCACTTCCACACGATGTGACCTCAACAATAGACACATACACGTATTGTGTACCTATTATTCAAGATTGCCGCCATCTCTTATGATTGTATATGGTTACTTTGAACTTACAAGAATGTTTGTGTAGTTATAAGTTATTTAGCTTTCTTTAGACTTCATATCCACTGATAAGCGCCCGGTAATAACGAAAATGGCTGCTTGAGATTGAGTAGCCAGAACTAAAACGTTAAAATTTTATACAAGCCACACATACAGATATTTTATTTTATGCTCGGAGAAAAAAAATTGTCAATTTCTATCTGTAAGTGGCTGCCACGGTCAGTTTCAAATCATGGGTGGGGAGATCAAACGAGGAGTAATGACTTAACGAGTCTTTTATTTCGGGAAATCTTGGGGTTCCTTGTTCTTTGAGAGAATATCCTTGTTCCTGTAAAGGTAAAAGAAATAATAAGAGAAATATTAAGAGCTAACGATGACATACAACATTGTTTTACATTAGACTTAAAATGAAATTTCGGATTGGTCGTGGGCATACAGCCAATTTACCATAGCGAGTGAATTCGAAGTTGAAATGATAACCCACTACATATCTGCAGCAGGTGTTGGGTAATCAGATCGAGTTCAAAGTTTTCTTAGCCCCCGTCCGTGGGGGTTAATTATAGTTGCTTACTTAGTAGCTTGTGAGCTGTCCATGTCATGAATCAAAGCCAGTGAAGATTTATCCTGCTAGAAGAACGCACTTTGGTTACCAATTTTGAGCACGCATATACACGATACCTTAAATAAGTCACTCTCAAAGTACTCCAAAGTTATCATAAAATACAAAATGAAAACAGATTTTTTCGGTCAGTTTATGTCAAAATTTGATAACACATTAAGCGAGAATTCCCAAACAACAAGTACCCTTCACTTTAACTGCCTGAATAGTCTACTGAATAGGATGAACTGCTTTTGTCTCGCATTTGTTTTCTGTATTCAGAGAAATCCGACTAAATTAAAATCCTCGAGTCCGTAGCTCACCTCTCTTTGTCCACTCTTGACACTTTGTCCATCCGGGGTACCTCTGTGAGGATAAACAATAAAACAAAAATAGGTCAGCTATACTAAGGCCACATCAGGAACCATTTTTTATTAGGTAAATATATATGAAACCATCAGAACACATATGACTGCGTCGTAGAATATATATTATGTCTATAATTTATACCAAGACATTAAATGCTTCAGGTCTTCTATTTTTAAAGTCAATTTCATACCATACGAACACGTGCATGTATGAAAAGAATATTTAATGTAAACCAAGCTTTTCATCTTCTTCACAAAGATTTGAAATGTATGCGGCGCCATTATATTGCCATTTAACTGATGCGTACCTTTCGAGTGCTTTAGATTTCATTGGAGTGGAGCTACTTGCGGTTAATGGTGATCTGGACGAACTTGGCAATTCTAGGAAAGTGCCATACGGTAAGCTGATTACTCGAAAATGGAACTGTTAGTAGGGGTGACACTCCCGTCATCGTCCATTATGTTACACGGGCATGGAGGTTTATGACAAATGTGAAGAAAGCTTCCTTGTGACATAAATTATTATGTAGTAAAATCAAGCATGAAATTTCCTAGAGTAGTATCAATACAAAAAAGTCCAAATTTTTATGGAACAATATTGTGCCTCATATAGTCACAGCTTAGTAAACTAGAAACTCTGAATGCAGCTAAAGATTATCTGAAGGGAATCTCTTCCTGCAGTGATTTTCCCTAGCACTTGATCGACGCCTGAAAGGGTCATGATTGGTATGTGAGGAGTTGTTCAAGGCTTTTTTTTTTATGCTTAGTGGTGTCTTTCTTGACCTTTCGTGAATCTGTGTGATTCCAGGAAGTGGGCGAGACTGACCTGAGGGACCGTGAGCCTCCACTTCTTGGAGTGACCTTTGGAAGAATTGTACAGGTTCATTTTTCTTTTGCTGGGATCGTTTGGGTAATGGTCTTATTCTTGCTTCCTGTTGTGTTCCAAACCAAGGTGGCACGTTTGACTGCGTTAGCCTATTTTCCTGGGATGGTCCCGCAAGGACGGAAAAAGGACGCTGCTTCGTTGTTACGTTGGTTTCTGAGTGAGGAGATGGGATGTACCATGTGACCTGCTGAGTTACTTTAGCATGTGGCCTGCTGTGCACTTTTGTTGTCTCGTTAGAGACTGAAGCTTGTCCTGCAGGGACATCCGTTGATCATTACGCGATAGCTCTAAATTGTGAGGTATTGTTCGTGCATTAGGTCTGCGAGTGAGAGCTGGCGGTGAGCAAGATGGATCAGTTCGGTTAATGTTGATAGAGCGGTGCTCCTGTGCTGGATCTACCCTAAAATGAAAATAAAATAACAGAAATAAAATAAAATAAAATAACAACTCCCCAGACAGTTTACCTTTCATACTCCTAGGTATTGTGACTGTCATGTTCCTTGCCTTAGACTAGTGTCCTGGAGTCCAGCGCGTTCACCGTTTGGCCACGGTCACGGTCTCCTACCAAGATAACCGAGCCGCGTAGTAAAAAGGTCACATTATAACTATAAAAACGAAAAGAAAAGAAACAAACAGAACGAAAGAAAGACATGGAAAAACATGTCATAGATTTCGGAACGAGCAGGAAACGAGTTTTCTGCTATGGCAGTTGCCTCCGTTAACGTTCCATACCAGATTCGGCGGAGACGAATTGCGCAAATTTAGTTCAGAGTGATTGTGATTAATACAAGTTATTAAGCGAGTGTAAAGTGAAGATGAATGAATGTTGACGGAAGCATTCAAAGTCCAGAAGAACACAAACTAAAGGATGGTCAACACGCAGCCATTTTGAACTTATCTGCTAGGCTAAAGGATTTGTCTTTTGCTTATAAAATGATAGACCTACAAAGCAGGATAAATATTCATCACCATAGCGGGAATTTACTTAACTCTTCACCAACCTCCTTTGATTAAAATGATACTTACAACCGAGGGCTTTGATCATCAATCGTAAGCCTGAAGTGCTCTCTCTCATGACCCAGCCAGAGCAGCTGGCACCAGTGCTGAGTAATTCCTGAGCCGAAATGTTAGCATATGGTTCAACAGCTCTTGCCATCTACAACGAAGACTTTATGAAGCCAGCAGTACAAAATGGGGGAATACCCCGATAAGGCCGGTAATACAGGAAACACGTGAACGAGATGGTAAGAATAAACTAGAAAGAAACGAAGGTTTCTCAGAATGAGGAAGACTTAAATGAGTTGTAAGCAATAACATTGAAATTTATGGCCAAATTTTAATCTTTACAAATCGTTCCAAATCATTTAATAATCTATTGAACTTGGGAGTATCTCGCCATGTTTGATTTGCTCTAAAGGAGAGTTAAAGCTCGAAACATCAGGTTTAGAATATCGTTTCGATTGCTAATTTGTACAATAAATCCCACCAAGCGGTTGATATGTCGGCCGAGAATTGAATATTTGGCGGAGCTTCGAAGGCAAATGTAAGATTTTGAGCAAATATTTCTGCCAAGGACATTATCAGTCGAAAAATCAGCGAGTCAAAGGGAGTTAAATAATTTTATAATCTACTCTAATTGTTCCACTAATTGCCGTGTCGCGCGTTGACAGCACATTTTGTTTACGTTTTTGTAATTTTCAGAGTAGTATTTGAGATCAGTTTTTAATGTCACTAGCACAAGACTCTTCCTTCAATGTAAGGTAACAAAGATGAAAAAGTGAAACTCTTGATAAGGCTCTTCCCGTTAGCTTTGTTCTTTTCGACGGAAATAATCGGAAGTCAAATATCGATGTGACTGAGGGTTAATGTGAGCCGGACAACTGTCCGGTAATTTTGCACCAAGTGACGTATTTGAGGCAATAGAATAACCCGAAAAATTAATGGTGGGCTATAATTTTTATAATCAAATCAGTCGACAAAGCAAATTATCCCGAAATATCCCGCAAAGACACAGCACCACAGCCTTAAAGAAACGGTTTCTTTAAAATAATTTCTTTCATTGTCCCACTGGTTTCGTTCGAAGTCAAGTCTGTTAAAAACCCAATTGACAGGAAGTCGATTGACCCAACGCTTTCATTACTAATGTAATTAGAAATTCACAGTAGTTTCGAGTTTATTTTCGATACATCACTATTCCTAGTTGTCAGTGACGAATTTTAGGTGCTCTAGGTGAAGTCAACGATTCGCACTCAAAGCATAAATTTTCCAGTTAACTGAACGAGAGTCATTGGTCAATTATTCAGCAATAAAATTCAAGTTCAGCACTGCCGTGATCCATATCGTTTACTTTAGCTCATGATCCCAAAGATCAATCAATCAAAATAGAAACAAAAGCTACAGACTATTGCCAACTAACTGGCAATCGTGTGCAGCTCATAAAACAACCAATTAAGACAAAAAGTACAATAGAAACAAACGGTATTGAAAATATATTATTTGAAAATTTCGTACGGTCCGTTATCATACATTGAGTGCAAAGTTTATAACTTGTTTTCCGTAGTCACGTGTCCCAGAACCTTTGTTGGCAATATGTTAGGCCAAGAGATAAAACCTGTGATAATTTCTCGACCAGCCATAAAATAATTACGAGGCAGAAATGGAGTGAAGAAGTTCTTTAGTCTATCACAGATAGTTGTTGTACAATCTAGCCAAGACCAAAAAATTTAGGGGGACCATTGTGTGATGGAGAAAAGAGACACATGAAGAAATTGAGTAGAGAATTAATTTACGCTGCACTCCATTCTGATGTGAATGATACCGCCAAGTCCAAGGAACCAAACTCGAAAAACAGCAGTGGAGGGCTGGTGCTCCTAACACTGCCCCCATAATACGAACTTCGTTTGGGGAACGCCCTTCGAGCGGACACTCCCATATGTGCACAGAGTGCCCTGGATAAGGGTTCCTCAACGAACGCACGACATAGGAACTGTAAACTTGATAATGAACATTTCTTGAGTTGGATTAATATTGCTGTACACTTATATCATATTTCTAAAAAATCTAAACCTACACGCGTACGGGCTTTCTGAATGCTCCTCTATTGTAGTCTACTTAATTGGTCGTCTGTCCACTCCGTAGACAGAGGAGCAGGTCCGAAATTATGTAAACATAATTAACTGTAAACTTGATAATTGAAATTTCTTGAGTTGGATTAATATTTCTGTGCAGTTATGTCATATTTCTAAAAAATCTAAACCTACACGCGTACGGGCTTTCTGCATGCTCCTCTATTGTAGTCTACTTAATTGGTCGTCCACTCCGTGGACAGAGGAGCAGGTCCATAATTATGAAAGACCTAGATAAGAAAGTGAGTTACAGCTATAAAGTAAATATTTCGAAGGCTGCGCTGCGCCTTCAGTCTTCGTTTGTACAAGAGAAGAGCATAAACAAGAATTGTCATTGCTTGCAATCCTAACAAGCACTCGATTTACTTAAAGGCATTTTTTTTTTTTTTTTTCAATTTAAAAATCTTCTCCAGTCACGTCGTCTGCACTGATCATGATCGGTGAGGCCTCGTGAGTTTTGCGTCACACTTAGGCAGATTGAAGTCGTGGTAATGCTCTATCATTTCCTCTAGTTTATCAAATCTTGGCCCCTCAGGTTGCAGAGCGTACCCTTGATTCTGTGAACGAGAAACGTCAAGTTTAACGATTTTGTGAAAAGAAGAAAAAAACGATGTAATTCTAAGATTTCCTCGGTTGTTCTCTCATACCTGATCATGGAATATCACATAATGACGGATTTGGTCACCAGTACACACCGATAACGCCTGCATAAAAGAAATAACTGCTTATAAGGAAAGTATCCTGTTTCGTTTATTTTTGAGCTTGATACATTATGTATTCTTAAAGGTGGTGGTATGCGTGAGTGGTTTGGGAAGATGGTAATCTGATTGACCCAGATTTAATTCTCCCGTTGAACTCGACCCGATTGTCCCTCTGCCTTTCCGAATCCAGTTTCTCTGCTGTGACTTGCAAAAAACTAGAACATTTGAGTCAAATTTTCAGAAAAAAAAAATTTAATTACGTTAAGAGCGGGTTGCTAATACAAGGCATGAAACCATCAGTCTACTGAGAATGTTAGCCATTACAATACGTGAGCTTTGGTAGCAAAGGGCAGTGTGTACAAATGGCAGAAAGGTAATCAACACTACGTGAGTCCGTGAGTTATAAAAGGTCGCCTCAAATTGAACTGCACTACTCTGAAAACTGGCCTATTATTACCAAAATGAGCAATGTTTAGGTATAAGAATTTGTTGTTTTTTATTATCTTACATCATAAGACACTCAGCCAAAGCTGTTCTTTTCTAATAAAGTTTCAAAGTGAGTCACCTTTGAGGCTAGGGAGAGCATAAATAAAGATAACCTACGTGTAACCGTACCCCCCCCCCCTCCTCACGCCTCCGTTTCATCTTGCGGGGGGAGGTCGCGCTTACACGAAGACCAAAAGAAAGATTGAAGAATTATATATGTTCTTACCATCTTTGACCTTGTAGTTTGGCTTTTACGCAGAATATAAACGCCATGTTTGTTCTTAAGAAGGCTACAGCAAGAACAAGAAAAACAAAAAACAATGCTTCTTGTAAGTGAATTCAGATCGCTATCGCAAGCAGTTCTCAAAAATTTGAACCTCTACATAAAAAAAAGAGAAGCGAATTTTACTCACGAACTGGCCTCCGGCTTGTCTACGTCACGTAGCAATGCTGAAGTTGGAAAGACTCCCTACAAGTGAGGAAGCTATATCCTTAAAACGATGCATAAAGAGGGAATCTACTACATACACTCCAGGAGAGGCTTTTCGCTTCAGATGGAGTTCACATCCTTAACAGAAAGAATACCTCCCCATCTTTTACAAGTTCGTTACTCAGGTAACACTTGGAAGTTCAGCTAGAGCTAAATTTTTAGCCAAATCTCTCGACTGTTTATTAGATACAGTAGATAGAACTGAAGGATTGAAGTTCTCACGTTCGGGGGGCTCTTGATCAACAGCGAAAGCTAATCTTCTACTCAAATGTCTTTCTTCAACGAGACAAAATAAGTCATAAGGCTACAGGTGTCGATATTTTGCTTTCTTATCATGAGATATGCCCAGCCGTAAAAAGTTTAGTCTGTGCACGATCGCAGTTATCAAAGATGAAACGAACTCGTAAATTAACAAAAAAATGGGGAAGAAATAAATCGTTAAAATATCGAGAGTTCCACTTCTTAACAATGATAGAAATGAGACCCATTAAGACGACCATCGATAAACTATAAGAAACTCAGTTATAATGCGTTGTTTGTGATGTAAATCAAGTTTAACTGCAAAATAATATTAGCCTTTTGAACGTTGTGCTCTAAAAAAGTAGATTTTGATTTGTAGTATTAGGGAGCACTTTTATTTCGCGGCACAGAACATACCATTGAATTAATTATGGAAAATGAAAGTACCAGAAAATAAACGTAGAAAGCGAAATATTTACCCTAATAAATGCGAGCTAAATCGTGCTCCTTTCTCATCTTTACAAGCATGCACTTTCTTTTAAATTTTCCGATCAAACAGCTCTTTCAGAGTGCCTATGGAAACACAAGCCTATCTAAAAACACAAAATGACATTTTAGAAACTCACTTCCTTGTGTTTGACTTTAAAGCTTTGTCCATCAGGGTCACCTCTGTTACAGACAAAGACACCATCAATGCATATATCATCGATTAGGAAATTTACCCTGGATATCTCTTTTTGCATTTGCTTACCTTCCGAGCTTCATTGGTTTGCGAAGAGGTGCTGAGCCAGCTTTAGGAGGGGATGGTAAAGCGGACGCAGAGCCTGAAAAGCAAAATTTTTTAGAATTAGTGAAAACTCTCTCTCTCCTGAACTATTTGTCATTACAAAGGTTTAAAGGGCCTGGGTCAAGAATTTTTAAGTATCTTTTGGCGCTGCGTACGCAGCAACAGTAACAAAATTAATATACACTTAATCTTACTTGGGTGCATAATTACATACAAAGACTGCATCCTCCCTTATGGCCCCAACACACCGAGTAACATCCATAACAACACTGAAAAATACTTTTATTAAAAGGATCAAACAAAAACACCCGTGGAGACTAAATTAAAAAAAATAGCCTTCCTCCCGCTCATAGAAGGTTACGAAATTTAGCTTCACATGAAAATACGCCAAGAAAAAGGGGATGGCAAGAGTTGGGCGATGCAAATGACTGGCTTGGAAAGTATCAGCCTATTTACAAGAAAAAAGGTGAAGCAGCCTCTTTTACCTCCGATTTCTAATAGGCTAATGCTTAGAATCCCTTAAAAGCAATATAGCCGTAGTTACATTCAAAATCCTTGAGTTAAAGAGATTGCTATCGAATTTCCAGTTTGCCTTTTCCTTTCAACGTAAGAGGAATATGTTACCTCTTTTACCTGTAGGATTTACCACGGCTTTTTGAAGTTGATTAATTACGCCCTCAAGTCTCTGAGTTGTTAGACCTGGTGAATCTGACGAAAGTCCTGGAAATCTCCCCCTTGTTGCTGGGCTTGATTGTCTAGGCGGCACAGGTGGGAGAGGCAGTGTTGCGGGCTTCGGATCAGAAGTGGGTCTTCTTGCAAATTTTGGTTTCTCCTGTTCTGGAGGGGGAGGCAATGGCTTTTGCGATATATCAGAAGGGGAAGGCAATGGCTTTTGCGATGTATCAGGAGGGGGAGGCAGTGGCTTTTGCCGTAGATCAGGAGGGGAAAATGAACAAGAATGAGGGCATCTAGTCCCCTGAAGAGGCGCAGGCCGTCGTTCTCTCGGTTGGAATGTTTGGACACGACTTAGTCGTTTGGATGATATGTCATCGTCGATAGAACAGTATCTGTCGGCGTCTTCTACCCTGTAAAGCAATATACATTTCACAGAAGACTTCAAGATGTGTCAAGAAAATCAGTCTCGATTAGTTTACTTACAGATGATTTATAAAGGAACATGTGAGGGAGCGCGACGCAGAATATGAAGAAAAAATATATCATGTTTGAATAGTTTATTTTGACTAGGATTTTACAGATCTCTAGCGCAGTCAACATGGACTCGATAGTGCATCGTTCATTTATCGTCAGTTCTTGATAACTTAACATACACAACTGAAGCATTTTACTCTTTTACTTCAACGCCGCCTCCGTCACCTACCACGATGAATCACCGCAATACTTTTCCATGTCTCTTGCAATAGCGTCTTGCCATTTCTGTCAAAAATCAAACAGTTGTAATTTTCACCCATAAGAAGAATTGCCAAAGCTAAATTGAATTACATTAACAAATTTATTCCTCAAGGCATACAGGCAGTATCACGGACGGCTAATTCAATTTGATGTCTAAATGAGCTATCGTGGTTTTATTAAATTGACTCGGTCTGAACTCGAATCGAAATTTCGACATACGAAAACTAATTTGGAGTCTGAAACGGGCCAGAATGTGTGGGTTGGCTTTTGATTGCATCGCATGGTATTCCTTAAATTGGTAGTTTCAACCTACTGTTTTACAGCTGTGGAAATTCCTGCCTGCGTGGCTTGTCCAGGTTTCCATCGAGTTGCGGCAACGTTTCATTATTAAGTTGTCGTTGTTCTTTGTAAGTTGGTATAAAAGTACATTTAGCTATAACAAGTTTAAATTTTTCAAGTTGTCATGTGTTGAGACAGTTGTGATGGCTACTTAACACTTGCCTTCAGATCAAAATCTGTATCCACGGCGAACACCAACGTCTTGACGTCAAATGTATGAATCAGTTTGAAAACCCACGAGTACTTAGATTTCTTAGGGGCATTACACACTCTGAAAGAATATAGAGACAGTTGACTTTTTGCGAACTTCTAGCAATGGAAATACCCAATTTGATTCTTAACCCCTACATCATTAAATTCTCGTATAGGTACAGTGGAACCTCGTTTTAACGAAGTACCAAGGGACTGCGGAAATTAGTTCGTTATATAGAGGGTTCGTTATATCAAAAAGCTCGTTTCACAAAGTTGCGGAAAAACAACAAAATGTTTTGTTATATCGAGGGATGGTTAATACTTGTTGTTTTGCTTTTTTGTTTGTTTGTTTGTTTGTTCGTTTGTTTTGTTTTTTGGTGTGACATCGCGCTACCCAGCATTTTAAGATCACCGATTTTAAGATCACCGATTACCGTAAATATATAACATTTGCGCTTTAATGTCTGTATGAAGATGCAGTGCACTGTACAGGTCTGTACATAGCTACAGCACCTTGTTTTTAAAGCACGAAGGACAAATCTCCGTGGAAGTCACTGGCAAGCGGAGAAAGACAAGGAGGATAAAGCGGATCTGTAGATGAGTCGATGGTGTTGGTGCCGGCATTCATAATGAGCAGTTAACTTTGAAGCTGTTCTATTGCTACAGATTGAATGATTTTGATTCTTGTTAGTCTGTTTCGCATTTTTCTTTTGTCACGTTTTGACATTTGTCCGTTATTTCGGTGTATATTATACGTTTGAGCTTCTGGGTTGTGTTCTTTATAAGAAGATTACGTTATATCGAGGTTCTGTCCCATACATTTTACTATATCTTTAGCCGGGCCAAAGAGTGTCGTTAGTTATACCGAGGACTTGGTGTAAAAGAGGTTCGTTACATCGAAGTTGTACTGTACCTGAAGCTGCTGAGAGGGACTGCCTCACAAAAGTTTTGGTCGTCGGAATGTCTAAATAAGTACAGACATCCTTTACTGAGGATCATATAACGCCAGGGCCCTAAAACGAAAAACAATGTTTATATGTTTTCTTCGTAGTGGAAGTCGCTATATTAAATAATAGATTCCAAGTTACCTTGCAGCAAATGTAACTACTGTATTACTGGAATTTTTTAATTTGTTCTAGCCTGATATTTTTACTTGAATTGTCGTAGTATTTTTGTCGGCTTACTCTTTTTTTGTTTACTGTCATGCGTCTTATACATGACCCTCTAGCTTTGATACACAGGACTACCTGATCTCACGCATTAACTTTAATAAATAACCTGATTGATTCATTGATTGCGTCTGTTCAGTAATAGATCACCGATGGCGTCAAAATGTGGTAAGAGGAAAAAAGTGGCACATGAAGCGCAACCGAGTGTGTCACTAATTTTCTGACGCATCTTGACGTTTTCTGTGATCTATTAGCGAAGAAACCCACGGAAACATGAAATCTATCTGTTTTGCATGGTAAAGAAGAAAATTTGTTAATGATTTCATCAGTGCGTCTGTCCTCCATCATCGTTTGTAAGAACCAATCAAAACACGTGCATAATTCAGCTCAATCTTACAATCTCAATCTTACAATAAAAAACATGAGCCGATGGAAAACTCTTTTCCTTCAAGCATTTCCTCGCTGTATTTTTATGCCATTATTCATAAGGATGATGGAGTTTCTTGTGACGTTTCTATTCTAGTTTTGAGACTTTCTCAGGTTATCCTTTCATTTTATTAGTTTGTTTTTCTGTTTGTTTGTACGTTGGTTTTCTCTTTTTTTGCATTTTTGTTCTATTTTTTAAAATGTTTGTGACTTCCAGTACTTACAGTCAAGTGCTTTCACCATCGATCGTATCCCTGTCTCCTCCTTTCTAACCCATCCGAACAACCCGTGGGTATTTCTTAGCAACTCTTGCGCTGAAATGTTAGCAAATGGTTCGACAACTAGGGTGGAATGTGTTATGTTTGCTACCAATTGGTTGCCTATAATAAACACAGTTATTTCATATTAGCTATATCAGCTCAAACGGATAAATATTGCAGTATGCAGTAAGCCCGTCAGATATGAACTTAGTCCATGGTCCAGCTCGCCAATGAGTTACCTGCGGCTCAGTAGGTAGAGCATTCAACCAGGACATCTGATCGAGGTTTGCATCATTCTTCGTTTAATTAAAGATGCTGAATGCTTTCATTTGTTTTTGATCGCTTTCATCATGAAGGTGCAGGACACATAACAGAGCGAGGCTTTAAGGCAAGTTTGCCCTTAAGAGTAAAGTATCTTGCCCAAGAACAAAACACATAGTCTCAGCCAGGTCTCGAACCCGAGCCTCTCGACACGGAGTCCACTACAGTACACTGATCATTAAGCCACTGCGCCTCCCACAATCGTAAGGAATTACAAGATCAATGCGGATCTAGATAGCGTTAATCAGCATCTTTCAAAATGTTATGTAAACTTTTTAAGGATCATTATCATCATCTCGATCCTTATCATTATCTTGATGCTTGAGAACATTTGCTCGAAGATCCTGACAAGAAAATTTAAATGAAGATCCCGATAAGATCCTCCAAGAGATTTTTGAGAGATTTCAAGGATCTTGAACTGAAGAATTAGGCAGTAAGTAAGATGAAAATCTCCCAGAGATTCCAAGTACGTTATTGTCAGAACGTTTGGACACTCCTTATTGATCCATCCAGACCTCAGAGGTCTTGGCCAAAAAGGCATGTATATCATTAATACGTCAAGCACGCTGTGACAAATTCTATATTCTTGTAGATTATAAGCGTGTTTAGCTGAAATTTGCAGCAGCTAGCTACGAGCGGGATGGTAGCAAAAGCGGAACTCTAATAAATTACGTCTGTAAGCAACCCTATTTCCGGTGTCGTTTCAGCCAACAGTTATTTATCAGCTATTTACTTTTTCGCAATGGGCTGATTAGCCTCTTGTCTCTTTTCTATAAAACTTATTTCACGGTGTCACGGCTGTGAAACTTGTAAAGTCACGCAGGGGCTGTTCGTACTTTCTAGAGTTTCGAATGGCACGACTTCCTGTTTACAGAGAAAACGGCTTTAAAGCGTGACAAACCTGAAAATGGGCGTTTAGGTCATTTGAATTCTGAACACTTGTAATCTTGGGAGAATGCAAAATATATCAGAAATAGATCAGGTAAAGAGAAGAACACGTCCTGGTGCTGTAATCAAAAAACTTCTTTCTTTTTCACACCAAAGCCGCCGACAAAGTGCACTGAAAGTAATGAAGAAATAAATTGCGCACGGTTGGTTCAAATTATAGAGAGCTTTGTCAACACATGTCACTCAATCTGTCACGCGAACTTAGTGCATGAATGAGTTTGCAATTCTGGGAAACATCTCTATAGATTCTGGAAACTAGACACGCTGTACACGGCAAATTTTAAAAATTCTGCTCCCAACATATTGTACATCTCTGCAAGGTGTTAGTTTGAAAAGCGCCTAACATTTATCCAACGGCTTCAACCGCCATCACCGGAGGAAGAAACTGACCAAGTGCGAACGTATTCAAAATGGCGTCGATTCATCATTTAACCAGGAAGTTTGATCGATTTAAACGACTAACAGCCGATAGTGCGCACTCTCTTGAGTAAAAACTGAACAATATTTCCTTGTGTACACATATTACTATGTGCATTCAATATGGCGAAAAAAAGTTCAAAAAGTTTTTGCATTATCAAACGCGCGCCAATCGTTTCGTAATCAGTGGAAGCGTTGCCGTCATAAATTAGCGTATATTGTCTGTCTTAGGCAAAGTCATCACTAGGAATAAAAGAAAGCGTCCAAAAGTAACGCGATATCACTCCGCACAATCGTTCCTTCAAAAAACATTTACTCATGACATTAATTAAGGTCACTCGTCAAAGAAGTCTAATCTGGTTGATATCAGTAAACAAAATATGATACGCTCGATTGACTGGAGCTGAAACGGTGTGTGTCAGTCATCCAATAAAGATATTGAAAGACATTGAAAGATACCCGTCATAAAACAAAAACACTCCGAAATCTGCTTGCGTTCTGTCTTTGGGAAACTTTCAACATGGTTAGCTTTTAACTCAAAAGATAATGGCAAGTGACAAGTACGTTCTTTATGTATCAACATACGAAACTTGTAAAATCAGCACCTCAAGCATCAACGACATTACGTATTCATTAGTATATTCTTCTTTATCTGTTCTTTTTTTTTTCCTTTCTCTGGGTTTTGCATTTGGACTGTTAATATTTTCATTTCATACGTCAGGTCATAAAAGTGGCCGCAATATATTGCCAAACATCCAAACCCTATTTTTAGAAAACGTGGCGTGATGACGTAGTGTTCTTCTTCTGTAAACCTTGTCAGTTGTTTTGGTCTCCAGATTTCCAAAGGGAAGCTTGAGTTGTTATCGTCATTTCACAAATCCTCCATCCATTCTCAGTAGTTAAGGTAAACGCGTTACTTCATAACATAGAGCTGGTTGAAGAGGCAGCCGTGCGAGAATTGACTCGGCTGCTTTGGTTCTCACGGGGACAAAACAACTACTCTCTCTGCATACGTAATGATATGAAGCCGGAGACTGGAAATTTTCTCTTCAAACAAATCTGCTCCGCTAGCTTAAAACAAGTTCAATAAATGGTATGATTTCCAATTAATCTTGTGGTGAAAACGATAGATCCGTTCTTTATTTAATTTTTATCAAGAGATGAAAGCACTCAATGCGGTTGAATGCTCAAACATTTAGAAACAAGGTCAAAGACTCATTATGCACGTGATTATAGTGTGATATAAGCAAAATTCAACCACGAAACTTGTCAATTTCTAGTTGGCAAACTCCTTGCACATGGAGGGTTACGCTTGATCACTAATTAAATTAGCGGCGGTAAACCTAACCAAACTTAAAGCTCGGATATTCACGTTTTGGTCTTAACTAGCAAGAGACTGGTAGTGAAATAAGTCGAGGAACATGGCGAACTTGTGACTTACGCACAGGAGCTGATTCATTGTACTAACTGACTTACCACAGCTATTTTTCATTGCGTGGATCCAACAACAAGATTCACATAGGAAAGCAAAACTTTAATAGACAATGGCCGCTCAAATGATTGCAGATGCACAGCAAATAACTCACGGTAGGCTAAAGATCATTAAAATGTGTTTATTTTTCGAGTGCTGCTTAGTTTACTTATCTTATCCACTTTCTGAGAGGAAAAGAAACAAAAACGAGAGAAAACAAATTGCTCAGATCAACAAAAACATGGGTCTAAAAAAGAAGTGTTCTCGGATGTATTTAGTTAAGACTGCTTTTTCTGCGAAGTAAGTTTAAAGGCGACATGAAAATAAATGAAAGGTAAAGGCAAAGAAAGAAATTGCGAGAATTTAACAACCAAACGGTTGTGCTTTGGTAAGTTTGAGCACATCGGTTTCATTTGTTACCTTGTGCTTGATCACTTCAAAGAACGATCGAGATCATTCGATAATCTCTGGTAAAATGTTTCATAGGATAAATTAGAGCCCCTGGGCATGCTCATGGAAAATCCTGAGATTTAATCTTGATATTTCATGGAATACACGGCGAACTGAAGGTATTGTATAACAGCCATGTACGTGAAATTGGCCTATAATTATTTGGATGAATAAGGATTTGCTAGTATATCAGTAAAACGAGTTTGGAGTAAAATTTCAATGCCACTCTTCGAACCAAAAGTTCATCAATTTCCCCAATCGCTCTCTTAGATACTTCAATGCTTCAATCTAGTAAGTCAGAATTTAATACTAGATACTAGTCTCCAGAATACGAGTTATTACAATAATTTTTATCATTATCATGATTATTATTAGTTATTTACATTTTTTAAAACGGAGTGCTTAGAGAGTATGGTACCTGAACAAAGGCTGTTACTGACTTCCGTCTGGTGAGGCAATGTGGACTTTACTGTTGCACCCCCACAATCTTCAGACTTGTCTATGTGAAGAACATGTGACATTAATTAATGACGTTAATTATTTAATTAGTTATGTAGTGTTTTATAGATTTGGGGTTTAAGTAGCCGCTGTTACATAATTTTCTAAACGAGCCCATAAAGGTTTGATACATCTCCCGATGCCACGAATCAATATTTCGCATTGCAGTGAGTTACGTTTTTGTGGGAAAATTAACCCTGGCGATGGCTAAGAGTATAAATGGTGAAGGGGAATTTCTAGGGAAAGGTGAAGGATGCCTGAAAGTTAACTAAAAAAATATTCCTGACTATTTTGGCTAAACTAATTGGGAGGCTTATGACCACGGTGCGACGGAATACCTATTGGTATAGCATTGGATGATCTCTGCTAAGCTTACTTCCATACCGTTAGGAGTGATGCTGATCATTATGTCAATGAGAGATTCACACTGTTTTTTCCAACTGTACTTTTTCTGGTAGAAGTCTCGCAGTTTTTCACACTCTTGAAGTCGACTGCTTCTGTCGTTGTTGCAGAATTCCTCAATTGCTTTGGCCCACTGATCTGGATCATCTGAATCAATCACAAAATTCCGGCCAAATGGTATTTTCATCAAAGCTTCTCCAAATCCTGATTTTCGACTCACAAGAATAGGCAGACCAGCTGACAAGGCTTCAAGACCCGTTAACCCGAAGCCTTCAGTTCTCGACGGCATAACCACAAGGTCTGCTTCGCAAAATACCTTTTTCAAATCTTCCCGGCAATCCAAAAACGGACGCACCCTCAGCTGGCTGGGAAGGATATCAAAATCGAGGAAACGTGTTTGTGTCTCCTCAAGTTTTCCCTTCGCAGCACCAACAAATAACAGAATACAATGACTCGACTTAGCCACAGCTCGAGCTGCAATGTCGAAACCTTTTAATTTAAAGTCCTCCGAATCTCCACGACCAAAACACAAGACTTTACAAACTTCTCGTTTGTTTAGACCTTGTTTCAATTCAGAGAATTCTGCCAGAATTCCAGGAGTAAATTTGAAGAAATATTGCTCTTCCTTACACGAGGCGAGATAAGAATGAAACGCTTTGTACAATTTGGGGCCAACTGGTACAACGAGGTCAGCTAGTTCGCAAAGTTCTACCTCTGTTTCATGCTTTTTCTGAGCATTCGAAATTGGATTAGTATATTCTTTATATATCCCTAGTTCCTCAGGGTCTGTATGGACAACATGAATCCATTTACATTTGTGGTACTTCCTTATGATTTGTGCCTGATGGCCAAGTTTAACGCCATGTCCAACCACAACGTCGATTTGCAAATCCTTTGGTGGAAAGCTGAGCCAGTCCATTTCATCGAAGCCGGGCCACTTTGCCGCCTTTATAAGTTCTATTTTGTGACTTTGAGCTGCTTTCTTGTCCTCGTCATTGCAACTTAGAACAAAGTAACTGACCTTAACTCTTGGGTTCTTTGCAATGTTCATTGCTAATTCCCTGTTTAACGTGGAGAGGCCTCCTTTGCTTGATCCCCATTCAGATGCCAGGAAAGTAACTCTAAGACTTCTTGATGATGGGTGCTGTCTGCTGTCATTGTTTTCCTCCTTAAAATAGAATAAAAGCTGTTTAAAATATTTCACAGGACCTCTTTAATGTTAGGGGCCTGATTTTAAAGGATGTCTTCTTTATAAGACTTAGAGGGCAAAGCAGTTGTTTAACAAGCAGTTGTTTTAACATGCACTGCGTAAATACATTACTAGAAATCTCAATTTGCACTTTTCTGCTCGTAAATTGTAGTAAACTTTGGTGAATCAACCGCGCAGGTCCCGTAAACTCGAGAAACTCTGACATTTTTCGCTTCGTTTTTCGAACGGTGAATATTATTTTTAATAGTCGATATATCGTTCAACAGCAGATTTTAAAACTAACATTAAACGATTTCAAAATTTTCATCAAATAACTTCGCAATGTTCTGGCCGTTAATTTTAACATGCTTAATATACTACGTGGTATGGTACATGTGAGAAATTCGTACATTTTAAGCTTCTCATCAGCAAATTTCAATTCTTTGAATAAAGCTTTGGTCTCAAAATAGTTTTTAATCGTTTTTTCCTCAGTCGTTTAGTCATAGCTTTCGGATAGATCACGATTACCTTGTAAACCCGACGCAATAATGGTAAAACTCTTTCTTCAAGCTCAAGTTGTGTCCGCTATGTTGTAAAAGAATTGTTTCTCAAAAAGCTAGAGTTGCTGGAGGCTGCGCCGTACGCTTCTCTCGTGCTCTGTAAACTTCCCGCTTGCATTCTTAACTCGATTTACGCACATTAAAAGAGGAACAAGATTTTATAAACTCTTGGCAAGAACCAATTCTTTAATTAACTTTGAATGACTCTGAATGTCGCAGAACGTTTGAGAGGTCCTAGGAAAAACCAATCTTCTCACATGCGAACGAGAGAAACCGAAAACTTTTTGTTACACAGGTCAGTCTCTAAAGCATTATCTAGATCAGATTCAAATGACTCGGGCCCCTGCAACAATTCTTTAAATCAGGTATCAAGCCATGAGTTTTCGAATAAGTCAGTTTGGCTTGGGCCGTCACTTCGTCGCACTTGATCAATCATGAGTTCTGTTCAGACATAGCAACACGAAAAGGCGAACAAAGAGTTAACGAAGCCTGACGGCAGATTGTGGTAAAGCTTCACTGTTAAATATAGTATTATTAAGTCTTTAATTATGTCCTAAATGTATTGTTCAGCAGCAGAATTTAATTCTAAAATTGAACAATTTCAGAACTTTTATCAAAACCTACGCAATGTTCTCGCCAAACTTCCTGCGTGCATCCATAACACGATTTAAAAAAGCCCGTTAAAAAAAACAAGAGATTATAAATTCTTGGCAAGAAAGAAACAGTAATCTAACATGACCGCCTTTCTGGTTGTTTTGTCACACAGGTCGGTTTCTAAAGCATTATCTAGGTCAGATCCAAATGACACGGGCCCTGCAACCATCCTTAAACTATGTGTCAAGCCATGAGTGTTCGAATTGGTGATTTGGCTTCGGTCGTCACTTCGTCACACTTGATTAAAAACGGGTTCTAGTCGGGTTCTGTTCAGGCACAGATCAACACGGAAAGGCAAACAAATAGTTAACGAAGTCCGGTTGCAGATTGTTGTAAAGCTTTCTTTCGCAACTTTCACTAGTAATTTCTCCATGGAATGGGTAAAAAAACGGTTCCAACTAAAAAATTCGACACTGACAGATATTGATAGACAGCCTAAGCCCAAGTACAAGTCAGTGATACATACATCCAAAACATTTTCAAATCATGACAAGGGGGCAAATCGGAAAAGATTTCGACACTTTCGTCAGACAAAGTCTACTTAAAAGAGGTAGAAAATATCTACTACCATTAAAATCTAATATTCCTACCTCCATTGTTTGCTGTGTACTCTTCCGCTTTCACAAATGCGTTTTCCCTAATCCGAATGCTTATCAATCTATAAACAGCCGACTGGGGGACTGGTAATGAGACAACTAAAGTAACAAGAAGAGGAGTGGGGCTGGATATAAATAGCGGCCCAAGGAAGAGAGGAGGTCAGAGGTTGCTAATTCAAGTCTAAGACTTTCCCTTCGCCGTTGTATCAATACGTTTTCTGCGTGACTATTGAAGGTGGCGTTGTGTCCACTCCTAAGAGACGATGATCTAATTACATTGACGCCTACGTTGTCTCTTTGATTTTCTCATAGACTGACATAGCAGAACAGTCCACGGCACAGCGAGGTGCAAGATTTTTGAGGAGTATGTTTCTGTCAAAACGGCAAGGATGGAATTGAAAATAACGGTGGGAGAAAAGATTCACACCGAATCTCAGCGTTTCCTTGTGGGCAAGTTAATTATTACCTTGCAATGATGATAATGCAAAATCTACGATTTCAGTTAAAGTATTTGAGATAAGGATTTTTCGGAGTCCACCCTCTTCCTTACCCCGCCTCTGCTTTCAGAGGTTTCCATCGGGTCGAAAGACTTGAAATTTGTATTAGGTCCAATGACATACATTTTGGCCGAAAACACGTCTATGAATCAAGGAAAACCTCTTTATGCTTTTTGATTCCTCAACATTATCCAACGGTATAGACAGAAGGAAAGCAGCATTATACATTATTTGACAGAGGAACGTTGTAGTTCTTGTCGTATTTGTTGATATTTAATACGAAATGGATACGTACTTTTGCGCCACGCACGTTGATGGATTGAAATTAAGTCATCGTAAATAGAATTTATAAGATTTAATGCGCAAATAATAAACAAAGATCCCCAAACTCGCTCAGCAATAACAGGTGCATAAGTGTTTCAGTGAAGGCTTTTCGAAGAGACGTAGCGGTTCTAATAACAACTTGGGTGGGAGAGAAAACTAAATGTTGTAAATTGATGAATCGTTCGTTTTCTTTTTCGAAAAGTCATCGACATATTTCCTTTTTTTTCCGTTAGGAATCTTTACAGCCCTCCTCGCTTATCTAATGCGTGGGTCTGAGGCTCCAGTTTAGTAGCTTTTGATCTTGGTATTACAAGTTTATCGCATAATTATTCAATCGTCATTTGAGTGCCATTCATTTTGTTTTTCCCCGCCGGCTCTGGAAGAGTGTTTGACATTCTTCCTTAACTTCACTTTGAAAGCATTACAGTCGAAAGTAAAGCTTACGGTCGTACACTCTCCCAATAACCACAGGTCTTTAGAGAAAACTGAACAAAAATAACACCACATGGTCAGTTTTTGACACGTTTTACTCTTACTTTTCCCTCACATCTGAAAATACGATTGTAAATGAGAATGCATTTACTAGACATTTATATCAGCCCACAGTACAGGTAACAGAGGGACATGGAGGAACATCCAATTTGCTTCAACTATAAACTTGGTTCAACAGATCTGCTTAAGGTTAAAGAGGAGAAAGACCTTGGTGTCACAGTCACCGACACCCTGAGTTGGAACCCACATATTCAAAATATAGTGAGTAAAGCAAATAAGCTCTTGGGTCTCCTGAAAAGAACTTGCCCTCTCTTACCCGACGCAAATGTCCGTCGATCACTCTACTTATCCATTGTGAAATCTCAACTGTCTTATGCCACCGTTGTCTGGTCACCGCATCACATATACTTAAAGCTTAAAATAGAACGCGTGCAGCGCAGAGCAACCAGATGGATATTAAAGGAAAGACTGCACGAATCCTCTTACAAAGAACGCTTAATTAAGTTGAATATGTTGCCTCTTTGTTATGACCGAGAGATCAAAGACTTAATATTTTTTATAACTGTCTGTACGGAATATCGCCTATTGACGTTAACAACTTTGTTAACTTTGTTCCCCCACAACCGCACAAGAAACTGTTTTAATCCGGAATTATTGCTGAAAACTCAGTCCTGTAAAACATCTTTATTTAAGGCCTCATATTTTAATAGAATTACAAAACTGTGGAATATTATGTGTAAAGTAGCTCCTCCGTCTTCCTTAGGTACTCTTTCATCCTTTAAGATCTTTGTCACTAATCACTATTTTAATTTATTAGCAAATGTTTTCGATATTGACCAACCGTGTACCTGGTCAGTGTTTATAGACTGTTCCTGCCATAGAACTCATTCGCACTGACTTAAAACTTTGTAATATTTATTTATTTTTTATTCTGTAGGGAGTTTCCTTGCATGGGTACTCACGTCCCGTTCGTTACTCCTTTTTGGCAATTTTTTTTTTTTTTTTTTTTTTTTTTTTTTTTTGTACGTGTAACTTCTCGTTTATTACTTCTGTAACTCAGTAGAATGCCAATAAAATTAAAAAAAAAAAAAAAAAAAAAAAAAAAAAATATGGCGTTATTTCAATATGTCAAAAAAGATTTAAAATAGGGCTGATTATTAAAATATAAAATAACTTAAAACACATTTCTCTGATTACGTAAAGTAATTATGTATTTGTTACGAATTCATATTCTTAAAACAGTTCAGGAGAATGATCATCGAACACGTTATGAAAACAAAAAACAAATGATCAAAAAATAACAGATGTGAGATTTTATTTGACGCGGTTAAATTTCAAGGAAAGCTGTTTCAAGGTAAATCATCTGTTGGTATCAAACATCTGTATGCATCAAGTTAGTTACAAAAGAAATACAATAAAAATTACTATCCACATAACGAGCAACATGTTGACGAAAATACAATAAAATATAGCCATAGAGTCTCATTTCCAACAACATGCACTGCCTATTGGTTCGATGTTGTCATTGGTGTTTCATGTGCAGGAAAATTGGGACCAGCCCATCCACTAAAATAAAATCTTTCTACATCAAAGTCCTATGTTTCAAAAGTTGTCAGCGGATCTTTCTCTCAATTTGTGAGATTCTATTAACATCATAATCCTTCTACTACATTTGTCTGATTTCTAAATATAAAGTTAAAACTATATACTTGCTACGAGTAGCATAAACTGTCCATGCGAAACAATAAGTTCAAAACGTTCAATACCGAAACAGTAAGAAGATCTAGGGAGATCACAGGGGAAATACTTCTCTTAATTCCTTGGCAGTAGAAGGCCCCTATCTTGATGTAAATGTATGTTAAGAAGTATTCCGCTTTAAAATAAACAAAATTACACAAGACGATTCAGCGAGTCGCACATTTCCCAAATATTTCATTTTAAAATGCTAGGTAAAGGAATTGACAACATAATGAGGCTTAAGGAGTACATCCCCAGTTCGGGGATTTTGTCCAAAGCCTCGAATCGCTTAAGACTGAATTTGCAGTAATTTTTGTAAGAAATTATGGTCCAACCTAGGCAAAATATCACCCGTTTGATAACACCCCACAAGATTAAATAGCAACACCAACAACTATCGTGATGAATTTTAAAGATGAAAGATTTGGCTGACTCTGATTGGTTAATCCACGATCCTCTATCTGATGTCAGCCTCAAGTCCATATAAATATATTTATAAGCGCTGTAAGTTTCACGTCACATCTTGGTAAAGTGAAGTCGTAAAAGTGTTTTATTAGCTTCACGATTGTTTTGCATCGCACGCCACCAGGATCGAGGGAGTAGCCTTTCTGCAAAATAAAAACTACCCAAATCAGGTAAGGGTGTCATTGTGGATTGTAAATCCAAACTGCCATACGGTTAAGAATTTATATGGAAACAAGCGTAAAAAAACTAGAAGACAAGTAATGAACCACATACTTCATTCTGAAACAACCCGTAATGTCGTACTCGATCTTCTGTCCACACGGACAGAGCCTGCACGAACTTGAAGAAAAACTTAACGAGTAAATCGAAAAGAAAAACATTCCCTCGAGCTTGAAATACTGCTTCGTGAAGTGTGAAAAGCAATTTTCTGAAAAGGAGATGAAAGATTACATCTTTGAGTTTCTGGTTTGCACAAGATTTTAGAGACTGAACTGTTTTAGTGATGTATATTCCAATTATTCCCATAAACTCAATCTGTAGCACGTTCGACTTCGCTTCAACTGCGTGCTCGTTTGTAATTGTCACTTACACAGTTGTAGGTCATATTACCATATACGAAACATGGAAAGTTGAGGTCAACAATTTACGATTTTCAGACTCTGATGTACTTGAGTTTTGTATGAGTAAAAATCATTTTATTAACTTGGGTTTACCCGCTCTCACTGTGCGTTCTGACTTGTACGCAGCATTTACACTCCGAGTTTACATTCCAAGAGACTACAAGATAATAAGTCAGAAATAAATATGTGTTAAAATACACATACAGTAACACCACACAAAACCTTGAAATCTCAACTCTCCACTCCTGAACAGAATCATGAACCTGTTGCTGTTAAAATGTACTTAATGTAAGTTATTCTGGTAAGCCTCTATCTTAGGTTTTGAGCAACGAATGGAAAACTGAAGGCGGTTTGAATGAAAATGATCATCATTATCAGATATGATAGAGTAGCGTTAGAAAAGGATCCGTTTGCGTTTTCAAAGTTCATGACTCTTAAGATTAATGTCTGATATGACAAGTGTTATCTCTAAATAAATAATCAGTTGACAGATATTTCTTCCTCCCCAAAACGTGCTTAAGTCGCCTTGCCACGGTTTTTTTCTTCCTTTTTTTTTCTCAAAGTAAAATTGATTTTAAGCGACATGTCATGGAAATGCGGTCCCTTTCAACACAAAACCTTCCGTGCGAACTTCAATTAGTCCTCCTCAGAAGCTTTAAAAAATGGCGGTTATGTGAAGGTTTACGCTCAATAGATGTAAGGACAAAGTTTGCACGATGCTAAGCACTTTTCGTACAACTTCGAGGCGGCAAACCAGTGCGCAGAAAGCACTTAGAACTCATTTGCGAAAACAATGTCCAATATCCTCTGATGCACCACTTTGAATTCTGAAAGATTAAGGGGAGGCCGGCAAGTTTTTTTCATCTTTTTAGCTGTGGTGCGATTTCTACAGAATTCACGACCAAATTGCTCTTATTTTGCAAATCTTTCAACCGACGTGATACCCTTTCAGCACCTTAGGAATAATAATAACAATACTACTAATGGAAGATGCATATGGAAGTCGTTATGCGCATAGTGATTTCATTAACAATTGATGAACTCGACTCTCTCGAAAGCATTCGAGCCGACGAATCCTCAATTTTTTTTTGCACAGTAAAATTAACTCTTTCCGTGGAATGCCAGAACTGTGAAGAGTGCCTAGTCTGTGTTTAAATTAAATATGTAACGTTATAGAGTGAAAAAAGTAGAAATCACCAAATGAAAACACACTACCTGCATGGAACAACTCACGAAAATTAGTGGTAATTTTCTTTTAGACCAAGTAAGCGGCAAAAGAGAAGAAAAGAGCTTATTTCTTGAGCCCCTTTTCACCTGTCGTATGCTCAGCAATTTACATACAAATGAAAAAATTACCATTACTCATGAAATTAGGCAATCAATTTCTTTCAGTTTCCTTGTTTTTCTGATTTCCAGAATGAGTCTTAAATTCCTCGCTGCTCTTATACCGCTCATATGTTTCACAAATGCATCTTCTACAAAAATTTCGCTGGTCATCGGCTGAGTGTTTGACATCGACACAAAGCCTGGAGATGAAAACTCTGCAAGTATGATCCCATGGCAATAAAACATGTGAATGCATGTCCCAAAACACTGGTGAACTATGAACTGCAAATGGAAGTCAAAGACGTCAAGGTAGGAAACACGATCAATCTTAAGGATTCTTGCGGCAGTTATACTTTCTCGACAAGAGTTGATGAAGAGATAATGGTGATAGGTTGCCATGCCAATAATAGAACATGTCAAGTCGCAGCCTTGTTGCAGAGTAAGATTTTATAGTTATATTCCAAATTGTTCAAATCGTTAATTCAACTTGATCATGAAAGAAACTTATGTAGATTCTCGTTAATTTTAGAGCATCTCGTTTAAAAAATAATTTGTATAGAAAATGACTTCTTATCACATCCTCAGGCAATTTATAAATTAAGTACCATAATGTTATGTTTCTTATTTGTCAAACATCTTATTGTGTCTGTATTTCATTCAGTGTCAAGACTCCGATGCAATCCACGCGTTCACTGAGTTCATTGGAGAGGAGAAGAAGAAAATCATGACCTTAGGACCTGGTTGTTCCAAATCAGCAGAACAAACCATTTGCTAAGGCTACTCCTTTCTACAACTTGTTTCAGGTGAGTTTTAACCATATCAGATCTTCGAAAATACTTTTAAGTATAATATGGATTATTTTAAATTTAAAAAATTAAAACAATACATATTTACAACTTCCAGTTTTCCACTAGGTCAAAAATTCTCGATCAAAGTCATTATTCTTGGGAGCAAATTATCTCAAATATTGCTATCTTTGCTTTCTCTGGTTTATCCGTATAGTTTTGTCAAACTGTTCTCATGATGCTGAACTCTTCCTTTCGGTATTTGTTGCTTTGTTCCAAGACAACACATTTCACTGGCAATGAAATGGCAGTAATCTTATAGCTAGAAATTACGTTAAACTCATCTAACACAAAAGAAAACCAATCACTCAGCCAATTAGCGATAAATGTTAATCTTCATCAATATTTTATGCTACTACAAGGTGGCTATGGCGGGAGCAGACCCAGCTCTATTATGCGCGAAGATCTTTTCAACGTTCATGCACACCATACCACCCGAGCATTTTCAAAACCAATCGATCGTGAAACATTTCAAATGGAGAAGAATGGCCATACTGCGAGAGAATATGGACACTTACCGAGGACTTTCCAACGATTTGGTCAAAAGGTTGAAAAAGAGTGGGATATAGACTTTTACCGGCAACGCTGAATTGCAGATCGAAGACATACAGGTTTGATAAGAATAACTTTAACACGGCCTGTATCAGTTAAGCTGCGATGGCCTGTGTTAGTTGAGCACTTATTCATAACCCTACCGCCAAAGCTTGGCCATAATTTCCTCCATTTACCTTGAAATTTGATGACTTTCAGGCTTGAACCCTTGCCAACTTTCTTGATTATAACCAAATTCCCTACATCAGTAATGTTTGAGTCTGCTAAAGGAGATGTCCTGTTGGTGTTACTGTTCATGCCGAGATATTTGTACAAAAGCGTCTTGTAATACACACAGCAAAAGTATGTTGTAGGTGTATGGAATTACCATTTCGATATTTCATACCTGAATTGCTAAATTCCAAGACGATGAAGAAACGTTAACAGTGTTTTCTGTCGGCGCCATCAGCAGCAGGTGTTTGAGAACTTTTTCTCACTAACTAACTCTTTCTTTCCCCTTTTTTTGGCATTTTTTCAGGGAAAATTTTGCAAAATGATAGTTTTGATTGGCTTGGCCATGCACCTTTAAAAGATGTATTTCACTAGTCACCCATATATTATCTAGGGTCGATGTTGACCTCTTACAACATATTTCATCCGTATACGTAGTCGTTCGTTTTTTAATAAAACAGCTATTTCACCGCCGGCAGTCTCTGATACTCAAGAAGTGACCACAGCTAACTCATTTCCAACACTCGCTCGAGGAACACATGTATTTATTGTCTGGAAGTAACTTCAATTATATTAAAAAAATTTTAGGCTTTTCAGAAGGGGTTTTATGGTCCTAAAGTCGCCTGGATTCTGATGGCGGGTGGGTACAGAGAACAATGGTGGGGCTACAATGATGTGAATTGCACCAAAGAGGAACTTTGCAAGGCGCTCGGGAACTACCTTAGTACCGAGGCGTTGATGATTGGAAAAGATAATCAGGATACGATTGCCAGAAAGGTACGATATATCTTATCTACTATCACAGTTCACGGATAGAAAAGACAGACTCATATAGGAAGTATTTCGTTTTTAATCAATGCGGTCTGAAATTTAGATCTATAATGTCCAACAAAGGCAATTTGGAAGTTGAAATAGCTCGCTTGGCTACCTCTGCCAGACTCAAACTTCTCAAACGTCAGAATTCTATGAGTTGTAATTTGTGTTTTTCTTTACTAAACTATAGAATTATGCTATGAATGCATGCTAACGAATCGTGCATAAGCAAGTTACTGCTTACTAATAGATTAATTAATACAATTTTTCTTAATTTGTCAATGGTAGCCAAGGTTCCGATTTCAAAGATAAAATTTGGTTCCAACAATTCCAAGCTTATATTTTATCACCTGTGAGATGTCCGCGAATCTTTTAGCATAATTTTTGAAGGAAGAGCCTTCTATGAAGCTGTATCAAGTAAATTTGATAAGCTGATTACATTAAGAATCTGCATGTTTGACTAAGTAACAAGTAAGTTTATTTCGCGTTTTATTCATGTATCTTTATCTATAGACCATAGAAGAACTCAGAGCTGAGTGCAAGGCAGAGCTGTCTAAGACTCCTTACAAAGAGCCCAGCCGTCACGCCGCCTTTGCTTATGACGCTGTGTGGACTATAGCCCTTATTTTGCACAACTCTTTCTCAGCACTTCAATAGCAAAACAAAACTAGAAACATGTCATTGGAAGACTTTGACTATAACAATACTGCTATGAGGAAGACATTCATGAAGGTTGCAAAAGGGGTATCATTTCAGGGAATGTCTGTAAGTGCACTATTATATCTATCACTGTGATTCCCAGCATCTTGTTTTTTTGAAGGTCAAACTCCTTTGTTAGGTATAGTTATCGTTATAAAACAAAGGCGATACAACATAAACGCATTTGTAATTGTTTCTTTAACGATCCATGCAACAAAAAACGAAAAAAATTGAACGGAGTGCAACTGACAATCGACACGCACATACGCGTTTTGACCTTGTTAATTATTTCAGTATTAAGGATTCTTATCATAAGCTCTGCATGAAATTATTTATGGACTACTATGTTATTTTTGACCAATTAATAGACTGTCCGAGCAGGTTGGAGGTTCTAGTCCTCATAATGGACTCTTATTACTTTTTTCCTTCCGGCACTCTCCATGACTGACTTCCATGATGAGAAGGAGAGGTAGTTGTTCATTTCCTCTTCTAGTCATGTTCTACCAAGGCATTCCACAGAGAGGTTGACCTCACTCTTCGAGTCGAATTTCGCTCCATTGCCTTTTATGTTCTTCGTAGAAATACATGGGTTTTGCTGTTAGGATAAAAACTGACCTCCGTTACTGCGATAGATGGCAGCATATACAGTAACAAGTATCCTGTTTACTATTCCAGGAATTCATCACAAATCTCAGTCATGATACTTTGTGGCCATTCTTTTCTTTCTGAAGAATGTGAAGCGTAATTTCTATATTTTTTTCATTTTTCAGGGCTTGGTATAATTCTACAAGAACTCTGACAGGCTAAGCTTGCTTAACATTGATCAGCGTCAACGTATGTACTCCTTTAATGATGTTGATAACAAAACGAAATGATGCTTTTTTTTAATTACCGTATTATTCCTCTCTACAGGTGGCGAAATGAAACGAATTGGAACTTATTATATGAAAAGGAAAGTCATCGTAGTCGATAAGAGCCAAACAGTGCAGTGGGAAGGTACTGCTAAGATGTCTTCTAGACTTTGGTAGATTTCTTTTAACAAAAAACTCTTGAGCAAATGTCAACAATACAATCTTCTTTTATAAAGCAAAAAGCGTGGTCAAAAACTTTTTAAAACTCCTCAATTGAGCAAATAACTATGCAACAAAGAGAAACTGAATGAGAATTGCGTTTTTCGCATATTTATGTTAACCAGATAAAAAGGTTCCAGCCTGCACGATCAAAAAAATCCTTGAGCCACGGTACCTTCCCAAGAGTATGGTATTTACCATGGATGGATTGTGCGTGCTCGGGATCCTCTTTGCGGCAGGGTTCTTCTTTTTCAACTTTAAGTACCGAAATGTCAGGTAGAAACTCTCCATTGCACTATTTTCTTATTTATTCACTTATGCTATCTTATCTCTCTAAATTTAATAGTTAATTGAATTAATCCACTGATAGGCCCTCTTGGCTCTGCCAAATGATATAAACTAACCAGCTAAACTTAATGTGAATACAGAAGGAGGCCAGGTGAAATGAAATCTGGTGCAGAAAGGAAGGCTTCATATTTATTCATATTTAGGTCTTGAGAATAGAAGCCTTTTCCTGGTTGTGTGGGCTTAAAAGATTTCGGAAGGAAAATAAAAAGTATCTATTTAGCGGTTATTCACAGTGCAGATGTCGTGGGAAATAAATTTTTGCCTCCACCTAAAACTGTCATAACTCAAGTGGCCAGAACAAATCCTAGCTCAGCCAATGTCTAATTGTTTATGTCTTTTGAGAACTAGAAAACCAAATTTTGTAAAAAGAATAAGGTTTCGTTGAATTATCTCTGGTTGAAAGACTGAAATAGTACTAACTGCAATACCAACGGCAAGAGACTTAAATATTCACGGTTCTGCATTTTGCAAATCAAGATAAGAAGGAAGGTAAATTTAGTCCTTAGAGATAGGGTGGAGAAAGCAACATCTTTGTTCTCCTCGTTTCGGTGATTATTGCACATTGCTAGGTATATTGAGTGAGTAGGTCTGTTCACGGACATTTGCAAGCGTTTAAAAATTGTTGAGAAAATTCTTACCACTACTTTGCTCTCATTCTCAGTTTAAAACTGGCTATTGGATTTTTCTGAAGTCGCCTGGGAGATCGGGAATTCTCTTAAATCAACCTTAATTTAATCATATATTTAGACACACATAAAACACCGTAACAATCGTTCATAATCAGTTATTAAATGCTTATCTCTGCCTCCAGGTATATTCGAATGTCCAGCCCGAATATGAATAACATTATTATTCTGGGATGTGTTTTGATCTACATTTCTGGAATCCTTTTCGGCATTGACGCTGAAATTGTCTCAAAGAAGACCCACGAGAAAGTGTGTCAGGTATGACGTTGCAAATTGAACTAAAGGGAAGCGAGGAATGAGTAGAAGTACATGAACAGTCTAATGTACGGTAAAAGGCGAATGCCTAAATCACAGTCGCGTGATTGGTTAATGTTGTGGTACGAGCTTTTTTGGACTAATCGGAAACCGGGATGAGTAAAGCAAAAACAATGCAATCCCAGACTACTTTGGACAATCGTTTAGATATTTAGAAATTTCGTGGATGAAGGAAGAATTCACAAGTGTAACGTTACTGATGCAGAAAACTACACAGTTTTGAAGTGGTCTTCATGCAAATCCAAACTGGAAAAGAAGGAAAACAGTAGTTTAAAGATTTCTTAATACCAAGTAAAGAGTGAGGGTGAAAGTTTTTGTGGAGCATTAGGCAGTTCTCGCTCAAATGAGTTACTTATAACCTATGTACTCTTTCAAATTATGTAGACTAGTGCATGGACGGCATCATTTGGATTTACTATGGCTTTCGGTGCCTTATTCTCTAAGACATAGAGGGTTCATCGCATTTTTATGAACAAACCTAAGAAAACGGTAAGTTATTGAGTATCAATCAATCAGATCATTTATTTTTCTCTCGAAGTCACGAGACGACCACGATTAAGAAATTTTGAAGCTAACAAGCGGAGGGGTCATCTTGGAGTGCGAAAGCCTCTTTCAGGTGAACAATAATAATGAGTGACGATGACGATGATTACAAAACCAGGTATCCTTCCGAATTCTATGAGAGGGGGAGGGGGGTTTAAAAAATAATTTCCTTGCCCCCATACTTCTGATGACTACAAGCCCAAGATAACTGCACCTTAAAGATGAATGCAAGCAACCTATTTTAAAAAGAACACGAATTTCAAAGGAGAGCACGGCTTATTTTGAGTAACATTTATCATTTATTCAATTCCTTGCTTTAGGTGATCCAAGACTACCAGCTAATCATTGTGGTGATTCTTCTCCTGATGATCGACGCTTGCGTCCTTTCCACCTGGCAAATACTGGACCCCATATATACTACTTCTAAGACATTCCCAAGGAGGGTAGGCCTCGTCTATTTCTTTAATTTCCGTACGACTTCATTATGAGCCCTTTTTTATTTTGATGGGACACTTTTTTCACGTCGTGGACCCAAGTTTGAGCAAGACTTAAAAGTCTAATTGAATGCTCCATATATTTATACAGCATTGACAATGCGCCCAAAGTAAAAAGTTGTTACCTGAATATTTAATTCTGATGTTTTAAGATGATTTTAATACGTTCTCCATAAATCATTTTTACATATGTACAATGCAATACATCTGCTTTGTTCTTCTTGTCCATGTGGAGCAGAGACAACTAGTAGTCCAGTTTAGGCTGATATTTTACCTTTTAAAAGAGTTCGTAATTTTGCTTCATTCAGAGTAATATAATTATAGCAAATAGAAGTATCACAGATGAAAAAAGTAATGGGCGTAATTATCAAATATTTCAGATTGACCAAGACGCAGACATTGCCATTTACCCATACCAGACCTTCTGCACTTCAAAATATGAAAACTTATGGACAGGTTTGCTATATGGTTACAAAGGCTTCCTTCTGCTATTCTGCACCTACCTGGCATGGGAAACTCGCAACTGTCCACATGCCAGCGCTAAACGATTCCAAGCAGATCGGCTTTGCTGTGTACAATGTGTTCATTCCTTGTGTCATTATCATACCAAAACTGAACCTATTGGGGAGTCACAGTGATGCAGTGTACTTGTTGAGCACTTTGCTGTGCCTTTTCTGTACCACCATCACTCAGTGCCTGATCTTTGTTCCAAAGGTAAGTACAAGGAGCTACCTACTTCTCGAAATCGAAAGCAGGAGGCAAAACCACAATTGTAAAAAAAAAGTTTCTAATTATAGTGAATTTATATTATGAAGGGATTGGATACACTTCAAATGGTTAAATAATCTCATTTAAAGCGGCACATTAAGGTACATTGTACTTTCAAACAGAAAATTCCGGAGACGGAGCGTGACACGGTCTTCACCTTCAGGAGGTCATACGCTACCGTTTTAAACCAGTTTGAACTTTTCACCAAGTCTACTTCATTAAAATTATTACAATGTCGCTTTCTGTGAGTGTTGAGGATAGCAACAGAGTCTGGCAAGTATAAGTATTATACGTTGGCATAACATATTAAGTCTCAGAGATCTGACAAGAATAAAGAATTCGAAGCATATGCAGGGTGTATAAAATTAAGTACTTTTCTTTCACTGCATGATGATAAATTATCACCACGGTTAAGCAACTCTAACTTCAGACAAAATTAGTTTTCCACGAGAGGCTAAGCACCTCCAAAGGTTTCGAAGAAAACTTGCTCTTACTGGTTCAAAATAACTCAGAACTTCGAATTGCCTCATAGAGAGTGACTATAAGTAGAAATAGGTTCAGGTTATATTTAGGTGACTTATTTGATTATTTGACAGATTTTTGCGATGAAACGCACAAATGGTGACCCCTCTAGTTACGAGAAGGGTTCACTCTCTTCTGGCAGTACCGTTGACAGCAAAATTTGCCCATCGCCTTCAGCACAAAGCCTTGATCGTAATTACAAAGCGGAGAAAACATCCCTTCCACCACATGCTGGTTAAAAACATCTTTACATTTTGGTGAGTATTTCACATGAGCCCAAAACAGATAAATTTTTTTCACGTCGGCTTTGCTCAATAAGAGGCTTTTTCTGTCATTTAAGTACTATTTGTAAAGATTAAATCATCTAACTGCGTAGAGTGCGGAGGATTTTCAAAACTAATACATGGCTGCGCTGAAAAGTGGATCACATGCATGTAGGTTAGATTGGATAAGAGACATGTATGCCTTTTTTTCTTTTTATTTCATTTTGTTTCATTTTGTCTCAGTTGCTTTCCTTGCTTGGTGGAGATTTGCTGCCTTTTACAAGGTTTAAATGCAAAAGAAGAAAAACTCTCAACTCTCAACCAAACAAAAATGTTAACTAGTGACGCAAAGCCTCCTTTGTTTACTGGTCGGTGTTTGTTTTTGCTTGTTGTTGTTATTTTTTTATTAGCTTTTGATAATTTCAACAATGATAAAGCCTCGAGATAATAAAATCGAAAGTGGGCAATCTAGAACACGCGTAAAGAAACACCGGACACTATGGAGATGAAAATGTCGGTGGGGGCTGACAACACCGTGCAACGGTCACCTCACTTTTTTGAAATTGATATGTAGTTCGTTGATATCTCAACCTAAAAAAGGAGAATGGTCGCATAAAAAATTTTTGCCATCTTTGACTTTTTCCACTTCCAGGAACCAAATCACCATGGAGGTACTTGTTCTGTCCTCTCATGAATACAATTTCAGCAAAAATATTAAACAACCTATATGCTATGTATACATGAAGGGAAATAAAATGAATGGAAAAATCGAGAGCATCAGAGTAATTGTGTTGGGGAGTACAACGTACAACGAGTCAGAGAAAGTTTTTTTCGGTAAAGAAGGCCTGAGAAAAGACCTTAGCTAGTGAAAATGAAAGTTCTTTATTTTAGTTTGGTGGGTTGTGGTGGTTTCAGTGGATAGATAATGTCAATGCTTTTACTGTGTCATCTACGCTTGCGCAAGCAGACACCACACTAGACCTTAAAAGTGTTTGTCCGAGGTGTTTGAACGTTTGTCACGTTGTCGATAGCGGATCTTCAAACGGTGCCCTTATTCAATATCTAAGCATTAGAGGACAATAGGGCAACTCACAGTCATACATATTACAATAGTATAGTTCGTAGGCCGATTAGTGACTGAAATCTTCAGAAATTTTGTAGTTTGTTTTGCTATTTAAATTATTCCACCCTCTCCTCTGAGTTTTGGAGATGAAGTTCACTGAGTTGACGAATTCTTCATTTGAAGAAACTCACGGTGTAGGTATGTGTAATATTGAAACGTTTGGATAGCGTAGACGCTCCGACCAATAGTCTTAAAAAAATAGCAGCAAGGGCAAGGGAAAGAAATTGTAAGTTTAGTGAATTTCGTCGAAGGTGCGAGCCTTGTAAAATTAAATATTAAAAAGCCCTGCGAAATTCTCGACGAAATATCACTTCAACACGATGTGACCTCAACAATCGACACATTTACGCATTGCGTACCTATTATTCAAGATTGCTGCCACCTTTTATGATTGTATATGGTTACTTTGAACTTACAAGAATGTTTGTGTAGTTATAAGTTATTTAGCTCTCTTTAGACTTCATATCCATGATAAGCGCTCCATAATGACGATCATGAATGCTTGAGATTGAGTAGCCAGGGCTAGACGTTAAAACGTCATACAAGCCACACATAGAGATATTTTATTTAATGCTCGGAAAAAAAAATTGTCAATTTCTATCTGTAGGTGGCTGCCACGGTCAGTTTCAAATCATGGGTGGGGAGATCAAACGAGGAGTAATGACTTAACAAGTCTTTTATTTCGGGAAATCTTGGGGTTCCTTGTTCTATGAGAGAATATCCTTGTTCCTGTAAAGGTGAAAGAAATAATAAGAAAAATACCAAGAGCTAACGATGACAAACAACATTGTTTTACATTAGACTTAAAATGAAATTTCTGATTGGTCGAGGGCATACAGCCAATTTACCATAGCGTGTGAATTCGAAGTTGAAATGATAACCCACTACATATCTGCAGCAGATATTGGGTAATCAGATCGAGTTCGAAGTTTGCTTAGCCCCCGTCCGTGTCGTGTTCTCAAACTTTGCAAACTTAAAAAATATATCAGTTTTTTTTGTAGGATATCATGAATTATCAAACTTTGAGTTTGTGTTATCTGCCTCAGCCTTCATTTTCGACAGACAACTCAAACCTCGGTATTGACTATTCCTGATATCGCACTCAACCTATTCCAGTCGTTGCCTATTCCAAGCTTCCGTACCTCGTCATAAGATATCCGATAGTGCACGACTTTATCCCCTGTACCAACCGACAAAACCTACACAATGGCAAAACAAAAATGTAGTGAGAGACTCCTGTTTGAACTGTTAATACTACCCAACAAGTTTGACTGCTCAAGGGGATTTAACAGTCGATGGCTATGATGAATAGAATCATCTGTCCCTTAAATTCGAAGTAGGGTTCCTTTCGGCTATGTCCATCTCGATCGTAGAAAAGGCAAGGCGAAAGCTGGCGAGAAAAGGCTGGTTAAAAAAAAACCGGCGATTCTTTTTTCTTGCTTGTGTTTTTTTTCCGCAGTCGGGGAGAGGGTTTCTTGTGGGTTAGTTTTCTATCGAACATGTAAAAGGACTGATTTCTCACCATTGTCGATTGTTTGGTTTTACTTTTGCGTAAAATATAAACTCCGGGCCTGTCCTTCAGCAACCTACAATAGGAGAAATGGAATACTTCCTTAATATATAAATCAGGACAAATGTGGATAACATTTTAAAGATACAGCGACAACCAAAATTATTATAGTTGCTTACTTAGTAGCTTGTGAGCTGTCCATGTCATGAATCAAAGTCAATGAAGATTTATCCTGCTAGAAGAAAGCACTTTGGTTACCAATTTTGAGCACGCATATACACGATACCTTAAATAAGTCACTCTCAAAGTACTCCAAAGTTATCATAAAATACAAAATGAAAACAGATATTTTCGGCCAGTTTATGTCAAAATGTAATAACACATTAAGCGAGGATTCCCAAACAACAAGTACCCTTCACTTTAAATGCCTGAATAGTCTTCTGAATAGGATGAATTGCTTTTGTCTCGCATTTTTTCTCTGTATTCAGAGAAATCCGACTAATTTAAATACCTCGAGTCCGTAGCTCACCTCTCTTTGTCCACTCTTGACACTTTGTCCATCCGGGGCACCTCTGTGAGGATAAACAGTAAAACAAAAATAGGTCAGCTATACTAAGGCCACATCGGGAACCATTTTTTATTAGGTAAATATATATGAAACCATCAGAACACGTACGACTGCGTCGTAGAATATATGTTATGTCTATAATTTATACCGAGACATTAAATGGTTCGGGTCTTCTATTTTTAATGTCAATTTCATACCATACGAACACGTGCATGTGTGAAAAGAATATTTAATTTAAACCAAGCTTTTCATCTTCTTCACAAAGATTTGAAAAGTATGCGCCATTATATTGCCATTTAACTGATGCGTACCTTTCGAGTGTTTCAGATTTCATTGGAGTGGAGCTACTTGCGGTCAATGGTGATCTGGACGAACTTGGCAATTCTAGGAAAGTGCCATACGGTAAGCTGATTACTCGAAAATGGAACTGTTAGTGGGGGTGACACTCCCGTCATCGTCCATTATGTTACACGGGCATGGACGTTTATGAAAAATGTGAAGAAAGCTTCCTTGTGACATAAATTATACCCTATTATGCAGTAAAATCAAGCATGAAATTTCCTAGAGTAGTATCAATACAAAAAAGTCCCAATTTTTATGTAACAAAAGTGTGCCTCATATAGTCACAGCTTAGTAAACTAGAAACTCAGAATGCAGCTAAAGATTATCTGAAGGGAATCTCTTCCCGCAGTGATTTTCCCTGGCACTTGGTCGAAGCCTGAAAGGGTCATGATTGGTATGTGAGGAGTTGTTCAAAGCTTTTTTTTTGCTTAGTGGTGTCTTTCTTGGCCTTTCGTGAATCTGTGTGATTCCAGGAAGTGGGCGAGACTGACCTGATGGACTGTGAGCCTCCACTTCTTGGAGTGACCTTTGGAAGAATTGTACAGGTTCATTTTTCTTTTGCTGGGATCGTTTGGGTAATGGTCTTATTCTTGCTTCCTGTTGTGTTCCAAACCAAGGTGGCACGTTTGACTGCGTTAGCCTATTTTCCTGGGATGGTCCCGCAAGGACGGAAAAAGGACGCTGCTTCGTTGTTACGTTGGTTTCTGAATGAGGAGATGGGATGTACCATGTGACCTGCTGAGTTACTTTAGCATGTGGCCTGCTGTGCACTTTTGTTGTCTCGTTAGAGACTGAAGCTTGTCCTGCAGGGACATCCGTAGGATCATTACGCGATAGCTCTAAATTGTGAGGTATTGTTCTTGCATTAGGTCTGCGAGCGAGAGCTGGCGGTGAGCAAGATGGATCAGTTCGGTTAATGTTGATGGAGCGGTGCTCCTGTGCTGGATCTACCCTAAAATGAAAATAAAATAACAGTATGCACTGTCCGCTCCCTCAGACATTCGTCTAACTCCCCAGACAGTTTACCGGTACCTTTCATATTCCTAGGTATTGTGACTGACATGTTCCCTGCCTTAGACTAACGTCCTGGAGTCCAGCGCGTTCACCGTTTGGCTACGGTCACGGTCTCCTACCAAGGTAACCGAGCCAAAAGGCAAAGATCTTATGGAAATTTTTTCTAACGTCCGTTCAAAGAAGTAAGGTCCTAATAAACAGCGTCCTCAGGCAGGAGTAAATATTGTGTGAACATTTCGACAGTTATTGGGAAGACAAAATAAAACCTTATAAGAACAATTTTTTTTTCTGGCTTGCATCGTCTAATCATAAGTACGTAATGTAAGACAGTTAATTTGATTCGCACTATACAAAACAACCGCAGACGCATCGTAAAAAGGTTACATTATAACTAAATGCTGCTGCCTTGATGGTTGCCATATTCTCTTACTTATGGTGCTTCACGCGTTCCGAGCTCTGGTTTGAAACCAGACCGCACACTTAATTATATTGAAATCCTACTAATATTTTCTGTTGAATAACTTCTTACTTGAAGTAGCTAGCTTGATAAAACTATATTTAAAATCTTACTCTGAGACAGGGCAGCAATAAATTTTCTTGTCCCCCGTTATCGCTTCTTGCCAACGCTGAACACAGAAAAGAAATTAAACCATACTAAGGTTTCCTTGTATATTTAATATAAAATTTTTCCCATATTTTTTCTCAGCAAAATTGTAAATCAAAGCTCAAGAAATACAGAAAGGGAAACTGAATTTCATAACTCTACCTTTTATGGGCTTTCAGTTAGAAAACGGTTCGATAGCGGCAAAAAGTACAGAAACAAGGGACTTTGAGCAAGCGGGTCGCGTAAAGAAAGTTCCTTAGGATGCCTGGACCTAATTCCAAACATAGAGGAAACCATGTATTGACACCAAGAAATTATCACTTGTTTCTTCAGTGAAGTTCAATTCAACCGCATTTGCTTAATTATGCTTTAAAGGGCTCGATCAGCCGGCTATTGTATCCAATCATCACGTTTTGATTCCCCAGTTGTGTTCTTCTCACATGATGACTTTGTTTATCAAATAACATGGTTGAATGTTGTATGAACTCCGCCCTATTACCACATAATACGACAGAATTTCCGTGCAGCACTCACTTTGAAGTGAAAATAGCATTGACTTACATTAAGATCAAACTCAGAATCCACAGCAAAGAAAAGCGTTTTCATTGAATATGATTCATTGATCAGTTTAAATGCCCAAGTATATTTCATAACCTCCTGTGCATCACATACGCTGCATAAAACAAAAAGAGTAGGTTAATTTGACCATAATTCATGACACAGTCTTAATTCTTCATCAGCCCAGAGCTGCACATTTACCTTGACTACACCTTTGATTGAACAAGAAGAAACGAAAAGAAAAAGAAGAAACAGAATGAATGAAAGACATGGAAAACCATGTCATAGATTTCGGAACGAGCAGGAAACGAGTCTTCTGCTATGGCAGTTGCCTCCATTAACGCTCCATGCCAGATTCGGCGGAGACGAATCTGGTTCTGCTTCACAGTACTCAATAGGCTTTAAGATACATAGTGTACCTGTAATTCGTCAACGGGAACACCTCAGCATAGTTGTCGTCACCAGAATGCTTGTACAGATAAAGGCATCCAGAATGCAAGATCATGTAATACCATGGCCCTGCCAGGATAAAAAATTATCATCCAGTAAGACAGTATAAAGTGTGTAATGTAGTTCGTTTACACTTTTCGCCTTGTGCAAATTTAGTTCAGAGTGGTTGTGATTAATAAAAGTTATTAAGAGAGAGTAAAGTGAAGATGAATGAATGTTGACCGAAGCATTCGAAGTCCAGAAGAACACAAAATAAAGGATGGTCAACATGCAGCCATCTTGAACTTATCTACTAGGCTAAAGGATTTCTCTTTTGCTTAAAAAATGATTGGCCCACAAAGCAGGGTAAATATTCGTCACCACAGCGGGAATTTACTTAACTCTTCCCCAACCTTCTTTGATTAAAATGATACTTACAACCGAGGGCTTTGATCATCGTTCGTAAGCCTGAAGTGCTCTCTTTCATGACCCAGCCGGAGCAGCTGGCACCAGTGCTGAGTAATTCCTGAGCCGAAATGTTAGCATATGGTTCAACAACTTTTGCCATCTACAACGAAGACTTTATGAAGCCAACAGTACAAAATGGGGGAATACCCCGATAAGGCCGGTAATGTAGGAAACACGTGACCAAGATGGCAAGAATCAACTAGAAAGAAAAGAAGATTTTTCAGAATGAGGAAGGCTTAAATGAGTTGTAAGCAATAATATTGAAATTTCTGGCCGAATTTTAATCTTTACAAATCGTTTCTTAGATCATTTGATAATCTATTGAACTTGGGAGTATCCCGCCATGTTGGATTTGCTCTAAGGAGAGTTAAAGCTCGAAACATCAGGTTTAGAATATCGTTTCGATTGCTAATTAGTAAAATAAACCCCCGCCTGTTTGGTATGTCGGCCGAGAATTGAATACTTGGCAAAGAGGCGAAGCTTCGAAGGCAAATGTAAGATTTTGAGCAAACATCTCTGCCAAGGACATTACCAGTTGACAAATCAACGAGCCAGAAGAGGTTGAATGATTTTATAACCTACCAGAAATGTGCCACTAATTGCCGCATCGCGCGTTGACAGCACAATTTGTTTACGTTTTTGTAATTTTCAGAGCAGCATTCGAGATCAGTTTTTAATGTCTCTAGCGCAAGACTCTACAAAACGAGTTCGTTTTCCTTCCATGTAATGTAACAAAGATGAGAAAGTGAAACTCTTGAGATGGCTCTTCCCGCTAGCTTTGTTCTTTTCGACGGAAATAATTGGAAGACAAATATCGTTGTGACTGAGGGTTATTGTGAGCCGGTTAACTGTCCAGTGTTTTTTCACCACGTGATGTAATTGAGCCAATAGAATCGCCTGAGAATTAATGGTGGGTCATAATTTTATGATTAAATCAGTCGACAAAGCAAATTATCCTGATATATTCCGCAACGATTTTGCACCACAGCCTTAAAAGAAACGATTTCTTTATAAAAAATTTCTCTCATTATCCTGCTGGTTTCTTCTGAAGACAAGTCTCTTAAAAACCCCAATTAAGAGGAAGTCGATTGACCCAACGCTGCCATCACTAATATAATTAGAAATTCACAGCAGTTTCGAGTTTATTTTCGATATATCATTAGCATATGACACCGAAAGTCGTAAAAAGTCTTCTTGAAGCTCTAAAGTGGTAAATATCCCTTCTTCAATATCATGAAGGGTGATGAACAAGAAACTTCATGAAAAAGGCAGTCGCTATGACTATTGGATGGTTGGAATATTGCGAATGTTTGGAATAACGTTTGATATTTCATTGAAGTAAATAAAACAGAAGGTTATATACGTCATGTAAAACTAGCCTTAGATCATATTTATATTTGTCACAATGATAAGATGCTCCAAATGAAAGTATCGACTATAGGCCCGGTAATGAAACTTGCTAGTAACGGTAAAGTGTATGTATTTGCGATATTCTTGCGATATTTAGACAGGCTGGCCCAGTTCAGCTCAAGGCTGGTTTAAATGGGAGCCTGTGTAAACAATGACAAGGCTAGACCATAACAATGAGAGCTACTTCCCCTAATCTTTACGAGAAGTGAGAAGGTTCTTTAACGTCCCCTGCTAACCAGTACAGAGAAAAGACAATAGATGGGGCCCACGGTTTATCGTCCTTATCCGAGAAGACTAGAATTTAAAACATAATTTGTCATTCAAAATTGAGCTCCATCCCCGTCAAAGTATTGTTACAAAGTGTACCGAATTGTGACGTTAGTTGTTTTTATGCGAGTTATAAAGCCGATTAAATATCTACGTGGTCATTCTACCAACTACAAACTAATTCATTAGCTGGGTCTTTCGTTTCATCGGCCACAGCTGAATGGTTCGAAGAACCATGTACACCAGATCTTGTAATAAATCCATTTTCTTATATTTAAACAGGAAGTTCGCGCCGATTGATGAAATTTCATTTTCATCGCCGAAAAAGGTCTTAAGTTTTACCCTTTGTTAATAAATCGGCAGAAATTAACGTAAAAAGTGAGACAGACATTCAATGCACACACTATTGTACGCCACAACTGGTAGTTTTGCCCGAAGAACAAAGTGGAAATTGAACATCTATTTACTAAATAATGCACAAACACAACCACGATATAACAGAAGGTCAGCGCTAGAAAAAAAGCGATTTAAAGATGAGGAAGAAATCCAATGTACTATCATTGATGTTCCGCAACAGGATTTTCCGTTCTATTAATTCCTTTTTGTCATACGTTTGATGAAATTTAAGAAGCCTGTAAAAGTTTTGTTCTTTACGACATAAATGTACTCACCGCTGATGACAAGTATCCCCTGATGAATAATGCTCGAATGATATCCAAAACCAAATGGACAATTCAGTTTCGTAATGCAGAAAGCCACTTGGTATTGACGAATTTTAGGTGCTCTAAGTGAAGTCAACGATTCGCACTCAAAGCATAAATTTTCCAGTTAACTGAACGAGAGTCATTGATCAATTGCTCAGCAATAAAATTCCAATTCAGCTCTGCTGTGATCTATGTTGTTTACTTCCGATGGAAAACAACATATAGAATTATGAAACCTAAATATTTTTAGCTTTTCCGAGACAAATAGAAAGGACGGGCCTTGGTACCGAGTAAAGTTCCAGGCGAATATGCCATGACGGAGTTCCCAAACAAAGCTCTTCGGAATATCACTATGGTGATAAAAGAAGTACCTTCTCTTAAGGGTTGCATCCCTTTCACCTCATGATCCCAAAGAGACACACTGTTTCCTAAGATCTTCGAGTTTTTACAAAGAAAATAGAGCAGACTCTCAATCAACCAAAAGAGAAACAAAAGCTGCAGACTATTGCCAACTAACTGGCAATCGTGTGCAGCTCATAAAACAACCAATTAAGACAGAAAGTAAAATAGACGCAAACGGTATTGAAAATATATTATTTGAAAATTTCGTACGGTCCGTTATCATACATTGAGTGCAAAAATTTGTTTTCCGTAGTCACGTAGTCAAATTTAGGGGGGCCATCGTGTGATGGAGAAAAGAAACGCATGAAGAAATTAAATTGAGAATTAATTTACGCTGTGGTCCATTCTGATGTGCAAGATGCCGCCAAGTCCAAGGAACTAAACTCGAAAAACAGCGGTGGAGGTGGGTGCTCTTAACGCAACTCCCATAATGCGAACTTCCCATGGGGAACGCCCTTTGAGCGGACACTCTCATCTGAACACTTAGTGCCCCGGATAAGGGTTCCTCAACGAACGGACGACATAGTAAACTTGATAATGAAAATTTCTCGAGTTGAATTAATATTGCTTCACAGTTATATCATATTTCTGAAAAAATCTAAACCTACACGCGTACGGGCTTTCTGTATGCTCCTCTATTGTGGTCTACTTAATTGGTCGTCCACTCCGTGGACAGGGGAGCAGGTCCATAATTATGAAAGACCTGGATAAGAAAGCGAGTTACAGCAATAAAGTAAATATTTCGAAGGCTGCGCTGCGCCTTCAGTCTTCCTTCTTACAAGAGAAGTGCACAAACGAGAATTGCCATTGCTTGCAATCCTAACAAGCACTCGATTTACTTGTAAGTTTTCTTTTTTCATTTTGAAAATTCTTCTCCCGTCGCGTCGTGTGCATTGATCATGATCGAAAGGGCCTCGTGAGTTTTGAGTCACACTTAGGCAGGTTGAAGTCGTGGTAATGCTCTATCATTTCCTCTAGTTTATCAAATCTTGGCCCTTCAGGTTGCAGAGCGTACCCTTGATTCTGTGGACGAGAAGCGACAAGTTTTACGATTTTGTGAATGGAAGAGAAAAACGATGTAACTCTAAGATTTCCTCAGTTGCTTTCTCATACCTGATCATGGAATATCACATAATGACGAATTCGGTCACCAGTACACACCGACAACGCCTGCACAAAAGAAATAACTGCATATGAGGAACGTTTTCTTAGAGTGCCTATTTTATTTTGTTTAATTTTTAGCTTAATGTGTCATGTATTCTATACAAGGTCTTTTCCACGTATAATTTTGGCAACATGGCCGGCTGACCTGAGGAGTTGTGTAACAACATCCGTATGTGGTGAGGCTTTTCATAAGAGGTAGTGGTTTGCGTAATAAGTGGTTTGGAAAGGTGGTAATCTGATAGACCCAGGTTTAATTCTCCTATTGAACTCAGCCCCATTGTCCCCCCGCGTTTCCGAGTTCAGTTTTTCCGCTGTGACTTGCAAAAAACCGGAACATTTAAGTCAAATTGATTTTCAAAAAAAACAATATTTAACTACTTTTAGAACGGTCAGTCAATACAAGGTATGAAACCATCAGTTTACTAAGAATGTTAGCCACTAGAATACGTGGCTCTGGTAACAACGGGCAGTATGTACGAAGGACAGGAAGGTAACCAACATCACGTGAGTCCGTAAGTTACAAAACGTCCCCTCAAATTGAACCTCACTAATCTGAAAACTGGCCTATTATTATCAACATGGGCAATGTTTCCAGTATGAGGGTTTGTTGCTTTTCATTATCTTAAATTATGAGACACTCAGCCAAAGCTGATCTTTCCCAATAAAGTTTCAAAGTGAATCACGTTTAAGGCTTGGGACCACCCCACTCCCTACCCCCCTCCCCACCCCCGTCTCCGCCTCACCTTACGGGGGGAGGGTGCGGCTACACGTAGGCTAAAACAAAGATTAAATAATTATGTATGTTCTTACCATCTTTGACTGTGCAGTTTGGCTATTACGCACAATATAAACGCCATATTTGTTCTCAAGAAGGCTACGGCAAGAGCAAGAAAAAAAGAAGGAAAGCTACTTGTAAGTGAATTCAGATCATCATCGCCAGCAGTTCTCAAACATTTGAACCTCATCATGAAAAAAAAGAGAAGCGAATTTTACTCACGAATTGACCTCCGTCTTGTCTAAGTCAAGTAGCAATGCTGAAGACGGAAGGACTCCCTTCAAATGAGGAGAGAAAATAGGCAACAGAAAAGTCGTAAGGAAAATAAAGCTTTATCCTTAAAACGATTCATGAAGTGGGAATCTATTGCATACCCTCTGGGAGAGGTTTTTCGCTTCAGTGAGGTTTCACATCCTCAAAGGGTGTGGTTAATAAAATGAATACCTTCCCTATACAAGTTGGTTATTCAGGTTGTTCTTCGAAGTTCATCATGAGCTAAACCTTTAGCCAAATATGTGGACTGTTTATTAGATACAGTAGTATTTATTAGATATTAGTAGTAATGCGAGAATTCCACTCTTCAACAATGGTGGAAATGAGACCTAGTGAGACGACTACCGTTAAACTATAAGAAGCTCAGTTCTAATGCGTTGTTTGTGATGTAAATCAAGTCTAACTTCAAAATGATATAAACCTTTTGCACGTTGTGCAGTTAAAAAAGTAGATTTTGATTCATGGCACTAGGGAGCATTCTAGGTTCGCGGCGCAAAACATAGCATTGAATTAAACACAAGCTAAATCGTGCTCATTTCTCATCTTTACAAGTATGCGCTTTCTTTAACTTTTTCAATCAAACAGCTCGTCCAGAGTGCCTAAGGAAAAACAAACCTATCTTATACAATTCTATTGTACAGTTTATAAGATCGGTATTAGAATACTGTACACCTACTTTCCACCATAGCCTTCCTGAGTACCTTAATGAAGACCTCGAGCATGTCCAGAAAAGAGCCATGTCAATAATCGCGCCTTCTCAATCGTATAAACAATCCCTAGATAGCTATGGACTCTGTACCCTACGCCAAAGACGCGATGATGACTGCTCTAAGCTATTTGGTGGCATCACCAAATCGAACGATCTCAGTCTCGCACATCTACTCCCCCCACGTCAACAAGGCTCATATAGCTTGAGAAGCAAAAAAACTTTCAATCCGCCACAATTTCACACTAACCGTTTCAAAAACTCATTCATCCCGGCCAGGTGCCAACGAGTAAATAGCAATGTTTCGTAGCCAGTAATTTGTACGGAGCACTGCAGTTATATAGAGACCCTTTGTAAATAGCCCTAGTTTTAATTGTACTATGTTTATATTGTAAATAATTATTCAATTCAGCCTTTGGCTGTGAGTTATTCCTTTTAAATTATCTATCTATCTAAAAAACAAAATAACATTTTGGAAACTCACCTCCTTGTGTTTGACTTTAAAGCTCTGTCCATCAGGGTCACCTCTGTTACAGACAAAGACACTATCAATGCACATATCATCGATGAGGAAGTTTACCCTGGATATCTCTTTTTGCATTTGCTTACCTTCCGAGCTTTATTGGTTTGCGAAGAGCTGCTGGGCCAGCTTTAGGAGGGGGTGGTAAAGTGGACGCAGAGCCTGAAAAGCATAATTTTTTAAGAATCAGTGAAAACTATTTTGACGCTGCGTACGCAGCAACGGTAACAAAATTAACATACACTTAATTTTACTTAGGTGCATAATTACAAAAAAAGACTGTATTCTCCCTTATGGCCATAACACACTGAGTAACATCTAGAACAACACTGAAAAGTACTTTCACCAAAAGGATCAAACAAAAACACGCGCGGAAACTAAGTAAAAAAATAGCCTTCCTCCAAGTCATAGAAGGTTACCAAATTTAGATTCATGAGAAAAATATGCCAAAAAAAAGGGGATGGCAAAAGATGGGCGATGCAAATGACTGGCTTGGAAAGTGTAAGCTTTTCCACATGAAAAAAGATGAAGCAGCCTCTTTTACCTCCGATCTCCAAAAAACTAATGCTCAGCCGTAATTACATTCAAAATGCTTGAGTTAAAGAGACTGCTTTCGAATTTCCAGTCCGCCTTTTTCTTTCAACGTAATAAAGAACATGTTACCTCTCATATCAGTAGGATTTACTTTGGCTTTTTGAAGTTGATTAATTACGTCCTCATATCCCTGAGGATTGAGACCAGATGAATCTGATGAACGTCCTGGAAATCTCCCCATTGTTACTGGGCTTGATTGTGTAGCCCTCGCAGGTGGGCGAGACAGTATTGCGGGCTTCAGATTAGGAGGTGGTTTTCTTGCAGGTTCTGGTTTCTCGTGTCCTGGAGGGGGAGGCAATGGCTTTTGCGATATATCAGGAAGGGAAGGCAATGGCTTTTGCCGTAGATCAGTAGAGGTAAATGAACAAGAATGACGTCGTCTAGTATCCGGAAGAGGTGCAGGCGGTCTTTCTCTTAGTTGGAATGTTTGGACACGACTCGGTGGTTTGGATGGTACGTCATCGTCGATAGAACAGTATCCGTCAGCGTCGTCTGCCCTGTAAAGCAGTATACATTTCAACAATATCACAGCTTTGCAAACCCTTATCGTCTCCCTTCTCTTACAGCTGATTTATCAAGGAACATTTGAGGCAGCGCGATGCAGAATATAAAGAAAAAATATATCATGTTTGAATAGTTTATTTTGAAATAGGTTTTTTTAGATCTCTAGCACTCGATAGTGCATCGTTCATTTATTGTCAATTCCTAATAACTTAACCTACACAACTGAAGCATTTTACTCTTTTACTTCAATGTCGCCTTCGTCACCTACCACGATGAATCACCGCAATATTTTTCCATGTCTCTTGCTATAGCGTCTTGCCATTTCTGTCAAAAATCAAACAGTTTGAACTTTCATTCATAAGAAGGAAACAGTTATTTCCAAAGCTAATTTGAATTACATCAACCAATTTATTCCTCTAGGCATACAGGCAGTGTTACGGAGGGCTAATTAAGTTTGATGTCTAAATGAGCTATCGTAGTTTTAATAAATTCGAATTGAAATTTCAAATTTTAACATATGATAAGTAATCTGGAGTCTGAAACGGGCCGGAATGTGTGGGGTTGGCTTTTGATTGCATCGCATTGTATTCCTCAAATTTGTGGTTTCAAGCTACTTTTTTAATATTCTACAGCTGTGAAAATTCTTGCCTGCTTGACTTTTCCAGGTCTCCATTGCGTTGCGGCAACGTCTCATTACTAAGTTGTTTTGTTTCTTTGTAAGTTTATCGCAATTCCAGCCGCTCAATGGTAATTTTGTGGCATAAAATTACATCTCGCTAGAAACATGTTTGAGTGTTTCAATTTGCCACGTGTTTAGGCAGTTGTAATGGCAACATATTAAATACTTGCCTTTAAATCAAAATCTGTGTCTACAGCAAACACTAACGTCTTGACGTCACATGACTTAGTATGAATCAGTTTGAAAACCCACGGGTACTTAGATTTCTCAGGAGCATTACACACTCTGAAAGAATATAAAGACAGTTGACTTTTTCCGAACCTCAAGCAGTGGAAATACCCAACTTTACTCTTAACCCCTACGTCATTAAATTCTCAAATAGGTACAGTGGAACCTCTATTAAACGAAGTGCTAAGGAACTGGGAAAATTGGTTCGTTATATTGAAGGTTCGTTATATCGAAAAGCTCGATTTAACGAATTTGCGGAAAAACAACCAAAATGTTTTGTTATATCGAGGGATGGTTAATAGTTGTTGTTTTGTTTTGTCTTGTTTTTGTTTGTTTTTTGTTGTTGTTGCTGTTGTTGTTTTTTTTGGTGTGACAACGTGCTACCCAGCATTTTAGGATGGAAACGATTACCGTAAATATATAACCATAAATATAAATAGTAATGTATTTTCAACGCCCCACTCAAATTAATGTCTGTTTTACCATCGAATTCTCTACGGAAAAAGCACTCAATGTACCTCTGAAATATTAAACTGTAATAGGTTTCTGTTTCGCAATTTTCTAACTTGAAGGTAAAGTTTTTCCCTCGTCATTTTTACCTTTTCTCCGAGCGGTTGCGTGAAATTAACAAGTTTTTGATCAAAAACACCGAGGACAAATATCTCTTTTACGAGGCGCAAGCCAGAATCAAAAAGAGACAAAAAATTTCGAGGATAAAGGGGTTAGGATCTCAAACCGATGTTCGTCTATTTGATATGTTTACGCTTTAATGTCTGTGTCTATAGATGTGTCTATGGTGTTTCTAAAGTGTAAAGCGGATCTCAAGATGTGTCATTCTTAGATGTGTCTGTTAACTTTTATGGAAACTTGTTGTTCTATTGGTACAGAATTGAAGGATTTTGATTCTTGTTGGTCTGTTTCGTATTTGTCTTTTGTCACGTGATAACATTTGTTCGTTATATCGGGGTATATTATACGTTTGGGCTTCTGGATTGCGTTCGTTATATCGAGGTTCTGTCCCATACATTTACTGTAATTTTGGCCGGGCTAAAGAGTATCGTTAATTATACCGAGAACTTGGTTATATAGAGGTTTGTTACATCGAGGTTCTAGTGTACCTGAAGTTGCTGAGAGGGACTGCCTCACAAAAGTTTTGGTCATCGGATTGTTTGAATAAGTACAGACATCCTTTACTGAGGATCATATAACGCCAGGGCCCTAAAACGTAAAACAATCTTTGCATGATTTCTTCGTTGTGGTAGTAGCTATATTAACTGATAGATTCTAAGTAACCTTGCAGCAAATGTAACTACCGTATAACTGGAAAGTTTTTAAATTGTTCCAGCCTGATATTTTTACTTGAATGGTAGTAGTAATTTTGTGGGTTTACTTTCTTTTTTACATTATTTCACCTTGTTTACTGTCACAGGTTTGCATTAGCCTAGGTAATTCGAATCAAACCTGCATCTTTCTTCATTTATTTTAAGATGCTGCTGGGCTGACCTTCGTTTCGTTTCTTGGAAATTTTCATTTGTTCTAGCCTGATATTTTTACTTGAATTGTAGTAGTATTTTTGTAGGTTTACTCTCTTTTATCTTATTTTATTTTGCTCACTGTCATGCGTCTTATACATGAGCCCCTGGCTTGGATACACAGGACTACCTAATCCCATGTACTAACTTAATAAATAAACTAATTGATTCATTGATTACGTCTGTTCAGTAATAGATCACCGATGGCGTCAAAATGTGGTAAGACGAAAAAAGTGGCACATGAGGCGTAGCCGAGTGTGTCACTAATTTTCTTGACACATCTTGACGTCTTCTGTGATCTATTAGCGAAGAAACCCGCGGAAATATGAAATCTATCTGTTTTGTATAATAAAGAAGCAAGAATTGTCAATAATTTTATCCATGCGTCTGTCCTCCATTAGTTCGTTAGTGGGAACCAATCAAAACACGTGCATAATTCAGCTCAATTATACAATGAAGAACATAATCCGATGGAAAACTTTTTTTCTTCAAGCATTTCTTCGCTGTATTTTATGCCATTATTCATAAGGATGGTAGAGTTTCTTATGATGTTTCTATTCAAGTTTTTGGACTTTCTCAGGTTATGCTTTCATTTTATTATTATTAGTTTATTTGTCTGTTTGTTAGTTCGTTTGTTTTGCATTTTTTGCTATACTTTTTAGAATGTTCGTGACTTCCAGTACTTACAGTCAAGTGCTTTCACCATCGATCGTATTCCTGCAGTCTCCTCCTTTCTAACCCATCCGAACAACCCGGGGGTATTTTTCAGCAACTCTTGCGCTGAAATGTTAGCGAATGGTTCAACAACTGGCGCGGAACGAGCCATGCTTGCTACCAATTGATCAGGGCTTTTGCCTATGATAAACACAGTTATTTCATATCAGCTATATCAGCTCAAACAGATAAATGTTGTAGTATGCAGTAAGCCCGTCAGATATGAACTTAGTCCATGGTCCAGCTCACCAATGAGTTACCTGCAGCTCAGTAGGTAGAGTATTGAACCAGGACATCTCATCGAGATTTGCATTAGCTTAGGTAATCCGAATCAAATTTGCATCTTTCTTCGTTTAATTAAAGAAGCTGAACGGCTGATCTTCGTTTCGTTCACTTCATTTCCACAAGCGAGGATTCCTTTTTATGAAATTGCTAATTTCATTTTTCTGATACATTCGATGCAAAGGCAAAGATGCCTTAACAATGACAATAACGAATTACAAATTAAGTTTCGTTTACAGAAGAGCCCGTTTGAAATTCTTCACGAGGATTTTTACGTGCATCAGAGATCCTCTGAGACTGATCTTTCAAAAGGTCATCGATTTATCTTCTCTCTTCTCAACGAGGCATTAAAGATCTGCCAAGAATCTTGCCAAGACAGTAACAAACGATATTGACCTTTGTTTTGAATCATGATAGAATTCAATTAGTCACCTGCAGCTGTAGAAACACTTATATTTCGAGTTACGTTTCAGGAAAGCATGTGCAATCTGACGGAGAGGTCTTAGAGATTTCAGTCAAGAAAGATTATCATTCACAATATTGTCTAAACTTTTTCAGGATCATTATCGCGAAGATCTTGACAAGAAAAATATAAATGAAGATCCCGATAAGATCCTCTAAGAGATTTTTGAGAGATGCTGAAGATCTTGAACTGAAGAATTTTGGAAGTAAGTTGAAAACATTCTAGAGAATCCAAGCAAGTTATTGTCAGAACGTTTGGACACTAGTTATTGATTCATCCACACTTCAGTGGTCTTGGCAAAGAAAGGCAATCGTATTACATGTATAATATATAGATTTAGCCCGCACGTCTCAAGGGCACAACGCCTTGTCCCGGCCAGGACTAGAACCCGGGTCGTCCGACTCGGAGCCCAGTGCACTGACCACTGAACTACTGGACAAAGCCGTGCGTGCGTGCCTGCGGTACAGTTGACCACGCATGTGTTAAAAGTAGCACCTTGTACGGTCGTACGGTCGAACGGTCGTACGGTCGTACATCCAAATGTTTTCGGCTTGATGGGTTACTACTGTTTTGTATAATTATGGGGCTAAGCTCTGCGAGCTCCGCTATCACGTTATTTTTGAAGGCACGATGTAATAAATGCTATATTCTTGTAGATTAGAGGTCTTCGAGGATTCTTCAGGATCTTGAAAGCATTTTCTACGCTTGATAGTCATGAAAAGCACTAATTGCAAGAGTTTGTTATCCCTGTCAGCGAGCTGCCTTGGCGTCGGGAAAGAGTTTGTCAGCGTGATTAGCTGAAAGTCGCAGCAGCTACGAGCAGGGGAGTAGCGATAGCGGTACTGTAAGAAATTACGTCTGTAAGCAACCCTATTTCCGGTGTCGGTTCGGCTAACGGTATAGTTATTTATCTATCATTTATTTACTTTTTAAAAATAAGCTGACCAGCCTCCTCTCTCTTTTCTATAAACCTCTGACGAAGACGTTCTTTCGGTGTCGTGGCTATGAAACTTTTAAAGTCACGCTAGGGCTTTTCGTATTTTCTAGAGTTTCGAATGGCGTGACTTGCTATCTACACAGAAATTTGTCACGCCGATAATTGGCATTAAAGGCATTTCAATTCTTAACACGCGTACTATTGGGGGAAAGCAAAATAAATCAGAAATAGATCAGGTGTAGCGATGAACACGTCCTGGTGCTGTAATAAAAAAAACTCTCTTTCTTTTCACACCAAAGCCGTCAACGAAATGCATTGAAAGTAATGAAGTTATAAGTTATGCACCGTTGGTTCAAAATAAAGAGAGCTTTTTCAACAGTGACGTCACTCAATCTGTCACGCGAACTTTGTGCGTGAATAAATTTGCAATTCTACGAAACATCTCTATAAATTCTAGAAACTTAACACGCGATACACGGCAGGCTTTTAAAGAAATCCTTTCTTCCCTTCATACTGTACATCTCTGCAAGGTATTAGTTTGAAAAGCGTCTACAAATCTATCCAACGACTTTAACCGCCATCGCTAAAGGAAGAAACTCAGTGAAAAAGTGCGAACGAATGCAAAATGGCGTCGATTAATTATTTAACCAGGAAGCTATATCGATTTAAACGATTAACAGCCGATAGCGCGCACTCTCTTTAGTAAAAACTGAATACCATTTCCCTGTGTACACATAGTGCTACATGCAATTCAATATGGCGCTCTCAGAAAGTTTTTGCTTCATCAAACGCACGCCAATCGTTTCGTAATCAGCGGAAGCGCTGCCGTGATAAATTAGCTTATGGTGTATGTCTTCAGCAAAGTCATGAAACGTTATCTCAAGGAAGAAGAGAAAGCGTCCAAAATCTTAAGATATCCAAATATCAAACACGTGTAAATGATGTATGAGGAAATTATCACAATAACGTTTTCTCAAGCTTATATATTCTTATAATTTGCTTATGATTCAAAAGTCGAGCGTCAACATTCGCCTGAAGATTTAGTCTGATGTTATTAACGAAAGCAGTATTGATCGTCGGGAAGGATGCGAGACGTGCTTACCTGTCTTCAGCTCAAGTTAATTTCCTTCCATATTGGCTTCACAGGACGCAACTTACACAACATATATCCAAGATGTAAAAACACCACGATATCACTTCGCTCAGTCGTTCCTTCAAACAATATTTGCTTATGGCATAAATTAAGATCACTCGTCAAAGAGGTCAACAACGGATGTTAATGATACACCCGATTGACTGGAGCTGAAGCGGGCGTCTGTTGGCCATCAAATTAAGATAATGCGATTGAAAGATGTACGTCACAAAAAAAAATCACACTCCGAAATCTGCTTGCGTGGTGTCTTTGGGAAACTTTGGACATGGGTAGCTTTAAACTCAAAAGATAACGGCAAGTGACAAGAACGTGCTTTATATAGCAACATTCGAAACGTGTAAAATTAGCACCTCTAGCATCAACGGCCTTACGTACTCATTATTCCACGCAGCCCTTTTTATTTCTATGGTGTATTTTTCTTTATTTATTATTTTTTCCCCTCTCTGCGTTTTTACATTTGGACTGTTAATATTTTCACTTACACCCCAGGTCATAAAAGCAGTCGCCAAAATATTGCCAAACATTCAAACCCTATTTTTAGAAAATGTGACGTGTGACGTAATGTTTTTCCTCTGTAAACCTTATCAGTTGTTTTGGTCTCCAGATATCCAAAGGGAAACTTGAGGTGTTATCGTTATTTTGAGAAATCCTCCATCCATTCTCATACTTTAAGTAAACGCACTGCTTCATATAACAGAGAGCTGACTGAAGAGGCAGTCAAGCGAGAATTGACTCGGCTGCTTTGGTTTTCACGGGGACAAAACAACTACTCTCTGCAAATATATTAATATGAAGCCGGGGACTAGAAATTTTCTTTTCAAATAAATCTGCTCTACTAACTTAAAAGAAGTTCAATAACCGTTATGATTTCCGCTCAATCTTGTGGTGAATATGATAAATCCGTTCTTTATTAAGTTTTTATCAAGTAATGAAAGCATTCCATGCAGCTGAATGCCCAAACATTTAAAAACAAAATCAAAGATTTGTTATGCACGTGATTACAGCGTGATATAAGAAGACTTCAACCACGAAGCTTGCCAATTTCTAGTTGGCAAACTCTTGGAGGGTTATACCTGATCACTTATTAAGTTAGCGGCAGTAAACCTATCCCCAAACTTAAAGCTCGGACATTCACATTTTGGTCTTGGGAATCCTGTGTTAATTAGCTAGAGACTGGTAATGAAATAAGTCGAGCAACATGGCGAACGTGTGACGTGGGCACAGGCGCTGATTCAGTGTACTAACTGGCTTACCACAGCTATTTTCCATTGCATGGATTCAACAACAAGATCCACATAGGAAAGCGAAACGTTAATAAATCGGAGAGAAGACTTAAAAGCTACAAATTCGCGCTCAATGGCCGCTCAAATGATTGCAGGTGCACAACAAATAACTCACGGTAGGCTAAAGATCATTTAAATGTGTTCATTTTACGAGTGGTGCTTAGTTTACTTAACTTATCAACGTCAAATTGGAATGATAATTATGTAACGTAGATAAACCCCGCTGCGAGATTCATAATGTTGACATGTTGACAGAGCGTGACTTCAATACGAGTTTTTTTTAACCGGACTATGATCATAAAAATACGAAACATTAAAAAATTCATGTAAACGACATTTTGCTTTTATTCTTAATGATACAAATAACGTTTCTGCAAATAGAATATTCCTTGTAGTAACCAAAGTTTATCATCACTGCACCATTGCTGCTTGTGGGCCAACGCACGATAAACAAAATACCTTCGTGTCACGCAATCAAATCTCCTTCCCAAAGACGGGGTTTTTAGAAGGAAAACAAGGTCAAGAAATGGACTGGAACGTTTCGTGACAGTGTAAGATTGGGTTCCGAGGCGTTCTGCAACTGGTCTTGTAGACATATTTCATTGAGAGAGGCTTTTAATGGTTTAACCCTCTTGTCCATGCATGAACTTAATCATGCATGCTCTATATTCTTTGCTTCGCTTTGTGATATGTTTATAAATATCCATTGTGTTCGCGGCTACAAGAAGTGTCAAAGTTGTTTATGGAAAGTACAAATAGGGTATTAACATACACGTACTTTGCACATCTCTGTCGCTTACGCATTTTTAAGGCGCAAAAACTTACTTGGACCACTTCTCACGAGTGCACCAGTTTAGGGTAAAATTGCGTCTAAAAACATGGGTTTCTCAGTATAACTATCTTACTACGCCAACCAATAAATATAATTAAGATTTTTGGGTTGGCTTTTACCACTATACTTTAGAATCATGAACAAAATAGTAAAAAAATTAAAACGGGATTAGGGACGCACTCATTGGCGAGACTCACTGTTGTCGATCATTTCACTATTGTAGTGCTCACACGCCACTTAGACTGGTGCACATCGGTGTCTTTCTAGCTTCAGTGGGTGGTCGCTCGCGTGGAACAAAGCGCGGGTAGGTCACGTGCAGTATCGAAAGCATCGATACTTTTCGCTAATGTCGATATTTCCGTGCAGACCTCGGTATCGCCAGTATCGCATATTTGGTATCGGTGTCGGCCCAACTTTAATTAACACTAAGCTCATGGCTCATGAAGAATTTTATGCTGTTTCTCTTATTCTCCTGCTTTACACTGCGCATAGGACGCAAAGAAATGAATATGCTACTACATGAAAGGTTTGTTGGAGGAAATGCAAAATACATGCGATTTTAATAACTATCTTTAGCAAACTAAAGGCCAGGGCAAAATGGATCCTTTTACCATGATTTTTGCCGTTTTGGCCATAGATTACAAGGAAGGCGATTCCATCATGTCGTCAACATGATGATTTTTCTTCCTCGATTGTTAGACTTTCTTTGCTTCTACGTATGTAACGTTTGATCATTTGAGTTATTTTCTGCGGCATTTTTGTGTACAAATTTGTTTTATTACTTAATCAAAGCCGTTAAGCTCTTACCTGGCCTTTTGGCAAATTATGGCGCTGTTGGCAATAGTCCAGTATCCCGCTCAGGCCAAAAGCTTTGACTCGAAATCACCATTTGTTAGTTTGGAGCCAACGGTAAGAGACTAAGAAACTTTTCACATGTGTACTTACGGCAACGATGACGTCTTTGCTTTGTTAGCTTGCAAAGCAAAGATTGAAGATTAAAGACCAAAGAGCGAAGACTGAAGATCAAAGACTTGATCCCCAAAAATTTTTGAGACCTACTCAGACTACAAGGAACAAAAACGCTGAACTCGTTTTGTTCGACTGTCAGAGAAACGAAAATATTGTTAAAGAAATTCGCTTTAACGCTTTAAAAGTCTGAGGTCGAAACAAATTAGATCATTAGCATATTGATTTGAAGAAATACTCGTCACAAAACAAACATCCTCGCTAAAACTACAAATTGATGCGAAAACAGCTGACATTGGTGGAGTCTTCGCTTCGTTTGGTGGAAATCTACCTAAGCATTTAAAACGAAAACCCTCGGAAACTTCATAAAGAAGTTGGGCATAATACGTGGGAGGGTATTTTTATAGCTTGAAGAATAAAGCGAAAATCATTAAGGAAAGACTGTATAGTTTTTAGCTTCGGTGGCAGTGAAAACTTCCAGACGTCTTTAACAGTGTTCTCTTTTGTTTTTCAAAACTGAAACGAAGCTGAAATGAAAAAAAAAGAACGATCGGATTGCATTTTGTCACGAGCTGGAAAAGGTAGCGAAGTCGGAGTCTCCAGCGAGGACTCAAACCCTTAGGCCTTTGAATTTCGCGTTCCGATGGAGCATGTTATACGCTGCACGCTACACGCTGCACGCTGCACGCTACACACTACACGCTGCACGTTGCACGCTGCACGCTGTACTTTGTCCCAAGCTTGTGAAAAACAAAGTAACATCTTTTTTTTTTTTCAACCATCAAGCCCAAAGTTCGCAATACTTCTTCCTATAAATTAAAGTTTCTTATTGCAATCAAAAAATGAGATAACAGCAAATGAGAAACCTTTATCGTTTTCTCTCAGTAGAAAAAAATAGGACGATCTTACTTCAGCGGTCTACATGATTTTTCTTCAGACATGGAAATGTTTAAAATGTGTGCGTGAGCAAATTAATAAAACGTCTGTTCGAATCTATTAAAACAAGGCGTGGTTCAAAAGTCTGTTCCCATTTGATACGTGAATGAAAGGAGTGAAAAACAAAGGTATGTTATTCTTATTATTTTAAGTCTTGTAAATAGTGACACGCGTCAGTTGATGGCGCTTTCACATGTGATGTTAGATTTTCAATGTCAGTATCAATTCAATAGCTAGTAAACTGTCCGAAGCGCCAGCAAACGAGTATGAATACGTCGTCAATGGCTTTAGTTTTGCCATTCATCAAGAAAAGTAAAGGAAAATAAGTCCAATCCTGGATAATTTCGTCACAATTTAAAAGTTATTCATTCAATTTACTTGAAATCACAAGACGACGATCATTTTAAAGCGTGCGGCTAAGGCCAGGGATTATGAAATACCGTTGGAACCTTTTGTCATTTGAAACGAAATTGAGTTAATAAAAAATATGTATATTTCATAGAAGTTTCACTCAATAGTGTAAAGAAACAAAAAAAAACTTTCGAGCAAAGTTTGTACAATAAGGTCAATTTCTTCACCCTTCATTTTTATCTGAAAATACATTGTTGTTAGCCGTCTCTTCTCACCATGGATGAAAGTATAAGGTACTGCCATCGCATTCTTGATGATAAATATTGATGTTGCATTGTTGATACAGATGAAAGGTGAGTTATTTTATTTTAGTGATGAAAAAAGTTCAAAACGAAAGCTAGCATGGTTACTTTCCGGATTCAGTGCAGGAAAAAGGAATGGGGAGATACATTAAAGAGATCTCAATCATGCAAACATACCAGGGCCTTTTTTAAATTGATTAGAGACAGTGATTAGCATAAAATGCATTTCAGCAATGTGGCAACCGGCCACATTTTGCCAGGTTGAGAAAAACAAAGAATTAGCTCTAAAATTTTTCATTTTTCAAGAGCATAATTTTTAACACGAGTGCAGTCTCTGACGTGAAAGAATAGCAAGATCATTTCAAAATCGTTTCTATAGCAGGTTATGACCTCATGTAAAACGCGTCGTTTCTTTCTTGCTTGTAACAAAAGCTAAGAGCAAACAGGTGGTCAGCTGTGTAATTTAAAACCAAATTAAACAAAGCGTACAAAAAGCTTATACTTGCTAATAATTTCTAAAAGCCATTTCATTGATTCGCGAGTTGCTTGTAGAATAATCCTCTGGAGAGCAGGAAAAGGAAAAACGCTACAATGAATCCCGCGTCTTTGATTTTACTCGTGGCATTATTTTTAGTTCAAGGTAGGCCTGAATATACTGCAGTTGAAAAATAAGGTATTTTTGTAGCTTCTCTTTCATGCAGCACAAAAACGGCTCATCTTGAGTACTTCTCAGTACTCCTCTCATTCTCACCATTTCGTTTGTAAGAATATTTATCCTGCCTCTTGCACCTGATTCTTACCCTCTGTTAGTAACCCTCCCAATTCCCTTACAGTGGTAGTCGTTTGTGAAACGTCTTTTTAATGTTCTTCATTGACGTTAATTCTGTGTTAAACGTTATTTTGGATAACAAAGTTCCTACTGTAACTAAGTGTGTCTCACTTACGGATTGACCACTTTTTATTGTTAAGCTGTGAGATGCAAACATCGCCAATGCTCTTTTTCTGTCAGAAATATGACTCATTTTTGCATTCTTATTTTAAAGCTGAATGTTTCTCTTAAATGTAAGTACATATTACTGAATCGACCGAGTATGTTGAAACCGAAGGTTGTCAACGTTAGTGATGAACTGGCACCGAAATTTTTTATGGTGCGAAAGTTGTGTGCCAATTCCTTGCGCGTGAACACGATGTAAAAAAAAAAAAGCTAAAAGAGACAATATTAATGCACCATGCACTATACATATCGTATTTTGAAATCCCTATGGGAAGCGGTCGAAAAACTAAAGGTTTATTAGCATTTTTTGTACCTTTTTTATTGTTATACCATAAAATTTTCCATTATTTAATGTCCTCTGAATGTTAGTGTTTATACCACCAATCCAATCAGTACACATTATTTACGCACTTCTCACAGCTACACAATGTGTCTAAACACTAAAGGTTGCCAAGAGCTGTGTTCTGGCACCGAAAATATTAATCAAGGAAACATGGCGTGTTCCCTTTGCATTGTACAAAGAAGGGCATGACATGTTTAACCATTACTCTTTAACTCGTTGTGTCAAAAAGGAAAAATATCAGCTCTTGAAATTTAAGAACTGAATTGGATTAAACGTTTGCCGAATTAGAAGAAAAAAAGAAAGAATTGGTCTAAATATTCACACAACATGTTCATGCTTATGTCCTGTCATTGGCATTCACGGCTAAAGGTTAGTAGTGACGTCCAAAAGATGACGCAACCTGTAATTTAAAACGAAAGCCATGTATTTTCTTATAGCGTTCTTTCATGATTGCAGACCATTATACAACATAGGCATGCTATGCATGCAAAATTTATTTTTTTTAGGATGGGTGCATTAATTGAAACATTGTAAATGATGTCTACATTTTTACGAAAGGAAAGAGGATTAACGCGAAAAAGAACGAAAATTTCGAATTAACTCACACACGGGTATTTTGTAAATAAAATTATAAATAAATTTTTGTCCTAAAAAATTAACTGGAGAGCAGCAGCGCAAAATTGTTCCCATAAAAGGAATGTTACTTCAACGAAGTTCGTCTGACCATCAGCACAGACTTCTTTTCGGTAATTTCACTGTAGAAGCTAGATTTTGACGTTTCATAAGATACCAAGCTTGTAATAAACGGCAATGTGAGGGAAGTAAAAATTAAAGCAGAACATCTCTGTCATGTTTTTGCACAGGGAAGCCTTTTTTTAGGGACTATAATTTTAGAACATAACTTATAATTCAAATAAGAATAATAACGATTAATAATTATGAACAAATTGTTTATTAAATTACAGGCAGATTTTTAAACTTTTATGCATTATTAAATCTACGCTTTTTCATCTTTGTTGTTCCTGATGGACTGTCGATCCCAAAAAATAATCAAAAACTGTAAAATGGCAGTAAAGCTGCTTTTCCCATTTTTCTCTCTGAAAAAGTTCACCAAAAAAACTTCTCCTTTCTGCCGTTAGTGTGCCGATCTTGCAAAACAGGTGTTGTGTTATCATCGTTACCATCATTCGCTTTACTGACGTTATCATTATTATTATGACTATCATTTTATTACCACTGATGGCGTCATTTTGCAGTGTATTTGTTTGAAATACTCAAGTTGTACTATTTACAGCCTTATTTTTGCCGCTGACAAATCAGTCTTTTCCATTAACTACTTGCAGAAAGTCACTGTGAGCCCCATTACGTGACCAATTTGAAGAAGTACTTTAATGATGGATACTACACAGGAACTTACTACAAAAAAATATCGTCGAAAGAAGGTAGGTCATTTACTTTCTTTTTTTCTTTTAAAAATAGATTTATCTTCCTTCTTGTTCTGACAGCTTAACGCCGCCAGAAGAGAGAAGAAATCCAACCACCAATTTTAACTCCCTCCCCCCCCCGCCGAGTGTCTGAATAAAAGGCTAAAAGGCCCTCAAGATCACATTGCAGATCACAAAATAAAATTATTGACCATTCTCGGCTAAGAGCACGTCTCAATTAAGTCACTGATGATTCATCTCCACTTTCTGAGAGGAAAAGAAACAAAAACGAGTGAAAACAAACTGCTCAGATCAACAAAAACATGCGTTTAAAGAAAAGATGTTCTCAGATGCATTTAGTTAAGACTGCTTTTTCTGCGAAGTTTAAGCCAGTAACCCTAAGTCGGTACAACAAAGTAACAAACTTTGATTATCACTTTATTGGGATTTTGTTGGTTGGCTTCTACATCAAAATTTGAGATCAAGTCTCAGTAAAAATGAAAATATTGACAACGATTTTTCCGTTTTTGGTTAGAGCTGGAAACCGAAGCCAAGGAAGCATTTCGCGAATTTCTGATAGCTATGAAGTATAAAGATATTGAACGGTTCTTCAACGAGTGGAAGATGACATTTGAGAGCGATGGACCGTTCACATCTGAACAGGATCTCGGTAATCTGGAGAAGGCAATGACTGATCCTGATGATTTTATGGTAGGAACATTGCTAAAGAGTTTTATTGAAATAAGCCAATGGTGTGTAGGGGAAAAGAGCGTGAATTTTCAAAAAGAAATTTTAAAAAATTTTACAACTGGAGTTCAAGTTTTGAAAATGTCAATTGTGAAAAGTGGTCTCACTTGCTAAGGAAAACAAACGAATCAAAACTATTTTATGTTCAAAATAACATTAGAACTTTTATGCGTTTTATTTCCCAACAACCAAATCATTTTGTCAAAAAATATTTTGGATCTCGAGTAACTTATTTTCACAAATATGAAAGAATGTCTTTTAAGCAAACACGATCATACAAGCTTCTTACCGTTTAATCTGTAATAAGCGGCACCATATAAAGCGCTCACCCTGTATTAAGCGGTGCGTTTTCAAATTCCCGACACCTTTTACCCTTAAAGGGGGACCACTCGATAAAACTTAGAGTAATCTTTCAAGTTTTTATCTCCCGAAATCAAAGTCAGTAGTATTTTTGAGCCAGTTTTTGTTCATTGAATGGTAAATAATGGCATAAGTTGACGTTTTTTTTATAATAATCTTAATCTGTGGAACCTGTTTCAAGTGGTCACCGCGCCATTCCCTTAGGTGACCGTCTAATATATGTTCGACTGTACCTTTTTTAGGCTCGTAGTGGTTCACGTTGGTGTTGATAAAAAAAATTACAATTTTTGACAACAGCTTGCTGAAACCACTTCGTTTCAAACAACCATGATGAACAGTACTGACAGCATTTAGAAGGATATAAGAACACAGTCCCAAGCGAAAAGATTTCTGAACGCCCAGCTTCAGTTTTAATCTCTTTTTGTTTTTTTCTTATCTGCTATAAATGTTTTCACCGAAAGACAAGATTGTATATTGGTGATCTTCTTACCAATCGAGATGACGCAGATCAAGCAACAGACGCTTACAAAGAAGCATTTGTGTCAAAGGACGATAAAAGAGTAAGTTATGGCATAAGCACAACTGGACGTATAAGTAAAATGTTCTTTTGGTATTAGTATTATTATTATCATCATTACCAATATCATTATCTTTGTCAATATCATTATCATCATTACCATTGTCATTTTCATTATCACTATCACTATCACGATTGCTATCATCATCATCATCATTACCATTATCATTATCATTAGTATCATCATCATTATCATTATCATTATCATTACCATTACCATTACCATTACCATTATCATTGTCATAGCCATTGCCATTGCCATTGCCATTGCCATTGCCATTATCATTATCACTATCATTATCATGATTATCATTATTACATGTAATAATATTAAATATGAAAAAAAGGTGATAGCCTAAAAAATAAATAAGTCTTGAATAGGAAATGAGTAAACATTCGTCCCCCTTTAAAAAATAATTTCCATTTGATCTCTTGTTTTAAATTTCTCAATAACTGTTGACAATTCTCTTCAAACATCTACGAAAAAGAAGACTGGCAATGTATAACAGTGTACACTATTAACCTTGATGATTGTATCATAGGTGGCATTGTTCTACCTGGGAGATGAGGACATCATGCATGGAGTGTTGGCAGCTGGAGTCAGATCCAACATGGATGCTGTCTTTTTAGTTTTTCTTATCGATTGAACATCGAAAATTATCATCTACTTCTTATTGGGAGAAATAAAACACTTAACGCGCTGATCACTGATTTGTTCTTTAATAGATCCAGTTAAGTTTACCCTGTCTCCGATTTCTCTTTCTCAAGAAATCGGGGAATAATTTTGAATTGCTATAAAACTCTGACAGCTGGAACGCATGAAGTGGAATAAGGCACTCCCTCTTCTTTTGTGTATCTTTTATAGTTATTGTGACAAACCCTCCTTCGAGAGATAGTTTTTCGTGTATGCAAGGGGCAATTACGCTCTGGCTATAACTTCTGCGTCCCCTTGTTCTATAATAGACTACATGCTGCCACACTAAATTCATAGTTTCTAAATTCAGTCGAACTCCTAGCTTACGTGAGGAAAATTTCACTGGCACTTCAATTGCGATTGTTCCCAGGGAGAATAGCGATCAGTGTCTGGTGATGAGCGTAATCCGCATATTCATATAATTTTTATATGCCATCTCGGTTTCTCGTTCTCCGATGATTCAAACTTTATGGGGAACACTAAATGGGGGCAATATATTATTTTGATAATTTTTTTCTGATTAAAATCACAAAAGCTGGTACAATACAGAGCCCACACTGACGCAAAGATGACACTAATCACCCCCTGAATAGTAACCAAAAATTACTTCTCCTTGACTTGAATTACGGACTATGATAATAATTGTGCGAAACTTTTGCCACTCCAACAATCGAACAGACCCTGCCTAAATTAATTGGTAACAACAAGTATAAGTTTGCACTCGTTTAAATTACTACGTAACAAAAGAAAAAGACAGGTCCGTCACAAATTCTATTTAAGCACTATGTCTTGATGGCCACCTTGATAAAAATCCTCCAGAAGTGATGTGGGTGTTACAAAAAAGTTTCCACGTATTGTGTCAATAGAGTTATTCCAGAGGTTAGTTTACACTTTTGACCTACATGATCGATTTGAAGACTTATCAGACTCTGACGCGACAAGTACAACTAGTATGTATCACAAGCAGCTTCTCGGACGAAAAGAAATAACTTGACCGTGTTTTGCCAAAGAACAACTATAACAAAGACTTCATGACGAAACACTCACCGACCCACTACAACTACCGAAACAAACGACACCGAAAATCTTACGACTACAGCGACTACACCGTACATAAAGAGCATGTCTGAGAACATCTCGCGCATCCTAAAACCGTTCAATAACCGCATCGCCCACAAACCCATCACTACACAACGTCAGTTACGGACAAATGTTCAAGAATAGAACGAACTGAGGAACAGACAGGGAGTGGTTTATGAGATCAATTTTTCCGACTGCCACGCCTCTCACACCAGAGAGACTGGCAGAAACCTCATAATTAGACAAACTGAACACAAGGGAGTGACGAGGAAAGGTGATATCAATAATCATCGATTGAACATCATCGACTTATGAACCACACTATTGACTGGGACTCTGCGCAATGCCTTACCTACAGCACAAACTACTTTCAACGACTGACTCTGGAGAGCTGGTTTACTAACCTAAAACAAACCCTCAACAGGTGTCAACTACCACTGGCACCATACAAACGACTTATTCGCGACATCAACATTACAAACGATCCGAACAGAACGACCTAACGTTACCAATGGATCGAAACAGACCAATCACGACCAACATACGCCACGGGTCTTACAGCCAATAACGTCAGGGCGAAACTGACCAATAAGTTTATACGAACCGAACTTAGAACATTCGACTGACAACAATTATTTACCTAACTCTGATGATGACTTCCACTCAGGTTGTCGAAACGTTAGTCACCACTACTAACAACAGTCCTTCTCAGGAATACACTCATCCGGACGATCAGACTAATTTCTACTGCAAGCTCAAGTAAACTTCTTGTTGTTTTTGTTAAAGTTGAATGTTCGAGGAGGATGGCGAAATAAACCTAGTAACCAACTGGAACCTTCTAGAGAATTGGGCTCCTTGATGTGAGATTATTGATTGCAATAACTTTTTCTGTTACTGCATGGGTCATTATCGTCCACTCAGACAAAAAGGCGAACACCAAATCAGCATGAAGCTCCATTACCCACATTAACTTAAAGTTATTGACTTAATGAAAAATTGATTATTAATTGCGGCCTGATACCTGCAATCCTGCCTTTATCCTCTACCGATGACATTGCCCTTCTGCGAAAAAGAGGTTGATCTGAAAACAGCATGAAGCTCCATTACCCACATTAACTTAAAGTTATAGACTTAATGAAAAATTGATTATTAATTACGGCCTAATACCTGCAATCCTGCCTTTATCCTCTATCGATGACATTGCCCTTCTGCGAAAAAGAGGTTGATCTGAAAACATTAAGAAAAAAAAATGGTCTATTCTCGTTCACACAGAAAAAAGGCCAATGGCAAATCGGCGTTAAGCTCCATAGTCTTTTTCACCTAAAAAACCCATACCACTGGAAAGAATGCCTAAATTAGAGGAACACGTACACCGCTTTCATCAGCCTAGCCGACATAGAGACAGATAAACAGATAGACAGATAGGAAGGAAGACAAATACATCAGCAAATAGAAAGACGGATAAGAAAAACAGACAAGCGGAAGTGGTCTATATTAACAAGAAAATAGACAGATAAAATATGGTTAGATGTACAGACGGACATATCAAGAGATTAGATAGATGAGACAGATTAGAGAGATTAGATAGATTAGATTAGATAGATTTGGTCGGATTAAAAAGCTAGACAAGATAGACTAGCTAGACTAGCTAAATTAGCTGTATTAACATAAAACCCATACCACTAGAAAAGGTGCCTAAATTAGAGGAACACGTACACTGCTATCAGCGTAGCCGATATAGTGACAGATAAACCGATGGTGACTAGACTGATCCCTGGCTAGATCAGTTAGATTAGATAGCTAAATAGATCAGATAGATTAGATAGACAGATAGGTAAATAGACAGATAGCGGTTAGGTAGGTTAGTAATATAGGTACGGTAGGTAGGTAGGTCAGATCAGTAGATCTAGTAAATTAGTTAGGTATTTAGGTTAAGCAGGTAGGTAGTTTTGGCAGGTTGGTAGCCAAATCTACAATTGCAACCTCCCTATTACCATAAAAAAACTTTTAAACATTGTTTCTGTCCCTTGCAAGAGTTAACGTTTGTTTCATTTTATGTCAAATGTGCGCAGAGGATTACATATAGGAACAAACTGGAACCTTAAAAAGAATTGGGCCCTTTGATGTTGGATTATTGATTGCGATAACTTTTTCCGCTATTGGCTAATTATCGTCCACACAGACAAACAGGCCAATAGGAAATCAGCATGAAGATTTACTTCCCAGATTAATTTATTTAAACACTTGATGGAGAAATGATTAATAACCATGGCCTGATACCTGCAATCGTGACTTTATATTCTGCTGCTGGCATTGCCCTTCTGCGAAAAAGTTCTTGATCTGAAAAAAAGTAAAATCTTAACATCATTATTTCTGGCAATTGACTATTTACATGAAACCCTTGTGATCTTGGAAAAGTGGCTAAATTGCATGAACACATACACCAGTCACCAGCTTAGTCGATCTACAGACAGATAGACAGACATAAAAAGACAAGCAGATAGACAGAGAGACAGACAAATGGACAGACAGATAGACAGCATGCAAGACAAATAGATAAGTAGATAGATAGACAGATGGGCAGATAGAGAGATAGATAGATAGATAGATAGATAGATAGGAAGACAGAAAAACAAATAGAAAGATAGACAGACAGAGAGCGATAGTGGTATGTTTTAACAAGAAAATGCACAGATAGGCAGATAAAATACAGTTAGACATACAGACGGACAAATGAATAGATACGTAGATAGACATACAAATTGATAAGTGGAAAGATAGGTAAGAATTTAAGTCAGTGGACACGTAAGATAAAAATAAGTTAGGTAAGCAGGTTAGGGAGGAAGTTCAGGTAGGTAGGTTAGGTTGGTAATTTTGGTGAGTGGGTTAGACTAGTAAACAGGCTAGGTAAGTGAGGTAGGTTATAGGTTCTTAATTAGGTAAGGCAGGTATAGGTTACGCAGGTAAATTAGTTAGGAAAGTAAGATAGGTAAGTTAGGTAAGTGGGTTAGGTATATAAGAACATTATTCATGTAGTTTAGGTAATTTGGGTAGGTCGGTATTTTTAAAGTAGATGAACAGCTGAGGAAGTTAAATAGTTAGGTCGGGTAAGTAGATAAGGTTGGCAGATCAATGAGTCAGGTTAGGTAAGTAGGTTAAGTTTATTAGATAGGTAGGTAGGTATGTTAGGTAGGTGTGTTAAATGGTAGGCTACATATATAGGTTAGTCTAGTAGGGTCGGTAGGTAGGTTAAGTATGTAAGTGAATTTTGTAGGTTAGGAAGATAGGTAGGTAAAGTACATAGGTGAATTACGTAGGCTAGGTTGGTAGATTTGGTGGGTCTTAGTGTTATCACCACCTTTAGGAGGCAATTTGTGGGTTTAGTGAGGGATAAAGCACACCAGCTTATGCAGCATCTTGTTTTGCAATTCACCTTTTGGGCTTTAGATTTCACGTGTAGTGTCACGTGACTTTTGTTGTAAACAAACCCCGAAAGTTCGGACATTGAGTAGAACTCGCAGCACATGTGTCCAAACTTCAGCTTTGGCAATTTTTCATTTCTTTCAGGAAATTAGTGACCCCGAATCGCTGTGGAACGTGAGGAAGCCTTAACTCCCACACGGAATTAGGTATCTGGGTGTGGATTTCCTTAAACGTAAATATACCAGTTTTTTAACCTTAAGTAACGCAAGTGGGAAGTTCTGCGAAACTCAGAACGACCTTTAAGAAGAGTTAAACTTAAGAATGGCAGATCACAAAAGTAAAGCCAGGGCGTGAAATTAACTTTTTTTTCTGATAGCCACTTGGCTCCTAAATTCTTCAAAGTGGTAGCCAATTCAAAAAAAGTTGGTCGCCATTTTCAAAGACAAACAAAATCTTTCTTTACGCTGTTAGCGTACTAGATAGACCCTCCAAAATTAAGTTAGGGAAAAGATCTTTAACGTGCTAGTGGACACTAGGATGTATGATATACAACGTTCAGGCTCATCTAAATCCAAGATGGCGTCTAGTTATCGATCGAGATGCATGTGCTGCGTTTTGGAAACAAATTAAACGAGGAAGTTTGCCGCGGATTTATCGTTGCAAATTTATTTAATTCACTATATCTCTTGGTAAGGTTATGATGAAACGTTGTAGTCGCCAATTTGGCGACTAACTTTCAGGATTTGGTCGCCAAAGTGAAAAATTTAGTCGCATTGGCGCCTGTATTAGGCGCAATTTCACGCCCTGAAAGCTGATTTCTGCACGTAAACAAGATATTAATTAGTTGATGTTAAGAAAGACTTTACGGGTTACCCGCGTGTAACTCCAAATAAAATAAAGAAGCCATTACGCGCCTTTTCTTTTGTATTGAAATATAATCGTTTGTCTAACGATGTAGTCGGCTCCGATGTGCATCGCGATGTTTCGACTACATACTACTAGTCATCTAGCTTCTTATCACCCGAACCTCCTCCACAACACGTATAGTCCCTCTAGTTGGTTGTAAAGAATTTTACATTCCTCGAAACGTAGTCAATTTTAAAAACGTTGCAACTTCATCCAGGGACATATTTGCATGACACACGCATCTGATTCAAACATCAGACGATGACTGGACATCACTCGCTATGCAGCTTAGTATGTTTGCTTCTCGCGATCTCGTTATTGTACACGCAGGGTAAAAGAAGCGATTCTCACAATTTTTTGCCTAAACATCAATTAAAATATACAGTTTTGATAAGCTTTAAAATTTCCAAGACAGAAGATGGAAAAAACTTCACCTTGCATCCGAGCTGCGGACTCATTACCGGCTGATTCATCCTTCCAAGCAGATATTGAATAGCCAGGGCTCAAACTACGAATAGATAAAACAACAATCATACATAGAGACAAGATTAATAAATGCAAACCAAACCAAAATGATGGTGTCATCACATCGTTAGAAAGCGATTTTTAGTTTGGTTAACATGCAAATACACTGCACCCGGCGGAAGCAAAACATTGTGCGATCAACATGCAACTTTCTGGTTGCGGTTACTTTAATTTCTTGCAACTGCATGAAGTATGGAAAGCCGCAACGATACACACGCTGGGCTTACATAATATGAGTCCTTAATTTCATGGACCTTTTCGATTGAGATTTGTAATGTTCTTTAAACCATTTACAGAATTACTAATTTAACATATGTACTTGTGAGTAAAGAGGCTTGCGTTTCAAAGTGATTTAGGGTGCGTTCCTTTAGGAGGATCCGGATTGAGAATTGTGACGCAAGATCACACAGATCACGGTGCATTCAAGGAATGGAGCTTAAGGGTACGTTCCTTTGGTAGAATCCGGATCAGGATTTCTGATCTGAGGCTTTCCTTTCGAGCAAATCCATTTTGAGATCAGTAATTTACTAAATGCACTCTGGACAAGGATTCATCGGATCACTGATCCAACGCGTTCCTCACGGCGATGGATTCGAAAATAATCATTTTGCCCAGCGGTGCTCAATTTCAAACAGGTAGGTACCTCATATATGAAGGAAAGAATTTTCGTGACGTTTCCCGCGTTCGTGATTTTTGTCGAGGCAAGAGCCCATCGTGGGTAAGTGGTCACAATTTCCTTTTCTATCTCTTTTTATTGACTGAAACTCATCAAAAAATTGACGAAATGCCTCTTAAATACACATATTTTTATGGATTTACCTTCAAACTACCATATTTACTTCTCTAAATATTCGTGAATGATGGAACTCGTACAGTTACTCTTGTGAAAACGAACTTGAGAATAATATTTTGCTGCTATTTATTTGCTGGCTTTTGCTCATTGCTGTACATTTACGTTGTCTTTGCCACCTTTCGTACGAGTCTGTTTTCAATAAATACTATATTTCGATATCAGTAACCAAAATGTTTTGATTTCCTGGAGAATTTGGGCAGGACTCTGCTGTATATACAACATGTTTTATGTGTTCTTTTTTGGCATTTTTCGTTTATAATAATTTATTGCTAGCAGATATATATGTCCTGACTTTAATACTAGTGTAAGTTTGTTTCCTGGTGAAACCTTATGATGACATGGCACTACAAGGTTCATATTGTCATTACCACTGGTTGTTTATAGGTTAATGTCCCTTGTTCTTTAGTTTACTGATAATGCATGTAATTATTTTATTCCCTTGAGCCCTTGAAGGGCTAGTAGAAATGCATGTAATGAGCAAAATATCTGGAAGCTCAATCTGTTAGACCATATATAGAGGAAGTTATCTTTAAATTCAAACTTGTTTCAATATAGGTGTTATACAATAGTGTACTGTATTATAAACTTGCATTTTGCCTGTTCTCTTTTTCCTAGAATTCGAAGATACAGGTGTAAAATGGAGCCGTGGATTAATAACATCCCTCTATATGGACAAAGTGGTTCCCCTGTTTACAGGCAGCTAAGGGCTTTTTCAAAGCCAGGTTATGCTACTCAAGGAAATGCAAGTACCTCTAATTACCGTTCTTTTGGTCTACCCTTCCAACACCAAACTGGTGTGGCAGTTTATCACAGTACTTCATCCTACCAGAACCAATCAGATTATTCCAAGTTTAGCTCTCCATCTAAGCCTTCAGCAAGTAGCAGTGGTAATGACAGAACTGAGACGGGAAAGGAAAAGAAAATATGGCTAAAAGAGTTGAAAGGAAGGAAAGGAAAGGAGGATAAGAAACTGCAGAAATTGCAAGAAATACACAATTAAAAAATTGACTTTCTTTAGGCTATTTCTTAAGGAGTTTGAAAAATCTGTTCAATATAAGTGAATATTTTTGTTCTGTAATGTTCATGTAAGCAGCTCGCATTACATGGAAAGGGCTCTTACTTTGATTCTATAACATACTCTGGCTGTTGTGTTTTGTACTGTTGGAACGCGTTGGATCAGTGATCCAATGATCCGTCTTTAGATCGCGCCGATCGGTGATCCGATAAATCCTTGTTCAGAGTGGATTTGATAAATCACTGATATCAAAATGGATTTGCTTAAACGGAACGCCACAGATCAGAAATCCCGATCCAGGTTCTCCCACACCAGTTTGCACAGATCACGGGCATCAAAGGAACGGTGCTTTAGTTCATCGGATCAGTTTCCATGACATCAGGCGCGAAATTGTAGAGAGCGTCGGCGGAATCGCGCTAAATTTAAAAACGAAGACAAGGTGGCCGTCGCGGATAGAGCAGCTTTTGTTTCGTTAACAGAGGTACTTTCCGATGATTCAATATTAGAAGAAGCGAGAAGTTGTGAAGATGAAGAATTTCTATTGTTTCTTTTGATAAGGGAGAGGCAGAGCCGTGTCCGCATTGAGAATTATTTCGAACGTATTAAACCACTCTACAGTGTTTCAGATTATTGATATCATTTTCGGATGTCAATACCTACAGTCAGCTGTTTGGAACGCCTGTTGGCCACTTGTCCAGGTCTGCCTCATGGACAAAGGAATGGGGGAAGACCTTCCATTGACTTACAGAAGCAGACATTGATTACGATATGGATACAGAAGTGGATATTGATTACGATAGGGATACTTGGGAACCCTGAATGCCTGCGGTCAGTAGCCGATCGATTTAACATTACAAAATCGAGTGTATTTCGTGTTTATCGCAGAATTTGTGAAGCGATTGCCAACAATCTTTCCGTTCAATATATGAGGTACCCACTTGTTTGAAATTGAGCACCACTGGGTAAAATGATTAATTTCGGATCCTTCACCTAAAGGAATGCGTTGGATCAATAATCTAATGATCCGTCTTTAGATCGCGCAGATGAGTGATCCGATAAATTTTTGTCCCGATTGGATTTGATAGATCAATGATCTCAAAATCAATTTGCTAGTGAGAAATGCCATAGATCAGAAATCCTGATCCGGATTCTCCCAAAGGAACACATCCTTAATGTATCATATCGGTCGCTGCGCGCGTGGGCAATATGAAGCGAAACCTGCGGTCTGATTGGCTACCCGAGTGGAAAAGATGGACCCATCTTGCCCTTTCGGGATTAACCACTTTGATTATGTGCAACATAAAAATTTTTTGGAGACGCAAAGAGCGGCGGAAGAAAGTCAAGATGAAGAAAACATACACGACTCTCAAGGTTTTATGTATTGTGCTAGAAACACAGTTGACTTTCCCTCCCGGCTCTCGAAATAAGTCATCCTAGATTCTTAATAAAGCTTTATCTTTCTGATACTGACTTAATTGTTTATTAACCAAGCTGGTTCGGTTAAGATGGCTGAATATTGGCCTCATCCCTTTTGCGTTTTTATTGACCTCAGCTTCGTTTCGGTCCATAAGAAAGACTTCGGTCAATATCCAGCTGCAGCCATTTTGACCTCATGCTTGATCAATAACGTATAGATACTTGCGAACTAAATCGTTTCATTATGTATTTGTCGGAAAAGAAACATTTCAATTTCTACGTATATCCGCACAATCCGTATAGGAACAAATATACGGATGTCTTCGGTCAGTTGCGCGTAAACGATTGCCACAAATGAAAGCACGAATTGACTGATTATTTCCATTCAGAGTAGAGAATGAGTGCCAGAACAAGGTTAATAACCAGGGAAAAATTCTCCCCTTTCTCTCATTTGCTGTCCCTCTAAAACCTTTAAATACATTTCAAGTGTATAAGGTGTGTCTTACCGATGTGCTGTTGACAACTCGGACGTTTTGACTTCGTCTTTGCCATCTTTAGAGTATAATAGACTTCTATGAGTGTCGAAAATGTCAGAGGAACCTTTGACTTCTTGTGGACCTTCTGCATGAATCATACATCGTTAAGATTAATGGAATACAAAGAGGCTCGCATTTTCTATTTTCTACTAAATTTACCTCCGGGCGCGAGTTAAGTTGTAAAGAATTTGACATTTTCACATTTAAGTTGTAAAGAATTTCACATTCCTCGAAACGTTGTCAATTTTAAAAACGTTGCAACTTCTTCCAGGAACATTTTTGCATGACAGAGACATCTTATTCAGGTCTCAGACGTTGACCGGATATCGCTCGCATGCATCTTAGTATGTTTACGTCTCCCGATCCCCATTATTGTACACTATTATTGTAAAAGAAGCGATTATCATAACTCTTCGCCTAAACATCAATTAATATTTACAGTTGTAATAAGCTTTGAAATTTTCAAGATAGGAGATGGAAAAAACTTCACCTTCTATCCTAGCTGCAGACTCATTACCGGCTGGTTCATCATTCCAAGCAGGTATTGAAGAGACAGGCTTCAAACTACGATTAATTAAAACAACAAACACATAGACAGACACGATTAATAAATGCAAACCAAGCCAAAATAATGGTATAAGCTTGTTATACATCGTTAGAAAGCGCATTTTAGTTTTGGTCAACATGCAAATACACTGCACGCGGCGGAAGCAGAACATAGTTCGATCAACATGCAACTTTCTTGCAACTGCATGACTGTGGAAAGCCGTTATGAAACGCGCGCTGGTCTTATATAATATGAGTCCTTATTTTCATGGACCTTTTTGATTGAAATTTATGGTGTTCTTTAAACAACTTACAGTGGAATGGTTTAAAGAACATTATCAATTCAACTTATGTACTAGTTAGTAAAGAGGCTTACGTTTCATAGTGATTTAGTTTATCATATTGTTGGGAGCGCGCGTGGGCAATATAAAGTGAAACCTGTGGTCTGATTGGTTACCCGAGAGGGAACGTGAACCCATCTTGCCCGCTCGGGATTAACCAATTTGATTATGCGCGACGTAAAATTCGTTTGGAGACGCAGAAAGCGGCGCAAAAAAGTCAAGATAAAGAAAACATAGACGACTCTCCCGTGTCTACGTATTGTACCACAAACACATTTGGCTTTCCTTCTCAGTTCTCGACATAAGTCATTCTTGATTCTTAATAAAGCTTTATCTTTTTTGCTATTTGCTAAATCGTTTTATTAACCAAGCTGGTGTGGAACACATGGCTAGATATTGGCCTCTTCCTTTTTTATGTTTTTATTGACCATATCGGTCCATAAAAATAGACCTCGGTCAATATCCAGCCATCTTGACCGCACGCTTGGCCAATAACGAATATATATTCGCGAAATAAAGCGTTTGAATCAGATCAAGAAGACGTATGTTAAGGGAAATTCATCGTTTATTTCTCAGAAAGAAACATTTCAATTTGTACGGGGAAAAGAGGGAACTTGTAATAATTACGAGGAGAAAACACTCAGAAATGTTTTGAAATGGCAACTGCTTCTATTTAACCACTCAGTTTTTCTAGTATTGCTTTCATCATCAATGTCAGTTCTTCCCGTCATGGTGTAGCTCTTTATGACAAAAAGCTTGTTATGCATACTAGATCAGTGACTAAACAGTCCGAATCAAGTTCATAGCAGAACAAATATTCACAAATAGAAGGATATCTTCGGTGCATCAAGCGTTCACACTTCTAAGAGTAGTTTATAAAAATCAACTTAAATTATGGTAGGATTAGCTATTTTTACGAGATTCAAACAAACAAACTATTTCCAAATTCTTTCATTTAATTCTATTGCTTAAACATTTTTTTCCAACCAGTAAGGAGGATCCCATTACACATTACAATTTTTTTTTTAAAGAATAGGCTTGCTTAAAGGATTAACGGAAAGGAAACCCTTATAGGGGTCCTATAGCAATGAGCATACCTTGCTGAAGTAAGCTTTTTTCCTGAGCGTGACCGACGTCCTCTGCGACGCTCTGTTAAAAAATAATTTACCACCTTAATTAAAGTTTGCTATTTTTTCAGTGCTTCTACCACAAAAGTACCCAAACTATTTCGACTCAACGAGGTAGTATAGTTAATTGAATTGGGCTCCGAAGTTCCAGCCTCCCATCCTGTAGGTAGACTGATAGGTTGTTGGTAGCCTTAAATTTACTTAGGGTTTAGATAGCTGAGAACAGCTATAAATAGGACTTTCTTTGAACTCAAACCGCGTGTTAGAAACTTTGTAAAACTAATTTTCCTTTTTTAGGCCTCATGAATATTACAGGCGTAATCTCGTAAGTGAGGATGTGAAGGCTCAAGAACTCTATTTCACCGTGTCCTCAAATTTCAGGGGAGTGCCCTCACAGAATTAAAAAAAAACCTCCCAACTCCTGTCAGATAGAATGTTGGACTGATAATCTAGGTATTCAAAAAGGAATTTTAATGCAGTACTTAAGCACATCTTTGTTTGATTAACCTCTCCTGAGACAAGCAACGTAGTTATAATTGCAAAGAATGAAGGAGATTAAGATGTACTGCGGATGAGCAATCCAAGGAACCAGATATACCCATCTATTAATTCATTCAATCTAATTAGAAACTTAGGCATTCATTACCTCCTGTTGTCGATAAGCGTTCATAAGGATGCGGGTCAATAGTAACAGAGCACGCTGCTGCTTCAGGTTGTGGTGATAGTCTCTTTCTCCCCTTTACAGACCGTCGTAGTACGGAAGGTATTTTTCCTGGATTAGTGCTGTGTCAAACCAAATAACAATGACTTCATCAAACCTCATCACAAGCTTTTATCAACAGAAATTACTGACAAGAAAAATGCCGACTTATTGACGTCACTTACGCGCTTGTGTGGTGTTCCCTTACTTCGGTTGTTATTCTGGTGACCCATTCCTAAAAAGTTGTCTCGATATAAGTTAACATCTTCTCCATTGGGTCAACTGGGTGTTTCACGCTCAGATCTATGTGCGATGCTTTTCCACAACAAAGGGAGAGATTTGCTAAACCATAAGGTAAGTCATGCACTCATTTCGAAGAGAGTAATTATATTTATGGCCACTCTTCGTCGGTACAAATTGAGTCTGGCGTGGATGTTCCGTCGCAGTATTTGATCGCGAAAAACAAGTCTATCACTCGGAAACACTGTACTTCGTTCTGTTGTCAGGGACAGAGGATTCGGCTTGAGCACAAACACAGTAATTGGGAGAAGGGGTGGAGAGGAGAGAGGAAACTTAATGACTCAGAGATTTCTGACTCCCATCCTTTACTTCGATAGGGACGCAAACCTCAGTGAAGTAGGGAAGCTACGGTAGTAATAAATGTAGTAAGCACCTTCATTTTCTTCCGCGAATCTGCAGCAAAGTCATGATCTGTGTTTTCGGGATGATGTAGTCTGAATGTCCACGGGATACTCTCTTCTCCCGATGTTGAATACACCCTAAAATGACAAGAATTAAATCGATCAAGGTAGGAGGATGAGAACTCCTCATGCATCAGCAAGATACCGAAGGTAGCGATCTTCCTCTCTTCAGGAGTTAGCAGCTTTTGAGGTGAGGTGCTACCAAGGGATCGTCACTTTTAGATGCAATTGAACCTATCTACTGAGGTGAAATAAGAAGAAAAATTCCAAAAGGCTTCGATCTAATCTCTAGCTGTTGACTCTGGTGTAAGTTGTTCATGACGTCAATAATCGGCAAAGGCTTTGGGATCAGTCCTAGCAGTTCCTTTTTCAAATCGTTCAGATTTTCTAGACACTGATTTAAAAAATAAAAATACATTTTATTGTCCTTGTTCTCTAGTACAAACACATTTGCTTGACTTGAAAGACACCAGTTTCGAAAGTTTTTTCCAGATTCAGTAGTAGCCAAATATGTTTGACCCTTTTTTTCAAGCGGGATGGATTTCTAATCTTGCTTCAAGCGACGTAATTCTGATCTATTTTTTTTTTTTTTAATTTTTTAAATATTTGAATCTGAGCCAAAAACTTGGATTAAAGCTCTGGACTGAAAGCTTAACCACACTTTATACCTGTATCCCTCGAGAGAGACCGAGCCACTTCCAATTTTAGTATGGCAACTTTTGTAATAAGTTAAGCACCCATTGTGTAAGGTGACATATCGTTCACACCCTAGAAGATGAACCAAAAAAGAAAAAGAGCCGTTTGTTTCATCGTGTAGCAAAATTTACCAAGTCTCCCGGTGTAATATCCCTTAGTTTTGTTTTATATCATAATACAGATACATGTAAGCATAGCGAGCCTTTTATGTGGAGGGTACAAATTCGGGAAATGGACAATAAAAGTTCAAAATATTAGAAGACAGAAGATCTGGAAGCGATATGTAGATGCCACTTACACCATCGAAACAAGGTTGACGGCTTATTGCAACATTGAAACAATCAACAGGCTGCTATCCTTTACTACGTCAAGAAGGCCAGCACCATTTCCTTTAAAGTAAATGGTTTGAACCCAGGAGTATCAGTAGTTCGTGTAGTGTGATCGTCCGGGTGAGTGTAGTTCTGAAAAGAACTGCTGTTGGTGACTGACGTCTCGACTATCTGTGCGGTAGTCATCTTCAGAGTCAAGTGAAGAGTAGTTGTCAGTCGATGATGTTATAAAGTCTGGTCTGTTGAACGTGATCGGTCTGTTTAGCCGTGATGTGATTGGCTGGAAGACTCGTGTAGAGTTTGTTAACAAACAACAGTTCTTTTCAGAACTACACTCACCCGGACGATCACACTACACGAACCATTCCCTTTCTTGACACGTCAGTTACTATGGCCGCCGTAGGTTTACTTATAACAACAGCGTATACAGAAAACCGAATCAAACTGACCAATACTTAGTCTATGACTCACAACACCCTTAGTCAGTGAAAAGGGGTATGGTTCAGTGTCAACAACCAAGGAAGAACCCGCGCAAGATTTCAAACTCGTCTAGATTCCGCTGCCTACAAGTGTCAAAATGGACGAACTCAGAGAGAGATTGTGCGAAATTGAAAGGACAAAAATTGATGTTTTTAAAAACATATAGCGCAAAATAGATGATGTTGTGAGGTAATTCGTTTTAAATATATTTCCCAGTAACTTCTGAAGTTTATAAAAAAAAGCTTTTGTCTGCATGTCTTTTTAAAAAAACCGTCTGAAAGAACACTCAAAGAACTTTGCTATACATGTCACAGTTCCACGGAACTCACATATTTTGTTACTTGCTGAAGTATCAGAGGAAGTCCGTGCTTCGTATTCTTCCTTTTTCTGCAACCATCCGCCTTTTTGTAATTTGTCTTTAGGTTTTTTCGGTACTGAAGGTCCGCTTTCTTGTGGACGATAACCTAAAGATAATGTGATGATAAGGGTAGCTGATCAGTACTATCTCTGGTTGAGAGTATATTGTTAACGGGTCAGCACTGTATCCCGTTCTGAAAGACACCATTAACTATTTAGCCAATGATCGAAATGTTCTTCGCTACATGAATGTTCAAGTATGTGAACAGTCCTCAGAAATATGCACAAAGATTTGAGAAATTTGATGCACTCAGAAACTGTCACCAAAAGATTGCCTTTCGTTTCAACTTCTACTTGTAAAACTTATCTCTGAAACATATCTCACTGAATGAATCGAGTGGGACGACTGAATGGGACATATTATCGATATCTCGATATTTCCTTGTTAGTCCCTAACCATTCTTATTTTTATGAAATAATGACGGTAATAATTAAGAAAAACAATGAAAATTACAATGGCAGAAGTAAAATCATTTGTACCTATCATTTTCCCTGCAATTGTCTGTTGTTCTTCCGTGGTCTCATTTTTTTCCTCGATTGGTATAACAGTCTTGCTTTGATCAAGCAGTTGGGAAATAGCTTCTATGGATGTTTGAGTACCAAGATCATCGGTGTTTGTTGTTTGAATAGCCCCTTCAGTAACCAGGATTTCAGTGTCATCACAATTTCCCATGAGCGAGTTGCCGCTGTTTTCTGAGGAAATGCGTGAGAAAGCGTGAAATCTGATTTCAGATCGGAAAATTTTAAAAGGAAATTCAGATTAACCAATTTGATGATTGGACGCTCTAAGACGAACAGAAAAAATTGTTTCAAAAGAGCTTTTGAACAAAGGAATAAAGGAACCCAGATTAACATTTGACCGTGGGTTAGCGCTAGTCGGTCTTCGTACATCTTGACCCAGGTCTACAAGTATCCCCTAAGCAAGTATTGTTACCAACTTACGAGAATTTTTTAAAAGATACTCTTTACACGCCAAATAGTCCTCTTCCAGTATACTTGTTTCTAAAGTGACAGACTCCACATGAAATCTGTTTTTTATGTCATCTGTCAGAAGACATTTTTCGGCCATCCAATCTAGACGACCGGAACGATAGTCGGACCACAGACGTTCAAGACTTTCCATATCTCGGCATTCGACGGAAAATCGTACACTGTTGTCACGCTCTTTTATTGGTTCTGGATCTTGAGTTACTGTTACATGTCGAAGGTAGGTGGGTAGTTCCGTAAAAGAACTTTGAGAAATCTTTTCCTCAAATAAAAATTCAGACACCAGACACAGGCTTCCTTTTTCTTGTTCAGGATGGATCTCATTTGGGCTTGCTGAACAACCGCTGTCTACGTTTTTATTAAAGGGCGATGTACATGAAAAGAAAATCAACGTTTCCATTTTACATATAACGTCATGTAAGTAGAAACCAATTTTCTGACTTTGACTATTGTCTGATATTTGATCTTTGTCTGAATGGAGGTGCATTTCTAGCCATTTAATAAAGGTTCATGCGAGTCATAGCCTTCGGAAAAATTGTTCTTGCTGATATTAATTTCCCTACGGTTTCCACCTTTTTCCAATTACTGGACAATTAAACTAAAATACACAATAAATAATCATCACAAATAAAAAGCAGCAGGTTTTTGGAAGAGTTTAACAACATCATTTTGGAACTATAAGTTATATTCAAACACGAATCTACAGTGAAACTGTTAAAACCTTTCACAAAAAAAATTTTAATGATTTCTAGTAGATGCTCTGCTATCATTTGAGTTGTTGATGTTTTCACTTACAATTTATCGCAAGGTGCACCGTTGTTAGTTCACGTTGTTCTTCGTCCTGAGCGACCAGAGGTTGTGCATTGTTTCGGCCAGTTAGATTTTCTGCAACTGTTGAATCACGATTCAAATCTGATCGATGGCGTATAAGAAAATAACAATATCAAGAATTATCATGAAAGCATATCATATTTCTCCTCCCTTAACACCACTATTTATGGGAAATCTTATGATCATGGACACTCCAACGGCCATGGTAATACTGATCCTCAACATTTTTTGCCACTCTTTTGCTTTTTTTCGGTGTAAGATTTGAACTGTAAATTTTGGTCTGATAATTTTGAGGAAACTTTCACTCTCGATCTTCGACGTTTTACTCGCAACTCTGGAACCTCAACCCTCGAACCTTGACCAGAAGGCGAGCTCATTTCACAAAACCCATACTGAGATTCCTACTTTAGCCGACCTCTCCTTTGTTTATTTTTTTTATAAACCCCATGGTTTCTTAAGGCTTCCTTGCCAAATATCCAAAAAAAACAACTTTGTTCTCTTTTAACAACAATTCCTAAGTTTTTAGGTCAATTTTCATCTTCTTCCCTTCTCCTTCTGTCTCCTTGTTTGTTTGCTTTTTGTTTTGTCTTTTTTGTTTGTTTCAGACAGATAAATGTCGGTAGAATTGTGATAAAATCGTTGATTGTGAGTATTCATGCGTATACACGATAACATTTTTTTTTCTGGTAACAATGTATCGGAATAGTAGGTGATAAATAAGTGTCCACCCGTAAAGGTTGAGCTTTAAAAAAATTTTGGTGAGATTTTGTTTTTTAGTTTAACGCTGCATTAAAGCCATTTTGCTCGATCCCTTGCGTTCCATTGAACCCACCGCTTTGCTCGTGAAACTCCTCAACGTTCTTAATGACAGGTTCTTCTGTATTTATGGTAGGATAGTAACAAATACAAAATTTATGTACAGATAACAATCCCACCAGCCATTCGGAAGCGCTGGTCCGTATCACACATTACCCTCTTCTTGACAGTCATATTCCTGTGAATTAAGCCTTGATACCTGTCTTCTAGGGATTTTAACTCTAAGATGAAATACCTGTTAGTGACAGTTTGCAAGCCAGGTAATCCTCCATGATAATGGTTGTTTCCAGTTCTATTGATTCCACTTCATATTTCTCCTTTATCTCATCCGTTAAAAGGCGTTCTTTCGCTACTTCATTAAGGTGACCGGAACTATAGTCATCCCACAGACGCTCAAGAATTTCCATTGTCCTACATTCGACTACAATTCGCAAGCTCCCCTCGCCTGCTTCTCTTATTATCAAGTCGTGCACTCCTTGTAGGTAGTAACAAAGCGATTGATGAAATTTTTCAGAAGGGATTTGAGCCGCATGTATCTCGATAAAATGTTTTGTCATCTCGCACATCAAGAGGCGTTTGACTTCTTCTCGTTGTGCAGGATCTTTGCTCTCTGCCTCTTGAAATGTAGCGCAGCTAAGTTTTATGCGAATGGGCAATTTACCTGGAGCTGAATGTGCACTGACTTTCAGAAAGCCAGGCGAAAACACAATTAGAACTTTGCTACTTAAAAAGATATCACTTTCCTTTTATTATGAAAAGCGGACTCGCCGGGAGGCGGTGGCACATTACATGTTTTATAGAAAACGAATGACAGAAAACTACCCGTGAGAATGGCGCCTCCGCCTCAAATACCATCTCTCTGTTGCCAGACTCCACCCATAAGGAACTGAGGATAGCAGACGGAAGAGACCTACTCATTACCTATCGATAGTCTAGAATTCCTGCGAAATAAATTTCCCCAATCGCTCAGACACTTCAATGCCTCAATCTGATAAGTCAGAATTTAATAGATACCAGTCTCCAGTTATTACAAATATTTCATCATTATTATTATAATTATCATTATTATTATGTATTTATAGTTTTCAAAAACGGGGTGCTTATAGAGTATCGTACCTGAACAAAGGCCGTTACTGACTTTCGTCTGCCTCTGTCCACATTGTCTCTGGTGTGACAATGTGGACTTTTCTGCTGCACCCCCACAATCTTCTGGTTTGTCTATATGAAGAATACGTGAAATTTTAATTATTTAATTAGCTATGTAGTGTTTTAGAGGTTTGGGATTTAAGAAGTCGCGGTCACATGATTTGCTAAGCGAGCCCATAAAGGTTTCATACATCTCTCGATGCCACGAATAAATCTTTCGCATTGAGTGTGTTAAGTTTTTGTGTAGGAAAAGTAATCTTGATGATGACTATCTCTACCCAAGAGTATAAATGGCGATGGGGAATTTTTTAGGTAAAGGAGAAAGATGCTTTAAAGTTAACTAAAATATTAATAGCTATTTGGTGCCACTGTAATCTAGAAAAGCTTCGATGGTTTGGTCCTTTAGCTTGGGCAAAAAATCTGAGGAAAAGAAAATTCACTTTAGCGACAGACGAAAGAAAAACTGAAAAACCAATTCGGAGGCTTATGACTATAGTGCGACGGAAAGCTTTTTGGTATACCATACCTTTATGGACGATGCTGATCATTCTGCCAATGAGAGATTCACACTGTTTTTTCCAACTGTACTCTTCCTGGTAGAAGTCTCGTAGTGTTTCACACTCTTTACGTCGACTGCTTCTGTCGTTGTTGCAGACACCCTCAATTGCGTTAGCCCACTGATCTTGATCGTCTGAATCAACCACAAAATGCCGGCCGAATGGTACTTTCATCAAAGCTTCTCCAAATCCTGATTTTCTACTTACAAGAGTAGGCAGACCAGCTGACAAGGCCTCAAGACCCGTTAGCCCAAAGCCTTCAGTTCTCGAGGGCATGACCACAAGGTCTGCTTCGCAAAATACCTTTTTCAAATCTTCCCGGCTATCCGAAAACGGTCGCACCCTAAGCTGATTGGGAGGGATATCAAAATCGAGGAAACGTTTTTGTGTCTCTTCGAGTTTGTCCTTCGCGGCACCAACAAATAACAGAATACAACGACTTAGCTTTGCCACAGCTCGAGCTGCTATGTCGAATCCTTTTAATTTAAAGTCCTCCGAATCTCCACGACCAAAACACAAGACTTTACAAACTTCTCGTTTGTCTAAATCTTGCTTTAATTCAGAGAATTCTGCTAGAATTCCAGGAGTAAATTCGAAGAAACATTGCTCTTTCTTACATGAGGCGAGATAAGAATGAAACGCTTTGCACAATTTGGGGCCAACCGGTACAACGAAGTCAGCTAGTTTGCAAAGTTCTACCTCTGTTTCATGCTTTTTCTGAGCATTTGAAATTGGATTAGCATACTCTTTATATATCCCTAGTTCCTCAGGGTCTGTATGGACAACCTGAATCCATTTACACTCGTGGGACTCCCTAATAATTTGTGCCTGATGGCCGAGTTTAACACCATGTCCAACCACTACGTCGATTTGCAAATCCTTCGGTGGAAAGTTGAGCCATTCCAGTTCATCTAAGCCGGGCCGCCTTGTTGCCTTTATAAGTTCTATTCTGTGAATATGAGCAGCTGTCTTGTCCTCGTCATTGCAGCTTGGAACAAAGTAACTGACCTTAACTCTTGGGTCCTTTGCGATGTTGATTGCCAATTCCCTGTTTAAGGTGGAGAGGCCTCCTTTGCTTGATCCCCATTCTGATGCCAGGAAAGTAACTCTAAGACTTCTTGGTAATGAGCATTTTCTGCTGTTATTGTTGTTGTCCTCTTCATTTAAAATATGTCCAGAGTTTGATAATTTTTCGTCCTTGAAATAGAATAAAAGCTGTCAAAAATATTTCACTAGACTTCCTTCATATCAGTGGCCTGGTTTCAAAGGATGTCTACTTTATAAGACCCAGGGGGCTAAGCAGTTGCTTAACAAACATTTCCTTTGTAAATACAAAATTACATTATATGTAAAATTGTTGTTGAATATTTTGACTCCTGCAATATAAAAACCCTGATCAATCATTTACCATGTTCTTTGTTTTATTATTATGAAGACCAAATAAAAATAAATGTCTCTCTAGCCTAGCAATCTGTAATTAATCTCTATACTACAAAAGCATTTTGCATTCTTGTCTCCCCGTTTTGAGTGACAATGTGTCATGCATGGTTGAAGAGGTCGCAGAAATCGGCGAAAATTTCTCTTCGCCGATATTAACTGAGGACTCCAGCAACGATTCTGCCCCAGGAAAAAGGGGCTTTTTAGTAATCCAGAACAAATCGCCTATCAAAAACCCCGTCGTTGAACTGTTGTTTAAAGTAGCAGATGAATTAACCAAATTAATTGTAATTTACAAAGAAACCACAGGGTGTACTAAGACAATTAAGAGCATGATAACGGTAAACAATGCAACACCACAAGAGACGCTTGCAATCAAAATTTTCCCTAAACCAATGTTGCAGAGGCTCGAACAACTCTTACGCTTCGCTCATGCTCTCCAAACTTCCTGCGTGCATCCATAACTCGACTTACGCACAAAAAAGAACAAGAGATTATAAATTCTTGGCGAGAACCAGTTCTTTAATTGACTTTATATAACTCTGCATGTCGCCGTACGCTCGAGAGGTCTTAGGAAAAGCTAATCCTCGCACATGCGAACGAGAGAAATCGAAATCTAACATGACCGCCTTTCTGGTTTTTTTGTTACACAGGTCGGTTTCTAAAGCATTATCTAGGTTCGATCCAAATGACCCGCGCCCTGCAACAATTCCTTAAATTATGTATCAAGCAATGAGTTTTGGAATTAGTGATTCAGCTTCGGCCGTCACTTCGTCACACCTGAATTAACCACGAATCAGTAGTCGGGTTCTGTTCAGGAACAGATGTACTAGCAACACGGAAAGGCAAACAAGGAGTTAACGAAGCCCGGTTGCAGATTGTGCTAAGGCTTCATTTCTACGCAAACGGTTCCGACTAAAAGATTCGACAATGACAGGTAATGATTAACAGCCTTAGCTTAAGTACAAGTCAGTGATACATAAATCCAAAAGATTTTTATATCTTACAAAGTGGCCAGTCAGAAGATATTTTGACATTTTCATCTAACAGAGTCTACTTAAAAGTGGTAAAAACAACATCTACTGTCAACATCCTATATTCTTACCTCCATTGTTTGTTGTGTACCCTATGGGTGTTCCTTGATCTGAAATGTTTATGAATCTATAAATAGCCGACGTCATCAGAGTGGGGACTGGTAATGAATCAACCAAAGGAGGGGAATGGGGCCAGATGCAATGGGGGCCTCAGGAATTTAAGTTAATTTAAGTCTAAGGCTTTTCCTTCGCCCCTTTCTGTGTAACTATTGAAGGTGGCGTTGTGTCCACTCTTAGGAGATGATGACCTAACTACATTGACGCGTACGTTGTCTCTTTGATTTTCCCATAGACTGACATAGGAGAACAGTCCACGGCACAGCGAAACATGTGCAATAATTTTTGGTGGAGTACAATCCTGTCAAAACGGCAAGGATGTAGGATTGAAAATAATGGTGAGAGAAAAGATTCACACCGAATGTACGCGTTTCCTTGTAGGTAAGTTAATTATTACCTCACATCGATAACAATGCAAAATCAACGATAAATAATTTTTGCACTCTCCCTCCCTCCCCCAACTCTGCTTTCAGAGCTCGAGGTTTCCATTAGGTCGAAACAAGTTTGTACCAGGTCCAAGAACAAACATTTTAGCAGAAAATACGTCTATGAATCAGGAAAAATCTCTTTCTGCTTTTTTGATTCCCTAACACTTTCCATGGGGACAGCTAGAAGGAAAGCGTAGCATTATACATTATTTGGCAAAGCAAACTTCTTATAGTATTTGATGGCATGAATACGTACTTTTGCACCACCCACGTTAATAGAATGAAATTAAGCCATCGCAAATATAATTTTTAAGATCTGATGCGCAAAAAACAAAGCAGAGATCATCAAATTCGTGGAAGTTGTAACAGGCGCGTAAGTGTTTGTAATAACAAACTGGGTGGGAGAAAAAACTAAATGTTGTAACAATGAATTGTTTTTTTTTTTTTTCTAAAATTCATAAAAATCTTTCCTTTTTTTTCCGATAGGAATCTTGGTCGCGATACAGCCCTCCTCGTTCAGCTGATGCGTGGGTCTGAGGTTCCAGCTTGGCCGTAGCTTTTGATCTTGGCATTATGAGTTCATAGTTCGAATAATAAAAAGAAAGATTTAAAGCATCGTCAAAAACATTAAATGGCCGTTGGCAACTAAAATAGATGTAAATCAAGACCCCACAATGTACTTTTTTCTTGCAGTTTGCGACACGATAAATAACATTTTTGTCAAAAGGAAACAGATTGAAGATCAGCTCTATAATTGAGACGCCGGAAAAATTTATTTACGAACCTAAACTATGAGGCAAAGATGAATAACGTACCTCAATCAAACGTGTCATTTCAACTGCCCTGTTATATCTCTGCCCAAAATTTCGCCTCAATAACTCCTTGAAAACCCCCATCTTGAGTACAGGCGAAGAACAGTATCTGTTCACTAATTTCCAGGATAATTATTGATAAATATGTTCAATTAACAGCGAACATTTCGAATTGGGTGCTAAAATCTTCAATATCCGTAATGGTCGTCATGTTGTGACGTCACATGGTTATCAGTTCGATAACCACCCCTCACTGCTGATAGACTATTTACTTTAAGACCCATGGCATGCAAATTTTAGCCATGTTTACGACTTTATTTCCTTACCCATCTGATGTCTGGGTGTTTTGTACCCTGGCAGGCTCTTGAAAAATGATCAGCATCCTTCTTTATCTACCTCTTTGTGCGCACAACGACAAACTTATGAATTTCACTCTCCCATCCACCACATGTCTTTAAAGATAACTGAACAAGAATTACAATGGATCAACACTTTTAACTATTAATGTTACCCGTTACGTCCAATTAAATAGCTATGAGCAAGATTACATTTTAGTGTGTACTATACATTCAACTCAGCCTAATTGTTTAGGTTGCAGAGGAGGATACAGGAGATAATGTACAGAAAATATTGTTTCCGGTCAGAGGGGCTTACTTCGTGACTGAACCCATTTTCCGAGGAAAATCGGCAAATGATGCTACTTTCTGTGGGTCATACATATCGGCGATAACTAAGCATGACCTCAACAATGCATGGCTTGGATAAATATTTGATGTTTGTGAAGAAACTATTGCGAAATTTCCAACACACAATAATTATATTTGAAATATCTACTGTTAGAGCGGTTTATTGTCATAATAAAACCCCTTTCAGTGCATCAAGACCTTGAAAGTATTCAAAGCTTTTTAAACGCTTTCATAGTATTGTGTATTGTCTTATGGGCTTTGTCGCGGATTTGATCGTCAACAAACCATTAATTGATGACTTTTTTTCTTTCCGTGAAGAAGCGCGCTTGCTTGAAGAAGCGGCTGGGCAGCCTTGAAAGGTTCTAATATAGACTTTTATTCAGATTGTTGTGGGAGTCACTGTGCGAATTGCCTATGTATACAATTAAACAAACTTTGTTTCCGTCCCGAAACATCTTTGAAAGCGTCTTTGAAATTCGCGCTCAGTTGACATCAATTGTTCTCTTGTTTTCATGAATGCCCTTATTATGCTAATGACGGGTTTTAAAACTGACGCGCGTGCCACTTGCAATTGACAACAATCATTTCGCTCTCGTCATTGGAAAAGAGTTATCTGAAAATAGTCATCGGAAAAGATCGGTTTAAAGTTGTTTAAAGTCTTAAAATGTTTTCGAAATTCAAAGTAGACAAGCCGCAAGCAAACTTCCCCTACAAACGTGGCCCAAGGCATTTCGAGGTAGAGCAGTCTATCCTCTCTTTGCCCCTTCTTGAGGCGTACGACCAACGCATTCGCCATTTGCACGAAATCGCCAGTGACCAGGCGACGGAATTGGCAGAAAGAAGGGCAGAAGTTTTTCAGCTTCGCCAGGAACTCCAGCTTCTAAGAAATGAGCTTGCCCAAAGTCGCCTAGCAATGGACCCTGTAAAGAACGCTGTGAAGTTTAACGTTAGCCGAAAAAACTATTGGGACGTAGATAAGTCTTCGCGGTCTATGAAGAGGAAAAAAATCAGAGAGTACCTCCGAAATGCCAGAGATTTTACCAGCGGAATTCAAACCGATTGAGGTACGTATCATTAAGAATTTTTCTTTATCACTAAGTTTTTAGGGGTGGTGAATGGTCTTTGAAGGTCTCGCAAAAATTTGGTCAAATTTTGCGGGCTCGCAATGTATTTTTTTCGGCGGTTCTGAACGTCTCGCAGTCTCATATCTTTAAGCTTACATGATCATGCTGGGGAGAAAATCGCAAATCAAAGGTTGAAAACAGCCTCGATCTAAGAGAAAAACGTTGCATTCACCATTCGTCACCCCTAGTTTCACATTGGTCAATCTTTTTATTAAGACCTCATGCGTCTAATGGCTCAACGAGAACGGATGATAAATCTTTTCATTAACAATGTTTATTCAGTGTCATAAGCAATCTGTGTGATAGCGCTGAAATATTATAAGCCAGTCGAAAAATTTACTTTTTATTTTTCTGAAATATAAACTCTTCATTGAACATGCATAGTGTAGGCAGGTGCTCAGTACCTTTAGGGACTTACCAGGGCTTACTGCAAATAGACACCGACTTCTGGTTATTTTAAGGCAAAATTTATTTTAGCTGTAATCCAAGCCTTGAATTGCTCATTTTTTTTTTTGCTCATCGCAAAAAAATTTTTGGACGTGACGTATGTAGTGTGCCCACGGTATGACTTTTAGAAGAAACCGCTGAAAACATGGCGGCATCTCGGTACACGTACTGACAACAAAACGGCGCTGTATATTTCTAACTGGATGGTTAAAAACTTCGGAAAAAACACTTGGATTCCTGCTCGCCACCACTTATTTCTTCTTGAGGACCTAAGATACTGCTTGTTTAAACTTAATAATTTCATTTATTTTGTGATTTTTGTGTTGATTATAAGGGCCTATTTACACGGTACGACTTTGTCGCATGCGACAAGCTTACGGCAGGCTTACGACACGAATTGTTTCGTGTAAATCAAACCTACAACTCGCTTACGACTCTTAAGTCATGTCGTAGGTCTGTAGTAAGCTTGTCGCATGCGACAAAGTCGTGCCGTGTACATAGGCCTTAACATAAACTTATTCCAGCGCGAAGACGTCTCCGTTTTCTTCCAACCCTGCAACCCAGGAACCAAAAAAAATTAGAGACGTCTGTACAAACAGGCTTCGCATTTAGATGTTCTGTTCTTTTTTCGCACAGATTAAATTTGACGTAAGCGGCCGGGAACTGGTGATCCCACTTTCCGACGGCCAACATGACCACGAAGACGAGGGTTACTCTCACGAGGTTGTCTAAAGGATTTTGGCGGCGAAGGATGAGGGGCTTGTGAGCGATAAAGCCTACCATGAACTGAGGATGGCGCTCCCCGAAAGTGTCCGAAGTCACGTCCCGCCACTGTCAACAATATTGCAGGAAAGGAGGACACAAAATAAGGAAATCGAAGTAATTCCAATTCCAGAGGTAAATTATTTTGTTGGTAAACTTATATTACACTCGAGGCAGTTATAGCTTTTTAAAGTACGATGGAGGTGGCTCCCCACAGTAAGTTTAACAGGATGACAAGCGGAAGCCATATAATTTCTTATGCATAAGGGTTTGTGTTCCTGGCATTCACGCTGATTTATCAACAACAATCCAAGATTTTTTATTTTGATCATTTGTGTGTGTCAAAGGTGCTATGGCAACAAGCATTGACTTTCAGTGAGGGCAAAAAGCTTTGCTGAAAGTGAAAAACATTCAGTCAGCACATTTGCCAAAGAAAACAATTTTAAACCATATTTAACTAAGCCTATGTTTAATCTTTGGTGGTATGAGATTAGTCTCTTATGATGTTGTAACAATTTTTTCTGATTGTGTCAAATACTTATTAATTACTTTTTTGGGGTTTTGAATTAATGCAGGCCAAGCAAGGTGATGGTGCCCGTAGAAGTGTTTGCGATGTTCTGGAATATTTAATCACTCTACCCGAAGTCAAAGAGGCCATCAAGAAAGATGGTTCTAAAATTAAGCTCCGATTTGCGGCGGATGGGAGGCGAACCAGCAAAAGAATCGGCACCGTGATGGCAGTTTTTAACATCTTGATGTGTTGATCGACTAAGAAATACTTTCGTGTTTACAAACTCAGATAAGTCGCAGGCAGAAGTACTTAATACGAGTGCATTTACTTCTCACTTACCATGCCTCGTGCCCTGCTTTCTCCATGATCGATGAACGGACCACGCTTTTGACACTGACACCACACAAGAAGTTACTGGTATCGATGTCAAATTACCCCGTTCCGGTGTTACATAATTTTAGGGCAAAAATGAAAAGGACATTTTACAGGACACGCTAGCAGGTTTAAAGCTCATTAGCAATCTCAACAAAACGCGAGGCTAGTTCAGACGAGCGAATGGATAAAAAGTTCCTCGAATAAAGGTTATTTTAGGTTATTTCAGTGATATACAGGGATGCACAGAATCAGCGCGATCTGAGAGTGAGGCGTAGGCGAACTTTCGATTCAAATTGAAGTGGCTTTAATACAGATCATTTTTAGGCAAAGAATGAATGCAAAAAAGGGCTAGATAAGGGAAATAAAAGAGTACCACACATTCGAGTTGGTCATTGCTTTCTTATATTTGGTGGCTCCTAAAGGAGCCGTTTGTTGAAGTGACTACCCAGCGGTAAGTCACTGTTTTCTACTTGGCGACTGATCTTGGTTTCGCCCAGGTCAGTCTCGTGCGCTCCTTGGGCTTTCGCTCGGCTTGCTTGTTCCGCTCACGGTAGAACGAGATCTTTAGAAGGGTTGAACCGAATACTACTTTCCGCACCACGTCTTTACAAGCGACGGGGGCTCCATTCCCGCCTTGACAGCGCAAACACCCCGAATAATCAAAAAACACTTTCTTGCGCTCTACGAGAGCAATCTCGACGGGCTTGCCGGGCTGCAACCGAAAAGTCGTGGAGGTTTTGAAAGTATTTAGTGACCATCCGGCAGGCATTATGGCGTCAAGCTCGTGAATGGGCACAGAAAACTTTGTCGCTTGCAAAAGATTTGGCGCGGAAGGAAGACCACCGAACAACTCTTTAAAGGTCTCGGCATCCATCGGCATGGTGACAGACGAACGTCTCACGATGCTGGTTGTTGGCGGTTTCTTCATGTTCAGCTTTTCTGCCACTAACACAGCTAAGGTCTGCAGCAAGCCCGGAGTTCCTTGGTGGCGTGTCCTAAACACTTGTTTAAGGCGCTCGTTTGTGTCGGCTTCATCCACCCAGCTGTCGTTCTTCTTTCCATTGTCACGCCAGCGGACGAGGTACTGAACGCGACCGTGGGCGTCTGTACGCTTATCGAGCACTTTCGAGACTTCGTAAAACTTGCTCATGTTCTTAGCTATTCTCTCAGTAAGGGATAATCTAAAGTGATTATGACTTGCGTTTACGTTTTTTTGTTTAAGAACTTGTGGCCAACCGGAGAATAAAGTCACTGAAACGGAAAAAGGTACGAAAATCGCACCTATTGTTTTGCCTTCAACAGCGAGGTTTATTTGCTTCAATAGACCAAAAAACAAAAACGCCAGCCTGACAATAGTCTAAGAAAACCAAAACCAACCCGCCTTTCTACACACTCTCGACATCGAGCGGTGTCTTCATTGCAATATGTCTTAATATTTTTTCTTATCTTATTTTAATTGGTTTTTTTTTTAGCAGTGGAACAATAATCATTTAAACGTGGGAAGGTGCAAAAGACAAACTTGTCCTCTTGCCAATCGACAACAGTTCTGTTTTCGCATATCGTTTTCGTCGATACAGGCGCAATTAGTTAAATAATTATTAAGCCATGCACGAAGTAAATTTAAACTTAAATTTAAGTCACTTTTTAAAGAAGCATAGCGTATAAAGCTATAAAACTGAGATGATGCCTACCAGCCGCCCATTTTTATCGCTTGCAGCTACTCGTTGCCGCTTGCTCGCTAAACATCAGAAAACATCACAAACAAAAATCTAACGGATAGTACAACAAGTTATATTCTAAGTATCAATTTTATTTTGACGAGTAAAATAAAACTAAAGTACAATTAGGCTGAGTAAGGCCGAAACATGCGCGCGCGGTATGACAAAAGCCGAACGCAAAGAATAAATCGCTCCCCGCCTCCACCCCCAAGTGCTTCGCTCTGCTCGCTGTTTTTTTCTCGCGCGCGTTCTTTCGCGTTAAAAAATGCAGGCTGCGAACAGTCTTATTTCTTATTTTCTCTTATTTCCTATTTCTCTCTTTTCATTATAACATCCACACGAGATTCACTGTGTGGTTAGTTGGAAACCTGGGGCTGAATCTAATTTGATTAGAAAATAGTCCACGCTATTCGGTCTATTCAGACCCGAGAGAGTGGCGGAAATCGATCCAAGGAAAGATATTGGGACCAAATAGAAAAACCCTTTTCAATATTCAGGTGAAATTTGGTTATTCGTAAAAATTTCCGTTGTTGTCCTCAGAAGCACAAGACCAATCATCAGTGCAAGAATCAACTTGGCTTTTCTATATATTTCATCACTGGACAATCGATAGGCGTTCTAGGTTAATGGCAGAACGCCATTTGGAGGATTCGGACCTTGCGGAGGATCGCTTGGTCTCGGAACCCTTTGACAATAGGCATGGTCCTGTCTCGAGGGCCTAAAAACTGAGAAAAAAATAATCACATAACGTTGGTACGTGCTAAATGCGCGAAAGACGGCAGTTTGTATGTTCAAGAAGAGGATCTTAGCCTCACCATAAAATGTTCTTGCTTGGCCATTGATCACCCTACGAACCACAGTAATTCCAGAAATCGGATGAGCTTGGTCTGCATGACTCGCGAGCCAATGAATCTCCAAATCGAGTTTATCGGACAAGTTCTCCGGCCGCATGTCTAACCGTTTTAATATGCGCACTGTTATTCAAAGACTTCACTTACAAGCGGCGTTTAATGACAACCAGCGTGAACCAGGAAGCGCAGGTCTAATTTAATTACAAAATGCACAAAGGCTGACTAAGATTGAATGAATGGTTTACTTGTATCCTTGTTTCTCTGTTGGAGCTTTCAGTTTTTTACTGGTTTATTAAGGTGCTACAAGGGAACGCCTTTTTTAATATAACCAGAATTTGTGACCTTGAAGTCGATAGTGAGTTCCTCATTGACAACGCAATAATGTCGGTTGGTATTTTGTTCGCTTTTTCTTTTGGCTTGCTGTATGGAGCCTTCCAAACAGAAGTCCCAACAAAAAAATGTGCCAGAGTGTGCTGCCGGCCAACTACGCAACACCCGTCATTGACCAAGCGAAAATGAAACTCTATAAATTTAAACCGCTAATCGCCATAAACTGCTCAACCCTGACGCTACTGTTTATATACCTATCTCATCTTCCATACTGCATCAGCCAATCTGCCGCTCAAGTCCTTTTACCTTGCCTTTCTGTCTGCGTTTGCTGTTTCTGCGCACTTCAAGCGGAAAAAGTGAAATCAGTCAAACGTAAAAAGGTGCGAAAATAACACCTTTTTGTTTTCTTGGCTTGCATACTCTTTTATACTCATCGCACCAGTGGTTGAACATTAACAACGCGAGAAGAAATTTTCAGCAGAATACAATTTAGACTTCTGCAATCAGTCCTTAAGGCCTGCCTGCGTAAACGGGCCTTAAGGAAAACAAATATTGAGCGAACAAAGCTTAACTGTGTCCTGTCCTGGCTTATAAGCTCTAGACCGCATTTTCAATCACTCCAAGCTACTCGCGGCCCCTTGCCGTGAAAACATGAACTGAAAAAAAACTATTATGTCACAAGCGGCTGAATTCCAATTTATTTCATACTGACGGCTTATCTTGCTTCTGAAGAAGTCAGAGGAAGTTACTTCAAGAGAAAATACATTAACGGTCCGCTCGTTTCATACACTGTATGACAATCGTTACCCTGGACAATTACTGACTAACCCCCTGTTAGTCTGTTCAAATTTTCCCAAGTAGACTACCGCTGGGGAAAAATGTCATCGCCGACAATTTGCCGAATGAATCCGAATCAATAAAGGGGTAAGTTTCTAAAGAAACTGTGGTGCTGTGTCGGTGGGAGAGTATAGCAGGTAATTTAGTGTTAACAACTGGGTTGAAAACGTAAATTAGCCACCGTAAAGGGTAAAAAAGCTGACGTTTCGAGCGTTAGCCCTTCGAATCCGAATCAAGCTGAGTAAAAGCTCGTGATACTAAATAGAAAAGTCCCTAAGGATGGATAACAAAAGGCCCATTGTATTAAAAAATCCCAACCATAACAATAGGCAAAGTTTGATATGAGCTAGAAAGAAGTCCCGGAAAAGGCCGGACATAGTACGATTTGGCAGATGGCGTGACAGCTTTAGCTCAGTTCTATGCTCTCTACTCTCATAGAGCACGCTCTTTCAACCAATGACAGTAAGTGTTATATCCGAGCTTTATTATAATAACTATTAGTACAATATTTAAATTTAACGAAATTTCGCTTTTGAGAAAACTAAATACATCTTAAACTGACCAAGAACGAAGTTCTGAAACACTGAGTTAACAGAAACGATAATCCTTATAACGTTGAAAGTACAAAACATTTTTGTGGTACGAATTCTTCTTGCTGTCTTCAAAAAGCGGCAATGAGCCAGAAATAAGAGGGAAAACGGGCGCAGGAATTTTGATGCAATTTTGTTACAATTAAGATTGTAAAAGTACCGGTTTATAAGTGAGTAAAAATTTTTATTTTCAAAGATAGTCTCTCGCGCTGGGGACAACCTATAACAAGTCATGTACTTCGCGTTATCGACCATTTTCGCCGGGAATGACTCACGTTTCTTCTTTCTCAAGCAAGGTTTATAGTTCATGATTTTTTTAATGATGAGACCAATGATGATCATAAAAATAACCAAAAGGTGACAAGGACGATAGAAATAATGATGATAATCCATATCCATATCCCTAATGTTCGGTTCTCTTAGTGATTTTCCCATAAATGGTGTTGGTTTACCCTGAGGATGATAAATAAAATATATAGCGAGCTTGATTATAGAAAACCTTTTCAGGAAAAGGGTGATCGCTTATTTTCTCTTTTAAAAGATCAAAATAATGAAGTTTGCTCTGCGCGCTGGATCACTGTTCCTCGAAGTGTCATATTTATATCATTTCACTTGAAAAACAAAAGACACCAATTTGTACCCTTGCATGGCATTTGTGCCATCACTACATTTAATTTGTTCTTTAAATTAGAGAATCATCTTACAAAATCAGTGGTTGCATCGATGCAAAATTTTTAAAAATAGGTTATCGGGTTGCATTTCTTTCAAAGACATTCAAGAAAATTACATCTGTACAAATATCTCTTTGATTTTTTGGCTTGACTTTGCACTCTGCAGTCCTTCCTATTCTCATTCAATATAGACTGACGTTGGACTGCGTGGTCATCGTAAGTACAGAAATACAGTCCTCTCACATTTTTCCTGGTAGCTTCTAAATATCTTTTGAATCTGCCTTTTATTCTCTGAATTTTCAGCGAAGTGTTCAATTGTATATTTTGTTTTCTTTAACTCTCCGACCGTTTGAAATTCTAAGTTGAGTCCCTACCGGGACTCAAACAGGATGTCTTAATGTACTTGACTTCAGAACAAGGATCATGGTCGCGGTCAGAAATAGCTTCAAACTCAAACTCAGTTAGAACCCTTGCTTGGACCTAAAATAATAAAAAGCCAAAATTCAGAAACAAACATCACAAACCAAATAATGATACTAGCTGGTTCATAATTTACCAGCCCTATTAGGAAAGTGCTCACTTGAAACACAACTAAAACGTTCTATGCAATTTTGATAACCCTCAAACATTTTCCTATTTGGCAACTGCATTAACTCGAGCACTCAATTTTTTAAATAGTGTTAGTATCTTTTAGATTTCACTTCATCCCATCACCATGATACTCTATTAAAGAAAAGCATCCCTCTAAATACATGATTACGTACATCTAATATCCTTCATCGTACGCTGATTCCCCAACCATGTTAGCTGCTAAGTAAGATTTTACAATGAATTTGGCCAACGGTTCCGAAAGCAACTTCGCCAACAGCAATTCCCCCCGTCACACTTTAATGCCCCCGCAGATCAGAAGTGCGACCAATAGTCAAATTCAATTTTGAATCAGAGTATTTACACGGACGTCATTGTCGGAAGTAATAGACCACCAATCAAAAGCACACCACTGAAAATATTCTGACTATTTGAAAACTCTCCTACCTATTTCGAATCATTTGCAATTGATCTCTGTGTTGAATATTTTTTCCAAGTTGTATAAGAGAGATTCCTCTATAGAAATCAACTCGTCCCTTTCCTTTTCCTTCTTGACTACGATTACACTTTATTAAAGTATTCACAGAAGAAGTGACTCTGAAAATAATAAACAGACCCTGCTGGGGTAAACTCTTTTCCTCGGCCTGACACATCTCAACTGTCCTCCTCTTGTTTAAACACTCCAACTGTTATGAAAGGACCAAAATCATTTCGATTCAACAAGGTAGTATGGTTGATTGATTTGGGTTCCACTTTGTATAATTTTTATCTCTCCAAAATTGCAGCCCACACCTGCCATCGGACAGGTTGATATTTAGCAGTCATCATCATACTGAGGCCCGAGGCCGTACTCTTAGAAAATTTACCAAAATGGAACCATTTGGACCTCCTGTTATGTCAAGGAAATTGTCATTTTAAAAAACTGTCCGGTCCTACTTCTTTCAGAGGAAAAAAGAAACCAAGTTCTTCCTTCTTTCGATTATAATTCAAATGCGCAGATATTAGTTTGACCCTCATACTCTTGAGCACACAGTACTCTACATCAGTTTGAGTTGATATTAGTACGGCGAGGATAACACTTAAACAATCTGCAAACCAACCTCCAAACTCACCAACTATCTTATTACACAAATGTCTCGATTCATCTGTCTTTTTATCTCTCAATTGTTAGCTTAGACTTGAGTTTGTCATTTCATGATTAGGAGTTCGAACAACTGTTCTGTTTTCTCAAAATCCTAAGTACATTTCCTATGGGTCTTACGGCTTTAAACGGATGTTTTTCTTGACCAGAGCTCCTCGATGTGAGCGCAGACAATGCTTCTCTTTATCTTCAAATCTTCATTTAACTTCATAATATTGATAAGGCGGTAGTTTCCTAGTTGTTAAAATGTAGCTCTAGCCAGGGTCTTAAGAATAAGTACTTCTAGTTTTTAAGTGTCTCTTCTTACACCTTAAGAAATCTTCTGTTTGCGGTTCCTTTAGAACGAACATCGAAGATGGTATGTTTATTTCTCGTGATCCCCATTATTGTACACGCTGGGTAAAAGAAGCGATTCTCTTAACTCTTCGCCTAAACATCAATTAAAATTTACCGTTGTGATTAGCTTTGAAATTTCTAAGAGAGAAGATTGAAAAAACTTCACCTTGCATCCTAGCTGCAAATTCATTATCTGGTACATCATTCCAAGTAGATATTGAAGAGTCAGGCTTCAAACTATGATTAAATAAAACAACAAACATACAGACAGACACGATTAATAAATGCAATTATTAATCATTCGATCAACGTCAAACTTTCTAGTCGCGGTTACTTTCTTGCAACTGCACGATGTATGGAAAGCCGCTACAATACGCACGCTGGTCTTATATAAAATGAGTCCTAATTTTCATGGACCTTTTGGATTAAGAATCATAACGTTCTTTCAACCATCTACAGAATACCTAATTTAACATATGTACTTGTAGGTAGAGGCTTGCGTTTCATAGTGATTTAATTTATCATACCGATGAGCGGTGGACAATTTGGACTTTTTGTCTTCGTCTTTGCCATCTTTAGACCATAGTCGACCTTTATGAGTGTCGAAAATGTCAGAAGGAACTTTGGCTTCTTGTAGACCTTTTGAATAAATCATACATCGTTAAGGTTAAAGTAATATAAAGAAGCTCACATTCTTTATTTTCTATTATATTAATCACGAGGCGCTAACAAGATATTGATTACATGATGCTAAAAAAGGGCTAACGTGTTACCCGAGTTGACTCCAAATAATATACGGGGCCCATTACACGCCTCTACTTTTATATTGAAATATAGTCGTTTGTCTCATGATGTAGTCGGTTCCTATATAGATCACGATGTTTCGACTGCATGCTACTAGTCTTCTATCTTCTTATCGCTCGAGCCTCCACCATAAGAGATACGAATTTGGGATTTCTAGTGATAAAAATGTCTCTTCATACACCCTAGTAAAACTTCTATTTGCGGTTCATTTAGAACGAACATCGAAGATGGTTATGCATAGCAGAGGCTGCAACGACAGCAGCGGATCTATGGGAAAGAGTTTGGAGGATTCGCGAGACCCCAACCCCCTCCACCACACTTCCCCCACCCTTCCCCCCACAAAAAAGCAAAGGTCACACAATTTAATTGAAAATTTTTAACAAAAACTGTGTGTATTGGTTATTTGTACAAGATTGAGAACATTTTAGCGTTGCCTGTGTTTTTTCTCTTTTTTTTTGGGAAAAAAGAAAATTTTTAAAAAATTTCGAGGTAAGAAGTATATGGCATTGATCATGTTGATTTGGCTTTACTTCTAGGAAATGATATGTCTCGAGGAAATTAAATTAATAAAATCGTTAACCAAGTATGTTTGACTGAGTGTACCTTTAAATCTAGGAATGGACACTGACTCTTGTGTTTTTCCTAGCGATGCCTCCATTGGCCTCCCTCTTACAATTATTCTCCGTTCAAACCTCCTCGAGCTAACAAAGATGAGAAATAGAGGAAATAAGATCCAAACCTAATGGTGAAGATAGAGTTAATACTATTTATTGATTATCATCATCGTGATAGTCGGGGTAGCATGGCGTCCTCCGACCAGCTACTTGGTTATCCACCGAAGCGTCGGCAGTGGGTCTACTCTAAAAGCCACACTGATTTTAACCAAACAGAGCACTTTAAAGAATGCTTCAGGGTATTTTACTGGCTAAACAGAAAACAACCCTCAGCAGACAGAAATTTTTCTTGCTGTGTATGCCATGTTTTACCGATGAGCTGCTGACAAAGTAAACTTTTTTACCTTTGTCTCCTTGCCATAAGCAGTCGTGAGTTTTCTAGCCATTCCTCCCTTCGACTGTTTCTTAATTTTATTTTCTCTTTAAACATGATCCGGCTAACAAAGATTGTTAGGAAGGAGGAGGAGGAGGAAATAAGATTCAAACCTAACGGTGTAAATAGTACTAGGACTATTTATTGATTATCATCATCGTGATATTCGGGGTAGCATAGTGTTTTCTGAACAGCCACCTGGTTATCCACTGTAGCGTCGGCAGTGGGTTTACTCTAAAAGCCACACTGAATTTAACCAAACAGAGCACTTTAAAGAATGCTTCAGGGTATTTGAATGGCCAAACAGAAAGCAATCTTCTGCATAAATTTTTCTTGCTATGTATGGTATGTTTTACCGATGAGCTGTTGACAAAGTAGACTTTTTACCTTCGTTTTGGGCCATCTTTAGAGGGTGGACTTTCAGGGGGGTCAAAGTCATCAGAGAAACCTTTGCCTTCTCGTAGATCTTGCATAAATCATACATCGTTAAGGTTAAAAGAATATAAAGAAGCTCACATTTTCTATTTTCTATTATATTTGCCAAGAGGGGCGAACAAGATATTGATTAAATGATGTTAAAAAAGAGTCTACGTGTTAGCTGAGTGTAACTCCAAACAAAATAACTTGCATTAAAATATAATCGTTTGTCTCACGATGTAGTCGGCTCCAATGTGGATCGCGATGCTAGTCGTCTTGCTTCTTATTGCCCGAACATCCTCCGTAACAAGTAAAGTCCCTCAATTTGGTTGTAAAAAATTTCACATTCCTCGAACCGTTATCAATTTTCAAAACGTTGCAACCTCTTCCAGGGTCATATTTCTATGAAAGACGCATCTGATTCAGACCTCAGACGTTGACCGGACATCGCTCGCCATGCAACTTATGATTAATTCTCGTGATCCCATTATAGTACACGCTAGGTAGAAGAGGCGATTCTCATAATTCTTCGCCTAAACATCAATTAAAATTTATAGTTGTGATAAGCTTCACCTTGTATCCTGGCAGCGGAATCTTTATCTCTATTCAATATCTGCTCGGAATGATGAACCGGAGGTACGATTCTACGATTAAATAAAACAACAAACATACAGACAGACATGATTAATAAATGCAAACCAAACCAAAATGATGGTATTAGCTTGTTATACAACGTTAGAATTCGATTTTTACTTTTGGTTAACATGCAAATACACTACACGGACCTTTGTAATTGAGAACCACAATGTTCTTTAAACCATTTACAGCATACCTAATTTAACATATGTTCTTGAGAGTAAAGAGGCTTGCGTTTCATAGTGATTTAGTTTATCATATCGCTGGCAGCGCGCGTGAGCAATATGAAGCGAAACCTGTGTCTGATTGGCTACTCGAGTAGGAAAGATGGACCCATCTTGCCCGCTCAAGATTAACTACTTTCACCAAGCGCAATATAAAAATTGTTCTGAGATGCAAAAGGCGGCGAAAGGAAGTGAAGATAAAGAAAACATACACGAATCTCAAGGGTTTATGTATTGTGCTACAAACACAGTTGGCTTTCCTTCCTGGCACTCGAAATAAGTCATTCTTGATTCTTAATAAAGCTTTATCTTTTTGCTATTTACTAAATCGTTTATTAACCAAGCTGGTTTGGTTAAGATGGTTAGATATTGGCCTCTTCCTTTTTGCGTTTTTATTGACCTCGACTTCTTTTCGGTCCTTAAAAAAAGACCTTGGTCAATACCCAGCCATCCTGACCACACGCTTTGCCAATAATGTAAATATACTCGCCAAGTAAAGCGTTTGAATCAGAGCAAGAACACGCGTGTTCATGAAAATTCATTATGTATTTGTCAAAAAGAAACATTTCAATTTGTAGGGAGGAAAAGAGGGAACTTGTAACAATTACGGAGAAAAAAACACTCAGACATGTCCTGAAATGGCAACTGCCTCTATTTGACCACTTAGTTTTCGTAGTATTGCTTTCATTATCAATGTCAGTTCTTTCCGTCGTGATATGCAGCTCTTTGTGAGAAAAAGTTTGTCATGCATACCAGAACTGTAACTAAACAGTCAGAAACAAGTTCACATCAGAATAGTTATTCACAAATAGACGGATATCTTCGATGCAACGGGTGTTCACGCCGCTGAGAAGAGTTTACAAAAATCAACTAAAATCAATAGTAGGATTGGCTACTTTTAAGAGATTCAAATTAAAAACCTACTTCCAAATTTTTTTCAGTTAGCTCTATTGCTTAAAAATTTTTTGCCAAGCACTAAGGGTAATACCATTACACATTGGAGTTTCTTTTTTATGAATAAGCTTGCCTAAAGGATTAACGGAAAAGGCAACCCTTATACGGGTCCTATAGTAACGAACATACCTCGCTAAATGTCTATTACAACGGACATGGGACCTGATAAATTCTTCTTCTTCTTGCCCTGTTAAAAAAGATCATTTACCATGATAATTAAAGTTGATATCTGTCAGTGCCTCTATTACAAAAGGACCCAATTTCGACTCAGCGAGGTAGAATAGTTAACTGAATTGGGCTCCAGCTTCCCGTCCTGATAAGTTGTTGGTAGCCTTAAATTTACGAAAGGCCTAGATAGCTGAGAACAGCTCTAGATAGGACTTTCTTTGAACTCAAACTGTGAGTTAGAAACTTTGTAAAATTATTTTCCCCTTTTTTTTGACCTCATTAATATTACAGGTGTAATCTCGTAAACGAGGGTGTGAAGTCCCAAGAACTGTACTAAATCTTGTCATCAAATTTCAGAAGAGTGCCCTCTTGTCAGATAGAATGTTGGAAGATAATCTAGGTATTCAAAAAGTATTTTTATGCGCTAATTAACCATATCTTTGTTAGATTAACCTCTCCTGAGACAAGCAACGTAGCTAGAATCACAAAGAATGAAGAAATTTAAGATGCACTGCAGACGAGCAATCTATATCCATCTATTTGTTTATTTAATCTAATTGAAAGGAAAACAACAATCAGACACCTTAGGCATTCATATACCTTCTGTTGTCGATAAGCTTGCGTAAAGAGGCAGGGCAGTAGTAACAGAGCACGTACCTGCATGAGGTTGTGGTAATAGTCTTCTTCTCCTCTTCATACACCGTGGTATCGCGGTATATAGTCTATGTGAATAACTGCGGAGCGAAACCTCAAAAAACCTCAAAAAATAACAATGACTTCATCAAACCTCATCACAAGCTTTTATGAACAGAAAATTACTAACAAGAAATTGTCGAGTTATTGACGTCACTCACGTGCTTTTCCACCTTGTTAAACGGTATTTCTAGTATTTCCTTACATCTTACATCTTTCACTTGAATGACAGTAGTTTCGAAAGTGTCGTTCCAGTTTTAATAGTGGCCACAGAGTTTTGACCTTTTTTACAAGCGGGGTGGATCTCTAGTCTTGTCTCAAGCGACGTAATTTTGACCGGTTTTTTTTAATTTCAAATTCTATCTTGCAAAATATTTGAATCTGAGCAAGGAACTTGGATTCAAGCTCTGGACTGAAAGCTTAACCACGCTTCATACCTGTTTGTTTCGGGAATAACGCAGCCACTTCCAATTTTAGTTTTTAGGTTCCTCCTGTGATAACTTAAGTACCCACTGTCTAAGGGGGTATATCTTTCACGCCCTAAGAAGATGAACCAAAAGAGAAAAATTTACCAAGTCTTCCGATGTAATCTCCTTTAGTATTGTTTTATATCATAATACAGATACATGGAAACATAGCGAGCCATTCTTGTGGAGGGTAAATATTCGGGAAATGGACAAAAAGGTTCAAAACATTAGAGGATAGAAGATCTGGAAGCGATATTCCTGCAATTATCTCTTGTTCTTCTATAGTATCATTTTTTTTCCTCGACTAATATAACAGCCTTGATTTGATCAGGCAGTTGGGATATCGCTTCTGTAGATGTTTGAATACCAACATCACCGGTGTTTGCTGTTTGAAAAACCCCTTCAGTAACCAGGATTTCAGTGTCATCACCATCTCCCATCAGCGAGTTGCCGTTGTTTTCTGAGGAATTGCGTGAGTAATAAAGTAAACTTGTTTAACTTATCTCTAAAGCAAATTCCACTCAACGAAACGAGTAGGACAATTGAATGGGACATGGTATCGATATCTAAATTTTGTTAGTTAGTCCCATACCATTGTTATTTTTATGAAATAATGACGATGATAATTGAGAATAATAATAAAAATAACGTTGTAAGTGGTTAAATCATTTGTACCTATAATTTTTCCTGCAATTATCTGTTGTTCTTTTGTAGTCTCATTTTTTCCTTCGACTGGTATAACTTTCTTGCCTTGATCAACCAGTTGGGAAACAGCTCCTATGGATGTTTGAATACCAAGATCATCGGTGTTTGCTGTTTGAATAGCCCTTTCAGTAACCAGGATTTCAGTGTCATCACCATCTCCCATAAGCGAGTTTCCGCTGTTTTCTGAGGAATTGCGTGAGAAATAAAGTAAGCAATTACATACTAAGACATCTTAAGTGGATTAAGATAACCCAGGATTAGTGTGAAATCTAATTTCAGATCGGAAAGTTTTAATAGGAAATTCAGAATAACCAATTTGATGATTGGACGCTCTAAGAAGAATAGAAAAAAAATGTTCTAAAAGGGCTTTTGAACAAAGGAACAAAGGAACTCGGATTAAAATTTGATCATGGGTTAGCGCTAATCGGTCTTCGTACACCTTGACCCAGGACTTCAAATATCCCTTTAGCAAGTATTGTTACCAACTTACGAGAATTTTTTAAAAGATGCTTTTTACACGCCAAATAGTCCTCTTCCAGTATGCTTGTTTCTAAAGTGACAGACTCCACATGAAATCTCTTTTTGATGTCATCTGTCAGAAGAAATTTTTCGGCAATCCAATCTAGACGACCGGAGCGATAGTCAGACCACAGACATTCAAGACTTTCCAGATCCCGACATTCGACGGAAAATCGTAAACTGTTGTCACGCTCTTTTGTTGGTTCTGGTAGGTGGGGTAGTTCCATAAAAGAACTTTGAGAAGTCTTTTCCTCAGATAACATTTCAGACACCAGACGCAGGCTTCCTTTCTCTTGATTTGTATGTAATTCATTTGGGCTTGCTGAAAAATCGTTGTCTACGTTGTTATCAAAGGGCGATGTATGTGAAAAGAAAATCAACATTCCTATCTTAAGATTCATGCAAATCATAACCTTCGGAAAAAGAATCAATATCCTTTCGGCTTTCAGTTTTTAATTACTGCACAATTAAACTAAAATACACAATTAATAATCATCACTCATAGTTTGCCGTACAATAAAGAAGAGCAGGTTTTTGTTAGAGTTAAACAAGCTCATTTTAGAACTATAAGTTCTATTCAAACATGAATCTACCATAAAATTGTCAAAACCTTTACATGAAATGAAAATTTTTAATGATTTCTAATAGATGCTATGCTATCATTTTAGATGAGCGCCCAAAGAAAAATTCTATAATTATATGTATATTTGAATTGTTGATGTTTTCACTTACAATTTAACGCAAAGTGCACTGTGGAGAGTTCACGTTGTTCTTCGTCCTGAGCGACTAAAGCTTGTCCATTCGCTCGGTCAGTTAGATTTTCTGCAACTGTTGAATCACGATTCAGATCTAGTCGATGGCGTCAAAGAAAATAACAACAGCAAGAATTAACATGAAACCGTAACATAACATGAAACTATAATATATTTCTCCTCCCTTAACAACGATATTTTTGGGAAATCTTACAATTATGGACACTCCCAAGGACATGGTAATGCTGATCCTCGATTTTTTTTTTATACTTTTTTGCTTTTTTTTCGGTGAACGATTTGAGCTTCATATTTGGGTCTGATAATTTTGAGGAAACTTTACTCGCGACCTCTACTCGCGACTCGGGAACCTCAACCCCCGAATCTTGACCAGAAGGCAAGTTCATTTCGCAAAACTCAAACTGAGACATTTCCTACTTTAGCGGACCTCTCCCAGAGGGCAAGAAACTCATTTCTTAAAACTCCCACAAGTGACCAAGACATTTTCCCTTACAATTGAATACAATATCAAGCAGGGAATGAGAATCTATCAATTATTTAATTTTTTCTCTGAAAACATCAAAGAATTGTATGGTAGTAAGGAGAATTACTAAGGGTTAAAACTTCCTCATCAAGTATACAAAAACAGCAACTTTGTTCTCGTTTAATAACCATTCCTAAGTTTTTAATTCATCTTCATTTTTTTCTGTTTTATTTCTGTCGCCTCGTTCGTCTGCTTTTTGTTTTGTCTTTTTTGTTCGTTTCAGACAGATAAATGTCGGTAGAACTGTGATAAAATCGTTGATTTTGAGTATCCATGGGTATACATGATAATATTTTTTTTCTGGTAACAATGTACCGGAGTATTAGATGGTAAATAAGGGTGCACCCGTAAAGGATGAGCTTTGAAAAATTTTGGTGAGATTATTTTTTTCAGTTTAAAGTTGCACCAAGGCCATTTTGCTCGATCCCTTACTTTCCATTGAACTAACTGCTTTGCTCGTAAGATTTCTCACGTTCCTATTGACAGGTTGGTTTGTTTTGCTGGCAAGATAGTAACAAACAAAAAATTTATATACAGATAACAATCCCACCCGCCATTCAGAAGCGCTGTGCCGTATTACACTGATTACCCTCTTTTTGACAGTCATTTTCCTAAGCCCTAAGTGCATTAAACCTTAAAACCTGTCTTCTTGGGGAGTTTTAACTATAAGATGAAGTACCTGTCAATGACAGTTTGCAAGCCAGGTAGTTCTCCATAGTAATGGTCGTTTCCAGTTCTATTGATTCCACTTCATATTTTTTCTTTATCTCATCCGTTAAAAGGCGTTCTTCCGCTACTTCATTCAGGTGACCGGAATTATAGTCATCCCACAGACGCTCAAGAATTTCCAATGTCCTACATTCGACTACAATTCGCAAGCTCCCCTCGCCTGCTTCTCTTATTATCGTGTCGTGTACTCCTTGTAGGTAGTAAGAGAGAGACTGATTGAATTTTTCAGAAGGGACTTTAGCTGCATGTATCTCGAGAAAGTGTTTTGTCATCTCACACATCAGGAGATGTTTGGCTTCTTCTTGTTGCGCAGCATCTTTGCTCTCTGCCTCTTGAAATGTAGCGCATCTAAGTCTTATGTGGATGGGCAATCTACCTGGAGCTAAATGTGCACTGACTTCCAAAAAGCCAGGCGAAAACACAATTAGAACGTTGCTACTTAAAAAAATATCACTTTCCTTTTAAATAAATTATGAAAAGCGGACTCGCCGGGAGGCTGTGGCACACTACATATTTTATAGAAAACAAATAACAGAAAATTATTAGTGAACAGAGAATGGCACCTCCGCATCAAATACTATTTCTCTGTTGCCAGACTCTACCCATAAAGAACTGAGGAAAGCAGACGAAAGAGAATAGAGACCTACTCATTACCTATCGAAAGTCTAAAATTATTAGTGAACAGAGAATGGCACCTCCGCATCAAATATTATTTCTCTGTTGCCAGACTCTACCCATAAAGAACTGAGGAAAGCAGACGAAAGAGAATAGAGACCTACTTATTACCTATCGAAAGTCTGGAATTCCTGCGACACAAAGACGTTTAAAGGCAACAAGAAAAGAAATGAAAGGTAACGACAGAGAAAGAAATTGCGAGAATTTTACAACCAAACGGTTGTACTTTTATAATTTTGAACATATCCATTTTATTTATTACTTTGTACTAACCCTTTTGAAGAAACCATTGAGATCATTCGATAATCTCCGGTAATATGTGGCATAGGATAAATTAGAACCACTGGGCATTCCCGTGGAAAATTCTGAAATTTTACTCTTTATATTACATGGAATACACGGCGTACCGATGGTATTGTATAACAAACGTGTATGTGAAATCGGACCAATAATTATTTGGTTGAAGAGGGATTTTGCTGGTATATCAGTGATATGAATTTGGAGTAAAATTTCAGTGCCACTCTTCGAACCAAAATTTAATCAATTTCCCCAATTTCTCTCTTCGACACTTCAATGCTTCAATCTGATAAGTCAGAATTTAATACTAGATACCAGTCTCCAGAGTATGAGTTATTACAAGTATTTTATTACTATCATCATTATTGTTATTATAATTATTATGTATTTATAGTTTTCAAAAATGGGGCACTTAAAGAGTATGGTACCTGAACAAAGGCCGTTACTGACTTCCGTCTGGTGAGGCAATGTGGACTTTTCTGATGCACACCCACAATCTTCGGGTTTGTCTATTTGAAGAATATGCGACATTTTAATTATTTTATTAGCTATGCAACGATTTAGAGGTTTGGGGTTTAAGTGGCCGCTGACAAATAATTTGCTAAACGAGCCCATAAAGGTTTCATACATCTCTATGTGCCACAAATCAATCTTTCACATTGCAGTGTGTTACTTTTTTGTTAGGGAAAATTAACCCTGATAATGGCTATCTCTACCCAAGAGTATAAATGGTCTTTAAATTTTTATAGGGAAAGGAGAAAGATGCCTCAAAGTTAATTAAAATATTCCTGGCTGTTTTGGTTAAACTAATTGGGAGACTTATGACCACAGTGCGCCGGAATGCCTTTTGGCATAGCATTGGATCATCTCAGCTAAGCTTACATCCATACCGTTAAGAGTGATGCTGATCATTTTGTCAATGAGAGATTCACACTGTTTTTTCCAACTGTACTTTTTCTGGTAGGAGTCTCGCAGTGTTTCACACTCTTCAAGTCGTCTGCTTCTGTCGTTGTTGCAGACGTCCCCAATTGCTTTGGCCCACTGATCTTGATCATCTGAATCAACCACAAAATGCCGGCCAAATGGTATTTCCAACAAAGCTTCTGCAAATCCTGATTTTCGACTCACAAGAATAGGCAGACCGGCTGACAAGGCCTCAAGACCCGTTAAACCAAAGCCTTCAGTTCTCGAGGGCATAACAACAAGGTCTGCTTCGCAAAATACCTTTTCCAAATCTTCCCGGCTATCCAAAAACGCTCGCACCTTTAGCTGATTGGGAGGGATATCAAAATCGAGGAAACGTGTTCGTGTCTCTTCGAGTTTGTCCTCCGCAGCACCAACAAATAACAGAATACAATGACTCAGCTTAGCCACAGCTCGAGCTGCTATATCGAATCCTTTTAATTTAAAGTCCTCCGAATCTCCACGACCAAAACACAATACTTTACAAACTTCTCGTTTTTCTGGACTTTGTTTCAATTCAGAGAATTCTGTTAGAATTCCAGGAGTAAATTGGAAGAAACATTGCTCTTTCTTACACGAGGCGAGATAAGAATGAAACGCTTTGTACAATTTGGGGCCAACTGGTACAACGAAGTCAGCTAGTTCGCAAAGTTCTACCTCTGTTTTATGCTTTTTCTGAGCATTCGAAATTGGATTGGGATATTCTTTATATATCCCTAGTTCCTCAGGGTCTGTATGGACAACCTGAATCCATTTACATTCGTGGGACTCCCTGATAATTTGTGCCTGATGGCCAAGTTTAACACCATGTCCAACTACTACGTCAATTTGCAAATCCTTTGGTGGAAAGTTAAGCCATTCCAGCTCATCTAAGCCGGGCCGCCTTGCTGCCTTTATAAGTTCTATTTTATGACTATGAGCTGCTGTCTTGTCCTCGTCATTGCAACTTGGAACAAAGTAACTGACCTTAATTCTTGGGTCCTTTGCGATGTTTATTGCCAATTCCCTGTTTAAGGTGGAGAGGCCTCCTTTGCTTGATCCCCATTCTGATGCCAGGAAAGTAACTCCAAGCCTTTTGGGTCCTGGGCACTGTCTGCTGTAATTGTTATTGTCCTCTTCATTTAGCATATGTGCGTAGTTTGATGATTTTCCCCTCTTGAAATATAATAAAAGCTGTTAAAAATATTTCACCGGACTTTTTTTATATCAGTGACCCGATTTAAAAGAATGTCTAGTTTATAAGACTCAGCGTGCAAAGTAATTGTTTAACAAACATCTTCTGCGTAAATGCATTACTACGAATCATACATTCCCCCTTGACACATGCATCCTGAAGAACACGTGTTATTTTAGAGTTGGGCCCCTACACTTCTATAGCTGCTCACAAGCAATCATACACTTCAGAAAAAAATAATTTGCATTATATGCAAGATATATTTTTTAATATTTTTACCTCTGCAATCTGAAATCCCTTAATGATCATTCACCATGTTCTGTGTTTTATTGTTATGAAGACCAAATAAAAATAAATGTCCCTCTAGCCTGGTGAACTGTAATTAATTTCTGTACTGCAATCAGTAGGATTTTGTATTCTTATCTCCCTGTTTTAAATAGCAATGTGTCATGCGTGGTTGAAGAGGAAGGGCTTCGAGCAGAAATCGGCGAAAATTCCTTTTCGCCATTATTATCTGTGGACTCGAGCGACGATTCTACGCTAGAAAGAAAGGGGGTTTTAGTTTAGTTCCAGAACAAATCACCTATAGAAACCCCGTCGTCGAACTTTTGACTCAAGAAGCAGATGAATTACCAAGAGTCAGTCTAGTTTACAAAGAAACCACGGGGTGTACTCATATAAATAGGAGCATGATAACAGTCAACAATACCCCAAGAGACGCTTCCAATCAAAATTTTCCGTAAACCAATGTTGCAGAGGCTGTTCGTGTTTTCCGAATAATACTTCTAAACCAATAAATAAATATTATAACAGATCGCGGGCGAACAATTGCTACCTGACATTCTTAAGGTGTTACCATGTTAAAAATCCTCATGCACGCACGGCCGTGCATTCATAACACGGCGGGTGCATTCAGCTGCAACTTCCCGTACAGTTTAGCCGCGCTTCAAAACTTTTTGACTTTGTTTTTCTCTTCCATCCCGATTGTGATAGAACTTTGGGAGCTCAAAATCAAGTGTAAATATGCTAAACAATACTTATTTCGAAAAATAATGGAAATGTATTTCTTTCAAGCGACAGAGTTAGCTTTTGAGTTCATTTCCGCACGCTATGCGAATTATGGCTGGAAATAAACAAAGTGATCTTCATGACTTCAAGTGAGGCTTTGCGACGTAGGGTAAAATTCTCGAGAACGGTAGCAATAATTTTTTAAGTGTTAACATGTCCAAAAAGAGTTTTCAATAGAAGATTTTGGTTTAAATCGTACAATTTTCAGAAATTCGCAATTTTCCGCTCGTAAATTGTAATAACCTTCGGTGAGTCAACCACGCGGGTCTCGTAAACGCAAGAAATTCGTACATTTTTCGCTTTGCTTCTATCGCGCTCTCCAAACTTCCTATGTGCATCCATAACTCGATTCTTGGCAAGAACCAATTCTTTAATTGACTTTGAATGACTCTGAATTTCGCCGAACGTTCGAGAGGTCCTAGGAAAAACAAATCTTCGCACATACGATGGAGAGAAATCGAAATCTCACATGACCGCCTTTCTGGTTGTTTTGTTACACAGGTCGGTTTCTAAAGTATTATCTAAGTCAGATCCAAATGACACGGGCCCTGCAACAATTCCTTAAATTAGGCATCAAACCATGAGTTTTCGAATCAGTGATTAGGCTTCGTCGCACTTGAATTAATCACGAGTTCTAGTCAGGTTCTGTTCAGACACATGTTTAATAACAACACGGAAAGGCAAAGTTAACGAAGCTCGGCTGCAGATTGTCCATTTGATCGAATGAGTAGGCAAACGGGTTTGACTGAGAATTCAGCACTGAAGAGTAATGATTCACAAGTGGTAGAAAATATAATCTGCTGATACATCGAATATTCCAACCTCCATTGTTTGCTGTGTACTCTTCCGCCTTCACAATTGCGTGTTCAGTTCAGGCACAGATTCGATAGCAACGCGGTAAGGCAAACCAAGAGTTAATGAAGCCCGGCTACATATTGTGGCAAGGCTTCGTTTAGCAACATTCAATGCTAATCTCTCGATCGAATGAATACGCAATCGTTTTTGACTAAATCATGACTGAGGAATGATTCACAAGTGATACAAAATATCATCTACTAAACCATCGAATATTCCTACCTGCATTGTTCACAGTGTACTCTTCTGCTTTCGCGATTGCATGTTCGTGACTCCACAAGAATTGCATAATAAACATCCATTATTTATCCACGCCATTCCTTATGTCGATTTTCCGCCGAAAATGTCTTCAGTCACTAAAATAAGCCTTACTGATAAGAAATTCTTATGATTATGAATCTCTAATTGCCAACTTCATCAGAGTGGAACACAAGTAATGAATCAGCCGAAAAAACACAAAAAGGACTGGGGCCAGATATAAGTGGGAGCCTGAGGAGCCTGAGGAAGAGAGGAGGTCAGGGGTTGCTAATTCAAGTCTGAGGCTTTTCCTTCGCCCTTGTATCAATACGTTTTCTGCGCGACAGTTGAAGGTGGCGTTGTGTCCACTCCTAGGAGATGAAATCCTAATTACCTTGACGCGTGCGTTGTCTTTCTAATTTCCCATAGACTGACAAGGCAGAACAGTGCACAGCACAGCGAATCTTGGAAGAGTACATTTCCGTTTTCATTCCAAAACGGCGAGGATGGATTTGAAAATAAGGGTGAGAGAAAAGATTTACATCGAATCTCAGCGTTTCCTCGTGGGAAAGTTAATTATTACCTTACATCGATAGTGACGCAAAATCTACGATTTCAGTAAAAGAAAATGCGTCTATGAATCAAGGAAAACCTCTCTCTACTTTTCTAATTCCTCAACATTTTCCAAGGGGATAGCCAGGAGGAAAGCTCAGCATTATACATTATTTGGCAGGCAAAAATTTGTTGTTCTTGTCGTCTTTGTACCATGTTAGTATGGATACATACTTTTGCACCACCTACATTAATAGATTGAAATGAATTCATCGTAAATATAATTTTTAAGATTTGATTCTTAAAAAAATAAAGCAGAGATCACCAAACTCGTTCAGCAGTAAAAGGCGCATAAGGGTTTCAGGGAAGGCTTTTCTTAAGAGACGTAGCAGTTCTAAAACAAATTAAGTGGGAGAAAATAACTGAATGTTCTAGTCATGAATCGTTTGTTTACTTTTTTGAAAACTGATCGAAATCTTTCCTTTCTTCCGTTAGGAATCTTTGTCGCGATACAGCCTCCCTCGCTCATCTGACGAGTGACTCTGAGGCTCCAGCTCAGTACCTTTTGATCTTAGCTTTATGATTTCATAGAATAATTATTCTTTAGTCATTTGCGTGCCCTTCATTTTGTTTTTCCTCGCCGGTTTTTGACGAGTGTTTAACATTCTTCCTTAACTTCACTTTGATATCATAACAGTCAAAAGTAAAGCTTACGCTCGTATACTCTCCCATTAACCACAGGTCTTTAGAGAAAACTAATCAAAAATAACGCCGCATGGTCAGTTTTTGACACTTTTCACACTTAGTTTTTCCGTCATGTCCGAATATGCGATTATGAATGAGAATGCATTTACCAGACATTCATATCAGCCCACAGTACAGGTAACAGAGGGACATGGAGGAGATACCAAATGGAAAATATAGCTTTATTTCAATGTTTCAAAAAAGATTTAAAGTAGGCTGATTCTCAAAATATACAATAACTTACCACACATTCCTCTGATTACAAAAAGTAATTATATATTAGTTACGAATTCATATTCTGAAAACAGTTTTGGGAGAATGATCATCGAACACGTTATGAAGACAGAAAATAAATGATCAAAAATAGACGATGTGAGATTTTATTGGCTCCGGTAAATGATCCAAAAGGTTGGCGCAGTTAAACTTTAAGGAAAATTGTTTCATTGTAAATCAACAGTTGGTATCAACCATCCGTACGCATCAATGCAAAATTCATTTAATCGCTATATACTGTACAGTTTTTAGTTTAAAAAGAAATACAATAAAAATTACTTTCATTCTATCCACATAATGAGCAAGATGTTAACGAGAACATGGTAAAATATGGCCATAAAGTCTTATTTCTAACACCATGCAATGCATATTGGTTCCAAATTGCCAATGGCGTTTTCTATGCAGAAAAAGTGGGACCGGCCCACACACTAGTATAAAATCTCTCGACATCAAATTCCCTTGTTTTGCATTTATATAAACTTTTTTCAAAAATTGTCAGCAGATCTTTCTTCCCCTTTCTGAGATTCTATGAATATCATAATCCTTCTTCTACATTTGTCTAACTTCAAAACATAAAGTTAAAATCATACACCTGCGATGAGTAGCAAAAACCGTCCATGCAAAACAACAAACAATCATAAATTGTAAAAATTCTATACGTTCAATACCTCAATAGTAAGAAGATCTGGCATTAAAAAGAAAACTGGGCGTTTTCATTTCGTGAAGACATGAAATTTTTTTTCAAGCATCACCAAAGGGAAAATACTTCTCTTTAATCCCTACTCTTCTTTGGGAGTATAAGGCTCTATCTTAATGTAAAGTAAGTTGAGGACGTATTCTGCCTCAAATATCAACAAAACTACAAAAGACGATTCAACAAGTTGCAAATTGCCCAAATATTTCATTTTAAAATGCAATGTAAAGGAATCGACAACATAATAAGGCTTTGAGGAATAAGTCCCACAGTTCGGGGTTATTTTTCAAAGCCTCGAATCGTTTAATACTGAATTTGCAATAATTTTTGTATAAAATTATAGTCCAACCTAGACAAAATATCACCCGTTTGATAACACCCAACAAGATTCATTAGCAACACCAACAGATGAAAGATTTGGCTGACTCTGATTAGTTACTCCATGATCCTGATCAATTCTATTTATAAGGCGCTGTAAGTTTCACGTCACATCTTGGTAAAGTGAAGTCGTAAAAGTGTTTTATTAGCTTCTCAATTGTTTTGCATCGCACGCCATCAGGATCAAGGGCGTAGCCTTTCTGCAAAATAAATACCACACAAAGAGGTGAGGGTGTCACTGTGAATTGTACATCCAAACTGCCATACGATTAAGAATTTACAAGGAAACAAACTAAAAAAATTATTAGACAAAGAATGAACCACATACTTCATCCTGAAACACCATGTAATGTCGTACTCGATCTCCAGTCCACACGGACAGAGCCTGCATTAAATTGAAGGAAAAATTATGAAGTAAATTAAAAAAAAGAACAAATTTTCCTCGAACCTGAAAATACTGCTCTGTGAAGTGTGAAAAGTAATATGCTGAAAAGGCGATGAAAGATTACATCGTTGAGTTTTTGGTTTGAACAAGATTGGAGAGACTGAACTGTTTTATTGATGTATGGTTTTGCTCGACTGCACTTATATATTTAATTTCCCCATAAACTCAATCTGTAGCACATTCGACTACGCTCCAACTGCCTGCTCGTTTGTAACTGTTACTTATACAGTTGACAGTCATATTACCATATACGAAACATGAAAAGTCGAGGTCAACAATCTACGATTTTCAGACTCTGAAGTACACGAGTTTTGTTACTATGAATAAAAATCATTCTTTGAAGTTGGGTTTACCCGCTCTGACTGTGCGTTCTGACTTCTACGCAGTATGTAAACTCCGAGTTTATTTTCCAAGAGACTACAAGAAAATAAGTCAGAAATAAATACATGTTAAAACACAAATACAGTAACACCATATAAAACCTTGAAATCCCTACCCTCCACTCCTGAACTGATACATAAACCTATTGCTTTTAAATTGTACTTCGCGATGAAGGAGTTCGCCTTATCGGGATTCCATTATTGTTTTGCCTGAGGCACATTTCATTGCATAACCAATAAAACTAATTCATATTGATCGGTTGCAGAAGAAAACAGACAATAAAAGTGGACAAAGAAATAACAGAGTCAAATTTTATTTAGAGACCTAAAAGCTTCTACTCATGGTAGGTAATATCAAAACCCTGCATACGCACGTAAATGTCGATAACATAAACAATTGATGGGTACTTATTAGTTTTAATTAAGAGTGTTTTCACTAGCTTCCTTGAGGAAACCTCTTTATTACGGCAAAAGTAATATACTTACGCCCCAACTTGCATCTTGTCCACGTCGAGTTTTACAGCCGAGGAGGGAAGAACTATCTGCAACAATAAAGTGAAGAGAGTTGCATAACCCTTTAACTCTCATTAATGACCAATACAAAATTTCTCCTTACAATATCAATGAAATATCAAACAGACGAGTGATGAGAATGAAGAAAAACATCAATCAGGGGATTTTTAGCTGATCCAATACAAAATTCTCCAAACTCAAAAAAGTGAGAACTGTATTGCAGACAGTAAGGAAACTTACTAACGAAATCTTGAAAGTAATTGCTTAATTTAAGAATTTGTTCATGCTTAGCGTGGGCATATCGAATAATGGATGCACGCGGGAAGTTTGGAGAGCACGAAAAATACGTAAGAGTAGCTCGAGGCGCAGCCGAGAGCAACTCTAGCTTTTTGAGTGCTCTCCAAACTTCCCAAGTGCATCCATAACTCGATATACGTACAGTTAAAAGCATGAGCAAATTCTTTTATAACAGAGCGAAAACAAGGATCTGAGCGAAGAAGCCTTTTATTGTGATGGAGTGCAAAATTCTCACAACGCACAAAAAAAAAGTAAACAAACGTCCCTACTGGCTGGTCAAAAACACGCCACATTTTATACTTTGGTTTGAGCGAGAAAATTTGAGCCAGTTAACTGATAACTGTTTGAGAAAAACTCAAAATTTACGGGGAAAATGGAGAAAATCAAAGCCAAATGAACTCACGTGTCCCTAAAAAATGTTTTAAAAGTCAAAGACTCATCTTATGAGTTATCAAGACAAATTTGCGAAACGTGCAACTTGCGAGTTTTTTTCGGCTTTATTTCTGTTGCTTGTTGGATCAGGACCTAAATGGTCGATGCCGATAGAAAAATTGGGCAGATCTTCGCTGGTTTCTTCCATATTTCAAAGAGAAGGAAACCTGCACGGCAGCTTAACAGGAAGGAAACTCTGAAGCCAGGTAAAAAAAAATGCTCACGTCATCTTATTTACTCACGGGCGTGCGTAAATAAAGATTTGTTCATAGCAGCTCAATAGGACTTATAAAGGACAAGCACGCGCGCTATGTTATAAGTATTACATAACCTTGTGTACACGTGAAACTATAGTGAATCACAAAATCACATGTCAGTGACTAATCTATCGACATGATACCATGCATCAGAAAGACAACTTCATATTGGGGAGGGGGATGGATGGGGTGGCTGTAGTGCTTTGAAATATTTAGAAGTTCTTTGGATTGAGAGAAGCTGAGCCTGGAGGACTTCAGGTAAAAAATAAAGCCCCGAGTTAATTAGCATTAGCCCCTGGCCTCGTAAAACTATTAGGGAAAAAAAATACTACCTCACAGTACCTCTCCCACACACAGTCTTGCACATTGTACAGAGGAAGGGGGGTTGGGGAAGGCTACTTTAGCCATAGGCTCCTGAGTTGTTGGATTGCACAGTACTTTCAGCATTTTGAAGACAACAAAGTATTCAATAAAACACTTAAGATTTGTAATATTACCGACACTCAACCAGTTTGTACAAAAAAAAGCAATTAAAATCCTACCGTATGGTCATAACCAAGGTCTAAAAATCATACAAAATAAATGGTTTTATATTCACCTCAGTATGATACCGCTCAATGCTTTGTCCATCTGGACATCCCCTAAAGCCAACAGAGTAAACAACGATAAGAATGAAAAGCGGCGTAGTTAATGTTACAAGGTAATTTGGTATTATCAATTGGGATGATACCGTAAAGAGCTTTGAAACTCTTTATGGTGGCCAATTTACATTATCAACTCTGTTAATAATACCAAACTACCTCGATATACTCCCACACCGACGCAGCACCACAGTTTCTTTAGAAACTTACCCCCTTTATTCATAGTTAATGTTATCCTTCAACAACTAGTACCAAATATTAACCAACTGTTCACAAGGTAAGCCCATTTTTTTCTAAATTACAATTGTAATTAACAATTTACGAACAAGAAAGAACCAAAAACTCACTAAATGAAACTGTAAATTGTGTAACTTTACTACAGGTTAAGAAAGGCAAAATTTTTCAAGCTTTTCTGTTGTCAAAAATTGATCTGAAATCGCACTGTATGAAGCATTTAGGGCCCTGAGTCAAAACTGAGTCGTCATACTAGTCCATACAAAGAGAGACATTTGTTATTCATTAGAACTTCTAAACCAGTGAAAATGGGTACATGTATCTGTTTATCTTGATGAGTTTGTACAAAAAATATTGGAAACTCATTCAAAAAGGCTGCCTTATTTTCAAACCAACTGAGCTGGACTGTCAGCTCTGACAAAAGTCACAGTATATATAAAACTTCTCAATTTAACAATCATAAGAAGGTGTTGAAATTTTCATACATGTATATGTATCTGGAGGGTTTCTTTCCAGTCAGAGGTGATATTTGCCCCAGAGTAGTATGAGTACAAGTACCCAAGCATTTCAGTAAAAAATTTGGAGTGAAATAAAAATAGAATAATGGGAATCTCTTCCTTCCTTTTCCAAAATCCCCCTCATTTTTGCTTTTTTCTTTTCTACATGCCTGTTAATTGGCTGATGCAAAACCTGGAGCAATAAGGGTCCCCCTTGTCCCACTGAATATCAAGTTAACACTGAAATAGACTTTTGAGAGGTTTATGTACAAGCAAATGGATGCAAGTGACTGTTACTCAATGATTTAATGTGTCTTCATGGTGAGAGGTCCCAATAATACTAAACATGAGCCTCTTGCTAACAAAAAGAGCTATATGAAGAAAACTGTGGCTTCTCAGCACAAAAAGCTCCATGATATAGTAAGCCTCTGTTATGATCAAACACACAAATTACACTCCATTGATAGAGAATGATATTAGGTGAAGATTCCTCTTACTGGACAGACCTTGACAGGGCGGGTTGCTTTTCATTGACATCTTCAGGATTTGTGTCTGGAACTATGTCCAAATAACCTTCCCCTTCTTCTTCTTCTTCTTCTTGGTCTAAACAAAATGAAATCATTTACCACAATATTAGTGACAGAGTTATCTAAAAAATTTGATTTTGATAATCTCCTAAAAAATGCAAAATTAATCTTAAGAACCTAACAACATTTTAAACCCTTTAACTCCCAACCTCTGATTAGTTTTTCTCCTTACTGTCCCCTTGCAATTCTTATGATGTTAGTTGGGAGAATTTGGTATTGGATCAACTAATAATCCACTAATCAATATTTTTCTTTATTCTTGTTACTTGTCTGCTTGGAATTGTATCATTTGATATTATAAGGAGAAATTCTGTCTTTGTCACTCACTAGAGTTAAAGGTTTAATCAAAAATACCAATGAAATAAGGTTAAAAAGTTCAGGACAGTTCCATTTGGTTGTAGTGACTCTCACCCATGGCATGATAAAAGCTAAGTCAGTAGTCATAACCATTCTAAATGAACAAACACCCTTGCATTGACAGCATGATTCATACCTTTCCTGAGAAAGAAGATGTGGTTAGGGTGGTTGCAACTGACTGAAAAGATTGAATGAATTGAGACAATAAAAGACACATAATGCATAACTGTGCATAAGTTCAGACAGTGTACAGTACCTCTACAGGGTAACGATGGGTACCTCATGATAGGTTCAGTGGTGTGCCGCGTCAGAGGAGGTGGCCGAGGAAGTGGTTTGGGCGGTGCTAATGGTTTTCCCTTTCTTGCCGGTAGAGCAGGAGGATCACTTAACTTGCGGGGAAAACCAAGACTTCTCCCTTCACGAGATTTTCTAACTGCCCCAAATAAAGCACCTCCTTGGCCTGGCACTGGAGTTAGGATGTCAGTGTAGGTGAACCCTCCTCGAAGTAGCTTAGGTGAAGGAAATGCAGGTCTCTGAGGAGGCAGGGGTTTTCTTTGCACTTGTGGAGAACCCATTTCAGGGGGTGGACAGTACATTATTTCTAATGCTGGTTTTAGTTGAGGATTTTCAAACATTGTTGCTAATTGTTCCAGGTCAAATTTAGGTTCTACTTCAGGGTAACAGTACTCCAGCTCTGCATTATCACCTGGCTTAATGCTGCACGAACAAAAGAAAAAGAAATACACTATAAGAGCTTCATTTGAACCCACTTATCAAAAGAAACATGTCTTAATTTAACAAAATCTATTCAGAAAATAATTTTCAATAGCAAATAAAACAAAATAATACTGGACATCATTATTACCTATGAACAATAAACCTGCACAATAACTTTGGCTGTCAATAAAACTGTTTATAAATAAACACCAACAACAAACTACATTTATCAAATCAATTAAATTCAAGACACTCACATGCTTTGTCTTCCTGTCCCACAGTATTCTCTCATATCACTTACTATACTGTTCATCCATTCCTACCAAAAAGAATTGAACAGCTATAAAAACTTTTTCTAGGCCAAACTTGGTCACACCTGTTATAAGAAACTGTTCTGAAGGTGGCAGACACCAGCTATTGGTGGATGCATACAACATATTTCAAGGATTATGGCTAATGGGAGGAGAACTTTCAGAATCAAATGTAAATTTTTTTTATTTTTAAAACTTCATTTCTTGGCTAGGGACTCTAAGGTTTGGGGTGCAATTACCCAAATATGGGGGAGGACTAGCAGCCACTCCCTAGACTTTCCACTGCTCCAATTCTTGAACTCATTTTCCAAATTAAAACACAATTTATTTATTTATGGGCATGGCAAAGACAGGATTCACCACTAACAAAGTCTCCTTGGGTACATGTAGTTTGCATTACAAGTGTCTTGCTTTATTTTCCGATTAATTTTTAGGGAGAGTGCTTTTCAAATTCAGTTGAATATCTGGATACACAAACATTAACATGGCACCAACCAAGAGTAACAGTAAGGTTTTAACCCTTACACTCCATCAGTATGCATATTCTCCATACTGTTCTCTATACATTTCCTAAGGGGCTGACAAGGAGAATTTGTAGATCACATGAAACCAAAGGATAAAAGACTCTCCACGCAACACTAGCAAGGTATTTTCGAAGTAGAAAAAGGTGAGGATGTTTAACTGAATTGCTTGTTAACCCATTAATCCACTGGCGTGATTGACTCATAAATTCTCCTGACAGTATCACCCTTGAATAAGAAGTTAAGGTCATGAGAATAAAGGAAATGATCACCAACTAAACAAGTTCTTGATTCTCACTTTTACTTGGTACTTACATTCATTTCTTGTTCAGAATATGCAGCAAAGTAGTAAGTCCTTTTTTCTGGTTGTAAATGAACTAATTTAAAAGTCCATTGAAATTTGGAAGTTTTCTCTGGTGCTGGCGACAATCTAAAATGAAATGTGGATAAAAATTTCAAACTAAAGCCACCACATTTATGAATAAACAAAATTGATTTTTGGAAATCCAAAATTATTCTGGAGCTTGACTTATTTTCTTACAGTAGGTAAGAAACATATACTTCCAAGACTTTCTGTGCATGAGGTTGTCAAGGTCACAGGGTGTTTCAAAGGTTTATACCACTATTGCAAATTTTTCTGCTCATATTCTATTACCTTAGTGGGAAGTGCACATTAATATTGAGCTCCTGACTGAAAAGTTTGTTTTTCATTAAAACATACCTGTATCCACTGAGAGAAAATTTACCAGCTGTAGTTTTAGCATCTGGAGTATTGTAATAATACATGCAGCCTTTGTGCAAGATGATATATCTGTCACGCCCTATTAAAAAACACAAAAACAACAAATTACTTTCAAGCTACAAGTGGGCTAGCTGCCTTTCAAACTGTACATGGGATGCAATATAGAACTTAACCTCCACTTCATGATCCTTGCATACATTACCTGATCAGACAACAAAGGGACTGCAATACTTTACATTATGTGCAGTGGCAAAGAGAAGCACACCAATAAGTGTGATAGTATCCAATAGAAAGGTAGAATTGTGTGAGAGAACAAACAATACACAATGATACAATGCTATAACCATAGGTAAAAATTACCATTGTTTTACTGTGCACTTTAATTTTGGCAATTTTGTTCAAGGAAAAAAGAGAGGGAGGGTTACTCATTAGGAACCGTAGCTTTCAAGAAACCTGAAGCTCTAGACAACATGCCATATAGAGAGAAGGGCTTCATACAGACAGATGCACAGTAAGAAGTCACCAAAATTAATTTTGTATAAATTACGCATGACACAAGATGAAGAGACTCACAGGATTTTACACTTCCTCCCTCTTTTCTTATCCATCCACATTTGCTACAGCTGTCTTTGAGTAGTTCTTGAGCAGGTATGGATTGGAAAGGTTCAGGTCCTTGTTGATGTGCGTCTAAAGACGACCATTTCCTTCCATCTTCAGCAAGGGATGTACTGCTGTTAGCAGGAAGTGTTGTACTCATGCGGCTTGGAGAAGTGGCCATTACTCTATTTTAATATTATACTATCATCTTGTATGTGAATCTATGGAAAAAAAGTTAATAAAGATTGATCTAAACTGGAATTTGAACAAGAAAAAAAATATCTGCACACTTGACCCATTAAAAAATTCCCCAAGAACAGTTAAGGTCTACAATTCACCTGGCCACCCTGTTCAATTGATAACACAGGCTGTGATTCTCCTCCCTACAACTTAGAAACTTCTTTGCAAATAGAATAATTTTCAACTGAGCGTTAAAATCAAGCCACCCTAGATCATCTTGTTTTTCATAACTTTATTTTCTAATTTGCTCAGAACACTTGCACTACTCTCTGAACTTAAACGCAATTCAAAAGTTAAACTATTATGGTCTGTTGATTCATGTTTTCCAGCACTTCAGAGAGTTTACCTCTTTTAACTTGAAGTTCTGATTTGCTTATCATGAATTTTTCCTTCTCTCACACATGTAATTTTGATTACTTTCAACTGGTTTTAGTGTTATTTAAACACTCTATTGAAAAGTACTCTAAAGAGATAATCTAGAATTATTTCAAGAAAACATTTTTTAAGTCAAGAGTTCATCATCTGATTCATCACCTATTGAACAATGATCTGTTTATCTCCAACAAAAATCGTGATTACACATTTTCAGCATCATCAATTAACTTTGTTTGGATTATAATTAATACATCTCTGTAGTGATTTGTGAAGCTTATGTTTTTGTTCATTCACTTGATCAACTGGCCTGGACCTGCCTTTCCATCCACCCAAGAAACCCTTTCTAATGTCCTGACCCAGTTCCTCTGCGGGTCATTACATCGTCCTATTCAGTGAGCACGATGAGAACAGCTGAAATTTTACTTAGAGTCGTCAATCTTCCAAGGTTTGTCGCTGCCAAAGCCTACGGCTGGGAATACAGTATAATTCATCCTTCCCGCAATCATACATGAGCACTCTGTGTACGTCAACCGCAAAACCCCGGCTCAAGTTGATAGTTACACATGAAGGCTTGATACATACATTTGATATGAACTCAGTTTAAATTGTTACTGTTTGGTTTGGATGTGGACAGACATTTACAATAAAATACATCGATTGCGATAAAAGCTGGAGTTTTCTTTGTCGATACAACAAATTTTGAAGTTACAATAAACACAGCACCATTCATTAGGCGTCAAAGACGCGTTTTAGCATTAACCTTACATGATGTCACAAGTGTAAATAGAGAAGCCTGTAAATTCTTGCGTAAGATGGTTACAATCGGTGCTTTCCCATATACAAGCTGCGGTACAAAACCGACGAATGCTGCTCGAATGTTCCAAAGAATGACAAACAATATCACTCAAACGGGCCATTTCCCTCACATGACATCACAACAAAACCGATTTCGTGTGCAAAAATCGCCAGCAAATTAAGATTGAAAAGTCACGCACCTAGCGAGAGGTTATATGCATCAATTTGATTTTACTGAGCCCCTGATTGTGTACCTGTAAATAAAGAAACGCCTAAAACAATATAGAATCAAAGTATTGCGCTTTCTAATTCAGATATTATTCCGGAAAGAAACCAAAGTGAGGTCTCACCTACCGAAAAGAAAAGCTTGGTTACCTTTCGGAATCCTTCGGTGTAACGCCTCTAATCGGACAATAGAGTTTTTTTTACGGCTACAAAGTTCACAAAAGGCTTCCTCTGTGCATCTTTAAACTCTCTTAATGAATTTCGTGATAACAAACTATCCCTAAATTGTGTATTTCCGCATTCAATGTCAGGGCGCGAGCTCTCCGTTGTATCTTGATCGGACATAAGTCATTTCCTCTAGTTCCAGGAAAGACGAGTGACCTACATTACAAACAGATGAAGAAGGGAGGGGATGGACAGAAGTGTTTTTAATATAAGGAGGACTGCCGTTATATACAAGTCTTGATATTCTCACACTCCCAAAGTTCAGTCCAGATATACTGATCTATTGGGAAGATAATGATATTTAGATCCTTTTCTTTTTCTTTTCGTTAAAATCAGTAGGTGCAAGCGTGCATTCATTTATTAGGAAACTGTTGCGTAAGATGGCTGCAATCGGTGCTTTCCCATATACAAGCTGCGGTAAAAAAACCGACGAATGCTGCTCGAGTATTCAAAAGAATGACAAACAATATCACTCATCCGGGCCATTTTTCTCACATGACAATACAACGAGCCGATTCCATGTTCAAAAATAGACACATTTCGATTCGTTCACACACATAGAAGATGACACCTTTGACAATTTTTGTTCTTACCATATTTGACGTCATCTGTGATCTCTTACCGAACAGAAGCATGACAACATGGAAATTATACGTCCAATATTGTGGTCTGATTGGCTTCGCTAGCTACTCGCAATCAATTTACAGTCGATAGCCAGAAGAGCAATTGGCCTCAGCCTGCGGTATAAAAAAGTAAACGAAGACAAACATGCACTTGACTTGTTGTTAAGTAGATATAAACTAAAAAATGAAATTAAATGTGTTTCATTTTTATTTTAATCGCGTGATAATTGTCGAGGGCTTTGTCCTAATTGAACTGTCACGCGATTCACGCGATAGAAATCTTGGGCTCATAATCTAATCGGTGAATAGTACCCAGGCCCTTCCAGACGTACGTGGCTCGGAGATTATTTTCTGAACGTAACTCTATTTATAATGAAAGTTATAATATCTTAAACAGCGGAAAAATAGACTTGAAATAATACCAGAGGTGAACATCGTATCTAGTTATCGCTTTATTTGCATGTAGCTATAGATGCTTATTTTGTCATCGTCCCACGCTTACGAAAATAGCCTTTTATCCATTGCAAAGCCCACATCTTCTCACTTACCCCAATTAGCTCATATAGTTTAAGTGTATGGAAACTTGAATAAAGTTTATTATGACTTAAAAAAGGCTCAATCTCAAACTAAATTAAAAATATACCAAAAAAAATAGAGTACGATATTTTTCGTCTCGTCACAAGCGTGGGACAAAGAAAAAATTCTGAGTCCCCACGAGGCATCAAACCTCAGACCTTCGGATGCCTCTTGAGGACTAAAAATATTTTCTCTGTCCCACGCTCGTGACGAGACGAAAAACACCTTTTTTTCTTTACCGAGCTCAAAACTCACCATTTCTCTTATTCTTTTCACAAAAAACAATTATTACTAATATAAACAGAAGATAACTTTATCATCTCTTTTATCAAATTCCCAGTTTCATTAGTGCGAGTTATGAAGTTAAAGTCATGATAGATTTAATATTAAGCCATGCGATGTGTTGCCGTGCATCTATTCAGAGAAGACGTCAAAGGGTAGTAAGACTATTGACCAGTACCACACTCAATCGCGCCTCGATCAAGTCACTTCTCTGCTCTTACTAATATATTTGACATCACCTATGATCTATTACTGAACAGACGCATTTCTACAATGAATTCTATGTGATGGTCTAGTGAGCGCACAGGCAATATTAACCCATATGACCTATTCTGCCTTGTTCCCGTATAAAGATATTAGCGTAATTTTTAAGGTTGCATATGTTGTCCCCTATTCAGTGAACTTCTGATTTGGAAGAAGTTAGATAATGGCCTCGTTGTACTCTCATTTTCGTTTTAAAGGACTTCATTGGACGTTGATTTCGTCTCGTTACGGCATGTTAAAAGCAAAAAAACAAAAATATGATAACCAATAACAATATCCAACCGCATTTACCTCAAGTGTAGCCAAAAAAAAACGCGTACCATGAGGGATTCTGCTTCAGTACTGACGTCACTGAGTGACGTTACTAGCATGCCGCTTCGCCTTGGGAACTAGTCCAGCCTGGAACTAGTCATTATATGTTTATCGAGGCGGAATGAATGAGTGGCCAGTAATCGGATCCTTGCGCATTTCTCATCAGATTTCTGAGATCGCAGCATTGCAAACATTGCAAACAAAATACATAGCGAAAGGTTATTTCGACGTCCAAAAAATAAATTTTGGAGAGAGATCAACGCTTTTTCGGCGAGGTTTTATCATAAATGGCTAAAGATAATGTTGATTCGAGAGAAGAGTAAGTTTTTGCTTGTATTTCCAAGAAATCTGTTACAAAATACACCGATGAACGTCCGCTCCTTGCGTAAGGTTTAATGTTAAATCGTCATCGCGTAATGGTCTCGACATTTACTAAATTAGCCATAAATCGCTAGGAAATAACTCATTTAAGTCTTTTCAGTTGTATTTATGTAGATACAGATTATTTTTATTCTTGTTAACGAATTAAATAAACAAATTACGACGTCTGAAATTATACCTACTCTAAGGAGAGAAGTCGTTTTCAGCGGAGATGGAAATTGTTTGTATCGAACTGTTGCTCTTTGGAAAGATGAAATAAGCGAGGGAAAACACGAGGAAATCCCTAGGTCAAGTGATAGTTTGTTTGAAAATGATCCAAAGGTTTTTGAGCGGCCACTTTTCTCCTTGAACTCCTTGGAGGATCTGGTCAGTAAAATCAAGATCAGGAGAACCCCGGCTGAAACTGTGGATCTATATTCAGTTGTGCATTGCTCCTTGAGCAACGCATTTGTTCCTTATCATCGCAGAAGGATGGGCTCAGTTTTGAGTAGAATATCAACGCTGGTTCGTTCTCAGTGATCACAACAGAGAGGCAATGTAGGTGTTTAATCTCTTAAATGTATCTGACGGTAATATTTATACTCAAGCTCACCATTTCTCGTCATTTCAATCTCCTAGTACCTCGAGGTAGCTGTTGTAGCGCTTTTAGTATTACCAAGCCAAGAAAAAAGCTAGGGGTGGACTTAACACACGTCAAAAAAGCTGAAAAGGCTTTATTGATTTATTTCTTGGCGTTTCATAGCTAATATCTTAGAATTTCGAGACTATCAAGCGATGTCAGTTTCACAATACACCTCACGCGTGGAGAAATGTTTTCAATATCTGTAGATTTTACAACATATTTCGAGCTTGTTCGAACAAAAACTTACGCTTTCCTTATATCAACATTACCTAAATCCATTTCTGATAAAACAGCGGCGAAAGAACGATAATCTCTCTGTAAATCGTTTTTGTGGACGTCGAAACAATCTTTCGCCATACATTTCTTTCTACTGAGTCGCAAGGTTTTCCCCGTGGCGATCCCACATTTCTTTGCGCAAACACAGGGATTCGATTACTGGCAACTCATTCAAAGCTAATTTGCCCGCTGAGATTAATATCAAATAAAATGGGCCAGTTGGGGCTCCCATTGCAGCCAGTTGTCAACTGATTGAAATTCAAAACCTGTCTGCACACTCCTCTTTAGCACTGAATGTCGAGTAGTATAGGTGACATGAGGTCCTCGATAACCTGCGTTTATTGGCCAATGGAATTTAACACGGTATTTAATTTCCTCCGCCGAAGCAAAGATCACATATAATCCCGCTGATCCTGGTGTCACCATTCACTCTTCCTCGGGATTTTTTTGTATCCCTCTTATGTTTCTGAGTTCACATGACTGTCGTACAGTAGGAACATCTTCAAGAAGCTGGAAGGGAATTTATTGCAGACTGTTGTGTTCGTGGCAGAAATAGATAATGATACATAACGACAGAATAGGTGGAATTAACTGAAAGCCCTTTAAGATGAGACGGCAGTGTTCTCAAGGTGGGTTGGCTTATTTAAAAGCTTCAATGTTTTTTTTTAGGACCTTTTCGGTAAAACGATTGTTTCTTTATTTGGGATAATTACTGTTTGTAAGCCGTATTATATATAATATTACTGATTAAGCGACAAAAGTCAGAGTAAACAATAACGATCTACAGGAGGCTGGAAATTGTTTGTTTAGGTTTAAACCCTTTTAAAATACAAACATTTTATAGCATATCGAGTTTACTTGCGAACGACGTGTTTTAACACTGGGTTTCTCTTCCACCAAGTCTAACATTCCTCTCCCAGTTTGAAATCTGGTATTGAATTATAATGGAGATAGCACTTTCGTGAGTCCTTGACACATTGTATAAAGCAATTGTAGGCAATCTTTTCTTGAATTCTTTTCATTTTCTGTAACGGAAGCCCAACATTTGAAGTGAATAGGAAAAATTTTAAAATACTTTGAAAATTTATCCTGACAAGAGGATTGCCTTTAGTGCTAATAAAAAACATATTGGCGCTTCGGACATGCAAGGAGTTCTGTTAATAAGAATTTTCCCAAAAATGCTTCAAAACATGAAATATTGTTTTTTATGTTGAAGGCATCATTGTATTACGAACATACATCACCATTGGAGACGGTTGAGGAATAATTGCGGCTTTTTTATAACAACAGAGGCCAGTTTTAGTAGCCGTGATAAGCAGATGTAAGATTTCAGGTGATTTTTGTTTATACAGTGAGTGATAAAAGGGTTTATCAGATAGACATTGTCTTCCTATCTGTTATCTAATCCTTGTAAATACCAAAAACTCACTGAAATGAGTTTTATGCTGCTGTAAAAGATACAAGTCCCTTAGTCATTTCCTTCCTTTCAGCCGGACTTCCTTATAAGGTCAAGTTTACTGCTCCTATAAAAATCAATCTTGAATTTGTAATGATCAGGTTCATCTTTAAAAAACCCTCTATGTAATTTCCTTTCTTTTAGAAGATTTAGTTCTAGGTGGAAGCTTCTTGCAAGAAAAGAAATGAATAAACAAACAAACACCAAACGAACAGATAATCAAGCAAAACAGAAAATGAAGTTTTTTCGACATATCCCCTTATTACCTTCTTGACAGCGGACAGCGTTGATCAAAAACAATTTATATAAGAGTTAATGAGATAATTAGTTTGAAATTCTCGAAGTTTCCATCTTTCGTCTTCTAAACTGTACCTGTCAGCGCGCGAGACATTCCTATCATTTTCATGTCCTTGGCCTTATTCATGTTCGATGAATGTGTTACGTGATCGGAGACTTCTTGGTGAGTTAATGGACGACTGAGAAATGATAACTGCGAAAAGGAAAAAAATTAAAGGCAAAAAAGGTGAATGCAGGAGGGCTCAAAGAAACCAAACCTTAAATACCGAAAATATGTCTGAATGGCCTAAATATGATTAGTATGTAATTTACCATCAAGAGTTCTGAGCAAAGTTATTAACTTTCCAAACTTAGCAAACGGTTTTTTTTTTCTCACCATGAATTTCCTGCTTAAGAGATCTTAAGTTACCGTTTTTAGTGATGAATGAGTTATATAATTATTGTAAACATGTCTTATGCTTAAAAGGCTAGACAGCAAAGGTCATTTAAGATGCGGGTAGCCTTGTTTTCAAAAGAATTTTACCTCTCTGCAAGATGAAATGATTATTCAACCTGATAGCAAAGATAACGGCCAGTTTTAAGCCTCAGCTTATCTTTTGAATTACAATTCCCCTTTGAGTACCCTATTTTTATGCTCAACCTAAACGGAAACCATCACGTAGAGCAACTTAACCTTAGTAACAATGACGTCATCAACCCTTTACACCTTAACATCAGTATGTATATTCTCCACACTGTTCTATTTTCATTTCCTACGTTACTGACAAAGATAATTTGCTTATCAATCAAGAGCTTTTTAGTCCGCGATCATTTCCGTGATTCTCGTGATCTCGGTGTATGATTCAGGGATACTTTAAGGAGAAATTGCATACCTGTCACTCTTAGACTCTCACTGGCAGTAGTGTTTAAAGAATATGCTTGAACAATGAGTAGAAGGTATGTCATAGCAATGAATGGTTAAATTTTTGATCAAGGTTCAGACGTATCTGAAGAAGAAACAACAGGCAGGGTTCAAGTTTATGTCAGGATTCGTCCTTTGGTTGAAAGTGACGTCAGAAGCTTGGATGGAAAGGGAGCAGTTACCGCGGAGTATGAGGACCTAACTCAGGTGTCAATTTAAACGATACCTAATGTATTAAACTAATCAAGTGAAACTGTGAATATGATAGAAGGCTACTGGCGAGTACTGAATGGCACTCAGAGCTTGGCTGTTGTGATATATACTGTCCTTCATTTCTCACCCAGTTAAGATTAAAATATATATATATTTTTTCAATAAATGATTCCGATTCGCTCTAAACGTTCTCTAACCCAAATAAGAAATAGAGTTACGAATGATTAAGTGGCAGCTTGTAACATAGAATATTGACTTAGAGCCACCGAATTTGCAACAGTACCTGATTAATCCAGAGGAAAAAGAGTATCTATGAAAGACTTCAAATTTGTGTCCTCGTTTTTATTCTGTATCGATGCGATTTTTGTTTAATCTAGTTTCTTTTATCAAAAAGATTCATGTGGTGGATGGTAAGAGAGAGAGAATTTTTCAATTTGACCAAGTATTGCCACCAGATGCTGGAAATGATGAGGTATGTTTAAAATGGATTAATTCCATATTTTAGACAAAATCTATTTAAGCCTGGCCTGAAATAACATATTTTATTCACAAAATCACGCCCTTTACTGTTTTCAAACAACTATTGGAATCTTGGAAAACTGTTTATTTGTTCTTTGATGCACAACACACCATCACGCGTGACTAATTGACAACTACAAGTTTAGGTTATATATATGTGTCTAAATACTTGCTCTGTTGTTCTTTTAGGTGTATCAGGTTGTCGGTAAGCCTCTGGTTGAAGCCTCCATGACCGGCCTAAATGGAATTTTGATGGCGTACGGACAAACTGGAGCAGGTATTTACGGAAAATTATTCCATCTCAGAGCTTTCAATTCCCAAGGGTCTTAAATCTTCTAGTTACAAGGAGACGGAAGCGTGACTGTACAAACGAAGCCCATTGTCTGAGCTGCAGTTTTAGAAAATTGTGAACATTGCAATAAAATACTCGGTTTGAGAACTAATGGACTTTAATCCTTCATGAAAATTGGAGAGACGATGAGCCAACAATGGGCCAACCCTCTGGTTTCGCCGTTTCTGTGTGACCACCAATAAGAAAGTTTTTAGAAGCTTCCATAAAGCACAGCGTGAAATCGCGATGAAGTAGTATCTACAATTGATTCGTTTTTCATCAAGAAAGATTGATGGCCTTTTGCAATGTAAAATTTCACACTTACAGGTAAAACTCACACTCTGATGGCTTCAGACGGATTAACTACCAATGTTGTATCTCATATGTTCGCTCTGATTGGTAAAGACGTTGCACATTCCTACGCGGTAAGCCTAAAACGTCACAAAACAGAATGATTTTGTGGTTGTTGTTGTCTATGAAAATTTGTTAACATTCCTGTAAGAAAACGTTTTAATGAACCGCTTTCCAAGATCCATCTTCTTCAATAAAACTGAGGAGATGAACAGTCCGTCATGCAATTGTTGACTAATTTGACTAATCGATCGATCGATCGATTGATTCATGATTGATTGATTGATTGACTGGATTACTGGTTCATTGATTGATTAATCTATTAATTCATTCAATCATCAATATAAGTGTCTAATCATTACAAAAGCTGTAATCCAATTTAATACATTACAATAGAGGATGCGTGCTTCTGTAAAGACCCATGAACAGCAATATTCAAAATGCCCTCCTAGTCTTTGCAAAACATTCAGAGTTTTAACACTTGACCCCGCATGACTGAAGTGCACCTTTCCATGAAAAAATACTCTGCAAATGGGGGGAACTTTGTCAAATTTCAACATCATGCCTCTTTGAAAACCTGCAAACTGATCAATAAAAATAACAAGAGCGTAGCACAAAACCAAATAATATGCTACGGCAGTGTCGAATCTCAGTAAAAGTCAAACAGCTACACTCCTACCATTTCCCAGGGCTGCAGTCACTGCTTTTTTCAATTATTTTTCTTGTTTTTGTTTTGTAGGTGACATGTTCCTATTTGCAAATATATCAAGAACGAATTTATGATTTGCTAGGCTCCGAAAAATCTGGAACTGAAGTTTACTTGAGAGAACATCCCAAAAAAGGTGTAGAGAGCATCATTCAGTATAAGCTTTAAGTATTTCACACAATCAAGTCTACTTTGAGAGGGTAGGGGGAGATGTGCCGTGATAACAGAAAAATGTTGTCGGAACCCAAAAACAAATAAAACTCTTGCGATACTTATCACGGAAACTTTTCAAGTTCATCTAAGATGCCAAGAAAAAGGAAATCAAGGGAACACGAGAGAGCTTGCTAAACTAGTCTTGATGTTACGAGACTCTCATCCACTGGGGTACAAAGCTGAGTCCGTCATACTCTGCGCATAATAGGCTCCAGCCTTAGACTGGATATCTAATCATTCCGATTCTTCTGTCTGTCGTAGGAGTTTACGTAGATAACTTATCTGAATACTTTGTCAAAAGTCCAGAGGAGATTTGTAAACTGTTGAAGTCTGGCAAAAAGAAACTGGCCATTGCCGGGACCAAAATGAACAGACAGTCCAGCAGGTTGGTTTAAAGCTTAAATCTTTTTGTTACATTTTATGATAGACTCAGTGACTGATTGACCGACCCACGGATCGAGGTACTGACCGGCTGAGTAATAAAAAGAAAGATTAAGTGTCCGTCAAGTGCATCCGTTTGTCATCACAGCGCATGATAGGCGCGGTGAGTTTTCTTGCTAATTTATTCACAACCACTTTTCTTTTTATTGCAGATCTCATGCAGTTTGTCTACTTAAAATCGAGAGGCTCAGTGTTCCACGTCGTTATGGAGGTGATAATCGTTTCGGATTAACGTAATGCATGACTTTAATTCCTCTCTTGTTTGTTCAATCGTCGGTTTAATTTTCCATGTTTCATTCCTTCTCTTTTTGGTTTAATTGATTCTGTCATCATTGCTTCGGGACTCTGACAGTGTCTGATAAAAAATATATATATTTCCTTTAGCAGTTTTTGCAACTGATAACTCGCAAGCTTGCAGCGTGAACATCACTCTAGTCTACTCTTTATTACAGGAATAACAGACTCCTTCAGCAGTTATGAGTCGTATTACATATCGGGAACTTCAGACACTGAGTATTCAAGTGAAGGCGGCTCAGTTGAGGGCTTAGGGTCTTCTGATCACTTCGATGTGAGCGAATTTTCCTTTTTTTTTTTTTGTTCTGCTCTGAAACGGTTTTTAATGGCAACTGTTTCAGTTGTTTTATCTTTTGTAAAAAAAAAAAGTATACGTTCCTTTACATCTCAGAGAATTTCAGACTTACGTAAATAGCGCTAGATGAACGTGCCATAATGATTCACTCTGATGTAGGTTTGGTTTTTTCCTTTTACATAGGAGGACGAAGAAATGCTGTCTAGAATTTCATCTCAAACGAATGGTTTGGCCGCCGTCAGAGGAAAACTTTACGTGTAGGTATCCCTCTGGTGTTCGTCAAGTTCTTCTTGCTCTTCTTATTTTTTCTTTCTCTTTTCCATCCACATCTGCTTCGATTGTATATTCTTCCCGTTCCCTTGACTTTGGCTATTTAGTTTGCTTTAGTTAATCGAGGTGAGTACTGTTGGCACCGAGTTTTTCCGGCGTCTAAGTTTTTGTGCCTACCTTACGTTACGCCTAAATCGTATTGCAGCAATTTCATGGACGAGTGCAAAGCAGAGATCACGCTTTACGGAAATGTTTTAATCTTTATGGTGCATTATCGCAATATTTCAGAGTGAGCTGTCGCCATGTTAACGACCGATTTCAGTTTTGGTCGGCGTCTTAGGAAGCCACATATAGGGCAATATATAGGCATCACGCGCGGCCGCATAAAGTCGCTTGCGGAGTTTTTTTTTTTTCACATTATTACTGACACAGAATTGAAAAGTGTACGTTTCCGAGCAAAAAGGTCTTTTTATCTCTGATGATCCATAGAACCTGCAGGAGAATATGGTATAAAGCAACTATCGAAAAATTTATCTCCTTTTTACAAGAAGGAAAAATTAAATTTTTTTTTAAGAAAACGTATGCTTGATATTAAGGAATGAGGCAGAAGCGGAGTAAAAGGCTTGCCCTATATCTCGTTTGGTGGAAAAACGGTGGCCACAAAACTATTTTTTTCTCAGCGTGGAATTCAAATGGAGTCTAATTCATAAATTATCTTGAAAAAAAGTCGTTATGAGCTCCTTTAAATCGGATTTAAGATGCTCTGAAAAAAATGAGCAGATGAAATGAAGAAGTTTCACAAGCAACCTGCGCTTTACGATCAGCTAGTTGAGTCAAATTTCCTTAATTTTCTTTCGGCTGCTAACTTTCCGTTTCAAGTACTATCCCCTGAAAGATGAGGTTTAGGTAAACAATAGCAGACAAGAACACGAGAGGTCAGTAAATATGACCGGTTTATATGGCTTTCAACTTTATCCTTTTATCTTCTTTCCATTTGGCGCCAATTCTTTTTTATCTCTGACGTATGGAAGCTTGAGCTATAGATAAAGCATCTGATATTTTTTCAACTGTTTTAATTATTCTAGGCCCACTCAGATCTTGTTGAGCCAATATCCTCGCTTTGATATTTAGTTTTAACGCTGCAATTCCGGTTCAATAAAAATCCCGGTAATATGAAAGCGTAGAAGCGTATAAAGAGCGTGTAAAGACCGTGCAAGTGTTTAAACTCAAGTAGATATTTTAATGATTAGGCTCAACACCGTTTCACAAACAAAAATCTTCGTGCGAAAAAAGGTTACAAGAGCTTGGAAAGACAGAGGATATGTTGAAAGGAGTTACGGTTTATGCATCCCGAAAACATAAGTCCAACGCCACGCAGGTCACAATCCGAGTCAATCTTCTCCATCCTCAACAATCCTCCGCTATTTCAGGTATACTCCTACCTATGTGATGTTAATCTTTCACATTAAACTATTCTTTCAAGTCTTTATGCAGTATTGAAATATTTCTTGCTTTCTGAAATTGCCTAAGATATCGTGGCGGAGCCCTTTTTATTGTAAGCACCATGTGGGGTTATCTTCGTTTCGTTTTGTTCGACCGGAGATTTTATTTCACAATATTTCCAATCGCAGCTGTGATCTAGCAGGCAGTGAGAGGGTGAAGAAGACTAAGGCTGAAGGTGAACGACTCCAAGAAGCACAGAGTATCAATTCCTCTCTGCTGGAGCTGGGGTAAGTTACTAAGATGCTGATAAGCGGCATTAATGATTGGCCAATTTTTGAGCCAATATGACGTGTTTGCGATTTGTTTGATTAACTTAACTTTCCTGCTAAATTTAAACCTGCACTAAAATTGATTTATTCTTCTATAGGGAATCTACGTAAAAAACAAAGGGTAAAATTATGGTAGATATTTAAGTACACAGTTGCTATACTGTATCTTCTCATGCCCAATATTTCTAAACTTACGTCAGTGATCACTTCTCGTATTTCTCTGAACATTAACTTAGAGGCTGTGACGAGGACGAAATAATCATTTAAGTCCTTATTTCAGTTATACTTTACACTGGCAAAGGGTCACTTTTCTATCATGTAATCTTATTTTGATATTACTCACTGATCGCGTTGGTAAATTGTCCCATGGTGTGTGGTGTGGGTCCCGAAAAAAAATTAAAAATATTCAATGATGCAAAGTGAAACATCCGCTAGAAGTTCTTATATTGAATGAATCGGATCCCACTAAGGGTTCTCTCCGGGAGCTTTGTCTCTTCACTTTAAACCCAAACAGTCCTTATCTAATTCTCACACGTAATAACAAACACGATTGAATATTTTGTTTTTAGGCTATGGGAGGAGCACTTCCAGTATTCACCTGAAAGCATAGACGAAATGAGTGACTGATTCTTGTGATAATGTTAAGCTTAGAGAAAATTTGAGCCTCTGACTGAAATAGCGAATTTGATCTTATCCTACACATCGCAAGATATTGCTTTCATTCTCGACCAACTCAAGTGATCTAGAATAATTAATGACAGGATGTGAAGTCCAAAATTACAATATAATGTTTTTTCAAGGTGAAGTATCAATCGTTTCAGGAATGTGATTCAAGCATTAGCTGAAGGTACCAAGCGTCATATTCCATACAGGAACTCAACACTGACAAGGCTGCTTCAGGATGGCTTAGATGGAAACTCCAAAACCAGTTTAATTGTAAGTACATCCTTCCCAGGCTCACCAGACTGGTTTGCTCAGTTTTTAACCAGCTATAGCAGACATAAGTCCATATATCGTCGCGTTTGTTACACATTTCATCACAAGCTGACAGCAAAATTTTGTTTGTCTGATTGAATGAGCCAGGTGAGAGCACTGTTAATGTTTCCATTTCTTGTCTTCCTTCTGAAAATGACAGCATTATATCAAAAGCCTTAATCCGTTCCTTTTTTACTCTATAGGTGTGTGTTTCACCTTCCTTTCGTGATGTCAACGAGACACTGTGTAGTCTAAAGTTTGGCCTTCGAGCAATGAAAGTTCGCAACGTTGCGCAAGTCAATGTCGAGGTGAGTTGTATGTACAGTCTGAAATTTTGTATAAACAATCAAAATACAGATGATAGTTCTCTTAAAATGTTTTTTCCTTTCCTCATTCCTCGAATTCTATGGAGTGGCGACTTAAGACTTACAGGCTACCTCTACGAATCGGTATCCCGAAAAATTAAACAAAAAAAAAGGAAAAGCCACCCGGAGAAGGGGAAATCCTTTCAAAAAATCCTCCAAAAATAATCCGAACTGGTATTAGTTGGAATACCTGATTACCCGGATATTGTTGTTCAAGTGTCGTTGGACACATCACTGGCGTATCCCAGACCCAAGTACGCTGTGAAAGCTGGCCAATGCCAAAACAAAGTGGATTTTTCATTATTTATTCTGAAAGAAGCAAATATATATAGACGGTTAATTCTTGGTGGCCTATAAATTGAAATCCTCAATTGAGAAATGGAACCAATACGCTATGGGGAAACGCCCAAAACGATTGAAGCTTAGGAAAGATGAAGGATTGAAATGGGCAAGGGTACTGCATAGAAAACGCGTTGAATGTGAAAGAGTTTCCAACGCAAGTAGAGGTCTAGGTTTTTAGTTATGAATTATACTTCTCTGCAAAGGAGCCGAGAAAAAAGGAGGAGAAACTAAAGTAGCGAAACGAAAGAATTATTGAGAAAACTTCAGGAACCATAAAGAATCCATTACGCTTATGACGCTAAACTTTGCTCTTAGCCGAGAACAATATTCAATGTTTATTCAGAAAACAAAGTTGGCTATGATCATTAGCGTTCAGTTATGCTCTCACTTAAGACCAGTTTGCGTTAGTCCCACAAATACTTTTCTCCGTACTTTTTACAGATCTATCAGCACAGCTTTCACATATTATACAAGTAGTTGATAATTTTTCACCACTGAGAGAAGTTTGTTTGTCATAAAAATCCGACAAATTAATCGCTTATCATTTTAGTTTATCTTTTATGTCTAATTTGAAAGTGTCGTCAAACCATCCGACTATCATATAATCATGACATTGACGTTTCATACAAATAATTGAACGAGAAAAGGTTTGACCGTACGCTAAGTCGCCATACAGATAGAGAAGTAGCCTTTTTTCCGCCATAATCTGCATAAGCACTTGTACTTGGATTTCCATGATCTAGATCGCAGACTCGCTAAGATGATTCAAGAAAACAATATAGTAATATCAACAGCTCTGACCGCAGTCAGGAGCCGGGCTCCTGTCGCAACCACGTACAACATAAGCTCCTCTATGGCACCCAAAAAATCCGGTACTTATTCTTTTTTCTTCCATTCTTGTGGTGGCCTAAAGCCTCATGCTTAAGCAGATTTTAAAAGTGGCGATGAGAAGTGTGGTGTGGATTGTAATTTTTGACTGCAGGGAAGGCAGTTGATAAGCAGTTATGTAAAATACACGGTTTTGGTCGATTGATTTTTATCCGTAGGAAATCGTTTTGCTAACTTAGTAAACTTAAGAACTTCGCTATGATTCAAAAGATCGACATCGCATAAAGTTAAGCTTCAGTTAATACGTTATGCGACAGAAACCCCACACGTATTGATCAATGATGGGCAAAGCTAGTACAATCCTTTCCAATTTTGTTTTCAGAGATTTAACCTTTGATTGCAAAGGAATGCCAGAGGCTATCTATGTGGTTTTCTATGTCGATAATTATTTTTATCATTCGAAACACATGTCTCTTTATTTGTTTTGTTTTGGTTTTTTTATTTTCTATTTCAGTATTTTTTTTTTCAAATCTTGGTAATAACTTAATGAAAATCAATATTTATCAATGAGTTTAGTATTTTCCATATTCGCATGTTACATAGGAACGTCCAAATGTTAGGAATAACGACCCTGGCTAGCCCACAACTCCTAGTTGTCTACACTGAGCGTGGGAAACTAAATAATCATATTTAGGCTTTACGTTATGCAATCATCTCCATTAATTTTAGAGGTCTCAACCAACACCGAAAATTTTCCGCTTTCTAACTCAACTTTGAATTTGAATTGACTCAAGACGAACGTAGACCATAGACTAATATAATGAAGTTTTATTACTCTTCTGCTTAACTTTTATTTTCTCGTCTTCAAGCATCTGCAACCTCAAACATGATGCAACGTCACCTCATTTCATTTCGTTTCACCGATTTTATTTTTTCTTTACTTCGTGTATTTATCGTTTTATTTCATTCTTACTAAATTCATTTTTTTTATTTAATCTTATTTACTTTCTTCTTTCTTAAATTCATACCATAATCACTATAAAAATCAATAATGACACTGATAATAATCATGATATCAATAATAATAATAATAATAGTAATAGTAATAATAATAATAACAATTGATTTTACATAGATCGGAAAATTGCACCTCAGCAGACCTACTCTTTAAAAATAATTAACCACCACTATTTTCTCTTGGAGCCACTGGATAAAGTCTAAGTGTAAAATGTGCCAAAACCTTCCCAAACTTATCATCATCATTCAGATTACATTTCATTTAAAATCAGACGATTTATTCAAGAATCCATACAATGGTCTGTGACAGTGGATACTTCACGATTTTCAGTTGCGTATTAATTCTATTGATACCTATGATGCGTGTCTCTTCTTTTGTCATTTTTCGTTCTTAGTCTGCTGTATTAAACTCTAATTTACCAAACTAACATTTTAAATTTGAGCCTCTTTGGTAGAATTCGAAGTTGACTAAGTACTACATAAAATATATTTTCGAGTAGAAATTCTAACATCGTCATATCAGGATTCTTCACGTTGAAAAGATTTTAGAAATTAAATTGCAGTTAATCAAGTCCAAGAATTGAGTGTGGAGTTTAGTGTAAAATATTTTTGCCCATCACTAACAGTTTAGTCATATTGCCTTCCACTCTGTCGCATGTAACTCTGCCATCTGATTGATATCCGTCAATGTCACGACCTTAAATTGACTTAATTGGGGTATTTCGGTGTGAATCGTGAGTCGGCTATATCAAAGCTATTAATAAAAACACTTGACAATGTATTGTTTATGAAATTAAAAGTGAACCAGGAGTGGAAAGAGAAAAGACTTGAAAATGTAATAACAAAACTCAGCTCACTTCGAAGGGGCACAACCTGTTGTTTAAGTAACAGACATCTTGGTTTGCAAGACAAGAGAAAATATGTTTGACATTTACCAAATTATGCGATCTCTCCCGTTGTTAGCAGCTATATTGTTTGATCGTCACCTGGAAAAAATTTATTCATTTGCTGATTGAGCGCGCGTTGCCCGTCTTTCACCCGGTGTGTTTTGGAATTCTCGCGCTTTCAGCACGATTGAAAGTCAGCTGGAATGTGTTTTCATCAACTCAAATCGCTCATTCTATGACCCTAAGCGGAAGGAGGAAAAATGACGGAGATTTTGCCCAGGGTAGAAAGATCCTTACCAGGTTCTTGCTGAGATCTGCGTTGAGTAAGATATTCTTCTGTATATTTTAGCCATACCCCTGAGCTATTTCGTCTGTAGTCATTAGTCAACATTCTCTGTTTATCAAACAAGGCAAATGAAGAGTCGAATTGCAAATATTCTTGACAGCTAGACATGTAAAACAAGTGGCTTGTATTATTCGTAAGAACATATGGTATTGTTTTGTGGCCTCAGTTCAAGCTTTCACTCCTTACCACAAAACCCCATTCACAGTCGCTTTATATTATATTGGGTAACTGATGCAAAAATGATTTTGGTTGCCGTTACAGATTGATTACGAAAAAATGGCCAAGCAACTCAGCGAGACATTAGAAAGCAGAGGTGAGTGAAATACCCGCAATGACACTAGACTCGGTCGCTCTGATTGCCGAGTTTGAGATTCTAAAATCCTAAATCCAACGCTCAAGGTATTTGAACGATTGAATACTTCGAGAATTCTTTCCTTTTGCCGTGAAAACACGATTGAAAAAAGCTACAAGAGCTTTTACCGTGCTTCATGTACTACTCAAGTTGAAGTTTAATGCGGTTTTGGCGCGAGTTAGCGGCGAAGAAAGGAGGTGAGCTCAGGTCGCTCGCTGGCTCTCGTGTCATTTAAATCACAGACATCTCTTATTACAACACACTGAGCAGCAAGACAGAAACAAAACAGAAAGAAGAACATAATGAAAATGGATCTCAATGTTGTTTTATGCAAACAACTATTTATAAGCCACACCGTGGGCTTTTGTGTACGATGCTGTTTAGAATAAACACAATAGATTACCGAATGCGCTCAACTTACGCCGATTTGATTTTAGTAATTGCGTGAATTCATGGCGAACAGCATGCAAGTTCTTTCAAAATGAGGGCCGCGATACTTCACTCTTCACCCACGTTTCTAGTCATCCCAATTTCATAAAAGGTAAACCCAGTTTGTCAAGTGTAAAAATAGCACTCTTTTGTGGTTGTCCGGGGCAAACAATGTTCGGTACAAATTTAAATACTGTTTTTGAATGCTCTATTGCCTTTGAAACATTGGAAGTCGGTTTTGTTCCCTTTCATTGTTGCCAATTAAGGCCTTGCTTTGTTATGCAAAATGTATGCTCTAGAAAGTGTTTTCCAATATCATATGGACTGATTTTGACTATAATTAGCAGCGCACCATTTCTTGGTTAATTAGTGTTCAATTCTTGGTTCCTTTTTACGTAATACCTAATTAAAGAGCGGTCCGTGTCAGGGCTTAAGTTACAGACAAGTACAACGTTTTTCAACGACAATTTGTTTCAAATTTATCATTTGTCTTACTCACTGACTTCTTGTTTATCGTTGTTTTTTTGAAAACTTTTATATGATGGAAAGTGAACATGTTCTGAGTACCGCAGATCAATGTTATGACCGGCGCCGATAACTTTCTGAAATATGTGTCGCGTTAATTGCAACGGAGAGAACTCACTCAAATTTCATTTGATTAATTATTTTTTAATCATTATAATTGTTCCTCAAAAGATGGAAACAGCTAATTGGTAAATGAAGCGTAGATAGTGGAGATTAAAACGGCTGGCGAATGATAACGAACCTGAACTGAAATGTGAGCTCAAATTTTTTAAGACGCTGGTGTCGTTCATTTACCGATCAGTTTACAAACATCCAGCTAGTATTTAGGTTTGAAGCAAGTACGATGTAATACATCTTTTTCCTTTTTTGCCAGCCCTCTCGCAAACTGGAAATTTAATTTTGTTAACGTAAATTGGTAGAAATTTTACCGGCCGTAGAATAAAAAGTCTCGGCTACTTTATATTTTTTTGCTTGGCTATTTTGAATTATAAAATTATTTTTTCAACTTTTCATTTTTTCCAAAGTCAAATGTCAAATCAATTAAATGACCGAGACGAAAATTTTCAATTAAGGATGGGGAACTGGATAATAAAATTGGTTTTGCTGTTATTATGAGTACAGTAGTGTACGAGAAAATTGATCAACAAACGACTTTCACTTTGATTGCTATTGACATATTGAGTGCAGTTATTTTCGTCGCTTGACAATGACCTGAGGTCAACCTGTGATGCAAAAAAGGTTCGTTTGTTATAGCGTGACAAGGAAGTAGTACATGACAGTGAAGATAATTCGTGACTTGTTTCGAATGCTCATCGACTCAATCGCGTTTTACGCAATAAGTGGCAAAATATGAGGGATTAACGCTGCCAATTGGGTGCTTTTGATCTTCCAGTTTCATACGCTACTCGCCTGTATTGTAAAATCATATGAAAGAGACATATTTAATCTCAGCACCACATTACATCTGCGCACAGAAACTTGTACTGTCTCTTAATTCAACTTAAAACCACTTTCATCCTCAATGCATTTTGTTTTTTTCAAGTGATCTATGTTACTTGAAACATATAAAACAGTATTGCTCATTCTCACATGATAGATGGCTTGAAAGTTTCCAGACCAAATGTCAGGAGCTTTTCATAATGGGCTTCTGCAAATGTTCTGCATGCCTCGATTTAACTAGATTTTATCTATTGTTAATGTCATGTACAATAACGGATATCTTAAATTCTTTTTGTGATGTTGGGTCGAACATTATTGGCCACTGACTTGCATTTATCTCTAGAAAGTTCAGCATTCTCAAAAGTCACCATTCACAGATCTTACTCGAAATGCTTCGAGATTCATAGACGAATTTTATAAATCAGAGTGTAACAAATGCTGCACGCCTTTATGGAAATGTCTGAAATTCTTAGTCGGCTTAGGGTGCAGGCGTAGATTAAAGGATCATAACACAAAAGCATTCATTCCACGAGGAGAGTTATTCAGTGACATGACGACTGATGTACTGACGTTAAAACTCCCTAATTTATCTTGTTTTTTGGGGGGTCGGATAAGACGAGTTGGTAGTCCTTCCCAATTCTCTACAATAGTCCTTGTTCATTTCATACAGAAAGCATTGATTGGCTAAGTTTTTACCCTATGATATTCATACCCTTCTGATAGAGGAAATTGTCATGGATTGGATAGAAGAAATAAAGAAGAAATATGTAACAATTAAGTTAACTCTTTTCAGTCACGTCCTGTCTAAGCCAGTGTAATCAATTACATGTATTAGACGTCTTGTTAAATATCAGAAAAACTTATATGGAGTACAAGTTCCCCAGAACTAGCTATGGATACACGAAATGAACGAAAATCTCCTCCTGTGAAATATTATTACTACCTTTATCCATGGTTCTGCAATTTTTTTTCCAATTTCTGTACCCGAAAGGAATACTTTTTTCAAGGAGCCGAATAAAACAAAAATCTAAATTTAGGACCAAGCTCTCGTTCCCCAAATTTCTCACATTGAAAAATCTCTTCGACGCACTTTGAAGTTTTTAATTCCTTCTTAAGTTTATCCGGAAACGATTTTGCTTTGTTTTAGTGTTACAAGACAATGTAAGGTACAGATAACGATTAAAAAAGAGCGGATGGGCGTTGAAAAATTTGATGAAAAGGGTTGCCTCCTTCGGTTGAGAGATACATTCCTCTCTGCCACGACTTAATCACACCACAAAGGATAATAGCAAGGATTTCTTTAATAAAGAGGAAATGCTTGTTTGATGGTAGTGAAGATGTTAAATTTTTTTCTGAAATCTAAATCGTAAAAGAGTAGAGATGTATAGAATGCGCTTTGTGGAGGAATTCCGTAACTGATTTTTGTGATAACTCTCTAAGGAACGTCAATGAAAACTTTTGTCTGTTTGTCACCTTAAAAGAAATAAGTATGTGGTGGTCGACAATATAGTCTAACTTTCTCTAGCCCGTTACCACAGGAGTTCGTGAGCCAGTTGTGGGAAAGAAAGTCTTGAGAGTTAAGCATAACATTGCGTGCTGTGTTTTGAATGAACAAGCAGTTGTCATGATGGCGTGGCTGCTTGCAAATCACAGCTTCCTAAATCCACTTGAAATTCATGACAACAAAGGAAACACAAAGCACTCGCCATTACTGAACTCAAACAGACCTCACCTCGTGCTGTGTTTTACGTGCGAAGCTCGCTCGCGAAGTTTCAAGTCCGAAAGCTGTCGTGGTGCACAGAGGACACAATTTGGAAATGTGGTGCCTTTGAACGTGCTCGGTAAGCTAGTAAATCCACTTATCCCTTTATAATCTTATGACTCACCAAAACGCTGATCCAATTGGGAAATGCTGTCCTAGGCCGTCTGGCTTAATTCTTTATTGGAATTAAGATTCTTGGCCATTTGGGTTCGTGATTTAACAATTACATCCTATGCTTATTTGTTCGCTTCGAGGACAAGTTAATACTGGATCAGATCAAAGCAGGAATTCCTGCTTGGATTTCTTGATCTTTTGTTAATAAGCTCGAGTCGGATTTATTAACCTGCGAATTGCTCGACAGCAGACTATTACCGGCTTCTGATAAGCCCAGGTGATGTACGCGTCGTCTCGAGTTTAAGTGATTTATTTGCATTTGCAAAGGATAGTACTACTCCTACTTTATAGTATTGGAACTCAGAGAGAAGCACTGGCATGGATCTTTCCCCTCGTAAAACGTTTCTTTCCGCACCGTTTCGCCTGCTTAGAACCGAAAATGTTGGTAGGAAAAGCTCTAAAGCGAGTATGAGCGAGGCCTTGAAGAGGGCGACGCTTACGCACGCGGCAAAAGGTATGACATGCTACGAATTAATGACCTGTAACTTAAAAAGCGTCTAAGTGAATATTTTTCTCTCTTCTCTGCAAATCGATGGTCGCATTCTGTAATTTATGGCCTACAAAGACGCCATGAGTCGCCCAAAGCTAAATACCCAGTAGATTTTTGCTTTTGAATAGGAGAGGGTCACGTTCATGATGTGTAAATCACTAATGAACGCGTTACACCCTATATGTTTTTGAAATGTGCTACAGTGTTAGAAAAAAAAAGTTGTACTTTTTGCCTTTTTAGATCGTGTGCTCCACGATTTCATCCAACACGGCCACTATACTTCTTGTAGTAAAATCCTTTCACAACACTAATTGTGTTATTTGACCCCGAGTACTTAGCGGTTTATTCGTAAATTGAAACAGCACGGAGCCAATTGTTGACAAATCACGCTATAATTATAAGATCACGCTGCGACTGAAGAATACCAGTAGCGGGCTTAAAAAAGAGTCGGTGGTTACGGATATGACATGTATTGACCAAAACATACCGAACAGCGGTTCATATCCGAATGCCAGAGCAAATTAAAATCATAAGCTTTAAGACCGAAAGTTTCACATGGAGAAAGGAAGGAGAACTGTTTTCGTTCGACATACTATAAATTATTGTAATAAGCTGAGTTCTACACGCATTTTCATGGGTTAGCTCTTATGATCTGTTGGAGGACAGACGCATGGACGGCATCAGCATCCTACACCAAATTTTGCTTCTTTATTCAAGAAAACAAATAGACTGCACTAAATCAAAACAGGTTCACTATGGGCGTTCTCTAAAGAAATTGCAAATACTTGCGAGATTTGTTTGTCGCATACTCAGACATTAGTCTTGGTTTCTCATTATTCACGGTCCGTGTTTCTAAGGGTGTCTCTCCAGCTGGTTATGCATCTTTACCTTTTGTTAAGCTTACCTGTTTTAAAGAAGGCCTATAACATTCTCAAATCAAGGGCCTCCTTTTTCAGCGATAAACTCATTTGCCAGTTTGTTTGTTTTGTTGAATTTTTTTCATTTATATTGTTATCATAACCACCAAGTTGAGGGTGGAAAACAGGAAAGTGTAGTAACCACGGAAACGGTATGATTTAGTGATGCCATTCAAAGAAGCATTACCGAGCATTCCCATCTCAGCAAGTAGTATGTAGACGCGTGGGTGGGAAGAAGAATGGATTTTTCCCTATCTACCTTAATCTAATAAAGTTAGCCTTATCATTTTGATCTGAGAGTCGTGTTAACTCGCAAATACTTTACGCCTCATTAGAACCTAAACCGGAGCATGTATTAGTCTGCTGTGGTACTGAGAACTTTTTCATTCGTTCATTCATCCTCTTTCGCCTCCATAAGTCGAACTCGTCGTCTATTCCTTTATTTAGTTATTTATCAAGGTAGAGGCAGATGCGCTGCAGAGTTCGGTTCTCGACGAAAACTGTCATAAGGACCTGTATTTCTTTTCCCTGTTTAGGCCACTAAGCCACCCTTTCCGCCACAAATGAATTAAACTTTAATTTCAAGTTTCAAGAGTTCTTAGAAGGCTTGTGTTGGCGATTAATGCTTAAGAAACTTTGCTGTCATTAGGAATTGTCTGGATCAGAAACACATTAAAAACTAACGGCCCAGAATGGATTTTATTTCCTTTTTCACTTGTTTGTTTGTTTATTTAAATTGGCACGTGCAAAATTTACCTATTACTGTGCAAGTGTGTTTTTCACGGTATTGATATTTTTGGTTGATGCTTTCCTTTTCGATTAATCCGTGCACATAAAAAAGAACCACTTTATATAAAATACGTAAAACACCACATATTATTTTTACAGAGCGGGAGTGGCGACACCTGAAGGCCGAATATGAAAGTTACATCATGGCGCTAGAGGCCGAGAGGGATACGCGACAAAGACGAGGCGCTAAGCAACAAGTAAACAAATTGTCTTAATATTTAATGAAAGTAATGAAAGCAAGGGTCTTTAACGTGATTTGGAATAAAAAAGATACCGAGTTACAGGTAATGCAAGATAAACATAGCAGTAGAGAGAAAGGAATCACAATGGAGTTCTAATTGATTTATCAAAGATGAGACCACAATTTTAAAATTTTCCTGGCTCCCAAAATGTGGGTTCGAAGCTCAGTTAATAGTATATAGCGACCAAACTAGCTGGGAGGCCTGGGTTCCATAAATTGCACCCCATCAGCGAGTATAATTCCTTGTCCGATTCAAGATGAGATGTCTGAGTGAACCAGGACCAGGAATCCAAGGTTTAGCGATATTGGTTTGAAGGCTGCGGTTATCAAAGTTTGTTAACTATAGTCTTTAATTCTTTTGGATCTCTCTGGACTGATTTCAGGTGACCTCGGAATGCCATGATCTTACCGAAAAGGCCCTTTTGCCAACAATCGTAGAGGAGGAAGCTCTAAAAAACCAGACGAAAGCAGTATTGCTTGCAGAATTGGTTTCTCTGGAGTTATTCTATGGTTTGGAAGATTTGGTTCGAGATGGTTCAACAGGGAAGGCTCAGGGCGTCGCAAGCAGCAAACTGCACAGTCTTACAGACAAAGATTTGCTGCTACATAGTGCTGAAACACTATTAGAGGTATAGTCTAACTACGTTGTTGTAAGTAGCATGCAATCCTGTCGCACAAACCAGCTTAAAGTTATAAGTATGATATTTGTTGCTGAGACGATCATAGGGTCAACTCTAGGAGTCACCTGTTTCCAGTAGTCACGTATCTTTAAAGCGTCCGCTGACCTGATCAGTATTCATTCATAGGAGACTGAGCCGTTCTACATTCACAATGTGCAGTGAAGAGGCAAGCTAAAAGCATTTTCCAAAATTTGAAGCTTAAGTAGGGTTCCACAGTTGTTTTCTCTATCTGAGAAAGTTTCTGGTGTGAGTGAAATATCCCATGCCCATAGGGTGAAATCTGAAGAAGCTGTCTTGTCTAGTCACAACAACAGCTTACGTTGCTGATTTCTGATATTTTTTACCAGCTTACCGAATACTTCTTCTCAAAGAGCGCCCTTGCTATCGACGAAAATGGCAAGAACTCAAAAGGTGCTACATCTGAAACTCAGAAAACGGTTTTGCCAAGCTTATCTTTGGAGTTAGGTAGGTCACTCTACGCTTTTTGACAAATACCCTTGTATCAGGTTAACATAAACTGCTCGTGGTCTTCTGCCTTGTTTATGATATGTATTACATAATATACTGGTATTCCATAATGCCTTCAAAAGTGGCACCAACGGACCAAGTTATTATGTTTATGAAACAAGCGTAACTTGTTTTACTGAAACAATTCTCAGACTCTTAGAATCTTTAACGAAGATTCTTTTTGTACTTTATGTCTGCGTTGTCGATGACATCATCGGTGGGAGATTTGTTTACTTAACCAGGCATTCAGAATACATTACTAAGCTAGGCTATCACAAAAACTTCTGTGAATTATGGTTGGCGCAGGAAAAGGAGATCAGAAAAGCTTAAATTACTTCGCGAAAATAACACCAGAGGGCGATAAAATGTGTGTATGCGTAAATCAATAATTAAGGGTATCCGGCTTGGGCAGAAGTGCTATTTACATTTCAGCTTAGCGCTGTTGAGTTTGATCTCATGTTAGCAGAGGCTTTGACGTTCATAGAACAAATTAAGTGTAAAGCTAACAAGCTTAATCTGTATGTTATTGCATAAACAAGAGTTTCTGATTAATCTTGCCAAAAGCAATTTAAAATCCATTTAAGATCGTGATACATTATTGGAGGATTTCAATGCTCAGATTAGATGAGCAAGACCAAATTAAAACTGTTACCGCCCTTTGTATATTCTCTGGAATATTCCCTCGGTTTCCTGTAAGCAAACTGAACTACCGCTATTCCTTATTTAGAAATAAATGTTTTGGCGGCAACTGACCTCAAAGTAATATCCACATGATTTCGTCATCGGTTCAGTAAATCGCTAAGAGCAGTTTAGGGTCAAAAGGCGAAGTTTTGTTTTGTTTGTAAGCGTTTGACTTAAACTTGTACCGGCGACTAAGAGCCGATGCCCCTAAAGCAGAATTAGATATTTGAAGTATACTTATACTTTAAGTATGCTTCTATAGAAAAATAATAGCATTTTGACTCTTAACGCGAGTTTTATCAATGACATTTCTCTGAACTTACATCGATCTATTTTCATATGCTGTGTGTCTGCAGAGCAAGGTTTTTGCTATCGGGTCTAAATGACGATTGTCGGCATACACGTCAACCCTTTGTGTAAGCCTCACAAAATGTTTAGAAAATTGGGCGACAGATATCGGCCACGAACACGGACCCCTGGCGTGAAAGCAAATAAACTCTTCAACCACTAAGGACTTTATTTCGTATTTTTCTTTGTATAAGTTTCATGCACGAACGATAACTGAAATGCGTGGGGCGAACAAAGCAAGCCGCAACATGAAGAATTTGTAAACTACCCTCATCTTGTTCAAACAAAGATGAGTGATTTATTCTGCCTTGCGTTTATAAATTTTGCGGTTGTCTTTCGTGACTTATTTGCACAGCTAATCTCGAATACAAAAGCCTTAACCCCGAGGATAAAATGAAATAGGCGTCGCAATAGTCGAACCAGTATATTTACTGTGAAGTCTTCCACCAACAGTTCAACAACAGCAATTGTCAGCATGCATTCCTTCTAAGCTGTGTAAGCTAAGCAGTGCTTGGTATAAAGTAAAAATACTTCGCGAAGGTAAAGGATATTTCATTAAATTATGTAACATCTGGTAGATGATGCAGGAATAATTGTCTCATCACATGTTCTTGTTTCAGACTACGGATCGCGACACAGCACACCGAACGACGATTCCTCGTATGAGCGAAAATTGCTTGGTGTTAGAGAGTCGCTGAGTAAGTTGAAACGGAAAACTGACTCTGCTGCCCTAGGATTCCTTTCGCATCTATTGGATACCAAACTGGACGAAAAAGAGAAAGGTAAGCTAAGCAGTTTGCCTCATTGCGATCTCCTGCTATTGTGCAGAGTTTCTTTCCGTGCTCGTGTGCTTGACATTCGATGGAAAGGTTGAGTTCTTGCCCCAGAAAACGCTGTGCGGTATTTTTTGTGTAACAAAACGATGAAATACACCTTCCCGGGTAAAGCTGAGGCATGCAACTCGCTATAAGGTTCTATCTGGTATAGCTCAAGAAGGATTAATCGCTGCACGCGTGGTCTCAATTAACACAATTTTGAACTCATAAACAGGTTTATTTGCATTTATCTTGTAACTCGGAAATACAACTGGGCTTTGAAACATTTAGAAAAATACATGGCATATGTATGCAACTTTTACTTTTAACATCTTTATCAAAAGTTCTGGAAAAAAAAAATTACTCAAAAATCAAACAAAAAAAACAAATGGTATAGTTTCTACGTTTCCGTTTAGAGTTTAATGTTAAAATAATCTGAAACAGCTTACTGATTAAAGCCACAATTCAGATTTCATCTGGGGTTAGTTAGTGCCGCGACAACTGTCAAGTATTGTCCAAAGGTTTAGCTCTTCGTGAGTCTATGCAAATAATGCCTCGGTCAGAGAAAACCATTGACTTCCGTCGGTTGCCAGTTCAGCAAGCTACGTCCAGCCTCTGTCCCTAATTTCTCACTATACGCTCTCTTCCAAATTTTTTTGGGGACGGCCCTTCTTTCGTCGGCCGTTGGGAGTCTATCAGAGGGAGACTCTGTGCAGGGCTAATCGGGCATTCGGATCACATGACCGATCCAAAGATTTAGCGTGGTTGAATTGCATAAAAAATTTGAACAGCGCTCTAACGTCCACAAATCTTCATTAACTCATCTATTCGCTCATTTATTAATATTTTTTCGTTTTTGACTTGTGAATTTTTATTTTTTATTGATTAATTTTATTGATGTTTACATTTTCTTCCATTTTACTTATAATGTACCTATTACCTATGATTTTTCTCTTTGTTAAAAAACTAGTCTGCATTTTCAAGTGTTTCTTCGGTACCTACTTCTATTTTATTTTCTCACGTTTTTATTTACTTCTACTTATTTCCTTAGAATTCTAAGTTCAAAATGCAGTTTTCCAAAGTTTAGATATGAACGGATCACAACCATTACTTCAAAATTAAAATTCAATTTTTTTTTATTATTTTTTGGCATTGGGATCGAAGCAAGGTATTTCATGATCCAAAGTGATACGAAAATATTTTCCGCGACTGACTTGAATGACCGGAAATGCCTTGTATAACATTGAAAATGCATTTTATTCTTTGCTGACTCGAATTTTTTTAAAATTTTTTTTTCTTTAATTGGGTCTTTCATTAAGTCATAAGATAACCGCATTCTTAGTTTCTCATAAAGATAACCCCATGTGAAAAACTCTTTGTTCCCTTTCAATCCTGAGAGCATTGGAGAAGGGCATCCTCACTTTCAAAAAATTTCTATCTATATATATTATTATATTGTATAGAGTAGTTAGCGTACGATACGTTTTCACATTTAATTAAGCTCTAAAACTTTGGTTTTGTTATTTTTCAAATTACAGTACACTGTGGGTATCAACTGAACCTTATCGTGTTGCATTATTTTTATCACAGACGTTTAATTAGCCAGCATGTAGACAACCTTGATGAATACCATCAACCAATTTCAAATCTTAATGAGTGAATGGAAAAAACTGATAACACTTTTATTATGTTTTCTGACAAATAAACTGCGCAATTTTGTACATGAGTAGAATGCAATTATACCAAGTCGGCAAATACAATTCTAGAGAGTATGGATTTTATGTCATCATGTGCGGTCGTTTCTAATTCTTTTGGTTGAGAACCAAAAACCCTCCACGAAAAGGTAGAATGATGTTACATAAGAATTTTAATATCGGTTAAAAGGTTAAATTTTGAACGTGAGTTATTTCTTGTTATCTCTTCATGTAAATATCATTTCAACTTACTCTAAGACTTATCATTCAAGTCGCTGACAGACTTGTTTTTGTGAATTTGTTGCCTCAAAGCCACTTCTAGACTAAAAGAACACCTCATAAATTGTTGTGAACTTTGAAAGTCAGTAAGTGACTTAAGGACATTTTTCTTTACTTTTTTTCTCAGGTTTACAGGAATACAAAAGGCGACTGTTTGAACTTCTGAAACACCTTCTAAAATCTCAAGATTCTGCCACAGGTATGATTTGAGTACTCTCTATAAATATATAAACATTTGTATAAGTGTACGCACTTACATCTTACAATTTGGCGTCGACGAAAGTCTACGAAGATTTTCGTTTTAGATTAGGTTATACTATTTAACTAGTGTACCTTGAGATTTTAAGCAACATGTAATCACTGAAATTGGGCGACAAAAGGAACGAGACATTGTTTTATTTCTCGGAACATCGCCTATATGACTCAGAAAGAGGATAATTTAGTCGTCGGTGTATCAAAAATACCCGCTGTTTTCTTGGTTTTAATTTCTTAAATGTGTTTATTGAGATGAGCTTAGTTGCGTGAAAATCACGTATTTCCAAGAGAGAAGGTTGCACTGGGATCATACTCTTTTTGGAATGGCATTCGGCTATCTTTATACATACCTCTGCACGAGTCCTTCCACTCTCCCCCCCATTCCCTCTCGAATTCAGTGTTGGCTGTTACTAAAAGAACTGGGGCGAGTGCCAATATTTCCGCTTTGAGAGTATGGCGGGGCATTTCAAAGAAATTTTATGAGGGTTGTCAGATTGCCTATTAAAGTCAGTATGGAAAAGAGTGCCTAAATTAAAAATTCTGGGCATGGACTCGGGTTTTAAAATTTACTTCATCACAATGAATTTTTACATATTTTTTTTTCTTCTGAAGACGGCGATGGAACTCCCGTCGATCCATTGAAGCTCGAACAATCCTTGTGTCATGTGCTTATGGACAAAGCCATTCTGAACTGTCTCTTGCTGTTGGACAAAGCTGATATGGAGTCCCGCATCAGAATTTTATCACAGCAACAAACGCAGTTTGATTTTTCAGGTATTGCCATGTCTAAGAAAAATATCACCCTTTTCATTAGCTGGAGCTTGAGATAGGTTCGTTTAGAGAAGTATGATCCGAAAACCATATGATTTTTGTCTCTGCCTTTAAAAAGGATATTTGAATTTCTAAAACTGACGAGGTTTCATACAAAGTGCTAAAAAGGTCGACCATGGAAGTTGCTATTTTGAGCCTCGTTTGGGAGCCTAGCCACTCCCCATCGACTTGACAGTCTCACTATTTCTCTTCTTTTTCGATCGCTTGGTGAACTATTTATAAAAATATGAGCTACAAGAAGAAATTTTTTCAGTCAAACAAGGAATTTTTTATCATTGGTGACAACCAGAGCTGAATCTGCGCGTAAATCGCGCTTTGTGATACGCGACATTCGGTGAGAGTAGAGCCAGCATGGAGGCATCCATGACAATATTTTTGGCATAATTGAGGAAAATTTTCATTTATAAAGTTGCCTCTTTGGAATCTAAAAACACGGCAAATAGCAAAGTTCAAAATGTATACTTTAAGGGCAGAGACAAAATCAATGATTTCTTAGGCACACTTCTCCTTTGACTTAGCTGTATTTCATCCTTAAGGAATCAGCGGTATGACAGCCGAATGTTCAAGTCAGTCTAGCGATGACTTTGTTCCCTCTCCACCCCTGTCAGGAACACAACGCGGAGAAGGACGACTGACATCTGTCGACGAAGGAGTGGTACTTGAAAGTTTGAGTGACAGCGCTAACAGCCGCGAGAAATTATCGGTGCATTTGGAAAACACAATGGAGGAACTCGAAGCCGAAAATGGGCGTTTGTACGAAAAAAACGAAGAACTACGAAAAAGGTATGAACAGGCTGAAGGCGAAAAGAGTAAATTGACTTTGAAGATTTTGGAATACGAGGAAAAGCTTCAAAGAAGTGAAAAGAAACTAAAACATTTCACGCCATCGGAAGCCAATGCTGAAAAGGACTTAAGGAGTAAGATTGAAGAGAAAGATTTTGAAACAAACGAATTATTGATTCGCGTTGATGAGCTAGAGGATCAACTTCAGTTTAGAGAACAAAGGATAGAATTTCTACGAGGGAAGGAGTCGAAGCTTCGGGGACAGCTTTCTGAGGAGAGAAAACGCTCTGACAATGCAGAGGAACGAAGTGCAAAACTGCAACTCAAAATACGACAACTTGAGGATAAATGTGAACAGTGCGAGCTCAAACTAGCTTCGTTCACGGGATCAGATCTACTTGAGATTAACAGAATAACAAAGCAATTAGAAAACTCGATTGCAGAGAACAAAACGCTCAGTCTGAGAGTTTTCCAACTGGAAGACAGATTAAATGAATCCGGTGGCGTCTTAAGTCTACGGAGTCGTGACGAGAATGAGAATGATGATGATCAGAGGAAAATTCTCGAGAAGAAAATAATTGAATTGGAGGTTAAAGTGAAGGAACAGCAGGTTAAAATTCTGAGTGTGAAGGAATATGAGCGAAGGCTTCGTGCCGAACTATGTAAGGAAATGACAAAGAAGCTTACAAAGGCTCAAACGCGTAGTCGTGAACTTGGCGAAAAAATCTTTGAACTAGAGACAAAGCTTAGACAAGCAGAACAGCAGTACTCGACTGTTAAAGACATGGATATGAATGTTCGAAGTGCCATGCGCGGTGACATTAAAATTTTAACGGAAAAGTTGGTAGATGCTGAAGCTCGCAATAAGGACGCGGAGGAACGCCTCCGCCTCTCACAGCGTGAAGTGCTTATAACGAAGCAAAGCGAGCTGGATTTGCGTGAAAAAACTCAAATGTTGGAAGTAGAAAACAGCAAATTTCAAGAAAAATTTCTTTCTCGGAAAGACGAAAAAACGGCTCGGAGTTCAACCGGAAGAACTGCAGACAGACTAGAAAAGTTACGAAAAGAGAATTCAAATCTTTCATTAGAACTAAAATCGTTCAGAGAAAACACATTAAAATTGGAAAGGGACCTACTTGAAAGGGACCAGGAAATTTTGAATTTGCGAAATGAATCTGTGGATCTTTCAAGCGAGGTATGCAAGTTAAGAACTGAACTTGACGACAGTGAGAGAGATAAAGCTCAACAGGAAAGAAGTCTCTGCAGATACGCGGAATCAGTGGAAAAGTTACTTACAAAAGTGTCTGTACTTCAACAGGAAGTGGAGAGACTTCGGGCCAGCGAAACGGCATCAACAAACGAAAACGAGCACCCTGCGGAAGTAGACTCTAAAAGCGATACCACAGCGTCAACCCTAGTAATTGGTGAAGAGCATCCCGAGACTTTTTTCCAACCCCTAAAAGCTAAAGTAGAACGCAATGAGATTTCTGAAACAACACAGGTGGGCGTAGAAAATCTTCAAAGAGAGAAAACCGAGCGGCAAACCATAATCGATGACCTTCAACATGAAAACTCGAAGATGGCCAAAGAGAATGAAAGGCTCATCCAAGAAATAAAAACTCTTGAGGCCAACTTGTCAATTGTCGAGAAAACGTTTCGAATTTGTCGTTCAGATAACGAATGCCTGCTGCATGAAATGAATCTGAAATCAGCTGAAGCGACTACCTTAAGGACTTATGCCGCATTTTGCAGCGAAAAAGCCAAGGAAATGCGATCGGAGATAGCCACTCATAAACAAAACGAAACCGCCTTAGAGAAGAGATTAACAGACTTGGAGAGAGAATCAACTTTCATGCGCGATGAGGTAGGCCATGGAATATTAGATTTTACAGAGCTCAAGGAAAAGAAAGATTCCCTGGAGAAAAGGATCCTCGAGGCAAGTCGCACAGTGGAACACCTTAAACAGGAAGTTCTTGGCCTCATAAATGGTATGTTGACCTTGCAGAGAGATTTAAACATTCCTATTGATAAGATTGTCGGTTACCTTGGATTGGATGAGGAAACTGTTCAGCGCTATAGACTGAGGCCAACATCTACTGATTCGAATGACACTCAAACGGAAGAATCGAGTAGCGAAATTGGAAGTGATGTCAGCGAACAATTTACATTGAAGTCTCTTTTTACTTTTCGCCTTCTTCCGGATAAGGAGGGCTTTCTAAATCCCTCGGATGTAAGCATAATGAGGGAGAACAAGACTGAAATCTTACGCGTACACGAGGATTTGAAAGCCAAAGTTCACGCGGTAAGGGACTCGCTAGGCAGAAAGTACGAGGGAACGAACTCTACCACTGATGGAAAACTTGATATCGAGCGCAGTAATGAAGTAAAAAGTCGACTACTTAGTGATCCTATATCAGAAAATCCCAACAATAATACTACGCTTCCGCGACTTAGCCGGGCAGAACGTGTTAAGTTGTCCAGTTTACTCTCTCGATTGAAGGAGGAACTAGTGCGCGAAAGAAATTCAAATAATGAAGGTCGAGTTGGTGTTGATGATGACGACATTTGTCTTCTGTATGACAATTTGGAGAGCAAGCTCTCTCGGCTATCATGTGAGCTTGCTTCAAGGGAAGATGAGATAACTCAACTTTTGACTGAAAAGTCAGACCTTCAAAATGAGCTGGAAGATTGCGAAAAGGGCCTCTCTGTCTGTCACCATTGTGCTTTGAAAGTGCCAACTGAACTAGACGACAAAAGAAAGCAGCTGAAAGGCAAACTCTTATCCCAGATGCAGGATACTTCTCGCCTAGAGGGAGAGATATTCGAGTTCATAGAATACAGACAGAAACTAGAAAAAGAACTGGACAACATCAAAGGGAAGATAACTGATGTGGAAGACGAGCTGGACATAAGAAAGATATTAATTGAGAGATGTATCAGCTTCAGACCATCAGTGGACGAAATGTAAGTATTTTCGATATTTCTGTGTCTTCCCTCCATACTTGAGAAGCGCGCGATGCAGCAGCTTTTCTCTGATACAGAAAAAACTGAGTTTGTCTTGCGATTGAACGTCCGTAACTGTTACCGAACGGCACAATATCCTTGAATATTCTGAGTTTTCCTTTGCAGTTATAAATTTCGTAAGCTTCCGAGATACATGGACTAACAGTTGTTACGCGGTACTGTTATAAAATACATCATCGTTATTTTCATTAGGTATACTTTGGAGTTCACTTCCTCAACTTATTTGCTATCTATAGGTGGAGTTTTGTCTTTTGTCTTCATTCGAGTCTAAGTGTGCTTAATAGAACTCTGCCTCTGGAGCTCTGGGCGGCAGAGCAGTCCAATCTCGATAACTCGAATCCTCAATATTTCTAACAGCGCACTATCACAAACCAAATCCATTTGCGTCTTAGATTTACCAGTCGTTTCCCCGCACCTCCTATAACTCGAACCCTCTCCAATTGCCCTTGAAGTTTTGATTTTTGGAGGTCGACTGGTTGGTGTTGCAAAGTTTTTCTTTTATATTTAGGGACGTTACAAACAGCGACTCGTCCAAGGAAGAAATAGAAGATCTTACACTAAGTCCATCTGGAAAGAAGAGAAAGTCCCAAAAACACGTGACTTTTGAAAACGTAGACGGTGAATCAGAAGAAAATTCTTGCGGTAAAAGAAGGCGAGAGAAGCCTCATTTGTTGTTCGATCAGGATAACGAAGAGTCAAATGACAGAAATGCAGAATGGCGGACAGCTGACTTGGATTCCAACGACTTGGACCTTTGTGAATTATTAGCCTCCATCCCGAGGGACATCCCGAAGAAACAACCCACTGAGGAGGAACTGGAGATCACTGAAATCGCAAATAGACTTTCAGGCTATGATAACATGTCGTTCGACGAGAAATTCCAGTTCGTTTCATCTCAAAGAAAGAAGAGTGATGCAGACTCTACTGTTTCTACTAATGCCGACGATTCTTCCTTCAACAGAGTTGGTTCTGTCGGCACAGATACCGTCGATGAGGTGGGTGTTGACTATAGTGATGATGAACACGTCACCTGTCAAGTGTGTGGACTGTTTAAGAAACGCAGCTAAACGAAAACAGTCAACAAATTGCTTCACATACAAAGAGCTGCATCACACTTTTTAGGCGTATGTACTGTTTGCGCATGGACCAGTTTTGAACATTGTGAACGTTACTGCTGAAAAAAGAGGGCTATTTAATGAAACAAAAGTATTACTATAATAATTATCTTTCATTTAAACGGACTCTATTCCTATTATTATGCAATAGCAACCATGTTTTTTTTTTGGCGGGAAATGGGCGAAGTCCCCAAGTACACCGAGATTCAACTCAAGTTCTGGAGGTAACCCCTAGAAAACTGTTGATATGAACAATAACGTTAAATAGGCCATTTCCGAATTACCTCTGACCTCTTCTACAAAGCGAGTCCTGCTGCCCATTCCTAAATATGATTAAAAGCTTTTATTTACATGCAAGTTAAATTCATTTTCAAAGGAATGGGTGAGCACCAGGCCTCGTTTTGAAAAGGAGGCCAAAGGTAATTCGGAAAAGGCCTAGTAATGAGTGGTCTTTAAAACTTGTCCTTCAATAATATGTGAACTGTGTCGGAGACTCAAAATCAAACACGAACGCGGATTTTGTTCATGCTAACTTCAGTCTCTATCCTAACAGACCTCATGTTCAGAAACAAACTAAATGTATCAAAATCTTCCAATCACAATACAGCCCTTTTTCACACATGTTAGACGATGTGCTGGTCGCTCAGGAGGTTTGGCAATTTATTAACGGCAGAGGCAACTAAATGTTCTTTTTTCATAGTTCGCATGTTATTTAAGAGTGCTGTAAATTTCCCAGTGTCTTGGCCTTTTTTTGGTGCCCGTCCCGATAACAACCTCCTCCTGCCTTCTTTCAGAGGTCAGTATCAAAATTAGCGGCCAAGGCTTACAGAAGTTTCTTTTGAAACGTGCGTTATAATACAACGAAGTATGTTACTCATAGCCAGGTGCGTTCTTATTATTAAGGACGATTATCACCGATATAAAATTCCCAACAAATAAATGTAATTTTTTTATAATTTATCAAACAAACATATTTAAAGAAAAGAAATATTTTAATATTAGGCCAGCATATGATACAATGTTAGGTTGTAAATTTACTGAAGAAGACTTTTGCAGTTTTTATTCTAACCAAACATTTTAAGTTTGAATAGTTAAAGAAAGAAGATTATATATCATTGCGAATTATAAGTTATATAAGTTGAGAAAGTGCTGACTTGGTGAAGCAGCTTATCCCAGACAACTCAATATAAGCAACCCGAAATACAATTTAACGTGGAGTTTCCTAAATCGTTTCATTGGTTTCTTAACTCTAAAAGTAAGGTAACACAAACCTTGTCCAAGGAGATGCGATGGCCCAGTGGTAGCCCCGCGGAAGTCCGCATCGAAATGTCCTAGTAGGCCATTTCCGAATTACTTTTTTCCTCTTTTTCAAAATAGGCCTGGTGCTCAACCATTCGTATGAAAATGAGTTTAATTTGTAAATGAATGAAAACTTAAAATCATATGAAAGGGTGAGCACCAGGACTCGCTTTGAAAATGAGGTCAATGGTAATTCGGAAATGGCTTATTAGGGTCACGCATTTTGTTGCCGAGAAAATTAACGTCGTATCCAGGAGGATTAACAGCCTCCAGAAAAAACTATGGGGGAAGGGGAGAGGTTTAGGTGAAAGATTGCTTTGGAATAGAATCCCATCCAATGGGTGAGGGTACTACTTCTTATCGTTTGCTGCTATATACCCTGGAATACTCTGGCAGCCTGAGCCACTCAGCCTATTTGAAAGACAAGTATATCGTAGCCGGCCGTGGATTATTTCTAGGATACAATTGTGAAAGAAAAAGACTTCTTCGGTTAATGGTGGAGCTCTCGTATAATTCTGATTTCTCATTGCTGCAGATCATCCTGAACGTAAAGGAATTGAACAAACGATAAAAACACGAGTCAAAATACATGAGCCTACAACTGGTAAACTGCAATGAGCAGTACATCAGCCAGGAAGCAGCGACAGTTTATTTGTGATAACTGTATCTAGAACAGAAAACGTCTGTCGAAACAACACGATATGAAGAGATCTTACGACACTCTTTCGCAGTACTGAAAGCCTCTACTGTAGATCAGACTCGCGGGATTTTTGTGCTGATTTGCGTCGTTAAGCTCGCAGATATTTTGCTTACTTGATGACGAGTCGTTTTGTTTATAGTTGTATGATGCACATGTTGAGCCATAAATCAAGCAGTCCATTGCACAATCCAGCTCACTCAGCACCCATCGTATGGACAAGCGGTGTCCTACGAGCTGGCGGTTGTATCTTCTCTCTCGACAACGAAATTCGGCGTTTTTGAATAAGCCACCTAAGGAAATAAAAGAAAATTAGGGGATGAAAAGTTTGGTCCATAAAGAGAAATTAACACCCTTAACACCCTAACATCAGTATGCATATTCTCTATACTGTTCTCTACACAAATCGTAAGGTGCTGACAAGGAGAATTTGTTTAACAATTAAGAACTTTTTAATAGTTGATGATCATTTTCTTTATTCTTGTGACCTCAATGTTTGATTTAGGGGTGATCTTGTAAGGAGAATTTAAATGCTTGTCACTTGTAGGGGTAAAAGGGTTAAGGGCAAAAGTTACCCACGACTGGATTTGGTTTCCTTTCTTCCGCTCTGGAATACATCCCAAGCCGATAATAATCTTCATCGGTTTACTTCTGATACAACAGCAACAGCAACAGCAACAGCACATTCGTGTGGCTAATATCCGCAAAGCTGATTTTTCAATATAGGAACTTAGATGCCATGGAGCCGCGAAAATCAGGAAGCAAGTTACTATTACCTCCTTTTCAGAGCTTTTGCGTCTTATTTGCGGACAACTCCTATGAAGTCAATCACGCAGGTTGTGAATCTGAAGACATAACTCGCCCAAAAAATAAAACACATCCAACGAGATGCAAGGTAACCACAGCCAACCATTGATTGGTAACAAAAGAAGGCAAGAAAATTAATGATATTAGGGCAGTTTTTTTGTAGTTTTGTTTCATAGGACCCACCTCTATATCTCTTACAGATAAAGCGACATTTCTTGCTGCAGTTGGATAGATGCCACAAACCATCCGAGCCTCGGTATGCGCACAAATCAGTGCCATTTTCCAGGTCGTAGCTGAGTTTTGAGAAGTTCCAAAAGTTGCCATCTACCCAAGACGGTGTTAAGCCTACACGACCAGTCTGCAGTCCAATGTACATACAACTTGATACATTTCCAGTCTGCAGCAGCACATCCTCCAAGAAATTGTCTTCCTCTAAGCTCCCAATGCTGACTAGATTTCCTCGATGTTTTTTAACACAACTTTCCCTCGCCTCGTACCACGTCTTTTCAGAATTAGGTGGGATGAAGTAGCAAAATTGTAAGTTAGCAATCCAACGGCCGTAGCACCCTCTGTTCGAGAGAAATAATCCTAAAAGAAAATTTCAAGACCTCTCTCAAGTATCCGTGACACATCAAATTTTCAACAGAATTTGCAACGTAGGTTTTCATTTATTTCAAGACAATCTTTGATTTAATAAAAATAATCAACAACAATACCAAAATATCATCACATTGATAAGTTACATATTTATTGGACTCGGTTGTGATTCGTTTCTACACTCATGTGGCATAAATTCTTATTTATTAAAAAAGCTTTGACCCAACTTACACTGATCTGTTGTATCTTGCAATAAAGTTTCGGAGTTAAATACCAGTTATTTTAAAGAACCAAACTTTGAAACATTTTGCTTGACTCAAGTAAAAGTCTCTTACCTTGTACACCTCGCGATGAATTGAGAACTGTTTCATTATTAACAGCATAATGCCATAAAACCAACCTGGCGAGCAACAAGGACGGATATGATTGGGTACTTGAGTTGCGGAAAGTTGGCACGTTACCGGCTTTCATTGACCAATCACACGTGCAATTTGAGTGAGAACAGGAGACATGAGAAATTGTGAGCTTGGTTACATTGTTCAATCTATTAAAAAGAGACGGAGAACCAGTTTAAGCTTTTTTTTTCCCAGTCATTGAAAAAGATAAACCATTTCCTGCCCAGCAATCCAGTTGACAGTCGTCTATTGCGGCAGCATAGCACTCTTTGCCTAATAAGATTGCGCGATCGACCTTAATCCGTGTGCTCACGTTTCTCCGGAGTTAGAATACCGACTGCTATGCCCTTAAATCAATATACCCCTTCCTCAGGGAAACGTTTCCAAATTTTGCACTCGCATTCGAGAGGGTTTTGATCGAATGGGGCATATTTTCCGTCAAGATCAGAGGAGGAAACCCTTAATGTTGTTTGTAATTTGATACTCCCCCAATTAATATTAAACCAAACGAAAATTTGCCTCTCCCTCTTTTTATCTGGTCAAACAAATCACCCAGGTGTGCAAATGCTCAACTACAAAAATAATTTTCCTAGTAATGATCATCATCGCTTTTTAAGCGAAATGTTATGCGCATGAAATAGTATGCAAAAGTTTTAGACTCCAGTAGCGGCCACCTTATGTCAAGCCCCGAGGCCTAATACACTTCTGGTTACTGCTTGACCAAGAAAGGTGACAGTCGAAAAATTTCAAGCCAAAAGCAATGAGACTCGCGTACCTTGTGCCATTGATAAAAAGATGTGCTTCACCAGAAGCGTTCCAGGTCAGTGCCAGATGGTGCCACATTCCGTGACGAACACTTGCATTTACGCTTTGCAAACTCCAAGTGATGTTTAATTCCATGCTTTTAATTGTTGCATTTATCTCATTTTCAGGTGTTCGGGCGAAGCTGAGCCCGCAATCACCACTTCCAAATTCGATTAAACCGTGCGAAGTCGAAGACTCTTGGAAAGCTACCCAAAATGCAACGCTAAAACCAGTTTGGTTGCAATATTTCACGTCCACATAACAGGAGTTGTATCTAACACCAAAGTCAATCCATGTATCTGGACCATATAGATCTAGGCCGATTTGAGGTGAAGACCATGTGATCTCGGCATTACCTGTGTTAATCAGAAAACAATGAAGCGATCAGAACTTAACTGACTTCGTGAAGAGAATTTTGATACTAATCATTACTGTCGTATCAGAACAATATTTTTGAAATTGAATAGACTCTTCTGACATTTGTTGGCAAATCTCAAGACCAGCTCATTTTCGCTTCGATTGAAAGAAGTATCAAAGATTCAGTGAGGCAGTAATTAGTTGTTCGTTACCTCTGATATACCCATTCCACCATCCGTTAAAGTACCTGTGATCATACACTTGGTTGTATCTTATTTCGTTTAGTGGCCAGTAGTGATCAGATCCCGGGTACCATGCCTGTGTGGCTGTAAACAAACCTACCACCTTTCAAAAAAAAAAGACAAAAATTCGAAATAGAAGCAGATCAAAACCAATATTCGAAAACAAAATAATAATAAGCGAATCTTTGGTTAAACACAATTTTTATCAGATTCCCATGATGTGTTTGCTTCCAAATGAACTGTAAAATCATGATCGATTAATGCGGAGAGAAACTGACATTAATGAATATCCCCTTTTTTGTTTGCTTTGTTTAACAGAGACGGCACTGCACAAATCCTATTCGTAGGAATACTTTACATACAAAGATTCAACGAAGCTACAGATTAATGACGATCTGTGCGGTTAAGTAAAAAGGATGAAAAATATAATCTCTTACACGAAATGATTAAATTTTTATCGAGTTTCTACAGATTATCTACTATAGTTAAAAATAAAATTGATATGCTTCGTTTTGTGTTAAGGAAAGGGTAACTCCCCCTTTTTAAAAATAATTCGCAAAAGGAACCCTCTAAAACGAAAAAAGTAATAAATATAAAACTTAAGAAAAAGAACTGGAAGTAAATCATTAATTTTTTAGCATACGATATTCAGATAAAGGTTCACAGTTCACCTGTTTTTTGGTAATTACATTTTAATCATTGTTGTGTTTAGAGATATGCAAAAACAAGTGATGTTTGGATGAGACGGAACTTTGTAGAAGAGAAGAAATCAAAATAACTTAAGGGATTTACATTTTTTCACGCTGTTTACTGACCTGTATAATTATAATTTTCCATAATAACAAAATCGTCATTTTGTTCATTCACATGCGCTGCAGTTATTTCCTCAAAAGTTCCTTTGGATTCTGAACGAAAATTGAAAACGTTTAGTTGCATCTTCGTTCCTATTTAATTAATTCATGAAAAACCTGGAGAGCTGAAAGAAAAAGCAATCAAGTGTGTTTTCGGTTAAAGCGCACAACCCTCTTATCGTTTTACGTTCATTAACTTCAACTATGTTTTTCTCTTGTGGTCAAAGGCCAAACCTGTGGTAATTTTTCACAGAATGCCATAAATAGCCAGAAGCAAATGCCAAAACAGAAATTAGTATGTGCCACTAGGTGAAATGAGTTTGATTCAGTATTTTGAATCCTTGATGAAACAAATTGAGATACTGTTTCTTAGAAAATATTAGAAAATAATCATTAAAGACATATCAAAAATGATTTTCTCAACCAATTTTTTTTTTCATTTCCCCTGAAAAAAAAAACCACAGGTTAGATTTTGAATTAAGTCGATCTCTTTTCTTCCTTAAGATAGGAAGCTGTTTGTAATTTTTTGATTTATCTTCACTAATAAGGTTGATATTCTAAGTCATACAATTTCCAAGAAGTTGCACAGTATGTTTTTAAGTCTGTAACTTCCATGCGCTATTTTCATATTTCCCAAAATATAAACTGTTCATATTTTCTTGCGCTTTCCGAAATCGAAATCTCCCTTTAAAATAATAGAAATCACACAAAACACTTATCACGCCTTATAAAATTTACCTTATGCAGTTTAACAAAGTAATCAGCTATTCATCAACGACATTTCATTTCACGATAAAGTTACATTGATGGCAAATATTGAAAGCTAGACGTACCTTCCGATTTAGCCTGTCACTTTTACAGTTCGTCGAATAAAACATACACCGGTGTGAAACATTTTCGATGTTCTTTTACAGCTCTAGATCTTCATCATTATAGAAATTTTCTGGTTTGGAGTTCAGGAAAAGCCAAACATAAGTAAAACAGCCGACGTTACACAACTGTGATTAATTTTACGGGGCCTTCGAATGGAAATTTAGAGGAAAAGCAAAAAAAAACAATCATAGTAGGAACGGCCGAGCAATGACATTTCAAAGGATGTACAATTTTGGATTCCCTGCAGGATATACCTTTCTTTTTTAATTGTTTGTGGGTTAATTGACGACTGAGGGCCTCCCAAACAGGAAACATCATATCATAGCCAATCAACTGAAAGAAAAGTTTTGACTTTAAACGTTTTTTTTTAATGGAGCAAACTGAATAGAACTACAATTTTTTGTCTTCTGAATATTTTTCACTAAGCCTTTTTTTTTCAATATTCATTTCAAAGTAAATGATCTTCTCCGTGTAGCTGGGATCATTTTAACAGATGTTCGAAAGGGGCGGAACGATACACGTTAATTCCTTGCTGCGTCATGCATCATTGGATGAAGAGCAGAACGAAGACGTTAAATTTTACAATTAGAGTTATAATGCAGTTAGATTTAACTCCTGAAAATCTGAGTTTACTATTAAAAAAATCCGTCCAAGTACCATTTATACTTTTCAAAGGTACAACTCTCTACCAAAGCGGTTGAGCTAAATACCAAAAAATAACCCATGAAAATCGAGACCACTTATATTGAGCCAAACAAGAAGTTCATGCAATATACACCTGTACCTTTAATTCAAAATTTTCAAATTTCCTATTTAGTCAGCTATTACTACAGCCAAGAAAATGCAAATTAAAATTCGAAAAATATTGGATTTATTTTTTCATGGCTGGGGGTGTAATATCATGCATGTTACTGCTAAGTGATACGCACAAACATCTGTTAATATGAAAAATTTCACACCATCATTCCTCCGATTACATGAGTAGCATCGATCATAAATTTTGCCAAGGCATTATTGTAGATCCTGTACTTTTTCGGTTGTAAAGTTACATTCCTTCTGACGAATTTTATCCTCGGTCGCCATTTTAGAGAGCATGTTTTATCCCTTGGCACAAACGTTTCATGCCTTGTTAAAATTTGCATCTTCATTTATATTATAGGTTTTCAGAATATCTATAAAGTTTTTCAAACTTTGAGATTCAGGAAATATTAATAGTGTCCACGAGAAAATGGCCCACCGTTTTGGCTTAAACTTTGTACAAAGGCATGGTATAATGAGTTACGAGTAAAAATTGGAGCATGCTGAGGATAAAGAAACCGCTGAACAACTTGATGCTCAAAATGGCAATTGAGCCAAACGTCGGTCTTACTTTTTTCTCAAAGTTCATTACTCGTGACATTCTGTAAAAATACAGTCGGGAAGAAGTATTACAGTATGGAGGAACCAGTGATACTTAAACAGTTCATCTCTGTGATGATTTTTTTCAATTCGCTTTGTACTAACCAACGAAAGAAACATCACACATTTACTAAATAAATATCTTTTATTGAATTGCACGAAAGTTCTCTGTATTTCACTGTTTGACCACATTATTTCTTGTTTCCGGTCGCCCCAGCTCCCACGCACATATAAACTTTCAAAATGGCCGTCGGTCAATTAAAATTCAAAACTTGTCTTGGTTCTAACTTGTTTGCAATGTTCGATAGTAACTAATTTAGACATGACTCAATCTGGGGGCGAACTCGACTTGGTGGGGTCGAACTCGAAAAGTGTGGGGGCGAACACGGTATAAGGTAGGGGCGAAATCGATAGGGGGCGAAAGTGGCGGATACCCTTTTATTTACATGTTCCACACAGGCCCAGACAAAGAAGCCGAGGAAGAAACTGAAAAAGAGCGAGAGAAGGTCCACAAACATAAGCACCCACGGGCAGAACATACTAAACCCCAAGATGAAGGACAGCTGAAGACAAAACAAAAAAGGTCTGCCAAGCCAGGACAGCCTGCAAATGAGCCTACTGGAAATGAGCCAAAGACTGAAATCATAAAGTCACAAGATGTTACAGGAAATTGCGAATTCGAGCAGCCACAGAGAGATTCTGCAGGGGACGAGGACAATTCTACTGTTGAAGGTAAGGCGTAGGTTACTGAAATTAATCATCAGTCTTTTAACTTTTAAGTAGCTCTAGGTGACCACGTTGGGTGATATTTTAACTTCCTATACGGGCGCAAACTTACTTGTGCCCTCATTTCATCCACATTCCCTTCCTTTATATGCTTCCGTCTACCAGAATTGAAATGCAACATCTCGTCGAATCAAAATATTCAAGGAAAACTGAAGAACCCCTTGATCAACCCTGACTCTTGAAAATACAATAATTCAACCACCACAGCTTTTGTGAAAGAGTTATCGGCAAATTCTGCTGAAAAACTTTATTTTTTAAACCGTTGTTAGATCAAGTTCAATGATTTTTTATTTTTTTTTATCTTGAGTTAAGTGGATTAAAAGTCCTGTTTTAACTATCCCTCCTAACTTCTTTGGGACAAATTAGAAACAAAACACAATGGACATGGATGTAGAGGTCAAACACGCAAATATAAAATATGCAACGCCTATTGTGATTTTCATTTTCTTTCAATCTTTTCAAAAAGGTGGTTAACAGTTTGACTTATTATTTGTAACGTCTCTTCAGTAATTGTTGCAAGGAACAAAATAAACTGTGGACTAAGTTTGAATGGTACAACCCTTTTTTCCTCATATGGGGATTAAACCCCTTGATATATATGAAAATTAAAATAAAAATGTACAGGCTTTCACAGCAGCTTGCAGTTACGGCTGTGGCCTTAGTTCATCAGATGGGTAGAACTATCAGATGGGACAAGGGACTCTGTCAATTCAGTCTCGGAAATTTTGGCTGCAACAGACTACACAGGTGGCCGACTTGGTTTACTCGAGTCAACAGTGAATCTTTTCAAACTACGTAAGTTCTCCAGCAATAAATAAGCAAACCCCCAAAGAGGAATGGCCCATGCGGAAGTTATTCATTGGGTTGTACATTTCCAAATGTTGTTTCAAAAAGAAATGGTAACGATTATTAACAGCGCCCAAGCTGTTTCAAAAGGGACGGATGCTGCGTTGGAAAGAGAAACAATTTTCTACCAAAATAATTGCAGAAAATACAGTATAATTGTTTCCAAACACTTATTTAGATTTAGGCAGCGTAAGATCACCTATTTGTCACTTATCCAGTTGCATGTAAGAGTGGTGTTTAATTATGTTTGTTCTCTTGAGACAATGGCTTGTTTGATGATTTCTGTTTTAAACTTAGTTTGCCTGTTTTCTTATTTGTTTCCATCACTTTCTTCTTTTTCGCTTGAGGTTCTTTATTTTCTTCTTCAGATTTATCCTGTAGTAAAGACGAATAGTGACAAGCTATAACTTAACGGTCAGGTAACACCACCAAAAGTGAAACTATTATAAAATTGTTGGATAAAATAGGCCCATATCTTAAGGCATTTTAAAAGTTTTTAAAGTATTAAATAAAAGCTGATAGACATGCGGCAATATTTTTGTAGGAACTTCAGTGATTTTCGATTTTTATACCTACATGTATTTAGTAGAGTTCACTAAATGCTTCCAGTAGATGAAGCCACCAAAGAAATATACACTAAACGCGTGGCGAAAAATACAATTTATAATTTACAATGACAGGACAAAGTGCACTTAAACCATTAACCTCTTCTTGATCCTCTTCCTCGCCCTCGTCATCTTCACCTTCACTGCTTGAATCTTCTTTCAGAGCAGCTTCTAATGTTGCACCATTTATTCTAAAGTCTCGTGCCAAACTGCGTTTAAAGTGTTCCATCAGATTGATCTACGAGAGTTTAAAAACAAGGTTAAGAAACCTAATAACTCATATATGACGATTTAACAACGGAATTTTCCAATAACAAAGCTCGTTTGCACTATTTACTACTTGGAATCATGAACGAAAGTGCAGAAAAGGGCCACATCTTAGTAACATCTTAAAGAATTTAATCCTATGCAGGAATTCGTTTAGGTTATAAGTACAAGACATCCAAAGTTTTGACTACAGTTCTGAAAATTGTCAAGAGACACCACCCTTGAGCTCACGGATGGAGACCCTGATCGAGAGACCAGTAGTTAACCCTTTAACCCCTAAGAGTGATTACCATCTAATTTCTCCTCACAATATCAACATCACATAATGCAGTAAGGTCATGAGAATAAAGAAAATTATCAGCAGCTAAAGCTGTTGATTGTTACACAAATTCTCCTTGTCAGCACCTTGGGGAATGTCTGGGGAACAGGGAGAATACCTTCACTGATGTTAGGGTGTAAAGGGCTAATCCTTTCTCACCTTAGACTTTTTTGAGAGCTGTATAAGGTAACGCTCATATTGTTCCATTGCATATATTAAGTTCGGCACAGACTTCATCTCTTTCATAACTTTTGCCTAAAAATGTATTTTGGGAAAAAAAGTTTTAAGTAGTGTAGTCTCAAAATACAAAATAAGTTTTAAGGGAATATCAGGGAGATCCAGTTGTGTCTACCCCAAGGCCGATGTGCGCCTACCTAAGTCTTTAACACTAGTTCCGAGAACTTTATAAAGCAAATTTGATGGAAGATTTACACTTCAAGAGAGCATTTCGTAGTTGTCGTTCAGTTGGTAGAAGAAACTTTTAAGCTCTCCATTTTGCCTGTTAAAATCTAGCGTGCTTCATTCCGGGAATTTACTGTGAGGACATGGTTGAAACTAGCAACCTGTACAATGGGTACTGGACAAAACATTACCAGGCGTATGATATAACGGATTAAAGTTTATCTGTTTAAGCTTATTCGACTGAAACAAACCCAAAGCCCGGTGCTAAAAATGTTTTTACTCACCTTCCCTGGCATATTCAGTCCTTTGGGTGCCTTTTTCTTCTCTTTGCTTTTACTTTTTGTAATGGTGCTCTTCTCCAAAAGAGTTTGACTTTGTGTGGCTTGGATATACGTCAGAAGAGCATACACCTGCTGCGACAAGTGGGTGCCCGTCATTTTAACCTGTGGACAGATATCACTTTATCTCACCGAACGTTCGAATGTAACACCTTTCCTTCAAGAAATTGAGGCCTTTTAAAAGAATGTTTATGAATTTTAGCATGGTTGTGGCAGTAATACGGAAAACCTGTTAGGGATTACTGAGAACTAGAGAAAAAAATTATTAAGGTTAATGGAAACTCCTTTTTTAGAGAAATATACCTTGGAAGATGTAATTTTCATCACACAAAAATAAACTTCAAGATGAACTCACAAGAGTAACCTACCGTATAGAAAAATTGTCATAAAGTATACACAGTTCATTCGAGGACTACATTATTTCGAAAATAAGTCAGTAACCCGGCCGCGTATGCAAAAACACAAAGCGCAATTTCGAACAACTGCTGCTTTGGTTCTTTTCCGAAAAAATGATAACCTAACTCAAGAGTGGTTTCTTGTGAAACACCTAATTTTGCAAAAAGATCGCGACGCGATGAAACGAAAGAAGAATAAGACACAAGTAAGCAGCTAAGTTGCTGAGCAGTTTGAAAGAGCGGCGTCTTCGGTCGAATTTTACCTACATACGAAGACAATTTTCGATGGGTAAGGTTACTCTTGAGAATCACAGAAGGCGACCAATACCATAATTTTATTTATTCTTTGTTATGCCTGGAATAAATAATTATTTGCTTCTGAAACATAGTTCTTCTTTAAGTGAGATCACTTAAGCCTTTCAATACAGGTATTCCATATCTTAAATATACTCTCCGTCATCTTTACCAAAACAACTTTTCATACTGGTACGTTTCAAACGACGCAATACACAAAATGAATTTTTATTGCCAGTAAGTGAAAAAAAAAACACTTCTGTTGCCATATAATAAAGATTGAACGTTGGTAAGAGAACATTTAATGTAACAGAGAGGCAGCTCAATTTATGGACACTTTGTCTTCCCGCTTCATTCTCTTATGATGTTCACATGGACAAATATTCATTAACGTAAACCAACAACAATCTTCTTACTCACCAACTTTTCAAACTTTGCAGGCAAGTAACCGAGTCTTTGATTATAAAGCGACAAATACTATTTCATGGGAAAAGCAAAAATGATAAAAGTGAGAAAAGACAGTGCGTTCATGTACATTGTGGATTATAAAAAGAGTAAAAAATTACGGCGTGGCAACCCTGGGCCTCCTGAGCTTAGCGTACTGGATTCCAGGTACAGAAATTTGTGCTCCAGGCTTAGCCAAATTCTTTTGTTTGATACTTACTAAAGCTAAATTATGTTTCATTTGACGTAATGTTCGAAAGATATTGATAAGTTTCAGACTTACATGTTTCGTAAGAGAACCAAGAGTGACATACATTTTGGTCAGCACCTATGATAACGGATATAAAGTAACACCGAGTATTAAAGCTTCCATCCTCAAGTCATAAAAAGTACATGTAGCCAACAGACATTTTGTGGTATATTCTTTATACTAATTGTATTCTTATTAGCTCTTACAATACTGTCTTAGATCACAAAGTTATTCAGTTAAATTACATATATCAATAACAGACTTTACAACCAAATAATGTCTTTTAAACAGCGAGCAAGCTTCTGTCAAGTACATAGGACAAGGGGCATGTAACATAGGACATAGTTCGTCGGACAAAACAAATGGTAGATGCAAGTAGCTACTAAAAAAAAACTGAGGCTTTACTGTATGCCATAAATAACCTTCAGTGTTGCTTCAGTACATGGACCTTCTGGAAGAGCAGACTGTGACAGTTCGTGGAGAGCAGACACAACAGTACAAAGACGTTGGCACAATGCCTGCTCCAACATACCACGAGGGCAACTGTCGGGAGAATCTGGCACCTTTTCTTCTGCAAAATAGGGTTTAAATGAAAAACTTTATTAACCTTAACTATCTCAAACCCATTTCCATATATTAAAGAGAGAATTTGAAAAATACGTGAGGTGTAATTTTCCCAGTGGTGCACAAACCACCGAGAGCGAGAATTTAAAAGTAAACATAGCACCATACCAGACTTAAATGTCACTGTAACGTGTACCACTGTATACAGCTCACCGAATATAGTTCTAAAGATTTCGATAAACTAGTTCAGGTCAAGCCAGTCATCATCTTTTCATTCCGTACACACTACGTAACAACTGGCACAAAGTAGGTGAAACCACCTCTGTTGGCCAAACACTTCCTTACTTCCTTCCAACTTAAAGTAACATTCAGGTAATTGTCTGCAAGGAAATCCCAAAGGATTGTTCTAAAATCTCAATTAGGTTTACAAGGTGCACCCTGAGCTACAAGCCATCAGAAGCCCCACTTATACACATTTTTTTCCAGTCGAAATGCTCAGTTTCAGCGTAATGCTCACCCGTCAGTCCTGCTGCTGATGCTGTCATGTCACCTTTGACCTTTACAAGTGCCCAGTCCATTTCGTCTACAATTTTTTCTATTTGATTTACCAAAAGGAGCTGTAATAGATAAAGTATGTGTTGTAAAGAAACATGTACAGAGTGTTCAAATAGTAAGTTTTCTAACATTTCTGAAAACTTATTGCATGCTTATTTTCTTTGCATATTTCTTTATTGTATGTTTGAATCAGAATGATCGCCCTCATAAGGCCATCTCCTCTCTTACTTTCTTTAACTCGTGTTTGGATCAGTGGTTACAAGATTATGAAGAAACTACGAAATTGAATTGAAAGCTTGAGAAAAGGGTGGGAAAAGCATCAGTCAACTAGAAAAAAAACTAACATCTATATATTTATACATTTACAATGATAACTGACTTACAGCAACAGCAGGTGCAGCAGTTCTTGGGTTAATAATCGCGTAGTGAGTTCTGTTTTCAACTTCAATTTCCTAACAAAAAAAGGAGCGATAAAACAACTTACGAATAATTTTAAGTTCCAACACCACATAAACGTCCAAAGATATAATCTATCTTAGCGGCACGACCGGACAAAATATATCTAAGAGGAAGGCCCCTAACTAAGAGGATAGGCACCTGTATTAATATTCTTACATGTTTTAGTTTCTTCTTTTTTACTCGCAATATTTATCAACAATTAATGGAAAAACACTTCAAGACTACTGAAAGCTGTTTCGTTCACAAACCAAAATAATGCGAACAAGATTAGCAAAACGTTTTGATTTATCAGTACTACTTTCGCACTGTAACGAGTACAAACGTCGTACTTCATCTACATCTCCAAGCTGGCTATGGACATCTTGGGCAACATCACGCACCTAAAGCAACCAAGAAGCAATTATCTCATGTGTGGAAAAACTAAATTCTGCCCACGAGCAGTGTTCTCCTAAATCTAAAAACTGACATAATCTACGCTAATACGCTTTGCCCTTAACAGAGGAAGGTTGTTACTTGTTTCCACAATGACCTAGAGCATCAATACATAGATTTGTAGTACTCTATTCGAAGATCTAGAATGCATGGAACAGTGCCATTTAACTTGGGTGGCGTGAAATTAATATATGAATTATTTCATTGGTCTGGGGAGGGGCGGGGGATGGGGATTGTAAACTTGTGATTACTGTGCTGGTCTCTGGGTTGAAAGGCTCTGGTTAGACCCTAGCCAGGTCATTGTGTTGCGTTCTTTTGTAAGACTCTCAACTCTTACTTAGCCTCTCGTCGTCCAGGAGCATATGGCTGACTTCCCATAACTCAAAATTTCAAGTAAAAATATAGAAAGAAAAGAGATATAGCGAGTCTAAGGAGTTTGGAACAAATAACTGTTTTAGAAAATTTGTTAATATAGAAGCTCCGAGGGGCAATGAATATAAAACTTCACCCAATCAACAGGGTCGGTATGGAAATGAATGGGTTGAATACGCTTACAAAGTTGATCATAAATCTGGCTGATGCCCTTACCAGTCCTGCACTTGCTTTCGATTGGAATGTTATGGAGTGTAACAGGGACACCAAAGACTTAGTGAGAGAGGGATCATCTGGAAGGAGAAAAAATTAGAGCAGAATGAGAAACTTCCCAAATGCCCATGATATATAGACATATGAGGTGCAAATGACTTCTCAATTGAGACATACTTTTACTTTCTTGTAAATGATAAATTTGAAATATAGGATAAAAATGTTCTTCAATTCTCTTACCAACATTATTATCCGCACAAATCATTTGAACCCAGGCGTGCAACTGATGAAACTGTATCAAGGAAAAAACTTCAGTTCATTGACAAATTTTAGGGGAAATTATTATAGAGGTACTCTGCTCTTGTGATAAAATCAATGAATTAGTAATAATAATGAAAAGGTCTGTAACTAATTTCCCTATAACATTTAATGGGTGGCAAGGCGATGAATTTACAGTCCCTCCAAAGTTACGAACCTCTACAGGTTTGTAAGGTGCCCCCTTAGAGTAAAGTTATCACTTTTATTACTTAACTACAGAGCGGCAAAATGCCACAAGACATATAACTATTGTCTGTAAAGCTATACTCACAACTAAAAAGTGGAGCCCAATGATGCAAAAAGAAAGCATGAACTCAGGATGTATTCTTAATAAAATTGAATGGCTCATGAAAGTAGCAGAATACAGAAAAGAGATTTGGTATTTGGTAAATAATTGTCAACAGGGTTGGGTTGTTCAAAACACAGTTAACGTGACCCAGAGTTAGTGTAGAATTCTAATTTAGTCTTACAGCTCTGAAATGGGATTTTTCTTGTTTTTTTTTTTGTTGTTTCCATTATAGTTTTGAGTTGTATTGAAATAAAACCCCAAAAGTCCCATGGCTTTTATACACCCTCCTCAAATTAAGCCAAGGTTAACTTTTAGTAATACATGTAGATTAACATAAACCCCTTTTGAAAAACCCTTTAACTACCAAGATCTGATTGTTAATTCTCCCCTCTAGCTGCTACACATTTCCTTGTAAATAAGTCACGAGAATTTGGTGTTAGATCAAGACTACTAACTTTTACCTGATAAGTTTGAGTATTCTCATTAGACATTGGCTGGATGTGTGGATGTGAGGATGTGATAGGGAGAAGTTACATGTTAATCACTTATGAGAATTAAAGGGTTAACTGAACATAATAGACACAGGTGCATATCTAAAAGAAAAAAAAAGTACCTGTGGTCCATCTGGCTCCAAATGATGTGCTAACATTGCAATCACATTCACTAGTGACTGACTATCCTTAAGACTGATTTCTTTGTCCTCATCAGGAGAGGAAATGATGCTGACAATCAAACGCTAGAAAAAAAAGACTTGAAAATCTCACACTATTGTACTCCAAATATACCTTTCTGCAAACTTGCTCAAAAGGAGTAGAGTTTAGTTTACAGAAAAAATTACTTTGTAATTGATTTTATGAATGAGTTAAATTTCTCAAATATTTATTCACAAGACAGCAACAATTTGAGTATGATAAATACAACATTCAATATTGCAAATGCACACAACTACATGTACATCATGCATACAGCATGAAAATCTGTGCAAAAATTAACCTTCATCTGTATCACACAATATGGTTGCTTACGGGTATTTTGACACAGTCTATAATAATTCACCATCAGTCACTGGAAGGATGGTAAACATTGATGAAATATACAAATTCAAAAGACATGGCAAAAATGGTGCACCGGGAAGACAAAATACTGACAAATATTTGACTCTCCCGTGTCACAGACAAAAAAACATTAAAATAAGATGATACAAACCTGAAATTTCTTTATCTGTACATAAATTGCTTCTTGATCTGTTGTATCATCTAATGCACCACCACTGCCATCCTGAGTTGAATCTAAGCAAAAAAAAAGATACATGTAACAGAAAAATTTGTCTGAAGTATGAATAAAGCACTAACCATATGGAACCATACTATCTCTGTTTTTATCCATTGATCTGGCACAAGGTAGAACATTTATTGATTGGAATCACATTAATCAAAGAAAGTGCTCTGATCATGACAGATCAGAATAACAATGAGTGGAAAGTCAACTAAGCACAAAGGAAAAGATTTTAACCTTTTTCAAGTGGCATATTCGCACACAATTATTTTCTTGAATCAATTGATGTGAATTCACCTACAACCATGTAATACAGGTGCACATTGAGGAACAATAGTATCTATAGCTTACAGGCTCACCTATTGCATTCATGAACTGAGGCAACTTTTGGGAAAACCTGCAGCACATGATATTAACCACTGAGCAGAAGCCCTCTATACACAAACTATTGATTTTTTTACCCTGTTTAAGAAGGTGAAAGAAGTTAGTTTGTACAATGTCATAAAAAATTTACTAAGTAGTTCATGTTTTGAAACCATTTACTGACTAAAGTGAGGAGGGTCCTAATGAGGAGAGAGAAGCACAAATCCCATTTGTCGGCCTAAATGTTGTCCAACTCCAATTTCTCGGCCAATTTTTCCAAGACTTCAGGACCCAACTCCATTGTTGTTTTTGGTAATTCCCAGTTCAAGTGACCAAATGGAAAAAAAATGGAAATTCAACTCATTGAGGCCCCTCTAAGAAGAATGAAAAACAAAAACAGAAGCTGATGCAGGGCTTGTTCATTAATTCACTAAACAGTTGAAAATCTAAAACAATTCAGCCAAGAATATAGTGAGATAAAGTAGTCAGCTATGCATATCACACTTACAGTACTCATGTAAAACATAGCAAAGTCTCTCTCTCAGACAATTATTATTTGACATTTGTTGTGCAGCTACCAGATTTACATTATTTACTTGCATTGTGTTACACGGCTTGTTGTTTACTTGCTCCAAAGGCCTTTGTCTTATCACCAATGAAATTAAAATTGCCATCTTATTCATTCACAAGGGACAACACTAAGCGTACCAGTAACTTTAAAATTTAAAGTCTCCTTTCTTTTGTATGTAACCACAAACTCTACTATTCATGATATAGTACCTTCTCCTTCTTATCTGGCTCTTCCTGTAAGCAGCTGTCCCCATTAAGGTGCTTCCAGAAAACTCTAGAAAACAATACATAATCAACTACTTCATTCTACTTTTACACATAAATTACACATAATTCCTGCATTTGTGCCAGATATTTTCCTTCCTCCCATCTTATGACTGATGTTTGTGACTACCTTAGTAAATTGTATGATAACAAAGAGTAAAATATGTCCTAATCAGAACTGTTTGTGTATGAAAGTGCTTTTAAATATAGGAACTTTGATCAGCTTTGCAAGTGTTGCAGGAGAAAATGCATTGTGAGATAACATAACTTTCTGTTAACTGGCTTTTCCTTTCCAGGCCTACTAAGAGTTCTCACTAAACTAAAATACCACCACTTGAGTACTACTATAAACTGGTGTGATTTATTAATTCCAGAGGAAGAGCATCAGCATTTTTTTGAATGATAAATCTCTTCATTAAGGTTTTCATATTGTTACTCTGAAGTATTTTAAATAGAATTCATTATTGAAAAAGTTAATCATTTGTGCAAAAAGAAAAAAAAAGCTGAGAACTAATCAAAATTCTTTTTCTGTACTTTTTCTAAGGAACAGGGTGATAATGTCAATCTGTCAAGAATCATAGTGTTTAAAAATACCAAATCCATTTTTACCCAACTTGATTTTATTGGTGCTACAATATTTTTAACTTGTTTATGCATGAACAAAAGCATTAAACACCTTCCAATGGTACAGCAGTGTTTGTAAATGGTGTCCTTGTTAGAGCCACCAGGTCCTGAGCAAAATCCACCATCACTGATCTGAGAAAGCATTAAGCCAAAAAAGAATATAATTTTCATAGGAGAAATAACACATTTAACTTTCCAACTGAAAAAGTAGAGTACAAATAATAAGCAAATAGAGTACAAATAACCTGCAATATTGTACCGTTGGTTTTTTTGTATTGTAAATAAACCTGTTTAACTAGTCACCCGTACATGCTATGCTTCTGTCTGGTTTGCTTTTCCCATGCACCTTATAAGAAATGCATGTAAAATAAAGCAATTTGATAATAAGTAACTTATCAGATGTTGAAGAGTGTAGTACCTTTGAGTATTTTATTTCTGTCTGTATTTTGAATTGCCCAACAGGCTTGTCAAAATACCCCAGTACAACTCTTAAAAATACCTTGCAATACTACACACCAAAATGTCCAATGTTTGCAACCTACTACTTCATGTTTGCAACCTACTACTCTGAGGAATTCTAGTCTATATTTAAAGCAGATTAGTCCATTTCAAAGGTGGTAGTCATGAGATATACATCTTGACACCACACTGAGAATCTTCCTTACAATGTTATATGTTAATCATCGCATTTTTAAAACTCAAGGTTAACCACACAGCTCAACACCACTGCACAAGATACACTTGGTCTTGGCTGTCATTCTTTCCTTTATCTGTAAGTATAAACTTGAAGCAATTCCCTTAAGGTATGCAATGATACTGACTGGTGTTACATGGTATCAAATAATTAAGTATTTATCCATTTACCTCTTGTACAAACAAATTATTTTGAAAGCAGAATAAGAATTGGAGGGCTCAGAGCAAGAACGATCCCTTGATTTTTCACATGTCCACATGCCAAAATTCAACTACTTCTGAACACTTTCAAAAATGGCCGAAAAATCAAGGGATCGTTCTTGCTCTGAGCCCTCCAATTTGCCTCTCCAATCAGGTACACTGCCAATTCATATATACAACATGGATACATTGTAGCCATTCAGTTAGTTTATTTAATACCTCTTTGAGTTTTTGAATAGCTGTATTAACAGCATACTTCACCAGTTCTTTCAAGCCTCTTAGCGTAGCTAGACTTTGTTGATGACTTGGAGCTCTGTCACTAAAATATTACAAATATTATATCAACACAGACACCTCTACAATTAAGACAAGTATGACTAATACAGGTGGTGATAAATTTAAACAAACCACAAAGAAAAACAAATGATTAGCTTTAGAAGTAATCATTTCCTTTCATACTCTTTCAATATGAACTTCCATCTTCATTTAGTAACCATGACCAAACTAATTTAACTTGCTGCATTTTTATAATGATTTCTCTAAATGAGTGATAATTGTGTGTGCAACTATGCCACTATGTGCATGACTACAATGTAGCTTATCACTTCACTACAAAGACACTGTTTGAAAACAAGATGTGAAAAATGCATTACCTGAAAAATGCTCTCAACAAAGATGCAGAACATTCCAGTGAAAGCATACTTTTAACTCCCTGTTTAACAGCTGCAGAGCGGCCTTTCTTTCCTTGAATTAACACCAGAACACATATTATCTCAAAACACAAGTTAGGTGAAATGTTTGGGGCAAGGGAAAGGGCTCAAGAAACAAAAAACTGGCAGATGGCGGTTTGTTTCCTGATGCTTATTTACACCTCGTCAGAAAAAAGGCCACTAATTAGTGATCATTTAAAGGACCTCTTGTCACAGCATTTAGCTCACCCCTGATGAATGCACTAGACAGGAGTGTTAAAACGTTGGGTCTAAGAATTGTAACTTCTTCGGTTGCATTCATTAAATCTGTAAACCAGAGTAGCATCAAACCATATCAAACTGGCAGACATTTAGCGTGACAAAACACAAACAATATCATTAGTTGAGATAAACAAACAAATTGCTTGAAATCTTACTCTCCTATTTTTCTATTATTTTTTGTTACAATACTTTTTACCCATGTCAAAAATATTGTAACACAAATCATGAACTAAGCAAGTGGGTAACTCTAGATGACAGTGCCTTGCATCAGTGGTTTCCATCAAGAATCATAAAATGTTGTTCATTAATTTATTGTTTCTCACTCATTTAATTTCATTTCCACATGCATATATATATATATCCCATACATGTGAGCACAAAAAAGGAGAAAATGAACTTTTTCTTAGTTCTGGTGTAAAAAAAAAAACTTACCAGCAGAGTTTGATTTTTCCTTTAGTATCTCTGAAAGCTGGTGGTAATTTCCAAATAATTGTAGAATCTCATCCACTGATTCCCCACTAGATAAGATAAACAAAAGGAACTTTTAAGCTGATCTGTAGGTAACTGAGCGTGTTTGAGACAGAGCAGCAAGGGAAACAGAAATTGAGACCTTTGGGCAAAAAAAAACATTATCAGAGTCTTCATACCATGTCACAGAATTCTCACAAGTATATATTATTGGAACATTTATCTGCTTCTTTTCTTAATATGCCAAGAGCTATGTGAAATTCAAAATTTACTTAATGAACTTACCTTAGCTCTCCTTCTGAGAAACTGTACTCTAGCAAAATCTAGACAAAAAAAAATCTAAAGTATTATAAAAAGATATAATTCCATACTTTTATACATTCCTAATAGGGGAAGGAGACAGATATTTTTGGGTTTAACACAATTATAATATTAAACATGTACAGTACCATTGTTTTGATGCACTTGTAATAATTTTGCTTTCTTTCACCCCACATTATTCCAACTTTTAATAAAAGGTATATTAATTTTGCAACCTTGGCATACATAACATTTCTCTGTTTGTCTGATTGTTGGTTGGTTGTTTCCCATGTTCAGTAATTTGTTCTGTAAGTGACCAACTCATATGACTGCACTATTTCTGTCAATGAGCACATTTTGATTTGATTTGGAAGAATTTGTGTAAATCTTCCAGTCAACATATAAGTAAATCACTTGTTTCTTTCTTGATTTGTTCATCATATAGGATGAATTACACTAGATTCCAAGCCAAGAACCATCACTCTACTTATTAACTAAAGAAATATCATTTGGATGTGAAGAATCAGCCCTTTAAACATCAAACCCCTTTCTTCCCATGACTGACTCCCACAAAAAATCTCATAAACAAAGAAAATAGAAAGTTAATTAAATGACAATACTGATCGTATTTAACACAACAAAACTACACTTATTCACAAGGATAAAATCTCACCTAACTGGGAAAATTCAACTATCACCAGACAGTGTTGACATGATACTAAGAATGCAATACACATACCTCATAAACTCCAAGAACTAGAAGAGCGAGAATGTTATTCTTTATACCAACACTTGAGACAAGAGAAAAGTCAGCAGACTTATCCTGTAAAAGGTACAAGAAATACTAGTCAATGAAATAAAATTTAGAATTTTAATAAATATATATATATTTTTTTTTTCAACGCATTTCATGTTTTAATTCTTGTATTCTTTTCTCGGCATGTAGATAGCATAGAAAGATTATTAAAACAAAATGTAGGGACTTCAGATAACAGAAATATTCCATTTCTAATAATCATTACTTTACCAGTTCAAAGTCTTCCATCTCTGATTTGTTCATCCTGCGAACAAGAGACTGGAATAAATCCTCTAGTTCATTTAGGATGTGTTCCATTGATTCTGAAATACCAAACAAAGCTTCTTTAAATCTCATTTGCAAGTGCAACAGGCAGCTTTATTCATTTAGAAACCTCTAAGATCTGCAAGAGTAATTTGAATATTACTGTTTTGCAAACAAATTTCAGGAAACATGATCTTTTGACAAAAAATGTTCTAGTTCCACCAGCAGCCAAGAGAAAAGTAAACATGCAGAAATTGCCCTCGCAATTCTAGTTAAAGTAACTAATCACAACACATTCATGCACCTTCAAACACATGTAACTCCTTTCTAGTTTTAGAGAAACAGCTTAATTAGTAACACTTACATACCCTTCTCATCATTTTCATCCTCATTGTGACTTTCAATACATTTTCCCATTGAGTGCAGTAAGTAACACAGTAGGTGAGCCTAAAATTTAACAACAGATCTTTTTACATAACTTAAACAAAAATTCGGAACCAAACAAGTCAGAGAGAGGAATAGGAAACAATTAAAAATGACAGAAATATTAGGAGTTACCAACCAGTGGCTCTGTAAGGTAAATCTGATCCCCCGCAGCAGATAAACAAGGCTCTAATTTGACTGGAGGATTAACTGTTTCATCGGACTCCAAATATTTTTGGAACTGCGACAATGAGCAAATAATATTTGGGTTAACTACATAGGAGTGCAAATATTTCACTCCAATTCTGCCCACTATTATCTTTACTGAATAGGAATAGTATCATGAAACAACTTGCATGTTACCTGGTTGCTTAACATATCTAGAATTGGTTGTTGTAACTGAGGGTTCCTACATAATACATGGAAGAGCCCCTAAAAAAGCAAGAGAATGAATGAACAAATAAAGTATAATTATAAAAGTTTTAAGATAGTCGGCACACTCTCCTAGGTAGGTGTTTAGATGAGAGCATTTTGAGAAATAGTTACAAAAGCAATACAACACATTTTTCTGTGTTTACATAGCCTCATCTAAGCACTTGCAGCTTGAAAGGATTCTTGAAAAATGTGCAAACCCACGCCTGCACTTTCTCAGGTTTACATAACTTTCTCAAATTCTCCCAAACCCTCACTTATTTATGTGCAGCTACATATAAACACCAAAAAAGTCTTCTAATGCTTAAGTGGACCTGGTGGCTGCAGGCAATGGCTTAATAGTAAACAACCTGAATTTCCTGCAACTTTTATTTAAGCTGCAATTCTCTAAGTGCTGGTATGTGGTATCTACGGAGTCATTGTAATGAGACAGCCTCCAAGTAAATGAAATTTACATACTACATGTAAGTATTTCAATTAAAATCTGGTTGACAATTACATTTATGACTTGAAACTCCACAAGCATGCAAGACTGTCTTACATGTAATAACATCAAAATCGATTCATTTATAGCAATTGAAAATATGTGCAAATATTGAATTTTTAACATTTTTATTTCAAAACTTCAAGTCTTTTTGGCTGTCTGTACTACTTTTTCTTGAGACATTTCATTTTTTACATGAACTCACAGAATCTTTAATTTTTGAACTGTGAGTAAAAACAATTCTCCATCACATGATTTTAAAATATGGCATTTGGTTATGATTGACAAACAAATTAAGAATGACTGAGTAATAAATACGATCTCCAAATTGTTACAGTCTGCTATGAAGCACTGGTTATCCTCACCTCATAAAGCTGCACTCTTACATCAGCTTGCTGAGTGAGACATCTTCGTAGGTTCCCTACATACAAAACACATGTACATGCATAGCTTTCAGCAGATGCAAAGGTTATCTATAATTCCAACCTCATCTACAAGGAAGACTCTACATGACACAGCCGCTAGGTAATTGCCCAATTGGAGACATGCATTTGGTGGTCATTTAGGAAGCTGTAACATAGTTAACACTTTGTATTGATCGGCAATTATTAATTAAAAACATGGAAAAACATCTGCATAAATGTTATGACATCTTTTTCACTGAAACTGCTTTTTTTCCCCTAGCAACCAAAATTCTATTTTGGGCAACCATTTGATCATTTTAGGTTGTCAAATAGTGACATGGAAAAGTTTAGCTTGCAGCCCCATCACCATAAAAGTATATCATTTAAAGGGCCATAAAGCAGAAAGAGGGAAGTTTGAGATTCATCCATACTACCATACATAGACAACATGGAATCTCAGTTAAGTTACTGTTCATTTAGGGAAAAAACTAAAGGATTGTTCTTTTCTGAAATTTACCTAATATCTCCAAACAAAGTGCTTCATTTCCCATGTTACCACCCCGAACATGAACATCTACTTGAATTTGACTGGAATGTGATGGCTGACTTGGCTGACTTGCAGGCTGACTTGACGTGATACCTCCCCCTAAAATCTGAAATAAAGTGCAAACAAACCAAAAGATTGAAAAAAACCTTTTAAAACAAGTCCACAATATCTCATGAAAGATGGAGAAAGACCTTGGAGCAAAACCATTCAAGGAGGTGAATTTTCTACCAGTTTCCTTCTTTGAATTACTCAGTCAATTTTCCTTAAATATACCCTCATATGTACCCTTATATGAGATTTACAACCATTACAGTATTAATTGCTTTGCTTCACTTTCAGAGGAAAATTGTGCAAAAATTATTACACCTGATGAATGTAGTGGAACAAAAGGATCAGAAAAAAATTGCTGGGCATTTCTTTTTTCATGACACTGAATTTCAGATGCCAAAATTGAACACTGGAATTATTAAGGCCTTCCTTACATACCTCCCTTTTACAGAAAAGAGCATATTACATGTAAGGCCTACAATATAAACTGTACCTTAAAATTTTTAAGGATCAAGAGAAATCCTGCTACAGCAATCTTACGTGCATCCACCTGTCTTCAGAAAAAATAAACAATACTGTTACTGGCAGAGTCAACTTACAACTGAATGGTTGTACATGGTTAGAGCAGCATTTTTCCATGCAAAGGAAAAAAAAAACTTTGGTTAAATACAATATTGAAGTACAAGCTGTGAATATTAAATATATTACTCTACATCAATCAACAAAGCAATATGCAGGGTGTCCATGTAGAAGCCATTATCAGTTACTGAGGTTCCTAGTATTTACAGTAGAGTTCTTCATTACCTACATGCATCATTTGCGTTGCAAATACATTTCTAGAGAGAACTTTATAAATCTGAAAACATAATCATTTCCACAATATTCATGATTACCTTGAGAACATTGCTTTACGTAGCACAACCATGAGAGAGTCCCTCAAAGTCAAACTGATCTTCAAAAGGGGCTGTTCAAAATAGAAAAAAAACAATTTATGATTAATTGTCCAAAAACTATAAACAATAAATATAATTTAAGCCACAAAACAGCAAAAAAGAAACAATAAAACACAACCTAACAGCACCTGGATAGCTTTCAAAAAACCCTCTGCTGACTTTGGAGGTAAGAATGACAAATAGTCTAAAGCCTCCTTGACCTGCCCAACGAAGAAATGAACATTTAATGGTTGTTATAATACTTTTGTGGTTTTATTTCACTTTTAGTTCAAAGTTAAGTTTTACAAGACAGGGTATCATAATGAATGACAAAAAGTTTGACACACATGAAAAAAAATCTGAACCAAAAATTAGACTGATGAGCCATAACAATACACAGCCTGTATATTTCCTTTAATCTTCCTACAATGATTTTACTTTTTCTTTGCAATCAACTCTTTCTTCATGTAAACTAGGAAAAAAAAATTTAATAAAATTATGCCAAAACTGAAAAGTGCCCTGTAAAAACTTGACAGATGGTTTAGACATGCTTTAGTACATTTTTCCTTAAGCTCTCATAAGTGCACCGAGAAAAATTAACAACTTACCCTTGGTAATAATTCTAGTAGCACATGTGGTGCTGAAGACACTGTGCTGGCCAACAGTTCTACAAAATGAGCATAGATTGAAATCAAATCAAATTTGAGGGTAACATCACCAATATTTTAGAACTTCAAAGTTCCAAAATTATAACTTGATTTAACAAGGTATGCTGGGGAAATAATTCATTTTCTACCCAAAGGAATATTTTTAATTCATTTATTTTCCAAAGCAAATCGTACATTATGCAATTTACAAAGCTGACAATACAGTAGTTATGCTTTCTGTTGTTGATTGGTAAACAGAGTAATTCCAACATACCAATGTAATGATGAACAGGAGTTGTTGCCCTGGTAATCACTCTGTTAAGAATTTGCTGAAGTATTTCAGAACGAACCATCTCATGGGCCTGAAAAAAGAAAATCCACATGCTATAAGATGTAATTCCTCAAAACTCTTTAATTCCAATAATTCCATTTATTTCTCTCTGTACTGCTATACTTTTAATGTTAATTATCAATAAGTAAATATAATTTTGGTGTTACAGTAAGATAAGATATTTTTTCTAGTCCTAAATTAGAAAGCTGATTTAAATACTTAAATGTTGATTTGTTAAAACATATTAAAATGTTTCTCAATACTGTCCACGGTAAAGCTTTAAATTTAAAGTATCATGTATTGTGTTATTATAACATAGTGCTAGATCACCTCTGTTCAAACAACCACTCCCTGGCCTGTTAAGATTTTTCAATACTGAATGCTCCACAGATCATTTCAATGTTTAGTCTGGCTCTTTAAGAGCTCCTTAGCAAGTGATCAATTGAGATATTGTTAAGGAATCACTGTAAGTTCCCAAACCACATTTGATATTAACCCTAGCTGACAAAAAGTCCTTACTACTACCTTAAAAGTATCAAGCAGAACTGAAGATCCAAGCTTGCAGGAGTGTTGGGTTGGAGAGAGGATTGGTGATGATGTTGAGTCTGGAAGAGGAGAGAAGGTCTTTGCTCAAGTACAACCATTATCTTAGCAGCCAGATAAATACACCAATGTGTGTCAATGTAATGACCACAAAAATGGAAATCTCATGCAATTGGATATCTTGAATTTACATTGTTAGTCAATCTGCATCATTTTTTGGACACTTTGCATTTACAGTAAACATGTGAATAGCTTGGATACAGACAACACCCATACATCTACATCTACATCTACCAAAATCCTCTCATTTCAAAAAGGGTCAGTGTTAGAGACATTAAAATCATTATGTGAGTTCTTAGTGGCTAAGACAACAGCTGCTTAGGAGAGGTGTCCATCGGAAAGAGGCATCAGCAAAGATTCTCCAGTAAAAAGTGACAAAATTTTCCCCACCGATTTCTTTACAGGTGGGAATAAAGGATCTGTTGAAATGTGTCCTGCTCTCAAGAGTCACAAAGGTCCCAGCCAATAATAAACTCTCTTTCACTGCACAAATTTTAAAACAAAATATAAAAACCCTACCGAATGTCTTAGGACCAAATGCATCCATTAGCATAAATCCCAGCTGCACCAATCCATGAGTGACATGATCCCATCCAAACAAACTGTAGCACGTAAAATTTATATATAGAGAGATCTAAGCAATTGCATTATAGGCAAGATGACTGGATTGCCAAAAAGTTATTTATTGTATGGTAATACAGGTTACATACCACAAAATGCAAAACAAATTCTCAAAACCAATCAAAGATTCATTTTCTTGTTCTGATTGTCTGACATTGTATTTATTTTGTTACTCTGAAGTTCTCAAATGAATACAGCTGCAAAAGTGTTGTGTTTTCTTGTCTAAAATTTATAGAAGTATGTAAACCTGCTAAAAGCACTTTATCTTTTTGTTGGTTTGCAGTGGTCAATCCCAAGTAGGCAGCATTGGCCCATCTTACCCACACTGGTAGCCAAACAGAGTACAGGATTTGTTTCATATTGGTGATCTCAGAACTAACCATTTAACATTTAATTTTATGACAATTTAAATCATAATTAATTTTGTACCTGTTCTGAACTGTTTCTAGTATTTGATCCTGAACTGAAGAGCATGCTGGGATATTTTCTTGGAAGAAGAAAAAAATCACATATTAAAAAGAATTGCATTAACTTATTTGATAGGCTGAGATGGGTCGATAAATTTAACAGACTAATATGTAACGAAAAATGAACATTTTCAGCAAACCAATAAAAGTCTTGTTTTGTCTGAGGCAAAAAGCTAGAGCTAAAAATTAATTCTCATATTTGGAATGCTTAGACTGCTAATTTGGTACTGTATCCAGCCAGATAAAAATTTTACTTGGCTGGTGAGAACTCAGCAAAATGTTAATAAAACTGATTGAAAAGTTGTAATGAACAGAGACGACAAGCTGCTGCAGTTCAGTGAACAAGTTTTACAAGATGTTAAACCTCAAAACAGTGTTACCTTGTGTGCTATTACAGGCATCTACAGGGAAACAGTTAATAACAAGATAAAATTCATTCAAAAATGTAGTTCTGTAAGTTTGTTTAAGTTAAAAACAAATTTACCACAATTTTTCTGTCTCTTACCACAGCTAAATCAGATTACCTCTAGCCCATTTGGATTGCTTTCTTCTGTCTTCATCTTTGAAACTTCTGAGCACTGCAGCCTTCAGGAAGTCAAATATCTGACAGATGGATCAAAAAATGGTTTGTCAAGTTACAACTGCTTTAACTACCAAAATAAAATCTGGAGTGAATCCCTATGAAGAGTTTGGACCCCAGCCAAAGTTGAATTCACAGCAACATTTCCTTCAAAATTAGACTAAGAGAAATCACTACAGTGTTATGCCATGCCATATACTAAGCCAAGGGGGTAAGTTCTAAAAGAAAGTGTGCTGCTGCATCAGTTGGGGAATATAACAAGATAATTTGGTTTTATCAACTTAAAATTTCAGCTTTTAAACCCTCTGTGGTAGCCAATTTACATTCCACAAACAAGACTTACCGTTTCTTCAAATCTATGGATCTGTGCAATGGAAAGAGCTAATGCAACATTAAAAGGTGTCAAAATCATCCCTGAAGAGCTTTGATGAACCTGCAGAATAGATCATGTCATGAGCACTTCAGTATATATTTTTCATGCATTAGTTTACTCTAAAATTGCATGCAAGATTTTATAACAAATGTTCATTGTCACTAAATCAATGATTATGTGTAAATTTTTTTGAAAATAAATTTTAGATAGCATCTGGATAATTTCTTGACAATTAAGTCTAATTTCCATCAAAAGTCAGAAATCATTGTCCACAGGAATGTTCCAAATGCAAAGTTTAATGACAACTCTTTGGTATCTGTAAGTTAATAACCAATGGATGGTTCTGTGAAGGTGAACACATACTAAAGATTCTTCATGACAGCAAGGACAGAAAAAGAGATAAACAAAAAATTTGAGTCTGATCTGAGTCCATTAAAATCCTAATGACAACTAGCAGTATTTAAAATATCTCAGAAAAAAAGGAAAACAAAAACAGTAAAGAAGAATAGAGGTAAACCTTTATGGAACCCATTTGCTCAAGAAGAACTGCTGAATACCTTTAAATATTTTATAAACTCCTTTCCCAAGTCTTGATCCTGTTTCACAGCAAATGTAATATGAAGGATCACAGTTCCTTCCATATGCCTCAGCTGATCCTTAGACAACGTCTGAACCTCTGAGCTATAAGTCCAAACACAGAGCATATTAACCTTTTGACACCTAAGAGAGACTAGCATAATCTCTCTCCTTTCAGTCACACTCCTGAGTCAAACATGGAGGTTACCTGAATAAAGGAGGTGATCACTAACCTAAGAAGCTTTGATTGTTAGACAAATGCTCCTGGTGAGTGCTTTTAGATCTTCCAGTTTGGGTTTTCTTATACCCAATATCATGTGACCAGTTTTCCATATTTGGATTACACACCAAGTTGAAGTTTGCAGATTATAAAACAGCCAGAGAAGAGTATGGAGAATATGCATACTGATGTTAGGGTGTAAAAGGTCAATGGAGATCAAGGAAAATACAGCCCATTAGTTAAGAATTGGTGATTGTTTTAAGTGTAAAAGGTAAAGGTTAGGATTAGCCTTAGACTCCCGTCCAGGTTGGTTTTAGACACCCATGCAAAGAGAGGGGAGCTTCATTCAACCCACAGTTTGGAGATAGCATCCCCATGAGGTTGATTATATCTTCTATTTCTTAAAACATATGGTTGAAAAGCTGCATCTTTACACCAAAAATCTCCTCAATTGTACCAAAAAAAAACAAAAAAAACAGCATACCTATCCTCTTTGTCCTCCTTGCGACATGTTTCATCTAAGTTGTTGAAAAATGATGTTACTCCTTCCAAAAGAAGTTTTTTGTGACCCTACAAAATACACATGAAATTGTATCAATAACTAGACCTTTTAACAGAAAAATGCTTTGATGTAAACAAGACTGAAATACCTTTGTAGAAAGTAGCAGTAACTGATACACCAATGGAGGTAATTCTTGAAGGTCAAGGTCTTTCATGGCTCTAGAAATTAAAGAATAAAAATATTATTGATCATATAATGTAACAAGTCAAAGATGTTTGCAATACGGCAATAGTGCTGAGAGGTTACATGTTTTTTTCAAATTTTTTTTCAAAAACTCTCATAAAACTGAAATTATAATAAATCAGCAAATAATCCCCTTCCTTTCGAGTCTTATTGTGCCCTTACTACAAAACCCAATATTTTTAGAATACATTTGAAGAGCTCATGTTTTATTCACTAGTAAATAAATTTCCTTAGTGTTCATCTTTATTAGTTTTATAAAAAAAAAAGGATAATAACAGCAACATGCAGCAACATGGCTGTACTGGGCTAAGAAAATGAGTATGAACAGGCTCCAGTTCTCACCTCACTATCTTCTCCATTACAAAATGTAGTTCATCTGATGTCATTGGCACATCCCTGTAAACACATGAACTCTTTATCTAACGTTTGATGTCTAATAATTATGTTAAATGAATTATTGCCTTTTTTTCTACTTAAACGGTGATGACACCCTCATCTACAGTTTTCTAAATTTATCACATTTGGAGTATCAATCACTGTGTATTAGGTATATAAATTACTGAGAGCTGAACAATTTTAACATTCATAGATTAACTTAATTTAAATGCAAAAACAAAATATTGAAGTTTGGTATAGAAATAGCCACAAGAAAGCAAAAAATCTCAATTAACCTGAAAACAGCAGCCAGATGAATAGCACATTGTGGGTCCCATCTGAAACAAGAGACCAAAAGACATGAAAATTGAGAAAATAGCCAATCATTCAAGAGAATGGATGTGATTTTATTCAAAGTGTATATTTTGGATCCAGTTATTACTCTGGCTTCCTATGGAAAAGCACAAGTTAAATTACCTTGTGGTCATTGTCTACCTTCCTAACAGGCATTTTATGCTATTTTTGAACTGTAAAGGCCAGTGGGTTGTATTTTGACTTGGTTCAGTATTTTGACATAGTGATTGATAAGTCAATGAGCTCTGATAACCGCTCCTGCATGCAAGAAGTTTGTTGTTGATGGGGAAAGTCAATGAGCTCTGAAAACATCTCCCAAATGCAAGAAGTTTGTCAGTTGATAGGGGAATCAACAGGCTCTAATAAGAGCTCCTTAGTGCGGTAAGTTGGATGGTCAATGAGCTGTTGTAGGAGCTAAAGATCAAAAGAGGTTTGTTGGCCAAATATGAATTCAACAAGCTTTGCTAAGAGCTCCCAATTGTAACCAATTTGATGGTCAATCAGGGAATGAGAGCTCCCTACTGTAAGGAGATTGTTGGTAGATTAGGGATTCAGTGACCTCTGATATTTGGTTGAGCGGTTCCAGTGATATTGCTAAGATTTTTCCTGAACCTACATTTTGTTCCCTCCAAAAGCACCCCCACCCCCTTTAAAATCAGTTTGCACCAAGTCACTGATCCCACAGTGTGCAACTATGACTGACATAGCAATGATCTCTAAGTATCAGCCCATCATTATCTGATGTCATACCTTTAGAGTAATGGGGAAGCTAAAAATACCTTTAAGGCCTTTTTTGTAGACCTATTCATTTACTAGACACTGAATTTATTTATTTTTTAAATTCAAAATTCTTAATCTATTTTAATGTTTGTTTTTCATAATTAATTTTAATCATTAATTGTTACTACTTCCCCCTTTATTTGTATAAGTAATTTTTATTCGTATAAGTAATTTTTATTTGTATAAGTAATTTTTATTTGTATAAGTAATTTTTATTTCATCTTTTTAACATCTGGATTTTTTTTTTGCTACTTGTTACTCTGTGTTGTAACATCTCTCTTACAGTTACTTATCAATATTTGTGTTGTAACACAACAATTTTTGTTTGCAGAGTTTTCTCCTCTTGATCTTTTGCCCAAAATGATATACCTTAGAATGTATTATTTATGGCTGAAGGTCTTTTTTTATTTACTGAGTGATAATAAAGATATGCAGTGGACAATTTCACAAATTGCTTTGGTAAGCAACTGAGGCCACAGAAAAACAGGAGAGACCTCCAAAAATTTATATCTAAAGCACTTAAACATTGTATGGGGCATATCATCCCACAGAATAAAAAATCACACCTTTTGTGATAAAAGGTAGTCAAGTAAAGTTGAATATTACCACAAGATAATTTGCAGTTTAAACAAAGAGTAGTTTACAAGCATGTTTCATTTATACATGTTTTATAGTGTATCTTGTTATGAGTACGACGCATCTCTGCTATACAGGTAGTTTCATTTAAGCCTCAGTCATTCTTTACCTGCTAGAACACAATGTGTTCAGAAGATGTCTTTTATATTCCTGACCTGCCATTTCACCACCACAATCTATTATCAAAAATAAAATTTAATTCATTGCCAAATGGATTTTTGGTCAACCAAACCTTGGAAATGACCAAGGAATTAAAACAAGCAAAATGCACCAACTGCTGTTCATCTGTTACTATAATAATTATGATTCTTGGAGGTAGTAACATAACTGGATCCTTCGGTTAATGGTTCAACCTGGAGGCAACATGTGAAAGTGTAGTATGAACATCCAGGTGAGTGTAGCCCTGAAAAGGACTGTCATTGGTAGTAGCTGATGTTTTGACCACCTGAGCTCTCACTCTGATGATGAGAGGAAGGGTCCTGATCACAGTCATTATCACTCTGGTGATGACTTCTGCCTAATTTGTCGAAATGTCAGTCACTAATAATGACAACAGTCCTTAACAGGACCACACTCACCCAGAGGATCAGACTACACCATCACAAATGGGTCCATAAAGACATGGAGGAGAGAGCTCATACCCAGGAATACATGTTGTGTCCTCTTTTCTTAAAGGTAGCATAGGTACCATGAAAAAGTGTTAATATTATATCATGCACATATGGTGACACGCCAGCAGGTGAGAATTTATACAAAACTACAAATTAAATAAAAATAGTGATACAATTAACACTATAGCCTGACCACAGCTTCAATTTAAAAGCTAATGTACAACTTAGAGGATTTAGAGAATACTACTCTTCTAAAATTACATCTCCACAATTGAAACTAATTGTTTTTTTCTGGACAGTGATGTGTGATAAGTAATTTCATGTGAAGTCAGGAGTATATGCTTCATAATAATCATAAGTGTACCTCCTGGCATTGGAATGACATCCTTAGCTGCAACGGCAGACAGCACCTTTGGAAATAGCTCCAAAGTTCTATACAAGATAAGAACAAAGGTATTAATAATAATCCCTATATGTGGCTAAATAACATGAAGAGGAAACATACAAGAAGTCTAGCAAACTTATCAAATATCATAAAAGCCAGAATTCAGTCATCTAAAATATTGCATAATAATAATTTACATAACTGCAAGGCTCTTGGGAATAAAACCTATAGCCTCCTAAGTCTCATCCCTATAACCTTGTGGTGAGGTTTGTTGTTTAATGAAATGGTATGCTCAGAGAAATGTATATCTAAATTAATAACCTTGGGTTGTATAGTGCGAAAATTGAAATAAGCTATTTGAATTGGGCTGTTACAGTAATACAAAATGAATGCACAAAACAATCCATCAAAATGCAAATGAATGCATCCATTTTGCTACTTTGTTTTGTTTTGTTGTTATGTTGTTTTTTGGTTTGTTTGGTTTTTTTTTGGTTATACTTGTTGCCTCCCATTGACTATTAGTAGACAAAAATAAGCCACTTGTAAATGCATGGAGACCTGTGCACCTAAAAAAATTTCTTACTTACTTTCCATTATTGAAGGAACCAGTCTTAATAGCATTTATAAATAAATCAGCAAGTTCAGCAAGAATTTTTCCAGGAAAGGCATCCAGCTAGAAGGCAAATAAAAGAAAAGTATATTCTCAAGCCAGGTTACTCATTCAGCCCAAGCTCATCCTGGGTTCAGCTGTATGAAGCAATAAGGCTTCACATTGAAAGCTGAAAGCTCACACTCAAAGAAATATTTCAAACCATCCAATGCCCTTTTTGACATGAACATGAATCTTATAACCCTGGTTATTTTTTACATTTATAGCAAAACAATATTGTGAATGCTGAAATTGACAATTGTTGCTGTATAACAAAGGCACACCCCTGAATGTAAATATAACTTACAGTGTTTTTCAAAACTGTACTTATTCTGACAATCATTATTGCATGAACAACTAATAAATGAATAACCTCTGTTGAAAATCTACTCTACTTACCTCCATTAGTAAAAATCCAACAATTTCAGTGGCCATCTGACATTGATAGGTTTATACAAAGAAAACATAAGTTAGAAAGGGCATGGATATTAAGTATAATTTTCTAAATTGCAGCACAGTCCATATGGTAACTTTTTATCCAATTCAAAAACAATGATAAGAACTGACAGGAAAGATTGTCCTGGCTATTGAATAATTAAAACTTGAGAATTATGTGTTTCACTTCCTCACTAACTCAAATAAACTACAAGCTGCTACATAGAAGTTTCCATACATGTAAAATAATAAATCTATAATTTATAAAATTGTGTATGTATCTCAGACACCTATAGCAGTTACTTGGATAGATCACATTTTGAACTCTGCTACTGTGAAATTGGATATACTATACTGATCTAAATGAAAGTTAAAAGACAATCTTTAAAACAAGTAAACAAGAAGTGCTTCATTAGAATTGCAAGCAGGTGACAATTGCATCTTAAGTCACCATAAATACAAAGGAATTAAACAAAAAAGGAGGCACAGGTTATGGATTCCATACAGAATAATATCACGCAATACCTTGTTACTAAGGTCACCTTCACTGAGTATTTGAATGGCATGCTTGAACACAAATGTACGTCTTTCCAAACCAATTTTAGTGTCACATGGTGAACCTTTGAATACAGCTTGAAGATAAGGAACTGGTTCACCCCTTCCCTCCAACACTCTGGCTTCTAATAAGTCTACAACCTGTGGAATCAACACAAATACCTATACAAATTGCACTCCACTAAATTCAATACCATTATATATACTGTTGCTATGGATTCATGGTCTTGTCTGACATGTGCAGACATCATTCAGCTCCATCACGGGTGAGTCGTTCCAGGGCAGCTGTCAGTAGCTTGCACATCTTGCCCTGCCTAATGCAACACTGTAAAATATAACTAAAACTTCATGAATACTCTTAAGAATGCAAAGTGTCAACAACCAAAGCTAATGAGCCCTAAAAGCTTGAATAAGAGTGCAATGCTAAATCCAATGGAAATATTTCCGCATAACCCCATACTACTGACAGGGCTGAATAAGGTCTGCTCATGTCACCAATGCGACAATGAATTCACAGAAACAGTAATTCAACTGAGTGGATTGAAATTCAAGCTGAAATGTTGAAGTATGTGGTTGCTACTGAAAATAAGACAATCTATTGTTTTCGACACTGCTTTCGTTATTCAAGAGCTGTATGCAAATTGAAGCACGGGGCTGCGCAGAAATCTTGCCAAACCATAAACAAGCAAGTACCCCAGTTGGTAAGATTTCCGCACAGCCCCATACTACATTATGCCTTCAGTTCATGGATAGGGAAAACAATGACAAAAACAGTACGTCGCCATTGAGAAAACAGATTTGTTTTACAATAGTATGGGGCTGTGTGGAAATTTTACCAAACTTTCCCATCCTAACTAAATATCAATTTAGATATCATAACCTTGATAACGTAAAATCACGTTTCACCCATTGGCATCTCGAGCGAATCGAATGGAACAACTGAAAGCTCACCTTTTGATGTTTCAGCGTCGATAGCGCCTGAACCAAGGGATTTAAATCATATCCCTCGCAAAGACAAATAATTTTTTCATCCATTATCCAGAGACTCACGGCAGGGCTGTTTTAAAACATAAATATAGCCAATGTACTATAATCACTTTTCTTCACTTCGAAGCCGCGCCGCACTGCGCCACCATTTTTACAACATTTGGCGCCAAAACTTTCTTTTTTTAATGCATTTTCTGATTGGTTTATTTTTTACTGTTCTCTCCCACCAATCAATAGCGTTTAATTGACAACAATTATTGATGACAAAATGGCGGACCTTCCCTCACGCGAACTATGTTTTGCTCTTTTGCTTACTTTTTTGGCGAGGAGTTTTTGCTTCAAACCGGTGATCATCGTCCATGGAATACTTGATCACGCTTCAGACATGAAAGATCTTGCTTCGTTTATAACGCAAGCCCATCCCGGCACCAACATCACGTTGATAAAATTGTTTGAGGAATTAGACAGCTTCAAACCCATGTGGATGCAGGTCTCAGCAATTTCTGAAAAAGTACGAGAAGTGATGCAGGAGGCTAAAGAAGGAGTTCATATTATAGGCTTCTCTCAAGGTAATGGCCTATTCTTAAACTGTTCATTTGAATCCATGTCAACTCAAGTGGTGACCCTATTCAAAGATAACACCTTATCAAGTACAATGCTAGGTATCAAATGAATCTTGTTACAATTGTTTAGAACACCTCTTATCCGTTTAAAAGACATGTTAGGGAATTTAACGGCACTAACGTACTCAAAGGATACGCGCACAGAATACTAATTAATTCATTCAACGTGCAAAAAATTTTGATCGCTTAGCATGGACTTTCATCGTAACGGAAGTTTTACACATATGTTAAGTGATCACGCGTTGTTGATCATTTTTTCCTCAGCAACTTTTGATCTCCATTGAAAGTATTTTTTTAATTGTAGTTTTAATAGCCTAATTTTGAGGTAATTTGAATTTATTGTCGCTGTCATGATTTCGACCATGTTTATTTCCCCGTGACAATCATACGATACCATGGTGTTACGTGACGAAAGTGTAAATGGCAGAAACGCCTTTTTAGGGTGGGGGTTGGGTATAAGGGCTTGAAGAAAGATGGTTTGAGAGAATAATTCTGTAAAAGCTGTTTATTTTGAAAATACTTTGTACTTATTTGTTTTAACAACAGGTGGATTGACTGTGCGTGCAATCTTGGAGACCATGGATGACCATAACGCTGAGAGTTTTATTTCCCTGTCCGGTCCCCAGATGGGACAATATGGAGGTAACAGCTAGGAAAGCATTTTGTTAGGACCTGAAAAAAAGAACAGAAACATGAGAAAAATAATCAAATAATTATGATGTTTCTTTGTCTATAGCCCCCATCTTAAGATCTAAGGTTTCAGACATGAGTCAGACACAAACAGTGGAATTTCATCCCTACTTGGCAAAATACTAAGTTACCTGAGCCTCTTGACCCTTTTTGCATCCTATCGTCAGTATGCATATTCTCCATACTGTTCTCTATACATTTATTAAGGTGCTGAGAAGGAGAATTTGTTTAACAATTGTGAGTTTCTTTCAATGATGATCATTTCCTTAAGGGATATTGTGAGGAGAAATTAAGGTAGATGCTAGTCACTCTATGGGGTGAACAAGTGAAAGACAGCTGGTCTTTATATGCCTTTCTTGTAGTAATAAGAGTGACAATGGAGTTCATTTGTGAACAGGTTTTACTGTTCATTGCTTATTTTTAAATTTGTGTGCACAAATGTATATAAAATCTAGCTTGCCTTGTTAGATTTGGATTTAAAGATGGATGTGCCTGGTGCACAGGCAATAAAGAAAAGTTGCTTCCCTAATGCCTTGTACTGATCTATTTACATCATTTTATGCAGACACTGACTATCTGAAGCCTTACATTCCAAAACTTGCAAGAAAGGATCTTTACTTGTAAGTCTACATAACAATTATTCCATTATTATTAGTTGGATATGAGATGATAGATGGCGAACAGAGTCCACAAGGTCCAAGTTATATATAATCATCAAATATCAAACAAGCCCAAGTGGAATAATTCTTTTGTGAAAAATTCCCCAAAATATAGAGAAATCTTCCCAACTTTATTTGGAAGAACAAACAGAAAGTTAAAATTTGCAAAAACACTTTCACTTTAACTCGTCTTCATGCCTGCTTATGATATAATGGCATATATTCCAGAATGGCTAAGCCAATGAAAACTCTTGAATTGCATTGCAATGATCCAGTTTTTAATAAAAAGTAATATGTTTTATTGTATCAATTTGTACTTGCATGTTACAAAGTTAGAATGGAAAGACCTGTCTACACAAAAAAAAAGATGGTTGATAAAGTTGGTTTTTGCTTTCCATATTTCTTTCAGACTCTTTTACACCAAATATTTTCAAGATAAAATTTCTTTAGCAAACTACTGGAATGGTAAGAAAATTTACCTTAAGCAAATTAAAGAAAAACCTTCCTGAATATATTTTATTTATTACCACTACATCCAGGAGCATTTTGAGGGCATTTTCAGCAGGACAGACCCATAAGAGAGAAAAATGAAATATTTTCATGGTTTTCCTATATGCAAGCTATGTTTGTTTATCTCACATGTGCATGACCTAAAATGGTAGTTTTTTTTCTAACTAGATCCATACCATGAAGACAAGAACTATGAGTATAATGTATTTTTGCCAGTAGTAAACAACCTCAATTCATCAAAGTTTTTCAATGCATCAGGTATGGCCAAAAATTGGTTTGTGTTATTAATTATGATTTGGGTCTTAGTTTCATACTTTACAAAACACTGTAAACATTTTTCAAATAATGATGATTTGAAATATGTAGTATCCACTTCATTTTGCATCTCCTTTTCATCTAAGGCTTAACATAATCCTTCTTTTTCAGTTTAGGACAACCATTGACCATTCCTTTCTATGCCTTTTATATCCTAACATCAATATGTATATTCTCTATACTGTTCTCTATACATTTCCTTAGATGTTGTCAAGGAGAATTTTTTTACAATCAAGAGCTCCTTGAGTTTGTGATCATTTCCTTTATTCTCATGACCTTAATGTTTGGTTTTGGGGTGACACTTTTAAGAGAATTAAATGTCTGGCACTCTTGGGGTTACAGGGTTAATGTTCCTCATTTATTGATTAGTCACTGGACTCAGCTGAAAAAGAGTGACTATTAGCCACTTGAATTGCTTTCTCTAGGCCCATTCCTGAAGGGAGCAACAGCTTAGTTCCCTTATTTGGCTAAAAAAAAAAGGTAACATCTCTATTAAACCCTTTTTTAGCCAATTTTCTCAACAGGGGACAAGATATCTTAGATAGTGTTTCTAAATTCTGTTACAGTTGGTGCACAATTCAAAGAGAATTTCCTTCGAATCAAGAACCTGATTTTGGTTGGAGGTCCAGATGATGGTGTCATTACACCATGGCAGTCAAGGTAATAACTTAAAACAACTACTTTTTCAAAGAGTCTTACAAACTTAAGGCCAAAATTTCTGGATATATAATGCAGCATATTACTTAAAATCAAATACGCTTTTAAATAAAAAATTTATCAGGTCATTTTTAACTTGATCCACAATAATGGCAAAAGATATTGCTACACTTAATTTTAGTTCTTATCAGTTGCATTGGAAATGTTTTAGCATGCAGCAGATACATATATCCTGAATTTTTCTACTTTCTTTATTACTGTAGCCAATTTGGTTTTTATGACACAAGTCTAACAGTTGTGGATATGAAAAATCAACAGGTCAGTATTTAATATTCAGGGAGGGGAGGGTGACCTAAAAGCTGCTCTTGGTACTGATCCAATTTTTTTTTTAAGTTTTGGGGCCATATATGACTATGCCCCTAAACCTGAAAAATGCTGTTACAATTAAACCCTTCCTAAATAGCTTTGCAGGAATGTACCTGATTTTTCTGCCATATGAACAGCTTTTTAGTCTGCACATGATAGAAATTACTGATTATTAAGAATTATGATTACATTGATATTATGTTAAAGGAAAAAAATCATAATTTAAATCCATGCATAACTCTCCGCATCTGAATTTATAATGAATGGACTAGTCCACTGCAGAGTATAGGTGGGGGCCAAGACCCCCCTTTTTATTAAATTGGAGATGCATCCAACCAGCATTATATAGATGCTGGTCTCAAACAAGATGTGTGGCATTTGGAAGTAATGTATGTATTGTATTACAGTGTACATGCTTCTTAATATTAAACTTATAATAAAGTTCCTATTTTAAGTTGTATTAATAGAAATCACCTTACATCCTTATGATTTCCTAGTTAATTCATTCATTCTCACCTACACAAAATTTTGAAAGAACATAAACCAATCACAGATCTGGGCTTTTTGATTTGTGAGTTTCACTCTCTTCCAGACTTTTGAAGATTATTCTTTGGGCACAACAACAGCACAGGGAAGAGTTTAAATATCAATAACCAGTGAAATGAAGAAATTTGAATCAATGAATTAAGTTAACTAATTCTTTATCAACAAACTATAATAACCAGATTCAGAAGATCATGTAAAGAATTGACTTAAAATTCTTTTCTAGGTTTACCTTGAAGACACCTTTGGCTTACGCACGCTAGATGAGAGAGGGTCAGTTCATCAATACACCTTTCCTGGGGTAAATCACACACATTGGCATGGAACAGAGAAAGTCTTTGTGGAAGCTATTGAACCGTGGTTAACTTGATGTTAAAGCCTTACTAAATTAGGTTCAACATAGAGCAATTTTACAGTTGGATTAATGATTACTACTGGTAGCATTAGGCTCTGCAATGGAAATGCGATAGAAATGCTTTGGATTCTTTTCAGTCAGAGTCCAAAAATTTACTTCTAAAAGTTGACATGAGGAATTGTTAGGACTTGAATCCTAAAGCTGCTTTCATTGATTTACGAGTAGTTTGCTAGAATACATTTTTTAATACTCTTAGGCATCATAGTCAAAAAATAGAGACTGAAGTGAATAATGGCAGCAAGGCAGGTTTTGCTCAACAGAGTTCTCCCTGAAAAAGGAACAGAAATATGAGACTGAAGTTCATGCAGTTACATTTTAGACTTTTAAAAGATGTTTCATATTCACTTTCACAAATAACTAAAGAATTATAAGAAATAATTAGAGAAATATTTCAAAATTGCAATTCTATTTTTTAAAAAATTCAGTACGTAGGAAAAAATGCAATGACCAATCAGCTATTTTGGATCTTGTGCATTAGTTTTATGAAGTGGATATGCACAATAATTTGAATTATTTCTATGAATTATTTGGTACTTGTAAGTGAAGATGTTTTACTGGCTTGTATTTTTTTAGATAAACAAAGATGTTGAGCAATCTTTCAAAAGTTTTAAATTTTTACGTTAATTTAGCAAAATTAAATTTTAGACCTTGAAGTTAGACTTTGTGGCCAGTTGAGTATATCTAGTTATGTTGTGTTTCCATGAGGCATAGTTGCTATTTAATTCTTTTTTGGCTCTTATTGAATTGCTGATGCACCATGGCAAAGTCATGTTTCAAGATACATGGCCTTTGAGGCACAGTTGCAGTTATGCGCTAAAACGGAAAATCTTTGTGTTCAATTTGCCATTAATTATGCAATTATAAAAGATTGACAATTTCCAATAATTGATTTTGTTTGATAAGTCAACTCCAACAACAGGAGTGTATTCTATTCTTTTTAATTGGCACATGAAGTATGCTACATTGATTTCATAGCCTGAATTTTAATTTTTAGGATTTCACTTTTGGAAATAAATAAACAGGATTGCTCACTTCATATAGTGACAATTTGCTTTCATAGCTGTCATTTCTTTTGCCTCAACATTTTATTCTAAATTAAATTAACATTAGTCACTCAAGGAAGCTGTGGCTTTTACTACATAAAAATGTGCCCAACACCCTTTTAGGGTTATTCATATCCCAGGCCTCAACTCCAACACCCTTCGTGTGACTTTTGATTTGTCAGTTTTTGTTTATTTGTTTTTCTCTGGGGGGCTGTTGCTCACTTTCAGCCATACATTTTACTTATAAGTAGGTGTGACCCTTACTCTCAGGTATTTACCTTATCCTGCATGCTCATGTCTATTATGTTCCACAAATGGTACAGCAACCCCGTTTACTTCATGACAGACAGCCATACACTGGCGTTAAGTGAATTTGTCAGAAAGGCATACCAATATTTTTAATTAAATTCACCACAATCATTTTGGAAATTATTGAAAGCGTAAGATATCATTTCTAAATACTAAATAATTTTACACAACAATTACAACAGAAATTGCTTTCAACAACTAAACAATCCTTTTTTTCTGAAATACATTTACAGTCACAGTAATTGACAATAAATGTATCAAATAATTTAACTAACAGTATACATTCTTGACACAAAAAATAATATAATACAAAGTTGAGAGATACACAACTTACAACTCAAATGATACAGGCAAATACTTTAACAATTTATATATTTACACAAAATAGTATGAAGCATAACAAATTTTAATATCAAAATCAAGTTTCTTCAGAAATGTCTTTCAATGGATCCAAAATTAAGAATTCTGCCTGTCCTTTATTGAAACCTTTTGTTGTGTCTATAAAGTTTTGAAAAGCAGTTGCTGTGTTCTTCAACTTTTCTGCCACTTTTCCTCTCATCTCTTTTATTCTTTCCGTTTCTTTTTCTGCTGCCAGTTTCAGCTGTATTTGTTCATCAATACGATCTTTTAACTTTTTTATTTCTTTCTCATGGATCTCCTTTTGTAACAAAAGTTTGCTCTCCTCTTCCTTCTTACACTTTTCCTCCATTTCCTTCACTGCTTGTTTCTCCTCTTGTTTTAATCTCTCTTTAAGATTCTTCAAAGCTTGCTAAGGTGGAAAGCCAAAGAAAAGAAAATTACTGCATTGCTCTTTAGCACATTTTGCAAAGAGGGGGTGGGGGAGGGAGGCAAAACAATATTTAAAAGATGGAGAGGAGAACTGAACAAGAAAATCTTTGGATTCACCATCTGGAGTACCTGGTTTATTGGGGAACTTGGAAAAATGCTGGGGGAAGAGGGATGTGGGGGAGAGTAAAGAGAGTGGTGGGTAACCTTCAAAGGACCAGGAGGGATGGAAAACTCCTTGTCACTGAGTGAAAGCCACATTATCTTAATACCCTTCAGATGAACAAGTGACGGTAACTCTACCTGTTTCTCTTTCTCTGCAGCCAGAATCAACTGTTTTCTTTTGTCCTCTTCTACTTGAGCCACCTTCTTTGCCTCATCAGTTGCCATAGCACGTTCTTCCTCTCTAGTCTTCTGTATAGCTTCAGCCTTTTCCAACAAAAACTCATCTCTAGCCTTTTTTAGTGCCTCTTCCAGTCTCTTTTGACCTTCATCCTTTTCCTGCTGAACTTGCTGAGCAGCCAGTTTCTTCATCAGAGCTTCAACTCTTTTTGACTCAGCTTTAACTGCCTTTTCCTATAAACAAAAAAAAGTTGGTTGAATAGTAAATCATCATTAAATGCAAGTGAGTAAATACTTCATTTCCACCCTTGGAGCTCATACAATGTAGTACCCTCATAGTAAATAACAGGCATTTATCTTAGTATTTGCCTTCCTGACCATCCATCCCTGCTCCTCCTCCTATTCACCATTCCTGCTTCTCCCTGTGCATCATACTTGCTCCCTCCTGCCAATAATTCTTGCTCCCCCTTCATGTTATCCCTTTTTATCCCCTACCCCCTTGGACCATTCTGCTCCCCCTAATCCCATCCCAGCTTCTCCACACAATCACACCCATTAATTAAATGCACCTCTTTGAAATTAACACCCACCTGAGCTTTCTTAGCTGCTGCCAAAGCTTTGTCCAGTTCCACTTCAGCAGCTTCTTTGGCTGACTTCAGAGCTCTTGCTTTCTCTTCTGAAGCTAAGCGCCATGCTCTTTGCTCTACTTCTGTCACATTCTGCTGCCTTTCTTTCTCGCACTCCTCAATGGTTTTTTGATAGAGATCATTTCCAAGTACTACAATTAAACATAACTTATTTTATTAAAACTCATCCAATAAGTTCTAAGAATTGTTTCCAGAAACCTCCATCTCATGGAAACATCTCATTTTCTACAAACCATTTATGTAAACAATGTCAAACATTTTGACGGAGCATTCTTACAATTGTGGTGATGTGTATAATGAAACATGGTACAATGGTCTCTACAGAAAGTACTTGCTTATGAAACACCTGGTCAAATAGACAGCTACCACATAAAACCCATATATAAACTCTGCAGGACTGTCTTCAAATAAAAAATTCAGAAAAATTATAGTTGGAGAAAAACTGAACTAGGGGGAGTGAATATCTCATGTTTCCAAAATCCCCCTCCTCTCCGTCACACACCTTTGACCCATCTCCCACCCACTTCATTCATTCAGGCCCTCAAAAACTAAAAGGTCCACTCCAGCAGTGGCCTTACACACTGGCCTAACAGCTAGCATGCTCAACTCCAGGTCAATAAATGCTGGACCAAGACCTGGCCAGGTCATTGTGCTGTATTCTTGGGCAGACAATCAATGCTCACAGTACTTCTCTCCACCCAGGTATATGAATGAGTAGCTACAAACTGTGAGGGAAGCCTAATAACATGCCGGGTGAAGAGGTAACCTGTACTGGGCTAGCATCCCATCCAAGGGAAAATGCAAAAGTCCTAGACACTTTATTCCACCGAAAATGGAATAAGCTGCGAGTGGATGAGCCATTTGGCTAAGGTGCGGACTTTATCTTTTTGCCAGTCAACAAAATTTTGCCCCCCGAAAAGGTAAGCCGCCAAATCATAGTTTTGAGGAGTAAAAACTCCCCTAATGCACGATCCACATTTCTTTAACTTAATAATTATACGAAGGACCCTGAGAACAGTTAACATTCGGCAAACTCCCTCTACCGTATCTTATCTACAATTTCAGCTGGTTCCGTTTACTTTGCAACAAATATTAAAATGCTGGCCCGATTCGTCTATTATATCAGCAGTTTTTCCAAAAAATAAACTTACCCAAGATATCTCTGTGAGTGGTATTTTGTATGACAGAAACTTTGGTTTCTTCGTGAGGCTTGGATAACACGGAGCGGTCATGAGTAGCCACATACGCCGCCATCTTGAGTCACAAAGTCAGATACTCTTTAGTTGTCCTGGTAACCGTCGTGAAGACTAGAAAGCAACTACAATCTAAACGGGCAGCGGTGTCATCAGAAACTCAAAATGGCGGACGAAACTCGTGTTTAGTTTTTCTCTAACTTGAGAAAGTGCATGAAATAAGTATGGTGTCGGTTCATGAAAATATTGTGGTGATACCTGGGGAAAGATTAGGAAGTATTGAACAATATTCACCAGGAAATGGAACTTATATTCGCCATGGATATGTGTATGCTAGTCTTGCTGGTTACAAACAGTCGCAAAACCAGGAGAATGGAGAGGTTTGTGAGATTTTTTGATGCAATGTAAGCTTTAGATAACTGACTTTGATATTTTAGAAATGTAGCAAAAGCATACCGTATAGACCCCTTTCATAATGACGGCATTTCTTTGAATGAAAATTGTATTGTCTTTGGACAAGTTGTCGATACCAGAAAGGCTAATTTATGTTGTGGTTTAGTTTTATCCTTGGTTCATATTTTATTTTCTTTTGTTTTTGGGTATTGTAATGTACGATAATGAGTTTGAAACAAAGGAAAATAAAATTTGAACGAAGGACAAAATTGAATCACAACATATGCATGATTATGAAAGAGTAGTAATAAGGTCCAACTTTTGCAGAAGGGGTCAGTATTTAGATTTTTTTTCATGTACTCTGCAGGAACATCTAATAAAAAGTTTTTAAGTTATCACAACTCAGGGAATGTATTATAAGGTTTCCATTTGTAAAGCAACTAGATAAGGAAGCATACATGGCACCAGACACAGAACGTTGATTGATTGACTGACTGACACTTTAATAGTCTGATCAATTGATTTATTGATTAACCCTCTACCCCCTAATATCAATATTCATATTCTCCATGCTCTTTTCTATACATTTCCTTTGTTACTGACAAGAAGAATTCAGTTAACGATCAAAGCTTCCTAGGTTGGCAATCATTTTCTTTATTCTCATGATCTTAACGAATGATTTAGTAGTGTTAGTGTAGAGAAATTAAATGATAGTTACTCTTAGGGTTTTAAAATAAAAGGTTAGAAATTTGATTGACTGATTGACTAATCAAGAAACTGACTCGTAACTGATCAGCTGATTTGCTATTTTGATAGACAGGTTGACTGACAGACAGTGCTGACAGACTTACTGATTTCATGTTTCCCAAATCAATCTAACATGCTTTGTAATATGGATCTAGAAACCTATCATACATATCATCAGAGAGGAGGAAAAGTATGTAGTGCCAGAAGTTGGTTCAGTTGTTACATGCAAGGTGGGAAAATTTCTGCATCATAAATTTTATTGACGACTATCAACTTTTTGGCTCAGATATGGAAATTTTTACAGAGAGTCTTTTACTTGGATCATTTTACAACAGTTTGACTGGAGAGATGCAATTTCAGTTAAAAATGAACATAAAGTCAAAACTAAATGTATTTCAAACTTGATGGATTTATATTTTACTCTGTTTAAGAGGTGATTATTTTATAGAGCAAAATGGAATTCAGATAAAACTAGTTTTAATCATTTTTAATCAAACTGGTTTTAAACTGAACAATGTAAATTTGTGTGATAGCATGCATGGTTAAAATGTTAAACACACTTACAATCTTATTAAAAAAGTTTATTTTCTTATGTGAGTGACCTTAGTGAGTTACATGGTAAAACTACATAATATTTCAGATGGGAAGAAGATTAAAGTTTGACTCAAGTACCCTTTGTATTTTTCATTTTGGCAGTTTACCAAGAAAAAAAGGTTCAAATTTTATCAATTGATTGTCTCATCAAAAGGTTGTGGTTATGACCTTATCACAAGCAATTGTTAGAAATAACATAACAGAAAATTTCTTTTTCATGGAGCATGTATCTGATTAATTTACCTTTTATACCCTGATGTTGGTATGCATATTCTCCATTCTGTTCTCTAGACATTTTCCAAGGTGCTGATGAGGAGAATTTGTTGAACAATCAAGAGCTTATTTAGCTATTGCTCATTTCCTGTATTCTTCCTTTTATTCCTCTTTATTCTTGTTTGATTCAGAATGATATTATGAGGAGAAACTAGGTGCTAGTTACTTGAAGGGGTCAGAGGGTTAAGAAATAACGAGGAAGCAGAAGAACCTTTCAAATAAAGCTGTTAAATTTTTACCTTTTAGGTGATGAGCACAAACCCAAGGTTTTGCAAAGTAGCAATTCTTGGTGTAGAAACAACTTCTTTAAAGGAACCTTTCAAAGGAACAATCAGAAAAGAAGATGTCCGGGCAACTGAGAAGGACAAAGTTGAAATGTATAAGTCCTTCCGCCCGGGTGATATAGTACTGGCCAGAGTACTAACTCTTCATACACAAACGTATCTCCTTTCAACAGCTGAGAATGAACTTGGAGTAATTTTTGCCAAGAGTGAGGGTGGTAGGATAGACTTAATTTTTTCATTCAGGAAATTGTCAATTTAATAGCAGGAAGCCACTTTCTGAATTGATCTGCTTTGATTGTTTCAAGTTCCATTCAAAATTTTATTTGCATCATTGTTGAAAAATCGTTTTTGGTCTTAATCCTTTCCCCCAACCTATTTGGTGGGTAGGTAATTTTGCCAGTTTGAGATATGGATTTTTTTTAAGCATTATTAGAGTAGACAATTATATTTAATGCATTACCCTTTGAAGAAGTTAGAAGTAACAGTAACATTTCTTTGAAACAACAATGTGCAAAGATATTTTCTTTAGGTGCTCTCTCCATGTGCCTTTGTTTTTGTACCAGATATCAAACTATAAAACTATTGTGCTATATGAACAAAGTTCTATACAGAAAGTACTGGCTCAGGATGTTAACAAAGTTTTCAAGTTTATTAGTAATAAGCAGATGTCAGGTTGGTCTTAATATCATAAGATTTTTATGCAAATTGAATTATTTGATTGTGTAGGTGCTGCAATGGTGCCAATCAGTTGGTGTGAGATGCAATGCCCCAAAACAAGAGCAAAGGAACACCGAAAGGTTGCCAAGGTTCAGCAAGCATCTTGATAAATAATTGAATAAACATTCAGCATCTTCCTCATCTATTGGATGGATCCTTAGGAACTGATTTTTCCATTTTTGTAGAGGGAGATAACATGGAAAATTTGTTTTCAAAAGTAAAAAACTGTTTTGAGGCTAAAAAAAAAGGTCAGCAGGAAAAAGCAGCCAGGAAAACTTTTGATAGATAACAACACAAAAAAATTGTTTAATTTTAAAAAATCCTAATTCTCCCTCCAAAAAAAAGATAGTCAGTCCCTTATGCAACCACCTGGATTCACATGGGGTGACACATCTGAGAAGAACAGGAATTAACTCCTTAGTAATATAGTTGTGTACTACAGGCAAGCTATGCCTACAAGATATTAAAATGCTATAACAATGTGATATTAGTGCTTTACAGAGTTATATCACTAATCAATGCAACAAATTTAAGGACCACTATTTTTTTAGTACTTTTTTCACAGTTTTGTCTGAAATTTGTCAAATTAAGTGACAATCCCTTCTCCACCCATTCCTATTTTAGAATTTTGAATAAAAAAACTAGCAGAACTTCGGCTGCAGTTAGTGTTATATAACTGTGCTTTTCTTCACCAGGGGTGTACGAATGTCACATTCCACTTCTTTCCATAATAATCGATATATATCCTTTAAACATTTCAGGGTGGTTCTAAAACTAATTTTAACTAGGGTCTCCGTTTTCAGCAATCAATGGGCCTCGAGATTTTTCATAGTTGGTAAGTGTTTCTCCACTGATAAAAAAAATCAACGTTTATGTAAACTGTGTGACTAATAAGCTGTTGTAAGTCACGGAGGAAGAACCGCTAAAGTTTGAAAAGAAGCTTTTTGGCGCCAAATGGGTCACCGCGTCGCCGACCTACAGCCTTGATTTGGCGGGAAAATGTGAAGCGATGAATGAAGCGGTAAACTGCGTGACACTTCGAAGGCAAAATGTCCGTCAATTCGAGTTTCTTTCTTTTAACACTTAATTTTGTGATAATATCGCTCCAGAAACTGCACAGCAATGCGTTTATCGACTTTGGTGAAAGGGGAATTGTGGAAGCCGTCGTATTTGCAGAATTCACATCTCAATTTAGAGAGCCGTATAATCTGCTTTATTTCAAGTCTGCATTTCTTGTGGTTCACTGTCAGTTGAGAAATCGCAGCAGCGATACTCAAAACTCGCGTAATGTGTTAGTCAATCAGTATTCCTCTCAAGGTATGACTCCAATTGTCACTATCATCACTTTAAGCTGGTCAAAATCTTACTTCTTCGACCAACTTGTCCAAGGCGAAGACTGCTACTGGACGATGAATATTTCGAAGCAAGAACTATGGGAGCATTACCATGAAGAAAGCCACGGGAGAATTCCGTGGCAGTTCAAAATAGAACTTGGGCAAGACCTCAATTTGTTTGAATCCTGGGGAACTCTTGTATTACCAGATTTTGAGCCAATTCTTTCCGTTCAATTCGGAGACTATATGTCAGACCTGAACGCAATTCCAGCTGTGGAAGATGTCATTGTATGGCAGCATCCATGTACTCCGGGAGTCGCTGTTTTGGTTCCTGTGTTTGAGGTGAAAGAGTCTTTCACAGGTAATTGGAAGGGAAAATTAAATGTGACCTTTATTTTTGCTTTGAATACTCCAAAAATAGTCTGAAACTAAGCTAAAATATGATTAAAAAGACACTGAAATGAGGAAAGAATTTTTATGTGAATGTCATAATGCAAAGTTAGAAACCCATGTTCCTGCAACTAAACGTTGACCGCCAACGTTTGAATTTCCCCTCTGTACTACTAATTTTCTTGGTGTTGTAATGAGGATTATAAATGTACTTCATACGAAAAGAAATTATATTCACATTTAAAGCACGAACAGCTGAAAAGCAGATGGCGAAAGTTAAACTTTTTTCTTTCGCATGGAAAACACGGTTCAGCGAAAAACTTCCACGTGGTCTTCAATTGCGAGAAAATTTTATTTTCACTCTTTTAACTGTACGTCTCTATGTAGTGTATTCAGCTAAATCGAACGAAAAGTAGCAATCAAAATCAGCAATTAAATAATGGAATTCTACTTCACCCAATGAAAGTTTGACTAGATCTATAAATTACAGAGATCTTTCACTGTCTCTACAGGATGCTACATGGCTGTAACCCATGGAAGTTTCACATCAAACACCACACATTGGTATGATCTCCTTCACCGCTCATCTGGCAAACCAGATAACTACTCTATCTGCAAAGAAAGTTCGTTTACCAGTTGTGAAAAACTGTCAATTTTGGACTTGGCTGTGTTTAACAACCACATTTTGCTTGTAACCTCAAAAGGTGTGTTAAGGTCGGAATCGATCGATGAAGCCTCAGGACTTAACATAAGAAAGGTACGGTTGCCTTATCAAAGGCTCGTATTGACAGTATTGGTGGGTAGCTTAAGTCATAGAATGATTAGTGCTTTTTATATCAATTTTTATTCAACACTTTCAAATTTTTTGTTAAAGTGATTTAAAAATAAAAGTTGCTAAGGGGTGGCAATAACTTTCATGATACTACAAGGTAAGAAAAATTAATGATTTGGAAAAGCGTTTCCAGCGAACGACGTACTCAACATTTGATTTCGCTTTTTTTTTCTGATCCTTAAGTAGGTCTAACGGAATAAAAAGTATCTATGTAATGAAGGGTAGATCAGGGGCTCTTTTCTGCCGCTTGACGTTACGCTATACGTCATGTTTAGACTACTATTTCTTTTCAAGATTTTGAGAGGGATGGTCTCAACTTTAATCTTTTGTAATAATCAACTATTACCAATAATTGAGTCAACTGTAAAGTTTATGATACTTTCCTTAACTCTAAAGCTCAAGTTTCAAAGAGCACCCAATATACATCCGATAATCGAGCAAGCGTTCAAAGATGGGACAGTGGAACGTGACAGAATCAAGTTGCATCATACAGTTCACTGTAATAGACACGAGATATTGATCACAGAGCATGCGGTACATTTGGTTTATACGCCGTCTGGCGGGGAATATTCTATTCTTCTAACAAGTAAACCTCCCTTTGATATATGGTCTCCTATAAAGCTTCCTGACCAGATGAAGTCTTTCACTGTGCTTGGTGTCGCTTGGGACACTCAAAGAACTACAGCGGTTTTGCTTGTGAAGGACCCTTTTAAGGTAAAGGCTTTGAGGGTCTGCAGAAGGGATATTCTGAAATTCTAAATTGCTGAATTATAGCTTGTAATATCTGTAAATGTATTTGAATGTTTTTCAACAACAATTTGTTATTGTTACTGGTTTTTTTTTTTTTTTTTTAAATAATAAGTAGTGTAAGGAATGATATATTCCAAAACGTTATTTTGAACACGAAGTAATACCTGGTAAAAAGCTCAAGCCCATTGAACATTTCGATTTAATTAAAACAAGTCACAAAGTCTGAAACGTCATTTAAAAATCCAGCTTTTAACTGTAAATCACAGGTCAAGATGTCGGAAATGTGCAAAGAGGAATAATACTTGCTAATTTTTCGGAGCCCTGTAAACTATTGCAGCTGTTTAAATTAGCAAACGGTCATATGATATGTTCTTATTTCACAGCCTATACAATCCCTGTTATTACGAACTTTGTGATCGGCAGGGCTCGATTGATTTTTCCAATGTGTATATCGTTTTACTGTGTTCACAGGTACAATGTTTGGTCGCAGTACTTCATCTACAGACATTCCGACTTATGCAGCCCATTTTTCGATTCCCAAATCATGTCAAATTTAGAAGGATTAATATGCATGTTCACACTCATGTTATTTTCGTCTATGGATCCCAGGTAAGACATCAAAGTTTAAAAAGACACAAATCGGCCGTGGGAAGTAAAGAGGCATCTACCAGCCTATAAAAACTCGTAATTTTTTGCGAGAGAGTACTCAGTATTTTCTTGGTAAATGTTATAGCTGGCATCATTGGCTTCTACGGCGGCGGAAGGCTGGGGAGAGAAAGACATGTGTACCTTTCCCCGCCCCTTTCCCCACCGTCCACTCCAAACCCAAATCAAACATGGTAGGTCGAATAAACGATCGCGAGCTTGCAACGTTAACTCACCCTAATAAGACACAGGGCGTGAAATTGCGCCTGATACAGGCGCCAATGCGACTAAATTTTCACTTTGGCGACCAAATCCTGAAAGTTAGTCGCCAAATTGGCGACTAGAACGTTTCATCATAACCTTGCCAAGAGATAGAGTGAATTAAAAAGATTTGTAAAGATAAATCCGCGGCAAACTTCCTCGTTAAGTTTGTTTCCAAAACGTAGCACATGCATCTCGATCGATAACTAGACGCCATCTTGGATTTAGATGAGCCTGAACGTTGTTTATCATCCATCCATAAAGATCTTTTCGCTAACTTAATTTTGGAGGGTCTATCTAGAACGCTGACAGCGTAAAGAAAGATTTTGTTTGTCTTTGAAAATGGCGACCAACTTGTTTTGAATTGGCTACCACTGAAGAATTTAGGAGCCAAGTGGCTATCAGAAAAAAAAGTTAATTTCACGCCCTGAGACACCTGCACTGCAGGTTAGGCAGCCTGAGCCCTTGTTTTAAATTGGAAGTATAAGATAATAGTTCGCTGCTGCAGCAGATGGAGAAAAAAATTAATCTAATAACCTTCGTCATTCTTATGTTCATCTTTCGGTACAGGGGTATGTTATAGTTTTAATGATAGGCCTATATGTACAGGGGTTATAGAAGAAAGGTCTAAGTTGGAATGATTTTGCTATCATACCAACAAAAAGCTTATTTCTTACCTTTTCTCTTAAATCTAAACTTATCAAGGCCATCATTAAGCTCATGTAATGTAATATAATATTGCAATTTTTTGTATGATTGTTATGCAAATAAGAATAAGAATTTTAAAAAAATGTAAGATAGGGTCATTCAAATTTAACTTGATTTAATGACCCATTTATGGGCCAAGGTAAATGAGAAGCTTAGAAAGCTCTCTTGCGACTCGTTTCATTGTACCGCTGTAGTGTGATCAGAAATTGATTTCATAAAAACGATTTATGAACTTAGTTTGGGGTCCTTTAGGTGTGGTTATCTCTAGACGGAGGAAACTCGTTTAATAAGATGCTGGATACACAGCTCCGAGGTGATTCCGTATCGTCAATTTTTACCAATGCCCTGGGAGATGCATTTGCATTGGTTACAAGTCTTGGTGCTGTGTACAGTGGCTGGTCAGGTATTCCGCGAGTCAGTCGCATTGAGCCACCTGCATCCTTTACCAAGTGCTCCCTTAAGCTGCCTTATTTTCAGCATGATAAGTTGGTCAACATAATTTGCGTGCAGAACGTATCAAGTGAGCTGAAATTCAGTATTTACAGTATTGATCTAGCTTCACAGATCAAAGCAGACATGATTTTCCTTCACAGGCCTCTTCTCGTTCATTTTGTATCTGAAAGAAAAGTGGAATTTTTAGCCTTTTGCGGAGATGCCTTTTTCTCAGATCAGATTGGTTGTTCTGACTCGTTTCAGCAATCTGATGTTGGACGCGTAGTGCGAACAAAAAATGGGGGCTCAGCATTGATAACTGAGGTGTACGACAGCAAACTCACGAGTGAGTTTAGTGCGCTTGTCACTGCTCTTGTTATTAAACCATTCGGTCTTGTTGACAGATCAGACTCTCCAGCACTCCATTACACTCTTCAATTAAACATTACAGGTTCACATGCTGAATTGCACCTGCAGAACTCAGGAAACGATTCGGGCTGGCAAGGGGCAGACATCGGTAAGACGGTTCTTCTGTTCAATGGGATAAGTCTGATTCTGACGGCGTGCAAAAGTCTTTCATCCGCTACTGGAAGGCTACCAATGTCATGGGATGATACTGGAATTTACACTGAATTTTTTGAAGAAGGAATGTGGTACCTCATGGATTTTCGTCCTTTTAAGGGCTTTCGTCCGCTAAGCACTCCAGTTCTTCAAGTGCGCAAAACGGATCTTAATCATGCCATAGCAGAGTTGCTAAATAATGATCAGTTCTCATTTTCAAGTGATTTTGTCGGGCATGTCTTAAAATATGACCACAAGTGGGGCTTGATTACCTCTGTCAGTGATGCCTCAGTCGATATCAAGAGCCCTGGTGACTTGGAGCCGGGTAACTATACCAACAACTGGGGTGTTTACGAAGCGCAAGTTAGTAATAATTCGTACATCCCTTATATTCCAAAGCCTCAATTTCATGGTTGGTGGTTGGCAGAAGACGAGTGTCGACATTTCCTTTTCGAAGAGCCGCCCAGTAGGCTAGAACTCTACCATTTGGACTCTGGCGAAAGTCTTAACTTTACCCTCCGCGTAATATTCAAAGGAGAAGTATATAAAAATCCCACGAAACCTTTCGTGAGGCTGTTTATTGGAAAACCTTCCCTGTTTTATGTGAAGTCATCTTATCGATACCAAAACATGAATCACACTCTCCAAGTCAATTTGACAAAAAGACCTTTTATCGTTGGAATATCGTCAGTTTCTGTTAGATTAGAACAAACTGTTTCTCTGATATGCAAGGAGGCATCTTATACCGTGCACGGGGGTTGTCCACCGGATAAAAAGCTTCGTTTCTTGTATCCTACATCATTTTCTCTTGATGCATTTTTAGATTCGGAAATAACTGATTCCAAAGGCATAGTGAGGAACATAAAAGTACCTTTCAACTACAGAACTCCATCTTCACGAGGCAAAGCAATACCAATGTCGGAAAATACTTACAACGTGGACCCACAAAAACCACTTTACAAAACCACGTATGCTATCACTAGAAACACACTTCGATATAAACAATGTAGAGGGAAAAAAGTTCGCTCTGATTGTGGATGTTCGAGGCAAATGAGAGGGTCTTCTCTTGTTGAACATTCGGACTGCATTGATACTGTCTACCGCGTTATGTTCAGTGAAAAATTAATTCCACGCTTTGTGGTGTTAGAAGAGCATAAGGAAGAAGAACCTCTACGTTTCCCATTTTATCTTGAAGAACTGAATCAAAGGAAAGATTTCATAGTACTTTCCCCGAGTGATCTCACTTTTGTTGGAATATCACCGCCAGTGTTAGAACAGAGTCTTAACAGTTCGATACAGTTTGAAGGCTCGGGCTTGTATCATTTTCGTGCTCGAGTTGTACAAGAGAATTACACTTTCGGTATCTTGACAAATGAATTTGTGGTTTTTGTCGTCGATACTCCTTTGCCTTTTCCTGTGAATGACGTTGTAAGAGCCTGCACGGGAATGGGATTTGCAAGTTTGTTATTTATTGTTTATATGAAACACTTTCATGGGAAGAAGAAGATGAAGAATGATTAGTATCAGAGTTCCCTGCTCCTGAGCTTGAGCTGTCATAGCAAATGGTATAAATAGAAGACTAGTAGAACGCTCTTTGTTTTTGAGAAAGCATGATTCCTAATGATGAGACCGGTTATTCATTTGTGCGTCCTTTCTCTAGATTATCCAGTGCAAACTTTTCCAGAGACCCAAGCACGGGTGGACGTAATTTTATATACCGTTACTGTGAAGGAAACATTACAAAAAGACGGGGTATGACGATAACTGTCCCCCCATCGCACCCAACAAGCTGCCGGGGTCCGTAAAACGATGATTTTGTTGCGCTAATGTGGCTTACTCTCAACATTGAAAAGGTTCCTAATAAGGCTGACTTAAAAATCATTATCCGCCATTAATTCCACAATTATTACTGTTTTCTTTGCAAAGAGTCTCTGTAAAAGAAACAAACTTTCCTGAAAAATCAGCACTTCCTCTGTAAATCAAATTTTATTTTAGGTTTCGAGTGTAACACTGATTCTTTCTGATTGAACATTTCAATTGCAATTGAAATGATCTCCGATTATCACAGAACATGTGCAATTCTTGCATTGGCATCACTTAACAGCATTCTCTCTCTCTCTCTCTCTCTCTCTCTCTCTCTCTCTCTCTCTCTCTCTCTCTCTCTCTCTCTCTCTCTCTCTCTCTCTCTCTCTCTCTCTCTCTCTCTCTCTCTCTCTCTCTCTCTCTCTCTCTCTCTCTCTCTCTCTCTCTCTCTCTCTCTCTCTCTCTCTCTCTCTCTCTCTCTCTCTCTCTCTCTCTCTCTCTCTCTCTCTCTCTCTCTCTCTCTCTCTCTCTCTCTCTCTCTCTCTCTCTCTCTCTCTTTTCACTCTCAACTATGATGCCTTACTCAGTATATCCACCGTCAAAATCTTGGAAGTACAAGAAGGATTTGCTTCCATAAAAATCAGTAAAACGGGCCCAGTCTTAGCATTTGTGTTTTTCACTACTGAATATACACAGGCGTTCTTATTGTTGTCTCTGTAAGGTACAAGTAATCATACTCAGTTTGATTTAACAAGCTAACCTGACTTAACCTTGCCGCTTAATAACATTAAGAAGTCTGAACAGACCTCACAAACAATTAATTTCAGTTGTAAAGTGCTGAAATATGTAATATGCCCAAAAACATGGAAAATTCCCTAGGTTACTTATTTGAAACGCACTTGCAGATACTGGAAGTTTTCTGATGATATTTTTACCGCCAAAGCAAGTGGATGTTTACTTTTATCGTTCAAGGTTTCTTAATTCACACGTTTGTTTATTTCCCAAAGGATCCAATATTTGCATGCAATTAAAATACTTTGACTTGTCGCACTAGTTGAAATTGTAAACTGCAAATTTATTGCTCTTAAAGCATCACTCGATTTATTGTTTTACCTGGCAGAAGCTCAAATCAGAAAAGCTTGCCTGTTAAAAACCTGGTGAACACGCTTTATTAGGAAGATAATTTCTCACTTATTTTTTAAAATAACGCAGTCAATCGACTGTACATCGTAAGATAACTCTCACTGGTGTAAGATCTTTTTAAAACTGAGTAATGACCGCATCCAATCAAGGTGACAGCTATAATAACCATAAATAAGTGAGAAAAATTCTTTAACCCTTTCAAAGTACATGTATTTGTAATCTGGTCATCTGAATGATTAATGAAAGTACAAGAACATGTACGATAGTAAGAAAGTGAAGTAATCTTAGGATAATAAGCTTTGTACGTTTTATGTAAAAAAACACCTTTATTCTCTTTGTGTACCGAAGCTAATTGTCTTGTGTACAAAATTCAATAGCTGAGGTATGTTAGCGGCTGCTAAACAAATAATTCCTTAGCCAATAATCATCTGAACGCAAACGTTTTGACTGACTACGTCTGATTTGTTATGATTACCACCTGCAAGAGTGACAGTAATATAACAAGTTACTATTCATTCGGTATTTTAAGTGTCAGGGTAGCTAAAGTCTGCGGCTAACTCATTATGGAACAAAAAACATTTGGCCGTGTGTCTGCAAAACAATCGCTGCTGACAAAAAGGGTGGATTTGTCATACGGTATTACTAAGAAGGAAAGCGAGAAGAAATCCATATTATTAAGAGGTGGCGAGAGTGATACGAGGCAAGTTTGGAACGAGACTATAGGAAGACTTCGCAGAACCAGCGCCCCGGCAGAGTTGCCACCAATAAAAGATGCACTACCAAAGTTGACTGTGAAAGCAAGGGCACGCACACTTTCATTACAAGGAGGAGAAAAGAGCAGTGAAATGCATGCAAAGCAGTGGAACACAAGTTACACAAAAAACAACAAAATCTGCGAAAACCAATCTAATGCTCGTGCTCTTGTCAGTGCTAAAATAGATGACACACAAAAAAGACCTTTATCTGCCCTGACAAGCAGCAACAATTCTGTTACAACATGCTGTTTGGGAATAAAGGATGATAATAGTATCTTAGATTCCAGAAAACTTGTTGGCCGCAAATGTTTGACCCAAGAAGCGTTGATATGCCATGAACTAGGACTCGCAGAGATGGATGAGGACTCCGCTGATAAGAAAAAGAACATGATTGTTCGTTGGTTGAACTCAGAAGCATTGAGTAGTAGTACTTGGGAAGGACTGGAAAAGCTTCGTTCTTTCCCTCAGCTTTGATAGACAAACATCAGATCAGAAATTTAAGAGTATGGCGTTGGTGGAATTATTAAGTGTTGATGCGTTTTTCAGGGTTGCCCAATGTTTTTTAATTACCCAGTGTTAAACTATTGAAATTCACATATTATAACCCTGTCGAGTTTGTTTGTTTATGATGTAACAATAAAGAATTTGAAAAGGCTTCGATTACGTAACATTTCTTTTGAAACTTAAAGTTCGTCTTGGAGAACTCACATATAGTAGCCTTAAAACTGTTTACCTTCTTAATAACCGAAAGATGCTTTACGGAGAGCTTTTTCTTGTGATCTCTGCTCTAAGTGCGAAGTAGTGGAATTTGCCGTTATGAGCTCAATTCAGCAATAGAAGAAGCATTGACCTTTGAACTTATGTAATGAGGACTTATGTAATGAGGACCATAAATTAAATGGGGAGGTTGAATGTGCATAGTATCTTTCTTAGCGAGGTTCTTTCCGGCGCCTTATCTAGATTTGACCGAATTGAGGCATCCCCCCCTCCCCGTAACCGATTGTCAAGCTGACCAACAAAACTCCTTGGTATCATCAATGTGATATCCAAGGGCATCATCCGAGTGATATTCCTAAATTTCAAACCTTATGCTCACAACGATAAGTGTTCGCTTCAAATTCAATTTAAGAGAAAATGTTAAGTAGTTGTTCAAAAGGAAGGGACTGGACATGTGTTTGTGCATGAAATCGTACCAGAAAACACTGAAAAGTGAACATCCCGTAAGTTTCAAAAACTATTTGAAGGATAAAAAACTCAACGGCCTCCATTTGGCGCGAAAATATGCTTGTTTGTTTACACTTTAAGGACTTGTTTACTCAATTAGGGAGTTGGACGCACGTTCGCCACCAAAATTCAAGCAAACTACTGCTTGAAACCTGTCATTTTCATTATCTGGTTGGCGCTTCTCATGGTCGTGAAAATAGAATTATTCTTTGATGTGATTTTTCAGTTTCAGTTTTCGCAGCCGCTAGCTTGGAAAGTGAGGCAAGTGCTATTTCTAATCGAAGTTTCTCTACTAACCAAACCTCTATTACTTTCGAAAAATAAAACTAATAATAACTTTTTTTCAATGGACGTTCAACTGTGGGTTCTTTTGTCTTCCGGAGTTGAGTAGTGACATGGACTTTGAAAAATTCACGCACTTAACTCTCTGAAAGTTCCAATTTACTAATTTTCGAATAAAGTTTAACATTAGTTGCGGTTACACTCGCCCTCTGCCCGAGGTAACCCTGTGGGTAATTGCCTTGGGTTGGAATCGGTTTGGTATCCGGTCAAGTTTAATCTTCCGGTTACATTGCAAATAATTACCCGAGCTCAACTTTTGACCTGGCAGTGTTTGGCGGGAAATTTAATTCATCCTGGAGATCGCAAACCGCGAAACGTATGGTTTGCTTGCGGTCGTTCTTCTGCTTTTTATACGGCAATACCCGGTTGATTTAGCGATCCAAAACTTCGTGTTAAGAAGAATGCGGAGAAGGCGTCTGCGATTACGATTTTCACAATCTCTTCAGATGCTGTATGCTCTTTCATTATGCCGACAAATTTAATTTGACCTATCACTCGTCGATGAAACGAATAATCCCTGGTGTCATAACATTCTGTAGGTGTCACGTATCTTATTTCTTTCGTTATTATCATTATTTATTTATTACAATTTAATGGAAATCAACAAAATAAAATAATTACCTACCTATAACAAAGGAAATGCCATAAGGATGGTCTGTAAAAGAGTCCAAGACCCCATCCTCAGACAGACCACCTAACGAAATATATAGTTTAAAAATATAATTTATACAATTAATTAAAATCTGATATAAAAATTCTAAAATATATGAATATGAGTTTTTGGTAATTTGACCAGTTTAGTTGGTATTCATTAAGAAGTTCCTCAAGCCACGCTTAAAACTTGAAATATTAGACAACGATCTAATTAAAAATGGGAGTGAATTCGACATATCATCAATAAGATTTAAAAAAACTAAACTTAAAAGTGTTTGCACGGGCATAAGTCTTCTTTAAAGTAAGTCCATCTTTCTCTTTCAAAGGATGCCTAGCAGTATCAGAGTAAAGTTGTAAAGCTGAAGAGATGTCAGTATCAACATAGCCATTCAAAACTTTCTAAAAAAAATACCTCATTGAAAAGAAATCGTCTATGGTCCAAGGACAGAAATTAAGCCTAGAGTTGCGAGTATCATTGTCATCTTCACTTTCTAAAATAGACTTCGTAGCTCGACGTTGCAATCAATTTATTTTGTTCCTCAATTTTGCCACTGAAATTTTTTAAAATAAAGCGTGGATATCGATAGTCAACGCTGAAAAATATCTATTCCGCACAAAAAACATAAAATCCCCCCAAAAAATTAATTTCCCATTTTATTTTCCCATTCCTCATTCTCCATTCTCCATTCCCCATTCCCCATTCCCGCTTTCAGTAACATCCTTATGAATATTATTATTACTAGCAAGGAGACGAATTATAAAAATTCGAGAGAGTGATTTTTATTTAAATAATATGTCGGCTGGAATGGTGTAGTTTTAATATGTTTTTTATTTTATTTTATTTTATTTCATTATATAGAGACATTACGGGTCTAGTTATTTTATTTGTTGATATTTTTTTTATACTTTAATTTTTTTTAAGGTCAGAATTTTAAGGAATTAAAACAAAGATGTCATCTTTTTTTTTAATTATATTGTGTCAAAAATGTCTTATTTAGAGGTAGGATTTGGATTTTAATAAAAATTATCATTGTTATTTTTATTTAAAAAATTATCATTATCTTTATTAATATTATAATCGTTAATGTTCTTATTCGTATTGTCTGAAGTTTGATACTTCGATGAGTCATCAGGCGAGCCATTTCGTTTGGCAGTGGAACGCTTATTTGTGCGATGACCTTTTTTCCGGTTTGCGCTCAGGAACTCGGCACAAATTGAAACCGCAAATTTGATTCTATTATTTTCTTGACGTTGTCTTCATTCATTAATTCCTGATGTTCCACTCCGCATTGTCACACCCCTACGTAGCTCAAACATTAACTTCCCTCTTCATCATTTCATTACTGGTTGATATTTTGTGAGTTTTAAACGCTCACTTTAAGAAAGCCAGCAATATCTCATTTTTGAAGAGAAGCATTAGAGTTGAAGGCTGAACAGCATAGTTTAAAGTGAAGGTAAAGAAAATAAAAATTAAATAAAAACTATAAATAGATCAAAGTAAAACTAGGGAAACTTATTTGATTACTTTCAGCGAAAAGGTCAATTGAAGAATTTTTCTGTTGTTTGCGGTTTCTTTTTTTTCTTAAGAAACGATAGAACACGTATCACTATGACCACAGTCTGAGAGGTCGGGAAAACGGTAAGCTTGTTACACTTTGGTTACATAGGTAAGAAACCAGGAGTTAGACGCTCCTTCAACTAGATGATATCATGGACTAAAAATTCTCCTCACCCTGTGCCAAGAAACTGACTCATTTAAAGCAACTAAGTTTATAGCTACTTGCTCAAATTAGATGTTTGTCCTTAGCAGGGAAGGCCCTGGGGATACTACCTATTTATACTCTTGGTTGAAAGGTTATAATAATATTTATCTATTTCGCTTGTTTGGATTGGCCGGAGGGGATACTCAGAGTCATTTTGTCTGGATCTACAAGAATGTTATCTTAAAGTAGGCTAACCCGTATTGTTAAAAATACCCCTGAAGGGTTATTCTTTATTGCAGAAGGAACATTCAGTCCCGTGCTGCAAAGTTTACTCATTCCGCTTACTTAACCAGCCCTTAGGAAATTCCCAGAGCTCTTCCGGCTAAATTTGCAAAATCTTTATCCTCGGGTTCAAAAAAACATCGCACTTAAGAAGTCTGGAAGCTTATTTAAAGCTTTTCAGATCGGATGGAGAGTCCCGGATTTAAAGGTCACGTGATTATGTCGATAAATAATTCAAAATAAAGAATGTTCGTCAAGTGATGTTCAGATATTAAATTGTTTGAATTTGATCTCAGCCCACAACTGAATCACTCTACCAGACTTTTCTCGGAGGAGAAGCCGAACCACAACTAAGCTGAATAAACCAGTTAATTAGTTCGGCCTTTCGAGTAAAAAAGTTTGGAACACTTTCTCCCCAGACCGTGCTAAAACCATTCAAACTGAGCGTGATCTTTTCATTTAAACGTTGTAAAAATCTGTGTTTGTTTATTATTTTTTGGTGATTGAGAATGAGAATTTAACCACCTATTTATAGAGAATAGTGATAGTCAGAGTGTGCTCTTTTATGTTCACAAATGCAATATCCCATTTCAGTGGCGGTTTTGTGCCTGAGCAACTTTTTAAAATGTCGGTCAAAAGTCACTATGTATTGCGCAAGAACAACCTTGGTAATTGCGTATCAAAGAGCCCTAGATCTGATAAGCTTATTATCAGACAAGTAGTCTGTATAGAAAAAGAAAAAAGAATTCTTAACTAGTCAAAACACACTTCACTTTTGTTTTAATACCCAATGAAAAATGCCTGTTTCAAGGCGTGACGGGTTTCACGTGTGACTATTAATAAAAAAATATTGATATTTGCCTCTGTTATGGATCTTCCGAGTTTACTGCACTGAAGAACAACTTCTGGTTGTGTTTATCTGTATAAAGTCAGCACTTTTGATGCTGTTAAAAAAACATTCCTGTTAAAGTTAATAATGTACTATTTTATTGAAATCTCAGGAAATAAAATCAACTTGAATTTACCAAAACGCGTCGTCAGTTATTTGGACTAATCGGACTTTGAACGCCATGCCTGGTAGACTCTATATTTCAGATATATTTAGAAAATGCTGAATAGTTCTGTTACACAAGTGAGAAAGTTAGATTTAAATTGATCATTTCAGCGAGCAAACAGGAGACACACAGGTTGTCACGCTTTTAAGGATGCTATTCTTGTGAAAGTATTCAACAACCACTAATAAAATTACTGAAAATAGAAACTCTTATCTAGAACAGACGGGTTTATCTATTCATTTTTCTGCCGATAGTGATTGCTTGATTTTTTTTTCTTTAATAAAAAAATTGCTTTTAAATAAAACTATACAGTGGTTGTTTCCACTCCAGTTATGTCAAGTGTCAAGTATACCAGCGACAACTGGCGAATATGACAGACAAGCAGTATTTTCACCTTTAAAATAAATGCTTCGATCACACGAATCTTAACAGAAAAAAATGCCGGCTTTGTGCTCTACCATGATGTGGCATATTTCTCTGATATCGATTGCCTAATGGACCTTGATCTACAACACTGGAGTAATGAGAATCGGTACTGGGTCCATTAGCTCAAGAGGCTTCAAGTCCAGACACAATATCGATTTTGATATTGACATCTTTTTCATCGCGTGTGGGGTTGGCTAACTTACAGGCTATCTGCTTAACGAGCACAGCCACAGTGAAAATGATAATTTGCCGGACAAAGAAGAAACATCTGATTAAAGTGTGTCTGGACCGAAAGACAGTGCATCTATTTTGTGAGAGATGATTCCGTGACTACTCTTATACCGTTCTTCACTTGTTCCTAACCTCGATAAGGACGCCTTCAGGCGATTGAAACCAAGGAGCTAAAAATATCATCACAGTGAAACCACCACACGGGTTGCAGAGCAACATGAATCATCCGTTGCCATACAAAACAAAACTAGTCATTGGCTGGTCAATGACATAAGATGACAAACGTTTGCAAAATTGAAAGGATCCCAAACAATCGAAAAAAATTCAGCAAGAAATGAAAATGGGTGAAAAAGGTTTGCGTGAGAAGTAATTTGCTGTTATGACGCACATCCTTGAAGCTCTCATTCATCCATGCAACACTGTCTCGTTGGCAAATCCGTCGAAATATCGCCCCCGCTTATACTTGTATTTGAAAACTTTCCACAGGCGTTAATCACGCTACATGTACATCATACCCTTAAATAGCATCAGAACGTCACTGTGTTTAACTATGTACATCACTTTTTTGCATCACCGTTCTGTTATATTTGATGTGTATTCCTTGACGTTAAGGACCGGATTTCAAGTTCTTTTAACTTAAGTGTAAAAGTTTGATTACAAACGGATGTGCGCTCGAGTACCCAAGACAGTTTCTCATGCAAATAAGGTCAGCACACGTGTATAGCCAGGGGCAAAATTTTTAAAATGATTTTAAAATTTATGGTTTTAAACTTCCTGCCGTAATATCCGGGAGAAACCAAAAGAGTCAACTCGGTTTTTATTTTGGATTCTTTTACAGCCAATTAGCTCTATTCATGCACAGGGCTTTTGTTATCCTTTTCCTCTCCAAGATTTCTCTTTGAATGCTCTGAAAAAAAAAGTACTGTCGAGAATCATCTTTATCCAATAATTAACGCGTCGAAACAGGTACAACCTTGCCGTTTCTATCGCGTTCTCATTGGCTTCTAGCAATTCTAAGACAAAGCACTCAACTCGCTTCTTTTGGTCATTTACATGGCAGGGTTGGCTTCTTGCATAAAATTAAAAAACCGATTGCAGGGGAGAAGCAGGCAGAACAGCCACATAGGTTTGGGATTTACGTTCACTCACGGTTTAGTATGAATATGCGTTATTTTGTCTCGCGCCGCCAGAGTAGACAAGGTTTTATAAGTCTTTGATTGTTTGAAAAGACTAGTTTTGTTGTGGAACCATTAGTAAACAATGAATGTTTTAACACGGTAAACATATCATCAGTTAACGAAAGTGGTTTACCTATCGGGCTGAGGTCACCGGGGAATAAAGCACTTTTTTTACATTTGTGGAGAGCTGAGATTGCATTTTGGAAAAATGCCAAAGCTTATATTCGAGACAGCACTAATACTGCTTGGCGCTAGCTTTCTTTGCTGTTATGCACTGATAACCCTGTATTTGTGCTTAACCTACGCCATCTTGGCGCTTAAGGATTTTTTATTCCACTTGCCACCGTGAATCACAATGATACCAATATCAAGCGTTGTTTTACATAGAGTAGGAGTGATGCAAACAATTGATGGCAGGTCGGTCAGCGGCGAAGAATGCGAGGCACGAGTGATGTCTCGTAATGAGAAATCTGTACTTTCTTCCACCTAATTGTGAATTTTGCAAACTCGACTCTTTTTTTGTTTCTAATCGGGAATGACAGAACTTTATACTGAACTCGTGGGCTTTGGGTTCCAACAGCAATATTGCGACACTGATAATTGTTTATCGAATACTTAGCAGAAGCATGGCAACATAAGCTAGGTAAACCTTGGAATATAAACCCGATCGAGGTATTAGTTTAGCTGTTTGAATGATTCCAGTTTCTTCAGAAGAAACTATTGACCAAAGATCTATTCTTGAATATAGAAAGACATTCTCTTCTCCATAATTTTATTTGAGCATAATGCAAATGAGTTTGGCAGTTCCTTTATAAATTGTTTAAAGGGAGACTACAACACGACTATAGTGCCTTCCATTATTTTGTCTTGATGGACATTGCTCGAATTAAATGCCTCCAGCAATTGAAGTCGTAAAATAATAAATTTGGCCTAAATGACTGTATTTCCAAAAACAGATTCATAAAGTGATTCTAAAATGCTTGTTTGTTGTTTGCTTCACCTGCCCTGCTCCGCACATGTATCTTTAAATGCTATAAACTGAAATAAAACATTATCAACTCCTAAAACACGTGCAAGTAATGGAATATATGTTTTTATTATAACCTCATCTATGGTCCAAAAACAAGAAGAAAACGATCTGGAAACTATTTAGGGTTCTAATTCATTCAGAAGAAACTTGGTGAAATATTTGGCTAATTGTTGAGTGAGAGATTTTCTCTTAGCCCAGCTAAATACTTGCGTAACGTAAGAGAGAACTTTGGTTGAACTCATCTATTCATCCAAACTCATTTTCGGATAATTTTAATTCTTCTGTATACCTTCTTTTGATTTTTCAGCAGATATAATCGACACAAAACGCAAGTGTTTCCTTGTGAGTTTGTTCTTCTTTACACCGTGAGTTTTGTTAAAATAAAAAGCACAGTGTAATTAAAGAGATTTGAAAAGCCTCAGTGCTCGCCTCAAATACTACTGCTAGCCAACTGTATGTACAAAGCACGGAAGAGGTGCGGCCTGTTAATGGTTAAATTTAAAGCCTTTAAATCGAAACACGGGGATTTATACAGAAGCAGCTTGCACTGTTATTCACACGCCAAACATTACCTCGTTTTACGCGGCTCTAAGTGATAGGTTCCGGTGGCGAATTTCTCGCGTCTTTTATGCTTTTATCGAATAATGTGCTACGTCCGAGTGCTGCGCGATTTAAACGAAGCTAGTATTAATACAGGAAGAAAAAACTCCTCCTGGACCTTTGATCAGGTGTTAAACGCTGAAAAAAGGCGGGAATCTCATCGTGGAACGACTATTTACTAGAAAGCATAGCAAAAAGTAAACATAAAAAGATAAAATTAAGAAATAATAAGACATTTTATTTGGAGCTTCGGGTTCAGCGTGCCAATTTTTTGTCCAGTGCGCTTTTCACTGAGTAAGAAGGACGCAAAAGGTTCAAGCAAGGTCCTAATCCCACGATACTCGAGACATTTCAATGAGTTCGATTGTTAACGCGCTGCTTGGACTTCGAAGCTTTTAGCATTGGTTTGTTCCGTTGTTCAGTCTTTTGTTTTATTATCTGTTATTTTCTCACCTATTGTTAGAACCTTTCACGTTTGCCCCAGTTTCACGCCTCCCTTTTACGAGCTTTTCAAAAGGACCTAAGTAGTCCAAATTTGCACTTTTGTTTGATGTCGATTCCAGTTCAATCTAGTGGCATTGATTAGCAGAAACTCGGGTGAACACACTTTGAACATAACGAACTATATCAAATTATAAATTCCCTGAGGTAAAAAATTAAACTATAAATCGCATTGAGTGAATTGGTAATTCGCGAAATAGCTGCTATCGTGGTGATGGGAGGTGGGGAACAATCACTAAGCTGTAATTTTATTGTCGTTTCGTCAACCACGGAATGTAAATTTTCTTTCTGCCTCGGGGAAAAAGCGGAAAATTGAACTCGAACCACCAGTGTTGAGAGCTTGTTCAGGATCTCCTTGACGTAAATATTAGTTCGGTTCTTGTTGTCTCAACTCTAATTGCTCGACAAATATTGACAGAGAAAATTTTATTGAGTCTTTACACAACATACACAAATAGAGGGATTGTTTCGAACGACACAAACTTAGCAGAAATGTGTAACGTTAAGAAATTAAATACAAGTATTGGTCTTTTAAAGCAATTTGAAACCTATCTGATGTAAATAACGGCGCTTACTTCAACTCGTGGGTTCTTGTCCGCTGAAATATTTCTGGCATAAATAAAAGTCTCTTCGAAGTTTTGAAAACATTATTTCCAAATTGTGAGTGCGTTATGGAAATACAGTTTAGCGGACATGATATTTACAGCTCCTTTCGTTTTATAATTTTTGTTTGTATGTACAGCGGAACGTGGTCTATGTTTCGTGACCCAGCGTCGCCTTCAAAAGAGAGCAACGATTCACTTCCGAACTAACTTGCTAATGAGAGACTAGTCAGCTTTATACACTGAATATTCATTCATTTCTTGCTAAATACATTATTGAAAATCAACTTATCATAACTGCATCTTTAATAAAATCTCTCTTTTATGACCAAGAAAAAAATTCTCTTTATCCTTACGTTAGAAATGTTTCTTTAAAATGTTAAATAAGAATGCGATCGGACGAATGTTGACTGAGAAGGATTTCAGTCGTAAATTATAAACGAATTGCTGAACGCGCATGGCTAAGTTCTCAACTCTGGTGGCCTCGATAGCCTGCCAAACAGCTTGGAACAGTAGCGTTGTCCAAGGATGTTTGTGAGTTTATGGATGTTGTACTCAAGGGCTGTGATACTGGGTTAGGAATGTGAAGGTCTTGAACTGTAGCCGCGCTTGTATTTTGAGAACCCGTGCCAGGTTTTGAGCTTTTACTCATTGCTTGAGAGTTGCATTTTTTCCATTTCATGCGCCGGTTTTGAAACCAAATTTTGACTTGCCTTTCAGTGAGGTTTAATTGAGAAGCCATTTCAGCTCTCCTCTCCTTGGTAAGAAAATGGTTAAAATGGAATTCTTTCTCTAGTTCCAGCAACTGCTTTCGAGTGTAAGCTGTCCTTTTGCGTTTTCCCTCGGAAGCTCCTCTACTGTTCCAAGCAACGTTTCCTGTAAGAAAACAACAAACCGTAAAGAATTAAAAAAACTTACTAAGAAACTACCATACAAGCCTTCACGAAAATTGTACACAATCTTCACGTTAAATCACAGTTAAATGCTGACTAATGGCGATCGCTTATTAAGTACAGTTTTATGGCGCGTCAAGTATCGTCAGCAGTTAAATATCATGGCGTTAGGAGCCTGTAAATATGGTCCGTGCGGTCACAGTGCGTCGTTCGAGGACAAATTTTCAACAATTAGTCAAACTAATGCCAAATTAATGCTTGTAAACCGCATAAGTTGTTTGTTATGTGATAAACATTTCACAGAGTCAGAACTCAACGCAGCGTTATAACTATAGCGAAGAGAACTAGTATGGCTTGTGCGAGCGGACGAACGAGCGTGTCTACCTCGTAAGAGGAAGTTTTGATGTACTAACCTGCCGCAGTCGAGTTATGCCACCAATTTTCCGCAGAAGAAGTGCTTTTCAACCAAGCGTATTGGTGGAAGGAGCAGTTCTGACCTGCTTCTTGAGGCGAGTAGTAACCTTGATGATCAATCGGAATTGTGCTCCCATTTTGCCCTGAAATCGGTGCGTTCGGGTACGTGGATGGCTCCGCGGTATATCCATTCACTTGACCGAGGCTTCCCTGAGGCATGGGTGACATAAAACTCGGTAGCGGCGATTGATTATAATAATTTGGTGACTGCATTCGGCAGGGAGTGTAAGGAAAATCTAACTGTTGAGCATGAGAGCCCGTGTCTTTTCCCGGTAAGTTACTGCCGAAGTAGGAATAATTTTGCGACTGCATCGCTCCGGTTGTCATCGTTGCGCGTACGGAAAGATAAGCCTCAGAGACGAGTGCGCCGAGGGTATTTATAAATTTGTTTTTTGTATTATAAATAATGTAGAACGCCAGACAAGCGTGACGTATGTCACCTGGGCTGAAACGTCTTGTAAACGCATTATTAAGTATTGAAAAGGCCTTAATTAACGTAAAAGGCTCAATACTGTACCTTGTGTGTGAATGGGCGGTTTTAGGAAATTTGAGTGCCAGATCGAAGGAAGTATAGAATATAGCTAGGCCAGGCGCAGAATCATAAAAAGAGAAAAGAAATTGAGCTCGTCGCATGTTTTGTGGATTTGATACAAAAAATTCGAAGGAAGATTTTTCGACCGCTTTTGAATGGTCATAGAACGTAGTAACTAGAAATTAAAAAATTGAGATTTCTTTATTATTATTTGTCGCCTTTAATATGTATTGCAAACCATCAACCTGTGTTATCAGGTCTCAGTTGACTAGTGTTCGTATCGATTGCTCTGTAAGTTAATGAAAAGAGCGCGAAATGGGGACTGCGGAAACTCATCTTTTGATTGACCTTGGTCTTGAGGTTTTCAACGCAAACTTTGTATTTCGGTATAGTTTTACCAATACCGAGTAAACAATCTCTTGTTAATAAAATCTTGCTGAGATTTTAAATTGTTTAGCGACCGGGGCGTTTTGTTCGCGAACGAGTACTTCCTGCGCTTAACATCTGTCCCGAGTAAACATTGATAAAGTTCGGAGCGTTTTATATCCTTTGCTTGCGGGCTTTCCGGAAACACCGAACGCCTTGTTATCAAACGAAACGCACAACTTCCACTAAGTTAAGTCGATTGAGAGCGCGTACACGATTTTTCGCAACCATTTTCATAAACAAACTTTTCTCTGATTGCAAACGTTTCAACGAACATGACCGGCTTAAGACCTCTAATACTCTTTAGAAGGGGATCGAATTATGTCCTAAAACTGCTGGCGAATTTAGCATTCGATAAATTACTCGAGATAAGAATCGCAACCAGCTGTATGTTTAGGCAAGGATTGGCGGCGATAAAAGCGAACTCGTAAAACCTAGTTTCGCCATGCGTTAATCAACGTCCACTTGTCGAGTTCAACGTAATTTTGCTGTGATTTGTTCGGAGGTGTTAACAAAGGCCTCCCTTTCCATATGAGAATAAAAGCGCCTAACAATGAAGCCTATATTAGACTAATGAAAATCCTTTGCTGAATAAGAAGTGAAAACAAGATGGAAATGTAACCTTGACAGTAAGAAGAAAAGCTAAGACCATTCAGTTCGTGATTTAACACTGAATACATCCATTTAGCTCTTTGCCGGAACACCAAATGACCCATCCTGATTTTACATCAACGCGAAATTTTAATTGATTTTAACGAAATGACGATAGCACTCTACTAACTGCCTCAAACATTAAAATCAAGGAACTCTGTGTTGCCATTCTGTCATTCATTTTCTACTCAAGAAAGCCATCCGGCAAATAAACAGTTGAAAGGTTTACAGATTTATGTGTCATGTCCTTAATTTATAACACAGTTTGCATAATAAAACTGTAAATCTCTTTAAATTTTCTTGTAATATTTACATTCTTCGCGTAAGGTTATCTTTTAAGAACACAGAGTGTCAGTTTACTTGCGTACTAAGCACAACACATGTACCAGTCCGTATTAAAGATGGATCAGATATTAAAATTTTTCTTAAAATTAAGTAATTTGTCGGTCGTTCTTTGGTAAAATTAAAACCAAGCAGGTGTAGAAAACAGTCCGCGTATTATTGATTAAGACTCTCTTGCCGCAATTTTCGTGTTTGGTAATTTGTTATCGTTTTGAGATTATGCGACTAAAGTGAGCTGCAATCCGCTTGAGAGCAAAGTTAAGTTGATGTGTTTTAAACAAAGCCACAAATCTGCGAGTTTGAAATTATTCTGAGGAGTTCATCTGATAAATATAGCGCCACCAGAAAGCCGGCTTCTTCACAGTCGGCCATTTGATAAAGGGAATATCGACACGCTTGAACTTGCAGCTGCACTATCTTAGACTCCAAAACGAAGAAAGACGGCAGTCGAGTTGCGTTGCATCGAAACAAAGTAGTTCAACTCTTTGTCGAAAGGAAAGAGACCAGCGCTGTTCTCAAATACTAGGTCAGTTTTCATTTACAACTCAGCCGGAAATGCTGTGGTATTTCAAAAGTTAAAAAAAGGCAAGCAACAACGTTTCAATATAAGGTTCTCTGTTGCCGCTCTAACCTTTTAACTTCATCTCCTCCCCCCAATTGAACAAACAATACACTTAGCAAATATCGCGTATTTGTTAAGCAAATTAACCTCTAAGCATTGAAGTTTTTAAAAATATCTCGACATTTTAAAACTAAAAACCCTTTAGAAAAAGAATGCTGTAAAGCATTTATAAAATCACAATATTTTTCTGAAGGGAAATTTTAAGAATTTTTCCAAATTTACCTATTGAACGATAGACTTAAAGTCTGGCTGGACCAGACTGGCAGGCAATGCTTACTTTTCTTTGTCATGCAAGTCCTTGGCGCTTTTGTTTAAGACAACTCTTGACTGTGGTACGAGATGATTACGATAAAATATATGAAAAGTTTTTTTTCAGTTTTGGTATTAGAGTAACCTTTTAGAAAGCCATTAGTGGTCATATGTGAATTTTAAATATCGTTGAATTAAAAAGGATGAAATCACAACTTTTTCATCTACCCAATACTGCATGTTACGCGGTGTTGGTGCTGCAAAAAGCTACTACAGGCTGAATATTAGAAGCTGTTATAGGGCAGACAGGAGTGATCGTGGAAACGAGTTACAAAATCCACACAAAGGCTCTGCTAAGTTGCTTTATAATTTACTAGTGGGGTATGTCATCGATTGGAAAACTGAAGTGTTTGATCTTTTAACTTTGAATAAAACCACCAACACTGGCAAAACAGCAGCATTACTTAAGTCAACCGCCTAAAATACGACATCCTTAACATGGAAAGATGCTTTCGCCTTTTTACCAACGTTAAGTCACAAAAAAAAAAAAAACATTTTTCTACTTTCTTCTCACATGAATTGCAAAATTGATAAAAAATTATGAGCTAACTTTTACGACTCCAGGTTGAGTTTGCAAATACTAGGCATCAACTATTTCAAAGCGAATCTTTTGCTTTAATCAAAGAAGCCAAAAGCGGGAGAATTGCAGGATCTTCGTTGTGGCAAATTTGCTCAGTATTCACTTAATTGATGCTTCACAGATTCCGGCTGAGACAACAAAATCCTTTTTATATGTTCTTCCATTCACACTGAAAATATCTTAATCTTACTGATGCATTTAAAGTGACGTCTATGAAAACGTGTTGCCTGCGTGGTAAAGGACGGTAATGGCTCTAAACTGCTAACTTTGTTCCTAGTTTTCATTTCGTGATCCAGAGTATTGAGGAAAACAGATTCTGTTCCGACCGCCAAACTATTTCAGGGTACATTCTGTGAAGAGAACAACTTTTTGGACGCTACGTTTGGTGTACTATGCTTTCTATAGGCAAATGACTTTATGCTAGAAATTTCCTAAGAGGTCCATTTAGAGCTCATCTTAAACTACAGCAAGGGAAGAGTATATAGAGCTAACATGTAATCAACTGAATAGCTTAGGTCGTAAAAGTAAATGTGCTTAAGAAACCAATCTTCACCGCCTCTAAATTGCACCAAGATTCGTGTAAAGTTTACCAAATTGCAATCTAGCGGCGTCTTTTTTAATTTGAAGTCCTACTTGAGGCCATTAACTTCTTTATGGTCACACGTAAATAGATGAATTTCAAACCCGACAATCAATGTTATGTATACGAAGCTACAATAATACAATTACAAGTGTTTGAGCTTAAATCTGTGTTCTCCACATTAATTTGCAGGGTTAGCCTTTTGACAATCGTCTAAAATTTATCACTGTTTTTGAATCTCGAGTAAAACGGTACGTTTGAATATTTTTCAAAAGATTTTACAATAATGTACCGAACGATGCTGGTTTTGCACTTTCTAAACTAGTACTGTAATTTAGCCGCCCCTAAATGTTATTCGAAAGCCTACAAAGACACCGGCGAAGTTGTTTATTAAAAGCAATAAAAACAACGACATAACTAAACTAATTGAAAGCTTTTCAATCCATTTGACCCTCTGAGAAGTTTCACATATGTTGTACATTAAAACGTTCGAAAACCGCAGTTTGACTCTGGGTCAACTATATTGTACTATGTATTATCTGCTACGAACTTCAAGTGAATAAAACAGTCTGTATATGAAACACTAGTGCGCCTTCATGTGGCGCTGGTTTTGTTATGCTGTAAGAAGTAGTTGTTATGTGTATCTCCAAGGATGATATTTCGGTGTCATAAAAGTCGAACGCAGTATTTCCAAAACGGAGGAGAGTATTTTACGGATTGTGCGATATGCAAAGGTTACTATCTTGACATCTATAAACGAAACTCCAACTGTGCCGATTATTCAGATAAGTTGTACAAGCTTTTGAGAACTCCTGCTTTCGTATGCATTTTCAATTTTCCATTTGAGCGTGTTGAGAAATACTTGTATAATTTATTTAATTGTTTTTCTTTTTTTGTTTTTGTTTTTTTCCGAGGACAGATCTAACAATCGACAAGGTCTCTCACTTCATTTCACACAAAAAATTTTTGACTTTACTTGCCCAAGTAGAATGCATTGTACTTGTCACATATGATCCAAGTGAACGCCCTGACGCATTATCATTTCTTTCTCAGGCTCTGGCCCTTTTGACCCGAGCCTCTGTTATCCTGAGTTACCGAGAAGTTTTTTTTTTTTTTTTTTTTTCCACACCCTCCTATAAAAAGCTTCCTTGAGCCCATCACTCGCTTTTCAACTTTCAGCCTCCAACGTATGTCAGTTTTATTTCAGTTCATAGTTATCTTAGGTTAAGCGTCTCACTAGGAAATTGCAAGACAACTGACTTTATCACTTCGTCGGTGTGCGAAATCTCACTGAAAGTTAAGCCTAGCTTTTCTCGCACGAAAAGGACACTCTGTACAAAAGAGTCATGAAGGAAGAGGTCTTTGATAGGATACGATTTCCTACGTTTTTGGCAATTGCGGTGAAGAATAAGAGTGAAAATATATGAGATTTAATCAACCCCCAGTTTTCTAAGTTGTTATTATAGTACGATGTGTAGTGTGCGTATTAGAAAACCAGTTAAACAGAGAGACGTTTAAAACAACTCGAACCACAGACCTTTGGATCTCACGGTTGAATGTTCTACCAACTGTGCGAGTCAGACCAACTGCA